TTAATTTTCCCGTTTTTTTTTCTTCAGTTTTTCACATTTGATGAGAACTCTGGAAAAAATCGCAAAATAACCTCCTTAAAGTACCTTCCCATGACGATTTCCTTTCAGAAAAAGTGCTACACGTAGAAATCCGAGCAAGTTTTCTGGTAGAAAAGCTGCACACGGAAAACATAAAAATAAAAAAAATAAACATCTTTGTAAAACCATAAGCTTCTTTGTTCCACTTAGAATCTAAAATCCAACTTAGTTATTCACACTGCTATAAGTTAGAAATATGAAATATTTAAATATACATGTTATGGTAATTTAATTCATATCTGTTCATGATGATAAATCAGTGCAAACAAAAATCAACTTTAAGGAAAGTTCGATTCAACATGTTTTGACAATTTTAAATTGAAAATTGTTTATTATTTTATAACGATAAAATAAATTACAAATAAAAAAATATTTATAATATTTATTTAATTAATATTATTAATGGAAAAACTCATGACAAAAATTAAAAATTTAAGACAAAACAAAGGACAATTAAAATATCTCGTTAATTGATCCTACGTGTATAATTTGGAAAAGATTTATAGCTGTCATATTATTATATTATATTAGAACGATAGAAAAAAAAACTAAAGCAAATACCCACACATGTCCTACAACTTTATAATTATTATCCAGACAGTTTTTTCTAAATTAAAATTGCACATATAGGTACAATAACATAAAATATATTAAGAGAGTAATTATTTTTAAATATAATTTTAGATTAATATTAGTTTGCACTTAAATTACAAACTCACGAGTTGTCTAGGGCTCAGTAAAACACATTAAATTATTACGGAATGGTGTCAGAACCTGTATATAAACTTATGTGTATTGTCGGTGTACAATAATATTCGTGGTTGACAAGTGGACAATTAATAATGCGTTATACTCTTAAAAAATTATTGATATACCTATGTACGACATTATATGATATATTACTAAATATCGTGAATTTCTCGGTGTAATATTTACTTATTTATTTTAATCGAAAAGATGCACAGTATTTTTGTATATTTCGACCATAGTATCACTATGTAAGGTGATAAGACGTAACTGATTTGTCCGCGTAGCTATTATTTGTACATGTTTCGTTATTATAGGATATATTTTATGAAAAACCATATCTTGCAAACATTTGATTATACGTATAAAATATTTTATCTTAAATAGTGTTATTTTGGGACAAAAATGATTATACGCCGAGAAAAATTGGTTCCAAAAAAAAAAAATATAATAATAAAAAGGTATTCTGTTTTAAATAAGTAATAAACTATTTTGGTTTTGGGCTTTGATGTTAGTAAGTTTGTTATTAGAACAAACGTGATAGAAACTTGGGTGTAGATTAAAAGTTAATTGTTGAATAATGTATACATATTTTTTGTTTTAGACTCCGATCGAATCGACAGTTCCCCCAACCCTTTCAGAATAACAGTTTAACTTTTAGCGCTGTATACGTACTAATTTTATCATACTATTATACTTTCGGTACATGAACAATATATACATACACAGAGTATCTCACGAAAATTATATTGTCTAAAACATTTAATAACTGCTTATTTCTTTAATTATTAAAAAAAAATAATCAAAAAAAGTAAATACTTTCTGAAATATTGAAATACATGTATCTTCGTGGATCACTCTGTATATATTTTATTGGTGTACACGAAAAATAATAATGAAATTATAATTTGAACACAAAAGGTGGTAATTTGATTTAAAGGAAGTCGTTATACTCGTTTTTCGTATTTACCAGCACTTGTTAAAAAAATATGTTCACAAAAATGTAAAAAAAATATACCGATATGAAACTAAAGAGCAAATCAATTTTTGGGTGGTGATTGATTTGTATTGTTCTCTCGACGTTGAATACAGCCCAGGAAAACCGTTCGCTCATTACTATGGGGTTATTGTTCTTTTTATATAATAATATTACTATAGTAAAAATCGATCGCACATAATTATTGTTTTAATAAGTAAAACTATTCAAAATATTATAATTGTCAAGGTTTTTATTTGGATTCATGAGCGCACAAATTAAACATTATTTTATGGTTCTTGTCGATATTACCAATCGCGTGTTTAGTTTAATTATGTATAATATTCAGGGCCAGATTGATCTAGTGAGTTACTGAGGAAAACTCAGTGAGCTGCGATGCATTTTGTTATTTCGGGTCGACAAAAATATAAATATAAATATATATATATATATATGCCACAAAATACAGAAAACTGTTCACAAAAATAATAACAGGAAAAACGGAAGAAAAATGAAATACATTACTATACTAGATTCTTATCAATAATCATTATCATCTAAGATAAATACACCATTCCCATAAACATGGTCAATAATATGATCTAGTATCAATTGTATCAATCAATTTGGTTATTTTTTTTTTATAATTCAGTGAAATATATTTAGCTATTTGTAGATTGAACAAAAAAATGTATCATTGAAATGCTTATTCTGCATTTTTTTTTTTGAATGGGAACAGGAATATATTCTTCTTTATCCCCCCCCCCCACTCTTAATTTGTCTATGTTGAATTAACTTTATATGATTTTAATACAATGAAATCATATGTTAGTATCAGGAACTTACTATATCATCATTTTCCACCAAAATGAAGCTTTTCATTTTCTACTAAAAGTGTCCAAACGTTGACGAAAAATAACGGAAATATAAGATCTTCTCGTTTTTTTCATACATTGTCCGAAAGAAAATTCCATAAAAATTTAATTCTTTTTCAATTCTATTTCAATTTATCACCTTGTATATAGGACACTATGACCGAATGACATTATTTTGGTAAAATTGGTCTACATCTCTTTTGCTAAAAACGTGAATTGGTGGAAAAGAGATATTTTTATTTTGATGGAATTGGATATTGGTGTAAAAATCACATCTCAAAAAAATAAATTTAATTTTAGGTTAGGTACCTTATTATTGCGAACCATTATCATCATTTATTTAGGTATCATTTTTACATTTCAAAATGATCACTTTAATGGGATAATTTACATTAAAATGTTTTAATTTATAATAACTTAAAATATAAAACAAAACTACGTAATTAAAATTTAAAAAATTATTTAAAGTTAAAAATGAATAAACCTTCATATATTATGTTAGGTTCATTTTGAAAAATACTATAGGTACTTTAAAAAATGTACGTATGAAAATCAAAATAGTTTAAATTTAATTATAATATAATCAAAACTATCATAAATAAAAAATGAAGGCCTACTTATAAATATATTATTTTTTATAAAATTAGATACAATTTTATTTGACATTAATATTAATCTGAGTTGAGATAAATCATAATAGATCTTTTATAATTTATAATCCTTTACACGAGCGTTCAGTTATTATATCGATGGCAAAATGTTTAACTCAAGTAGAAAAACTATACAATTCCCACAAAATCAATTCATTTATGTACATTTCTAACAACACAGTATAGTTAATGTAAGACAGACTGATCTGAATTGACAACAGAATTATTTCGGTTTTATTAAATTTAAAGGATTAAGAATAAAATTCAAAATGACATATTGAATAAGACTGATGTTACAAATATGTATACGCTTTAACTACAAAATAAATTAAATCGGCACAGCATACATTATATTATAATTTTTATCTTTAGATAAGAATATTATATTAAATTTAAATAAATCAATTTCAATATTCAAACTAAATTGCATTGCTTTTACTTTTTTATTACTTTATATTTATTTCGCTGTATATTACCACCAAAAATAAATAAAATATTTCCTACTTGTATATAATTGGTACCAATAATATTTATTAGAGGAAAAGAAATTTGAAATATATCTTAACCATACAGTATTATTAGTAGACTATAGAATAAATATTATGAAAAAAAATATTTACACTATTATAAAAATAGTTTTTTTATGCATGGAAAAGTAGTTTAAAAATAAAAATAATACACAAATAACAAAACTAATCGTAGTTTTTTTTTGAATTTGAATCAAATTAGAAGAGTACACAAAAGCCTAAAAAAAAATGCAATTACCCGAAAATGTAAATGTATTTATCCATGTTTATATCCATACATGTTCATAATGTCCATAATAGTTATCTATTATAAAATATTATAAGGGACAACCATTCTTTAAAATTAAATTTGATATAAATTATAACATGATGCATTGGAACCCATGTCGTATATGATTTAATTTAAATATAATATCCCGACTAGATATCAAAAATTGTTTCTATTAAATACAGTAATGTGTTTTTCATTTTTTTTTTATTTTCAGGTTGATTTTTGAAGTACCTATGATTTGGTAAAAACGGTTACGATTTGCTCAAGACGAAAAATAATTTATATATATTCAAGAATAATAATAATAGTATAAAGATTAAAATAACCTGTCTGTGATGCAGTTCTACGGCCTCGACCTCAAAAATTCTCGTACTCAAATCGAAAAATATCGTTCAAATGTCATAATATGGTGTAAGATTTGTACAATCGTATTTTTATTATTGACCGACCTCAAATAGTTGGGATGAAGGCGAAGGAAAAGAACAAGATTACTGTTAAACACAGCTGTATAATGTACCATATAAGTAAAATTAATCTGTTTTTTCGGTTTGTTTGTATCGTTCATCAACATTTTTACGATTCGCTATCGATGATAAATATGATATTATAACAGGTATTTTCGCGATGATTCACTGTTATTGGTTTTTTTTTTTTTTTCATCCGTATAATACAATAATATATTATTCGAGAAACGTGTGGGTAATATTATTATTGCTACGTTACAATATAGAGTAGGTACGATACTATATACGCTTGTAAAATATCGCGGCGATTGGCCGGGCGGGCGGAAATATTTTGGGATATGCGCGTTTCAAATGAACTAGCGCGCAACAAGTGCCGCCGGAGCGTGCGTGAGTAGGTGTTAGTTCCGGAGCTATAAGAGACTGCACGTTCGGATATCCCGTCGTCTTTTACCATCCCGCGCTTCGACTACAAACCGTACGGTGCAACAATAAGCTCGTCGTCGCCGTCGTCGAATCTCATTTTCGGTCAAAGACATACTCGCACAAAATCGAAGGTAAGTTAAGTTTTATATCATTAGTATTATTATTATTATAATTATTAATTATAATATAACAATAAATACCATCACCATCGATACCGTAAATGGTATCATTAGTTTCGCATAAAGTGTAAATAAACAAAAATATTATTATTTTTTTTTTTTTAAAAGTAACTTAAAGTAATTTTTTTAAATAAATACAATTATTTTTTGTCTTTGCCAATTTTATAATTATTAATTTTTTTTTCAACTATGATTTGTATTTACCAACCATAATAATTACACATATTGTTATTATTATTGTTCAATTAAATATGCGTTCAAATTATTTTTTAAATATCTATAACAAGTTACTACGATAGGTACTACGATATAATTGGACTCGTAAATATAACCGTTTAAAATATTAGACCATTTCTCATCTTATTGGATTTACGGTGTTAAACAATCATTATAATGATGTATCGTTTACAAAATAATATTATTATACATTTGATGTAAATACTCGTATATATTATAATAAATACAAAATACATATAATTACGAATATTCACTGGTTAGATAGGTAGTATAATAGATATTTCACAAAAAGAGTTTAAGAAAATATTATTATCTTGTAAAAAATAATATATCGTATCGAAAAAAAAACCAAACAATATTGCATATTATATAATATTATAACAATTAATTTCATACTGTAAATTAAATTCATATACAGACTCTTGACATAATATTCTCCGTCGTATAGAATAATATTGTTATTTCGCTTGTCTATATTATTGTTAGGTAACTGATTAAATTATTACATGTTATCAATGGAAATATAGGTAATTCATCGTTGAATACTCGTAGTCAGTATGTAATGAATAATAGGCGATGGTATTTTATGATCGTAATAAATATTGCATTAATTTGTACAATATACTGTTAGAACATTAGATACATAATATTAATTTTGTAAACAAAAATAAAAAATGATCAAAACTTAATATTTATAAAATAAGTTTATACGTAATTAATTTACATATAAAAAACTTTTTTAAAAGTAATTGAATACTATTTGGTACCTTAATCAAAATTTTAGACCGAAAATTAATAAAATCAATCGATTTCGTTGATTCACGAAACTTTTTTTTACTCTGAAATTAAATTATTTTATTATTGTTTTATGTTAATGAACTGTGGTTAATGTTTTTATTGGATACATAATACATTTACACACAATTTATTTCTACCCCCGCGATTGTATGAACGAATAACTAATAAGGTTAACTTTTTTTTTATTTTAATTTTGAAATTAAGTATACAATATTTTAATAATAATAACAATAGTAATTTTGTCTGTTAACTTTAAAACGTTTTTTGAGTTTTTAAACAAACTTTTTTTTTTTATATATATCTAATATCTATACTTATTAAAAAAATAATTTCGTGTTCACTACAATATAAATAATGTCTAAAAATCGCTCGAATAATAGTCGTTAAAATTTGAATAGTGAAATAATATAAAAATACGCTTTATAATATAAATTACGATTAGTGGTATTTAGGTCGATAATTATTATTATAGGTATACATTAGTAAAAATTATAAAGTCAGAAAACTGTACTATTAAAACCCGCATGGGCCAGGTGGCTGTTAATCGGAACGTCATGGGTATATAATGATATTATAAAGCAATAAAGCCGAGTATAATACATTAGGTATTGGTGTAAGTTGAGTCAAAATAAATTATTATTAAACCAAACAGAATCATGTATATCGTACCATACCAAAAATCGGAAGAAAAAAATACATCACATTAGCCTATTACATTATAATTAAATAACCAACCCACCACGGAAGACTGGATATTACAAAGATTTTGTGTGGTACAAGTGCTAGAATATATGATTTTAAGTTCAAAAAACCATTTATTATAGGTATATTTCAAAATATCGTATTTATAAAATATTGCGGTTTGGACCGATAAATATGAAATTAAAACTATACAAGAGAAAGTCCGCTACGTATTGCAAGTGCTGCAAACGAATCGTGTAGGAAATATTATATTATCGGTATTGGTTGTGAATATTTAAATAGTGATATCAATTGTTTTTAAATTATAATTATACAATTAGTTGTGAATTCAAGGTGGAGGGGCAATAGGTGTTTTTGACCTCCCTTCCAAATACCATAGTATACTATATGATTTTTTTTCTTGTAGGTATTGTTTTAAACTATAGTATATTTATTAGGTTTTATTAGTGTACATGGTTTTCTACCTATAAGGTATAAGGAATATAAAGTACCTATACCGACTATAATAATATTTTGAAAAACTATACGGTACTATAAGGTACCGTGCATTTGATAATGATTATTTATCTCGTATTTTTTATTTCCTTACACTCATATTTTCGTTAAAATTATCATTAATCAAACTTATTATAAACAAATCTAATTTGGTCGTGTTACATAAACTATGAAGTATATTTAACAAAAGGTTGCGATTTTTATTTCGTTAAACTTGATTTATTAAATTATTTCAATAAGATTCGTACCTATAGTATAATTATGTAAAAATAATCAAAATCCATTGGATTTATATGGATATAAGATTCTATCAAAAATATCTACACTATAATCCTGATAATTTATGAAATATAAAAACAATATGGTGTTCAAATTAATAAATTTTACAAAATTATATTATATACAGTATATGTGAGCGAAATTCGAACGATATCGCGTGACATCGCGTCACGCGTTACTTTCTCCGGGGATTACGTCAGTCTTGTGTTTCTGATGTCTGTAGGAGAATTTAAATTTAAATTACATCCCGGTGCAATAGGTTAAATGTTTACAGAAAAAAATGAAACACTATAGAAATGTATGTTTATAAAACTTGTTTTAAAGATTGTATTATATATTGGATTAATGGCCGCAAAGCCGATAAAAACTTACAACAAGGCAATAATATAACGAAGACGACGACGTCTTTGAATACTTCAATAGTTTTTTTTAGAAGATATTGTTGGCCTAGTTTCACGTGCACATTTATATGTGAAACGGCATCAGTCAAGGGCACCCGCAGGAAATATTTCTAGGGAAATATAACTGGAAAGACGCGAAGGACGATGATTTGTTTATTATTCAAAGAATTTCTGTGCGCACGTACTTACCCATGGCACCGGCTAATGAATGAATGACCTTTACCTTTATATCGTATTGACAAGAACACTGATGCGTGTCTAAAATTAATCTTGTATAACATAAAATTATGTATTATAATACTCTCGTGATAGATCTCAATAGGTATAGTATCACGTGGCGATTATTAGTGATTGACGCCGATGATGATGTTTAAGCTAATATGTATTATTATTATTATTATTATTATAATTTATGTGATTTAGTTTAAGTTTTCGAAGCAAGGGAGGTGGAGGTATTTTTACTGATATTTTTAAAAATTCGAATTATATAATATTATAACAACTGTTTTACATTTTTCGAGCTTTTCGACTATAGATACGTGTGAAATAACAGCAGATGAATCTAATTTGAGTACAATTTTTACACTCTCCTTTCAACGAATATAACACTATTATTACACAAAGGTGTGGGCGATAAAAATAATTAACTTAAACTTAATAAACAAAAAGCTTTTGGTTAAAAGTTCAAAGGAAAAATGCAAAACAACGTTAAAAACTAGATTAAAAAGAAATCAAGTTGTTTTTTTTTAAAAAACAAACTTAAAATATATATTCAATATATAGTATAATATTTTTGAATCGTAAAAACAAATTCAATCTTGTTATCATGACGTTATTAAACTGAGTACATTAATCAATTAAATTTAAATTAAATTTTTAAAGAAAAACTTAAATTTTTTAACTCTATAGTTTATGTCCCCACCATTTATATTACTTGTATATTATATTATTTATTTTGTTATATGATCTTTATTATTATTTATTTTGTTATATGATCTTTATTATTATTTATATGTATTATAATATATCTATTTATATAATTAATAACGAAACAATATAAAAATCTATTTACTTCGGGTTTGTAAGTATAAGTAATTTTATTTGTTGAATAATGTTTTTTTTTCGGTCGAAAGTGTTCGCTCAAACATTTAAGTTATAATGATATTATATTATAATATTTTCCTATATACGGTTAGTTCAATATAAATTCACACCACTCCACACACATTTTTTTTTTTTTATTTTATTATATATTTTTTTATTCTTTTAATAAAATATTATTATAGCTATCGTATATAATATCGAGTATTGTATACAAACGCTGCCGCCGCTCAAACATTATTATAATTTAATTTCATTGTAAACTTTTTGGAAGTGCGCGATGGTATTTCGAAGCGATTGACACTTAAACTGCTATAATATAATATAATATATAAATGTATAGGATCTGCCGGAAAAATAAAATCGAAAACATTCGACCAAAAGAATTTAATAAAAAAAAAGCTAGTTGACAATACTAGTATATATACTATACTCATATACGCACATAACCAATGTTGTAAAGAAAAATATAATATAATCTGTAGAGTATCGGAGCTTTAAAAATGTCAGCGGTTTTTTTATATGTATTACTATTATATATTTAACACATAGTGTAGGGTTTATGTAAGATTATATAATGTTTTTATTATTATTATTATTATTTATATTTTTTTTACAAAAATATCTATTGCATCGTTTTCTTTATTATTACCACGCTCGGTGAAATAATATTATGATAAAAAAAAAAAAACAGTATAGTATAAACGAATTTCGAAAACTATAAAAATAATATACAAAAGCCTGTTCTCGATTCTTATTATTTATTTACGACGAAACAAAGCTACTATCACTTAAATTATGAGTTTTTTTTCTTCTAAAAGGGAAGAAAAAAAGTCTAATAACGTAGATATAATAGACTTATAATGTTAGTATAATAATATAATATAATTGTTATTATTTCGTTTGGCGGCTAATTCCTTCGATGTTGGGTTGGAGAATATGTAGCTGAGGGCGCACATCCCGAGTCCACGAGCTACGAAAAGAACTGTTGTCTGTTGGCTCTCAGCCGTAGCGGGAGGTGCCTCTTTATATGCCAAGATCTGATTAGTTATCACATATTTGGCAGGTTAGAACTTTAGTTATCTAGGACGATGAGAAGGTACACTACGTGAAATCGTTCTATGTACTACATACGTCATACTTATAATAAAGTAATAGGTATATTGAATGGCCTGTATTATATTTGCTCGGTGTAAATAAAATTAAAAATTGAATTTCTGAAACGACTATCTTAGCATATACATAGAATGGTACGTACAAAACGTTTACAAGTATTGAATTCTTCAAGAATACGAGTACTTATGTAAATGTCAATACCTATATACCCATCTACTTAATTTTATAACGAACGCAAAGTGTTATACTATAACTTGTACACGACATTTAGGTATATAATATGTAGGAATGGGCCGATACCATTTTTTACCAATATCCGGTATCGGGTAAAATAAATATTTTTGATAAAACCGATAATACCTGCACAAACCAATATCTGAAAAAACCCGATACCTATAACACATTATTTACATTGATTATTATATACCTAATTTTATTGACACTAGATAATATTTGTACATCTAGTGTACAGGGTGATACTTTTATCGATAAACACTCATTATTTAGCAAAGTATTACCTTTTTTCCAAACAATTTTTCAAAATTTTAGATAAGGGCAGATCTAAAATTTGCATTAACATTATTTTTTTCATTCTCAATTTTGAAAGTTAAACGACTACCTACTTTTTATTTTCAAATAGTAACCTAACCTAACCTACATTAAAAATTACATAAATAGATAGAACATATTGGTTTAAATAAATTTTAGTATTGACATTTTTGATTCCCGTCAACTCGTTCATGAGATATAACTACTTTTAAATGTAGTTCGGGAGAGAGTAGTGGAGCACTATTCAAACATAACATGCCGTACTGTCACACAAATGATACTTTGCTCTCCCCTACCCAAACTTAAATGTGAAATATCTCATGGACGGATTAATGGAAATCAAAAATGTCAACACTAAAATTTATTATGCTCTATCTATTTATGACACTTTTTTAATACAGGTTACCATTTTTAAATCAAAAATTCTTAGTCATATCATCCTTGAAAATAAGGGTCACAAAATATAACGGTAATATAAATTTAAAAGTATTTTGCTTCTTAAATTTTCAAAAAAAAATTGTTTAGAAAAGGTCAATACTTTGTAAAATAATTAGGGTTTAAGGATAAAAGTATCACCTTAGAGATAAATGAATACAACTGCAGTGATTTCTATTTTTTTCTATTCTTTCTACGCTCACTTTGTAGATTTCCTAAAATCTTACAACCCCTCCTTTAATTGAAAAAATGAATTAATTGTTTTATTATTAATAAAATACAGGTATAAATAATATAATTAAATACATACATATTACATAAATACATATTACCTCTAAATACGGCCATGCTTGCGCTTATATGTCACATATGATAACAAAAGACTATGCCAGGTTGATGATGACACCCCTGTTCAAATGATTTTCTGCAGATTTAATATTGTTGCGTTTTTTATAATTTATTAAAAATATATTATAAACGGATTTATCAATACTTGCATGACGAACAAATTTTTCTATAAGAATTCTATAATGCGATTAAAATTTTAAAAAAAGAGCTGATCTTGGGGACGAGTGTGGCTTCTGTTGTAGATGGGTAGTTGGAAAGATGATATACATAAAATTATTTAGTTTATAATTTAACTAATGATAAACCATTGCTAACGAAAAACGATTCGGAGCGAAGTTTGGTTACACATGTTCTGAAAGACCGTATTATTTACGATTTTCGTCAAAATTTGATTTTAAAACTTAAATAAAAAAATTAAAATACCATATTATCTATACTCAATTTTTTTTTTTTATCACTAAGTAGGACTTATAATGAATCTCCTGTCAAATTTTTCAAGTATTTCTGTTTAGTTTCAAAATTTTATTCATTGCAAAGTACCTACCACATAAAAATTACGTAAAAAACTCACAAAATTTCAATGATTTTAAATAGCTCAAAAATGACTCAACAATTCAAGTCTCTAAGAAAATGTTTAACTGAATCACATTTAAGAAAAATAAAGTTTCAAATGATAAAATAATTATTTTCGTTAATTCTCCCGTTTTTTCTGCGGTTTTGCTTAATTATTAATAAAAGTACAGAGAAAATTAAATTACGACTTTACTACTCACCAACTAGATTAAAAATTCAACAAAAAAAATCTATTGTTGTTTTTCTATTGGAGCAATATTTTTTGTAGAAAACATAAGCCTTAAAAATGTAAAATTATGGAATCGTTACGCCATAATATGAAAAAAAATCATATTTTTCTTCTTTTTTGATTTTCCCCATTCAATTTACCGATTGGACAGACTTAATTTACATAAAAGGTGCTACATTATACATATCGGAGCAAGATTTCTGATAGAAAAGTTGTTCACAAACAATAAAAAAACAAAAAAAAAATATATAAAAATACACATCATAGTAAAACCAATAGATCCCTATGCTCCTAATCTAAAACTAGGTGGGCAGGTATATGAAACCATTTAGTTAATATTTTTAAATCTTTCATTCGGGCAATTTTATACAAACCGTTTGAAACACGAGAATTTTCAAATTTGTGTGTCTATATACCTACTGTACACTTAGCAAATTGACTTACATTTTTATTGTAACAAAATACACAAAAATAGCATTACTAAAAATATCGAATTGCACATTTTCTTTAAATGTGAACAGTTATTCAATGTAAACTGATAAAAAACAATCATTTATTTTTGTGAACGAAATGTGTTTTCTATTATGCGTACAATAATTCCAGTCTATAATTATGAGTAAAATATTCAATGACATTTCAAAATCATTTAAACATTTATGTTATTATATTTCCTTTACTCGCAGTACTCACCAATGTTAATATTTATCTAAATGTCTATACTCTATGTTGTAAAATAAAAAAACTAAAATCGTCTTAAACATCCATTTTAAAAATTAATGATAGATTTAATATTATACATACCTAAGCACCCAACTAAACAAATTGTTGTATTCCCCTTTTGTTTGTAAAGAGTCAATTATAAATCGTTTGAAATATAGAATCGAAGAAATATACTAATACATATTAATATACCTTTTTATTTTGTTCGTGTCTAAACTGACAGTAGTCAGGAGGATCTGTTTTCACAATACTTTCCTACTACTACCAATATGATTATAGCTACGGTAATAGAATATTACAAATTAATGAAATCGTATGCCGGAAAATTGCATTTATACAAATTTCAAACGCAATCCGTGTCAATCTTTTTATTATTGTACGGTAATGTGTTTACAATATACATACTACTGGTGGGCCTACTGGTGTTGTTTTTAGAAACCAATATACAGAATTACGTATAATAATACAGTGAAAACTAAAAAAAACACGGGAATTTCCTTTCCACTTCAAATTGCAAACCCATTTACTATACGCTTCAAATGTTTTGTATTAAACTTCAAGAAACACTACCATACCGCTGCTCAGCTTGTAGTTTAAAAGAGTTCACATTCACCCGCTTCAAAGCCGCATAAACGTTGCTGATTACTTTTCTAAAAGTATTGCATATAAACTTAATAATAATAGTCGCTTTCGCATATACCATGTTTACATTTAATGGGAAATTGTCCGTCAAATGGTACGCAATATATCGTATACATATAATATCCGTATAGTATACACCCCATCAATGAGGTGTAGACTTTAATTTACTTTTCTAAAATATACAAAGTGAACGAGCTTTGAAAGACGTATACAATATTATGATAAATACAGTTTTATATATTTCAAATATTATGTATTTTATACCGCGAACGATCCAAAAGAAAAACAGAAAGAACTGATACTGCTGATTATAGATGTGTCACTATTATTGATAGAAGTTGGGAAGATAGGATACATGAAGTTATTTAATTTATATCTGTATGATGATAAATCATTGCTGATAAAATTCAATCCTTAGCGAGTTTCGGTTAAACATGATTTGAAATGCCATGATTTTTATGATTTTCATCAAATTTTGAATTTAAAATGCCTTTTTGAAAAACTCACTAAATTGTTGTTTATCACTAAGTATAACTTATAATGTACCTCGTGTTAAGTTGTCGAACATTTTTTCTATAATTATTTTTAACTGAATTATATAAAAATAACAAAAACAAAATCAAAAATGTTCAAACGTTTCTGATTGATCAAAACAATTATACTCATATAAAACCAAATAAAAACTAAAACAAATCGAAAAAAATAGCTAAAAAATCGCTAGAAGTTTTTAAGTATTCTATCATAACTAGATAAGACTAATACAAGTATTCTATGAAAATGAAACAACGCGAAATAGTTTTCATGAAAAAATTTGCTATGAAAAAGTTATACACACTATTCATGAAATTACACGAAAATATGAAAATACGAAACACGTAACGCGAAACATGCATAGTGTGGAGCGACTTTTAAGTTTCTTTATAAAATAACAGATTTATTTTCGCGTTACCTATCAAAGGAATAGAAATAATAACAATACAATACGTCACGTAATCGCGAGATTGATTCTGAATGTGTTTTAGTTTTTAATTTACCGAGCACAATTTGTGTTTTTAATCTCGAGGACATGTATAGTAGTATTTATAGTAGGTGGGTATACACTATATGCATAACTGAAAAAAAAACTACTCGTAGTAATAAATAGTTTTTTTTTTCAAAATCCAATATTGTTTTTTATATTGTTTTATTATCTAATACGTGTCAAAAAAATAAATACAAATGCATCGGACGATATTAAATTATACAATTCGGTACATTCGATTAATTTGAATGACGAAAACCAATACCTACGCATAATAAACCCATCATGTCTAATGCAAAACTAAACCATGTTCTATAATATATATAATTATGTATACCTATCAATATTAGTACTATATGTACCTAACATTGCCTTTTCATTTTTAAACTATTTAATTTAAACCGCTCGTAATACTCGTTCCATTAAATATTTTGCAAAATATATAATAGAGAAAAAAGAAAAGTTAACGACCTAATTGTGTAATCCTTAATCGCGTCGGGGTAAAAAAACGATGATAAAAAAAAATGTTCTGAATTTTTTAACTTTATTTGATTTCCAGAAGAATATCATCAACTATGTAAAATAATACCAATAGTTATTTTACATTTTAGCGTTTACGCCAAATTCTTATAAATTAGTAATGAATAATAATTTGCACTACCTAAATCAAGATTAAACCGAAAAACGTCTCTTCTATTGTGTTTTTGTGAGTTTCTGTCTAGACATTGGGACGTCCAATTTATGGACGTTTACTGCAGGGTTGTTTTAGACTTTAGAGAGTGGGCCGTTTATAGGATTACGAACAGATAAACGTCGAAATTGGCGATGATTGTGCGACACAAAATGCAGTCGTTTGGTCGTCACAGAATATATTATGTAGGAATGGTCGACGAAATTAATATAAATCTCTTCTCGGTCAACTTGTATGTAACAACAGGCAAGAGAACAAATTCAAAACGATATAATGAAAGGATGTAGCATTATTTTAGGCATGACGAGAGCAGACTGAGTTTTTATAGACGATTTTGCACTTAGTTGTATTACTGTGTAGTTTTTTCTATCAATAAACACGGTTTTGTACAATGTACAGTAAGTACATCACTAATCGTTCAATCTAAAAACATTATCGATTTAGATTTGGATAAAATCTGTAGCTCGTAACTATCGGAAACTGTAAACACAGACGGGCAAAATCTTGAAAACGTATTTTTCAGTTTAAAATTTTTGTGCGGGAATTCGTACCTAAATTTGGACTGTTTTTTAAACGAAATTTGAATATACAATTAATCAATTTACCTAGTCTGTGATTAAAAGAAAAATAATTATGGTTACTATTGATATTATTGTACATATAAAATATTATATTCATACAAATAAAAACACTATTATAATTATAAATAATTAAGTAAAATACGAGAATAAATAGTTGTATTATTTTATTAGCTTTTGATTAGAGTTTCGAGATAAAATAAAAGTGTAATTTTTACACACGAGTATATATTTATTATTTAAATAAAATAATAAGACGATTTTCCGTTTTCAAGTGATAATTAGATTAGGTGTACCATTGTAACATGATGTACTTATGTACTACTTATGTTTCATGCGTTCGAAACTTTTCTTTGATATAAGTCATATTAAATGAATCCGACACGCATTTTGTACTCTTAAATTTCAGTCACGATGTACTTTTTAATTCTCGAGTGTGTTTCCTTTTTGAGTGTTAACGAGATTAAATATTTAATTTCATAGTGACGAGTTTCCAAGAAAGTTTACCATTTTACCACTCATTCTATATTATTACGGCGCGAATCTTTATTTTTAAGTTTTATCATTATGTGTATTGTGTTTTAATGTATTATTAAATGTATCGCATTATGTTAAAAATATAAAGAAAAAGTAATTCCTTTTTAAACACTGTTATCCGAGAAGTTAATAAAATATATACAGTAGAGGTACCTATAGTACATTAAGCCATTTAATAATAATTATATACATTTATTCTGAAAAAAAAGTACCAAGATTGTTTGAATGTCTAGAGTGACATTCAAAAAACGAAAGAATTGACAATATCTAATACTTATTGTTGAATTTAATTATAATGAATGTATATCTATAATTATTTTAAAATCTTTTAAGTAAAAATAAAATATATTTTAATATAGGTAGGTACTTTTATAAGTAATGATGAGTAACGATGAGCTCCAAATTACTTTAAGTTATAATAAATTGTATAATCGTATTATAATTAAATCAAGTTAATGCTCAGACACTAAATCATCAGTAAAATTTTAATATTTGACATCGCAAAACTAATTTTTTTTTTTTAGTTTTAATTTTATACATAAATTATTCCTTAAGTTTTCAACCAATACTTACAAAAAAAAAGAACTGACTCTGCTGTAGGTTTGTCACTATTGTAAATGGAAAGTTGAAAAGATAAGATTGGGCGATTTAATTTATATTTATGCAACAATAAATCATTATTATTAAAAACGAATCTGAGTAAAGTCCAGTTAAATATGTTTTGAAAAATTTTACCCCTACTTTGTATACCTTAAATAAGTGCATACTTTTGATTTTCACTTAAAATCCTCTGAAATAATTGCTGGTTCATAATAAAAAAAATCAGCCTGTATATATTATATATAGATAAATCCCCCGTATTTATTAAAAATTTTGATTTCACCTTAAAATGGTTTTGTTTTAATTTATATTTTACCGGATTAAATTATGTTTCGATTCTTCGGGAACACTTATATGTTTTAGAATTTTTTATCGAGAATATTTACAATAACATTCCCCTTGATCAAAAACGTTTTTGATTACATTTTCTCCAGATTTATAGCCTTTATTCTTTTATGATTTTCACGATTATATAATGATATGAATATATTTTAACTAGAAAAAAAAGAAGTTTTTATTTTATGAAATTAGTTCACGGTCACGTTTCCCGCAAATAACGGAAATATAAGCACGGCTGTACTTATGCTTAAACGATTTTGCTAAACTTTTCCGTCCTAACCGTACGTTCGCGATCAATCATCCGACTAATTTTCAACTGTAAATTATTCTGTCGGCGTGCTTTGATTTTATTTTTTATAAATTAGCTTAATATTATTTTTCACATCAATATATGAACAGACAAATTAAAACAATACTACACTATGCTTTAGTTGCAATTCGGTAAGTATACAATACGACACGGTATTCGATATCATTGTTTAATACTCATTTTTAATGAAACAATAATAACGAGTATACATTTTTCGTGGTAACAAATATTATTTTCCTTGAGGGTTATCGTCCATCAGGACCATTCCATCACACACCCATAATATGTTCTACAATTCTTCCAGTCAGCGATTCTTACTCTCCAATTTGACCTTTAATTTAAAGATTTCATGTATCCTTGTCACATCTTCTAAATTATCCATCTTAAATTGGAACATCCAAGGAGTTTCTATATCCATCCGGGTTTTCTACCACTACCGTATGTAAAAACGAATTCTGACTTCACCGTGGATGGAAAATGCCCACTATAATCTTCTAATATCATATCATCATATCTTATTGTTCGTTATTTTATTTTAATTGTCTATTCGTCGATTTCCTCGTCTTTAACTGGTCCAAAAACTGTCCGTAGGTTTTATCTTTTCAAAACAATCAGTTTCCTTTCTCCATTTTTTTTTTTAATGCCATGTTTCTGCTCCATATATTTAATTATTTCTACCAAATTTCTAGATGTAATAATATCTAGCGTGATATCTAATTGTACCTTCAATTCCCTCGACTAAAACTCTATATAATATTATACATGTAAAAAAATCAGATAAATCGAATTTTTGGGCTTATATACTTTCCAACGTTTTCATGGATTATCGCAGCGTAAAATAAAATAGAACGATTTACAAGTAAATCAGAATATTGAATTAAATTCGAGAAATATCTGAATAATGATACACACTGTCGTCTCACACAGCTGAAAAACACTGTGACTTATACTTAATATAATTGTATATATAAATGTATATTATTATTTTATTAAACAATTTCTGTTTGGTTATATTTCCGTCAAAAAAAAGTTTTATAGTATATTTTTTCAGGCGGAATATTTTACGGATAATTCAACAAATATTATTTTAAACATAATGCAATTACACTGCAATTTACCAAAAACTTTGAATCGTACAGAATATTTTTCTGATATAGTTATGAGAATTTCGTGATTATATTCACAATATAATTCTAACCCTACTAATGTACATTTAAATATAAGCAACGTTTAAAATAAAGCAAAAAATGCACTAATATTCGTAATTAAAATAACGGAACGTTCCCGTTAACATAATACAAATGAATATTCTAAGAACTAACAAAATTGGATATTTGATTTACTTAAGTATTAACACACCAATTTTTCAGAGAGAATCATTATTTCGTGTCTAAGACCACAATAAAAACGTGCAAACTTCTTATTTGCCATGATCCAGATAAGATTTCTGACTAATTTCAAGTGAGAAGTTTAAACAATATAATATACCTCTTATATTTTGATCGATCTGCTTTAGTGCTTTTAAAAACGATCATCTGAAATATACAAATGTTTGAAAACATTTTATAAAAGTTTAATACCTTTTTTAAGAATTTCGATTAAGCACTGTGAAATATTATTATTTTCATTCGTGAATTTAAAATAATGATATCAACCTTTTAGAATAAGTACAGGTAAGTTTCTATATTATTTATTATTGTTCTCTTCGTGCGCTGGTCGTGTCGAACCATTAAAGATTTCTATCTCATTTTCTATACAATTTTTAATCCGTGCGTGCCATTTTTATTGAAATACATTGGCCACTACAAATATTTTATAGAGAGTTTTTCTTTTATAATAATCTCTTGTTTGTGGTGGGGGGGAGGTGAGAGAGGGTTGATTCCCGCGTGGAGTAGGTATACTGTATATAGTTCTCAACGTCCGCCCTCGAGATTATTTCCGTTTTAACATAATTCAAAGTAAAACAATTATGTTTTATTCGGGTTTTCTTACTGATATTAAAAACAATAATCGCTCAGAATTACTATTTGAAGAGACAACACTCACTTTTTATCTCGCAGAACGCATCTGGCTACCACGAAAACATGTTCTAATTTGAGTATAGCTATTAAACTCGTTTAAAATACGAATTCCCGAGCAATAAAACCGACCGCAAACTTAATTAAATACTATTACCGAGTTAATATAAAGCCTATATCGGAACTATTCCAGCTTTAATATAATATAGAAAAGACAATAAAAACTCGTGAAATGAAAAGGGTCCAAATGTTACGATTATTATTCTCCAATAAATATATTATTAAATAAAACATAATATTGTTATTTAATATCGTTTTACTAATTTACTTTTAAAAATTAACCTTTAAGTATAATTCTAAGACACGAGTATATATATATGAATTACAATAAATTAAACGATACGAAAAAAAATTATTTAAAAAAGAAAACTGAAACGCGACCGCATACAATGCAATCAAAAGAGAATATAGAATAAACAAGATGAAAAAAAAATGAACGACAATACGAATATATATATTTTTTTAAAGTATATTGTTGCGTAAGTGATATACTTTTTTTCATATAAGACGATATACTCAAATATGTGTTTTGGATTCTTATCATCCGACATAATATTGTATTTCTTGACATATTATATAGCCTATAGCACTCTCAGAAACGAGATAAGAATCCAACGACAACTCATTTATTAAAATCCATCCGGTCGTTTGGATATTACGAGTTTATAAATAAGAATCGTACATAGATTTAGGTGTCAAACACATCATTTACTCTGTTTTGTAGTCGGCTATAAATGTATACTTACAATATTAATATTATCTTCACGAATAACGCAGTGACACAAATAAAATCTTCTGCGTAAGATTAAATTTCGATTTGTTATTTATTCGAATATGTGTATTATTTTAACAGTGTCTTAAAGCTCGCGTTACATTATTTCTTCCTGACCGGTACTATATATTATTATATCCTGCGATATGCCGAAATTTCCAATCATTCACAAAATGGATTATTATATTATATAGATAGTAATAAAATAATAACATTTTCACTATACCCTAAAACATAATAATAAATAATAACCAATAAATTTAGTGAGAAAATTATTTTTAAATAACGGTGTGCGCAGTATTATAGGTAGTGATTTGTAAAACTTTTAGGAAAAAGCCAACAGATTATTATTTTCATAACTTTATTTCGTTCGTCCAATCACATGTTGCAGTGTTCTCTGAACGCAATTTAAGTTCATTATTGAGATTAATTGGTATTGGCATTTACGCCATATCGAAAAATGTGTCGAACGAATCCTGATGATTTGTGTCTGCAAAACATTGCTGCATGTGTGTTATAGTTTGTTCAACACTTGGCATGAATCTCAATTCAAATCTGTATATTTAATACTATTGTACAATTTTTGTTATTCATCATACAATAATTATTTATGTTATGTTAATAAAAAACTAAAATATAATTTTGACTGTGTTCGTTCTTGATGTCCTCGAAGAAGGACAAACGTAAAATATAGTTTTTCCTGGTGTCCTCGTACAAGGACAGGCCCTTAAATCAATAATTACAGAAATATTGAAAAAACTACGAAACTTCGCGATATTTTATTACATTAAATGTAAACTTCGAGAATACAAATAAAATAAAAATTAATTCTAGAAAGAGGTTAAACCAAACAATAACGTATATCACAATATTATTGCATAACTGTGCCTTTAACCGGCGTTTCGAATAGGCAAATTAGGTACATACATGAATACAATTAAAATTATACATTGTAGAGGCTACAACTATGAGTAAAATTTTGTTTGGTATTTAAAAATCACAATATTATTACTTTATTAATTTTAATACGTAGTGAATATTCATTAGCGCAAATAATACATTCTTCATATATTATACGTTTATTATTTTAGTTGAATTATTATCATAATTATATAGTAAGTTGTTTTTTCATGGAAACCATTTTTTTTTTTTTTTTTTTAGATTACTATCGTAAAATTACGATATTTAATATATTAATTGCATGTGAATTTAAAAATCGTCTATATATAAATGGAAAACCAGCAAAATATATTATCCAACAACTATAATATACTTAAAATATAAAATATATACGATATCGTGCGAATTGATCGATTCGTTGTCGAAGAAAATTATAAACGTCTTGTTCAGAGTTTTGTTGGATATAGTTGTGGTTGTAAATTAATAATTAAAATATATATGTATATCTCATTATATTGATTTACCGTTAAGCCAATATTTTTTTTCACGATGAGTTTTTTCAACAAATGTTTAAGTTGTCGTCCAGTTTTCTCGTTTAAAGTATGTATAGATACATTAAAAAATTCAAAAGGTAAAACGCAAGTATACTTATTATAAATGCATGACTTTTTTACTTATTTTCACCCTGGGGTGAAATAAGTTTTACATAATAATTAAAATTATGTCATTACCAGTCTCTCGCTGTTTTTTTCAATATACTTCATTGGAAAAAACTATCCAACTATTATACTAATAAATTACCATTATTATATTATATTGTAGGTAGGTACGAGGTATGTATACATAGTGACAAAAATATCAAATAACGTATAAACCAAATAATTATTAAATCTTTAGTTCCTAGGAAAGAAAAGCTTAAGTGAATGTTGTATAGTTTTCAATAGAAGCAAAATAAATGTTGAAAATATATATATCAACAATTGTGACATTAAAACTAAAACATAATATAAAACGATTTATATGAGATAATATGATTTTTAAAAAAAATTAACTTAAGCCATTACTTCTTGGGACCAAAGAGATAAAGAAATATATTACTTATATATAATTATCATAATATGTAAAAGCTTATAATTAAGTTGCAAAATGTTGTACCGACCACGCATTGATATGACATAAATACATAAAATTAAAATATATTATACAGTTTGAATATAATATTCGATGTTATAATTATGTATGATAATAATATAATTAATGTACAAATAAAATAATTTTATTGGGTATTTAAAGATATGCTCTTCAATATTGACTATACGAATAAATTGTTGAATTTAATTTTATATTTATATATTCGAGATAAGAATATATAAATGGTATAAAAATAATCCATATTATGGATTTGTTGTTTTATAACAAGAATTTATGTATTTTGGTGAAGGTTTGTATACTAAAAAAAATATATATAAATTTAATTTATAAATACAACCGGATAAACTTAATTTATCTTTTTAAAAACTCGTTGGAAAAGTTTATAATATGGGTAATGTAGAAAATGAACGGCCTTCATGTTATCTCTGGACTTGCCTATTGCCCAAGGATATGTGTTTAATACAAACCCGTTGATTATATCAAAACTATAGCTCAACAAGAGGATTAAAACAACCGTTATAATATCCTGACCCACACAAAAAACACTTTATATACAATATTATTAATGCCCAATCTTTGTTTTTTCTCAAAAATCGCACAGATGTCTACTCTGCCGGACCTTTTATTTATTTATGTATTCATATGGCAAACAAAAAAAACTGATAATCTTCCACCTGCAACGGAGAGTCACCTTTAACTTCATCCTTTGTGTAATAATATATTATAAAATAATAGAAGATATCTATATCTCTAAACGAATTTGTCTGAATTCCAAAACGAGAATTTTTTTTTATTTTGCCTTCACATTTATAATAATTTATCTCGGACAATGTTTTTTGGTACATACCTAAGACCTGCCTTACCTACCTAGGTGTTTCCATCACTTTGTTTTATTGGGGTGTTTTTTTTTATCGGGTTTTAATATATTGTCCGTATAAATAGAGCTTATACCTATGCGGGCGTACGGTGACATATTGGTGTTTGGACGAAAGCGTAGGGGTTGAATTTATACACGTCACCATATATCCCAACATCGAAACTTTGTAAATCAAACAGAAACGTTTAATCCTCTTGTGACGAGATGTATGGCGAATATTGTTGTCTCCAGTTTTATCTTTCTCGTCCCGTTCTTCACAAATTCTCCTTTGCATTTACCCTCGAGTTGAATTACCCGTTAGTATACCGTATAGGTATATATATAATATAATATATATTAATATGATATTTTTCCTGTTCTGTGTAATTAATTATAAATGTTCGTTGGAGTTTCGAATGCTTATTAGAAACGCAATAAAAGCCTTCCATTGTATAAAAACAATATAATATTAAAAACCGTAATATTTTTATCGTTGAATTTACATGTCGTGTTTAACATAATATATTCTTACATATTATTATAAAATGGGTATTTTTAACGATAATATGCAACAAACAAATTATTTTTCAAAGAACAAATTTTATTTTTGACATTTGTCAACAATGTAATAAACGTATATTTCACGCATATTTCAGTGAAGGCACATATATTAGGTATATGATATTAATTTCGTATGATTATATTTTGTAATATTATATAAGTGTCCAAGGGAAAAAAATGAAACCTTTGGACTTTGAGTAAGGTTATACCGAACACTCATATTTATATACTAAACGTACTCATCATACAATTACAATAAACATTTTTGAGAATGTAAATAAAATTATTTTATAAAAAGAAAAAAAGCTTTAGACGCATATATTAATATAACATAAAAATGTTTGTATAACGGTTAAGTGATATAAATAAATATTATTCTTGACGTGCACTAACTTATATTATATTTCAAACGTGTTCTAAGCGATATGCTTTAAATTAATTTAATTAATTAGTTCAAAACTACGAAAAAAGTTCATGTAAAATTATATTATCATATACAAATTAATTAACAAATCCATTCATATTTTATCCACGATTTTAAACGCTACATTGTTTACAAAAAAATAGTACACATTTCTGGTTTATTTTTTCAGAATAAATGCATTCCAAATATCAATTTAGCACTTTTTTGTTTTTTTCTGAACTTACGACTCCTGAAATATTAAATTTTACTTTGATAATTAAATAATTTAATATAATACTAAACGTGTATTGTGGACGTTTTATTTTCCAGAAAATGTCTACACACAATACAGTAATGTTGATGAGCATTTTAGTGCTCTTGGTCGCTAACACGTGTGACTGTCGGATTAACTCACTCCCGTCTCGATGTATGCCGGGTCTGCTTGAGGACGCACCTCCTAAGGTACGCGAAGCCTGTTTGACTCTGTCCACGATCCGCACCCTTTCGAACGCCATTGAGACATTTATCCAAGACAAACAGTACCCAATGCCAATGCCATGTGAGTAAACACCTATGTACTTTTATATTATATGCATCTAAAGGATTTAATTTTAGTGGATTTTGCTTATGATGATGTTGAACGATAAACGTTTATGACGGTGACAAATTAAATGGTGGACACATAACCAAGCAAAAATATAATACGTTTAGAAAATAATGTAATACATACGGGTCGTGCGTAATCTTGGTAGTTCGGATATTGAGCTCAACATACAGTTCTAAAAGAAATATGTTATTGTCTTATTTTTTTTTAAAACACTTAAAATTTTAAAAAAAAGTCTACAGAATAATTATTAGATATTTTAAGAAACTAATAATTCGATGCATTAAATTTGTTTTTGTACGTTACAATTTATTTGTACTACATTAGCAAATAATATGAATATTGTATACTATAAAAATACCAAAAAAATTAAAATTAAATATCATAGAGATAAAAATAACACTTTGATCCAACTCAGCTAATATTATAATATAGTGTTACAAAAATAAATATTTATTTTAAATTATTTCAAATAAATACGATATAAAACATTTTATAAAACAAAATATTAAAATTGTTTTGTTAGGCTCGCTGTCTACCACCCCGAAATATCAGTACTCTTGTGGACATTTGTATTCAATTTATATTAGTCGTTTTAACTCAATATTAAAGGAAGACGTTTTAAATAAGGTTAAACAAATTACATAATTAATGGTTTTTTTTTAACGTAGCTTGATAAATAAAAAGACGGACATACTTCATACGATGGGTGAACTACTGTTGTGGGCAGTGGAGTATATAGGTTTTTATTTCGGAGGGAGCCAATCATTTATATCGCTTTTTTGGGGGGGAGGGACACATTATTTGGATGAAAATTGCTTGAATGTTATAACAACTTTTGACCGTCTTTTCGCTAACAGAGAAATGAAAAACTTAATCATTTTTTTAATGAACTGTAATATAAAAAAATATAAAACTCTACGTTGCAATAATACAATTTTTATTAGAGTCACTTAAATAAAAATTGAATATATTATATTTTCATACAAGAAAAAACATACCTTAGAATATTATAAATACAGTTTTGGATTTATAGAAAAAAAATGACAAGACAAAATCAAGATTTCTCGGCACACTAGCAAACTTATTAAGAACTTTTTTGGGTATTAATTTGATTTATTACGCTTTTAGTATTTTTATTTGCAACGGATTTTATGTTTTTTTTGAATTGGCATTTATCTCTTCATTGTGACGACGCTATTGTACTCACAAAAATATTAAGCTATAAGGCTAAATTGTGACGCGATAAAAATTACACAGAAACACATAACTGCACGAAAATGTAACGAACAATAAAACAATTGCACCGGCTGTCTACTGATAACTGTCGACAGCCGAAAATCGGAATGCAAAAAATATGGATAATATTACTTTGGTTAAAATAATCGGAACTATTCTTGGGATTGCCGACGGTCAATTATCGTTGATAACGATAATTCACGTGGCCAAAAATAGATTTGATACAATGGGGTAACTACGTTCATCAGTGCGTCGCGACGTCGCTATAATAACCACAGAATAAATTATTTCTATGTAATAACTATACACATAGACGCTATATCAATATTTTTCGTTTACTCCCGCCGCCGCAACGCCCTATAAGAATCTACAAAAATAGCTACAAAAAAATAAAAAATTTTAATACTTGTGTTTTTCATTTCGGAGAGTGCCCGGGCCCTCTCGGCCCTTCCCATTAATACGTCACTGGTTGTGGGTGAGACGTTGGGAAGGCAGGATGTAGAGGAGAATTTAATTTGTATTTATACGCAACAATAAACCATTGTTAACGAAAAACGATTTGAAACTAAATTTTTTTTGTACATTTACGTAAATTTTTCCGTTTTTCCCCGATTTCCCCCAGTTATTATGAAAACCACTTGGAAAATCAAACTCAAGCAAGTAGATATATTTTCGTTTCACTTAATACATCATAGCAAGATTTCTGGTAGAAAAGTTGCTCACAAAAAAAAAATAAACACCCATACAAAAAAAATACATTCATCGCTACACTCTGAATCTAAAACAACCTGAGGGCAGGTTGATTATCCAATAAACTCAATTTTCTGAACTTATTTACAACTGAACACACCGTGTATTAATTAATGATCGTGAAAAATTGAAACATGGTTCTTTTGCATTTTATATGAACATTTACATTAATATTCAATATATATAATATTATACAAGCACTAACATGAACTTCACCTGGAAAATATTCTAAAAAGAAAAGTCAAACAACATTGTTTTATGAAAATAACCAATACCTAATTAAATTCTCTTATTACCGAAATAAGCTTTAGTCTTTTACAATAACATAAACAAAATTGTAGACTTTTTTTTAATTTTTACCCACGGGGTATGATCAATAGCTGTTTTACGACAATAATAAAATCTGTTCCTTCCTTATCTTATATAAAACCAAAAAATAGAACTATAATTCTTCTATTTTTCTAATTTACTTTTTTCATTAGTATATAATTTTATAAACAATTGATTTTATGATTTCTAAAGATTTTAATAACTTTGTACTCCTTTACACGTTATGGGTGTTTCCAGAAATAATAATAATACTTACATATTGTACTCTTATTATTAGGTTACTCGCGAAAAGTTATTTTTACATAAGTATCTACTAAATAGTATAGATACACCCTATACCCTGATATCAAAATTCAAACAAATTCTAATTCAAACCACTACAACTCACAAATTCATAAATTATCTTCTTCAAAGAGAAATATGAGCTATGACCTAATAAATGAATAGTCTGTAGAATAAAATTAATTAACTCCATCTTGGTTCAACAAAATAAATTATATCCTAAAAAGTTTGTATACGAATTTTACTTAAATTTTTGGCGAACTCGAACATTTATCAACCTTCATTTTTTTTCCCTATCTTTTTAATATGCTAAAATCAGTAAAAGCATGTTTTTTTTTTCTTTTTAGTATGAATATATTATTAATAATATGGTAATATTAACAAATGGTATGCAAAATAAAAATTAAATATATTTTAATTGAATTTTATTTTATTTAAGTTAAATAGATTTCCATTTTATAATAAATGGAAAATTGATTTTAAAAATAATAATAATAATCTAATAATCGAAAAATGCAAATGTATAATATATTTGGCTTAGAGGGTATTTATTTTAATAATAAAGTTATATAAAATAAAAAAGAATCTAATGGAAATTTAAAGTGAACTACGTTCCAAGTACTAATAAGTGATAAATTGATTAAATTTAAAAAAACAACAAATATAGGTACTTCTCTAACAAATAATTTAGATAAAATAAAACACTTTATCATCTTCTCATTTCTGTTATAGCGTAGAGTTATTGGTAACCATTTCCCGTCCTCTCATTATTTTTCATTCAGGATATCAACGTATTTCCCATTTCCCACCAAATATTAATCTCATAATGTTCCTTGACTATACAATTATAAACGTACTAAAAGTTGTAGGTTAGGATATCCTAACCACACAAAAATTAGTTTCATTTTTGTTAACGAATTTGCAGATTTTATATTATCAATTAAATAATAAATTTACAACGTTCTATAGTAACTGATATTTGCTTTGTCCTGCGTCTATTGTTCCATAACCTGCACAATAATTAATACGATTTGTTCGTATATACAACTTTCCTTAGTATAACTAAAAGTTAAAATTCGATGATCATTGAAAATATAAAATTTAAAAATAAAATTCAATATTAATTTACTAATGTTTGTTATTATTATAGTTTATTTTTTCTTTGAAGTCGCAAAACAATAAAGTTTATTTATAGAAATTATTGAGCATTAAAACCAGAGTACATAATAGTTTCTAATAATAGTACATCCTAGTTCAAAATATAATTTGTATATACTAATTTTCAACATTTTTATATTACTCACTTTTTTTTATTTCTTTTTATAAAAATATTTCAATTAATTTAATTAAAAGTAATAATTATATAAGGTATCTTACAGTATGGTCCTTATGCTAATAACTCCGTCAATATTCATTTTTTTTTTCAACCGGGTTGTGTGGGGGAACATATGTAGAGAAAAAACAAATTTTTATTTTCATCCCTTAATCACTGAAAAAAATACCTTTTTTAGTTTTAATATAGTAGGTACCTAATATATTATTGTAGTATTTCATTTTTTATTGTTTTACAAAATAGGTGAGGGAAAATTAGACTATAGCGACGGAGCTCTGCTGCTCCCGGGTGTTTGATTGTTTTATACGGTATTGACGATAGTAATATATTACAATAACTACGTGGTATAACAAAGGTAAACAAATACGTTTAAAACCATAATATACCTACCACTCGTGTAATGATGACTATCATATATTTATTTAACATAACTGCAATAATATTATAGAATGTCAAATTATCGGCTATTCATTTATAACGCTGGAATAATATTACTATTATAGGTATTAAACGTTCAAACATTCGCTTGTTATGATTAAATAGATACTTATATAGATCTACAACAGGTACGTAGGTAGGCAAGTAGGTGCCAAAAATGTATAATTATGTAAATTATTTTAACCGTATAGTTGACCTATTCAAATTATAATTGATACGATAAAACATCATACGATCGAATTGTATTTTAAAATAGGTACCATTAACATAATATAATATCAAAATCACAAACTTCTAATTTCTACCATATTGAAATATCGTATTATAATTATGATTATCATCATAGATACAAATAGCCCAGATATTTGGGAGGCAGGGGGTTAATTCTCCCGTAATATTAATTTTGAAAAAATACTCATACTTGGCCAATACTAATTGAGGACTTGATTTGGAAGTGGACTAAGATAAGTATTGGGAGCTTAACCCCACTATTTGCGTCAATGTTTATTATCATTAATGATAATACCGACCCGTCATTTATTTTATCAGATTTATCTGGAAGAAAAATTCAACATAGGTTAATATTATACATTACTATATTGTTTGGCGAAATAATTATGTAATCTCGTTTAGAGCCACATTTGGGCATTAGTAACAAGGCAAGCGAAGGTACATATTCTGATTACTTATTAGATGATTACATTCGGTCCAAATACTATATTTTATTACACTACTAATGTATTATTAATATATAAATATATGTGTGTGTGCAAAGTGTTCCTATTGTGCACTAACAGAAACTAACAGAATTTGGCTAGGGTTCCGATAATGTACCAACGCATCCGAATTGAATCGATAAATGTAGTGATGTTGGCGTTCAATTACCTTCGTTTGCCTTGATTGTATAGTCCAGAGTCTGGACTACCTGTGCATTGATATGGTTATTAAAAATTTAAAAGTGAACAATAATTGTTTTAAACACGATATGGAAATAGTATATTATTGTACTTGTAGGTATAAGTCATAACATTTTTATTTAAAATAATATAATAATTAACATTGCAACTATCCATATAGTAGATATATTAAGTCGTTTTTGTATTACTGATTTATTTTATTGAAAACTAACGCAAACCTATACGATTATATTAATTCTACCTCGTAACTACTCATAATTAAAACTTCACATATTTTTTTTCCTTTTACGAAGTATAAACTTTTACATAACTGTATTATACAAAATGTTTAAATAATGAAAATGTATTATTATTTCATATTTATACAATAAATGCAATATGCATAATATATTATGTAACTTTCATTTTAGTTCTACTTTACCCTGTCCCACGCAATCGATGTCAGCTATATCTACTCTTTATAATAATATTCACCCTTCGCATCAAATTTTTTGATGTAATCTACAGCACTATCATCATATATCTGTTTGATAAACTAAACATTTAAGTATAAAATATTTCACGTCGAAGTGCATTCACTAGAGGGTTCTTCTCTCACAACATTGAAGTCACATAGCATAAAAATTACCTTCGTTATGCAATAATAGATTTCCTAAATTTAAATAAAAAAAGTATAAAATATGTAATTTTATCAATAACATTATCGCCTATAATAACCGAATGATTTTTTTTTCTGACAGACAACAGAATGTCATCCGATGGATTGGCTGATACTGCAATGCAGATGCAAAACGATAAACGTCAAGACCTGGACCACGTGTTCCTCAGATTTGGCCGTAGACGGCGTTAGATGCGCCTTTTAAAACATTTACTTAAGATAACTTCCTTCTTCTTCTCTTAGATCTTATATAAAAACTTCATTATAATTGCGTGTCATATACCCTCATATAATAATAAAAACTCTATAGTAATTGCAAATGAAAAATAACGTAGACATCTACATCATTTTAAAAAAAGACGCATACTACTTTAAGGTTAACATTTTCATCGTTTGTTTACATATTATTTTATTATTTGCATAACTTATTTTTCTTTACATACCTAAAATGCCCAGCATAATTATGTAGAATTTTAGTACCTACCTATCAGTATGATAAAAATTCTCATAATCACATTTGTTGAGACTTAATTTATTATTATTTTTATTATTTGTTTACCTACCTCGTTAGGATTGAATATCTGCTCATGTACTTAAAATAATATACTAGTCTGCTGTATTTTATTTATTTGTTTATTTAATTTAGTAAGAAAACGTCTTTTAAATTTTTTTATATCATTATTCTATATAATAATTTATTAATAATATATTAGGTACTAGACCTAATTTGATACATTTTAGTTTGAATTACTGTTAACCATAATTATTATTAATATGATATATACATATTTATATATTTTATATTATAAAAATATAAATATATAAATATATATTATAAATAAAAATTACTTTAAAAACTTTACACTGAGATGTTTATTTTATTTATTATGTTATAAAAGTATATCGTATTTATACCTTCATATTCTATTATATACGAGTACCTATATCCTATAGTGTAAAATTGAAAACATGCAAATATATTTTAAGCAGTAATGCAAATCGTCCTACATTTACCTTTACATAGAAAACTACTGTTTGTGACAAGCTATGTAATGAGCTATTGTGCTACAAAAATTTTCTGAAATAATCACAAATCACATTTATTTTTGAATATGAATATCAACGTCTTTACTTTTTTTTAGTAGGACGCATAGGACGCAGTTTCGACCAATCCTGTTCACCGTTCCACTATACCGGGTGTGATTCTTTGAACGTAAAACATGAATTATACATATGATGCGATTTAATTATACCTATAGGTATAGAGTTGATGGAAAAGTAAAAATGTCAACACGAAAACTGTATAAAATATGAAATAATAATTTATCTATAGGTATCTATATAGTTATACCGATTACCGTCAGCGGAAAATCAAAAGTCGTCAATTGTACAGGTTTCACCTCTAATCATACAATAAAATAATAGGGTTGACATAATTACGTGTACCTATTTAAAATATCCCAAAATGAATATTTTGATAAAAGTCAATATACTTAATTTCCTCGATAAGCAGCGGTGATTTCGTCAAAAAACCACCCTGTATAGCTGTACGTAATCTTTGTTTCTGCAAATCTACTATATTTTCTTGCGTAACCAATTTTAGTAATAACACTCTGGTTTTCCAACCTAATTGACCACTCGTCTACTGCAGCCTCCAACAAAGTTTGAGTGTTTCCCATCATTTCACCCCTTTATCGCCGTCTAAAATATATATCCTTCTCAATTCATTTTTATCTTCATTACAATTTCCTTATTTTCTTTCCGACGTTCCCTTAACGAACGCAATAAATTTACAAACCAAGAAAACAAATTCGGTAAATCTAAATTTATTATTAAGGGTATCTACAACAATAATAATAATACGCACCCTTTTTTTATTTATTTTTTTTTTTTTTTTTGATGATAATATTATACTATGATAGTCTGCTTGAAAAATTAGGGTAGATAAATAATATTGTACTTGTTTACCAATCGTTATAATGTATATTGTTATTATTATACAAGAAATTTTAATAGACCATTTTCCGGTTTTATGATAAGTATACCGTATACATATATTATATTGTATAATGTAGATGCATATCCGAATATCAATATCAAATGAAGTGCTTAGAACACAAAAGATATAAGTAACATTTTTAAAAAATCGGATTCTAGCGTACAGCGTTAAACTGAAAAATGTTCCATTTTATGTTGTGATAAAGAAATGTAAGTGAATTATTCGTCATGTACTGACGTCTAGTATCAAATTACTTATCTTTAAAAGAAAATGTTATAATAGATTAGAAGTAAATAGGTACAGGCGTACCATTCTATCACCAAACCACAATATCTGTTATTACAGTCCTTGTACTGCCAAGCACAGATATTTATCTATATCCGTGTTTCCAATTTTGTAAAACTTTTTTTATCATTCAAATACGGAAACAGTGATAATATGATAATTGATAATATAATGTAATAATATTATTAAAGACTATGATTATAAAATTATAAATTTATTATTTATATAAAGTTATATTTATTAATATTTTTGGTTAAAGGCTGACACAAAGATATTGTGATTAATATAAAATATTATTATATTTAATTATTTTAGTATAGGTATAACTGTTGCATACTTATGCAATAAGTAATATTGCATTATTTAAAGTCTTTGTTAAATATTAGTATACAACTATAAAACATTGTATACAATATCGATTTTTTAGATATTTTAATAATATAAAAACGTATAAATAATCAATTTTAAAAATATTTATTAATTTTTTTGGTCAATATAAAAATTTTGTGATTATTTTATTGCGTGAAATTGGTCCTAATTTTTTTTTTCACCCATGCTGTCTTTTTACTTCAAAAAATATTATATTAGTTATTCCATTGAACTTATACCCCTTGTGTACTTCAATTATTGTACGATTGGAAGTCAAGGAGTATAAGTGAGATCAAGATTCAACAAAAGACATACCTGATACCTACAGAATACAGGTATATCGATAAGGAACCACTTGGTCAAATGTTGGATAACTTCGCGGTTAAACGGTTAAAGGTAACTGCTATGGAAGCACTGAAAATTATTCCATTAACAAAAACTTTACTAATTACAATAGCATCAAATTAAAGGTTTTCTCGTCGTTTCGAAATGTAAAATCATATTTTCATGGGCGATGATCAAAGGCTAAATGATCTTATGGTATTAAATGTTGACAAAATGTTTTGCTGGACTTAAAAATCACCGGTATCCTCTTAAATATCCTCTTAATAATTCTCTAAATATTATTAATTTGTTTTTCTTTAATTTTTTATTCGTACAAAAGTTATACTACCAATTAATAATAATGTGAATATTATATGCTTTCTTCTATATTATATTTTTTTTACTGCATTTATCATCTTCAATATTTATATGCATTACTTATTAGTTTTCATACGTAAAGTATCAATTATTTAATTTTTTTAGATTTTAAATAACTTTTTACTGTTTATGTTTATTCAGTTTATTGCAATTCAAAATCTATTGAAACAATAATAAAAGGATATTATATACAAGTATTCATATATTATACCTATATATGAAGATATATTTTTATGTGGTCTGGTGAAATATTTGAAATGGCCTGCTTGAAACCTCGCATACCCGAAAAAAAAAACTGAAATGACGTGTCTGAATCTTCGTAATAGATTCTTGGATCATGATGAAATATTATAAGGAAAATATTAATATATTATTTTACTTTAAAATATTATTGCATGCCTACTCATATAATTGTATTTATTTAATATAATATGTACAACAAAAACGGTTCCTGAAAAATTAATATCATTTTTATTCAAATATAAACTACGGCTATTCATTTTTACAGCTTGATACCGTAAAATATTATAAATCTCTAGAGAAATATACAGGACGGGAATACAAGGACTTCAAGTACTTGGTATACCTACCTACCTAAATATGTATATACATATTTAGGTAGGTATGGTTTTATGACAACATCGGTGAACTTATTCCGTTAAAACAGGTAGGTTACCCTAAGTTATTCCTACCCTAAACAGATACAATAATATAAAAAAAGAAATACTATACCTATGGGAAAAACAACTCGAGTCCGTATTATAATCATTTTTAATTATACATACCTATTAAAAAACATTTTTTTTTTTTTACTATTTTTGGTGGTATAAGTCCAAAATTTAAAAAAGACGGACATACTTTGTACGTGGGTGCAGCCGCTTCTGTTAGTGGGATATTGGGAAATTGGGAAGGTAGGATACAGAAAAGAACTTAATATATATCTGTAAGCAACGATAAACCATTGCTAACGAAAAAATGATTCTGAGCGAAGTTCAGTTGATAGAATTACTTTATCAAGTATCACTCCAGTCAGATTTCCATTCAGAAAAAATGCTACACTTGTAAATCAAAGCAATATTTCTGGTAGAAAAAATGTTCACAAATAAAAAAAAATTATAATAAACACTGTAAAACTCACTCAGAATCTAAAGTAACTTGAAAATTAAACTATCGTATAAATATAGTTATATTAGACACATGGAAAATATAATGGTATATTGTTTATACTTGCAGAAGTGTAGACTATGTTATGAACTTGCGTCAACCATTCCTTTACGTTATTTGTTATCTTAATCATAATCAAATTTTATAGTATTACAAGTTGTCCCGCTCGGCGTTGCCCGTGCCAAATAAATGTGTAATAAAAACGATTTTCCCCTAGATTACTTGTNATTACTGCGGTTAACCGTTGTTACCTTTAAATGTTTAAAAAATGAATTTTCTTTATTTTTATTTCCATACTTATATAAATTAGCAATATGGTTGCTAAGCAATGAAAAATATCCGATAGTAATAATATTTATTTTCGCATCCGTATATTACCATGTAGGTACCAAAGTAACCCATAAATAAAAAAAATGTATTTTATATTCGTACGAAAAGTATCTAAAACCCGGTTTTCGTGGGTGATAGTTGAGCTATCAAAGAATTGCATAGATGTACTGTGCAATAAACCTTCACGGGAGTATACTCAACAATTTCCCAAAGTTTCATGGCGATCGGATGAACGGTTTAAGAAGGCGGATAAGAGACATACAAACATTCAATTTTTTTATATAAAGATAAGTAAACCATTCAATGGTTCAGATGGTGTTTCAATTTCAGGTAGTTGCACTTTTCCTGACGCGCAACACATCCCAGCTGGCTCATTTTTGAATTTCAGAGCATGACAATGCGGACATTCCTTGTCCATAGCACCAATTACCACTTTTGAATGAGCATAATATTCAATATCGGGCTCATACTGGAATGCTAGACGCAGGAATGAATCAGATGTAAATGCTCGATGTACCTGTTGTCGTTGTTGGTCATTTGTTCTGCGTCTATTGACTGTGAAACGGCGTGATTGTCGTTGTTCTAATCTTATTACTTCATTGCGTTCAGCTCGTGTGTCTTCTGACTCTTCTTGACGCAATTGCGCCATTCTGACACGTGCACCAGTATTTTGTTGCTGGCTTTATTCTTCGGTTCTTTCGGATCTTCTATTTCGCAAGCTTCGAGATTTACTTGTATTACGGTTTAAATCAGCCCCTTTACGTTTTGTTGGCATTGAAATATGTGCAAAACACACGTACATAGGTTAGGTTAGGTTAGCAAAATTAGCCAAATCGGCCCAGCCGTTCTCAATTGTTATTGGCACGNCTTTGACTTAAGAGGCCATAACTCCGAAACCACTTATCGCAGAGCATACAAACTTAGATAGTAGCCGATTCTCAGACCTACTGAATATGCATATAAAATTTCATGAGAATCGATTAAGCCGTCTCGGAGGAGTATGGGAACGAACATTGTGACACGATAATTTTATATATAAGATATAAAATTATAAACTACAAATTGTAGTGTTTTAATATTATATGACCTTAAATTGTTATTTGATACAAAAAATGTATATTTGTTAAACTATTAATTGAGATTTTTATAATTTAAGTATATAATAACCATGTAATGTAAAATTTATATAGTATATGCAATATACATTTACACATTACCTATAATAAAAATTCATTAAAATTGTTTACTATAATTTAGAAATTAAGAAAGAATACAATCACTCTTTATATAATCCGGATACTAATTTTAAAAATTAATTAACTTTTTTTAAACTGAGTTAATTTAATATTTTTTCTACATTAACTATTAATTTATCGAGTTAATTATATAATTTGTTAACTGTTAACTTCTAATTTATCAACCTTGTGTTATCTCAACATAACTAAACTCGAGTTAATTATTTTCATTAACTTGCCCCCCTTAATCTTTCCAAATTACAAAGAAAACTGCAAAGAAAATCAGAATAAATGACCTTCCAAATGCACCAACAAGAAAAAACTCGCAGAGCTCAGAATCTAAAACATACAAATTAATACTACAACAGCGTACCTACTAACAAAATAACATACTTTAATCGTTTTGACATCTATACAATATTCGAATGATATTAGGTATGTGATTATGGGTAAAATGTTGGCATTTTAATCGATATAATAATATTATTGAAATAGATTCATAAATATTAAATACCGTATACGTCTTGACTTAAACAATCTTCATGTATTTGTAACTTTGTTTAAAATACATAATATTATTATATTATATAAGTAGGTAAATTAATATTTAATGCGCAAGATAATAATTAATTATAATTGTGTGTGTTTGACATCGTGGTATTATATAAATGCTTCAGTTCGGTCTTATTTATAATCCTCGAACCAACCACGTCGCATAAGTATAGATAGATTGGTAAAATTCTCGAGCAAAAATAATCATTAATTTAAATCCTAAGTGCGTACTCCTTAAGAAATTAATTTTAAAATAAAAGACCGACATACTTCGCATCATAAGTATACTACTGTCAGTATGTGAGGGATAGGGGTTCCCTCCTTTGACATTTTAAAAACGTACCATACACTAATTATCGACACTCGTATAATTCAAGTGCGAAATGTTTAACATTTATACTTATGAACCTCTCCGAAATGTATTATTGTAATACTGTGTACGTACCAGACCACTGTTGTTGATTGGAAGTTTGGTAAGGTAGAGTACGCATATAATGTATCTAAATTTATATATTTGTTGATTTTAAAAAATTTTTCGGAAGCATACATAGAGACAGCTTGTATGATAAAATAGACTAATTCGGAATACCCATAGTGAACTTGTGACACTAAAAAAAATAAACATGGAAGGGACTAAGTACCTATCAAATAAGAATAGATGACTCATTATCAAAGCCTTTCATAATAGAAACGGGTCTTAAGGAAGGGGATGATTCTCTTTAGTATTTAACCTAGCGTAATGGGAGTGATGCAAAGTAATTAGTGAAGCAAGAGCGATAAGTGATAACAGTCAGGGATGGAGTTTCTACCCAAAGATTCTTATACCGGGCAAATATAAATTTACTGTACCATTTATTGGTATTATATTAATAGTTGTATTAGTATTTAAAAATTTTATAGAGAAGTATAAAAACAAAATTTAAGACCACACATTTTTGAATCTTTCCTTATTTATTTTGAAATTGACAAGAAAGCGTGTTCGTGTAAAGGCAATAATCGTCTCACATTACACGAGAATACAAAGCGCGTCAAATACTTCGGAACTAGTATTTATTTTAAAGAAGTGATAGGAGGCTGTTTTTCCCATTGCAGAAAAATATATACCATTCCCTGGAAATATATGAGATGACTACGTAAACTACATGTGAATACGTAATATGTTATGTGAAATGAGTTATGGACTGATTATGAGTAATTTTGTTAACAATAAAATAAATAAGACGGACATACTTCGCACGATGGGTACAGCCACTGTTATTTGTGAGAATTTGAGAATGTAAGATACAGAGGCGAAATTAATTTGTATTTGTACACAACAATAAACCATTACCAAAAACTCTTTGAAAAATCTAAAAATTACCTCATTAAAGTACCTTCTCAGTTAGATTTAATTTCAGATAAAGTGCTATCATTGCATGTAAATCGAAGCAAGATTTCTGATAGAAAAGTTAACACAACAAATCGAAAGATATTTTTCGATTAAAATAGTCTGAGCGAGCGATAGCTGGATCTCTTTAGGTACACCTAAAATTAATGTTTTTTCCCTGTTTAGGTAAAAGGAGAAAAATAAATGCAAACAATTTTTTCGAAATTCGGGCTTAGACTCACGATCCCTAGGATATTATGTCCCTATAACCATTAGACTATGACAAAACTCTCAAAATTAAAATGTCTATAAATAGTTCAAAAATGGAGTAAATTTTTTGAAAATTGTATTATGTTTTGAAAAGGCAAATATAAGTTAATTTTAATCTCATTTTAATGGGGTTATTTTTTGAAATTCTCATTAATATTCAAGATAATGGGGAAAACCTGGTTTTCTAGGTTAAAAAAGATTGAAAGATTAAAAATAAAGTTGTCATTGCCAATTGTTTTTATTTATTTTTTGTTATTATTTGTTTTTATTACCTATTTATTAAATCTTTTTTAAACAATCATTGTTGTCATAGAAACGCGCATTGCTGTAATCACTTTACCATATGACATACATATTATTGACAAAGTAAAACTATCATCTAAATTCCGCTCAGAATCATTTTTTCGTTAGCAATGGTTTATCGTCGCTTACAGATATACATTAAATTCCCGTCTGTATCCTACCTTCCAACTTCCCACCAAGAAAAGTGGCTGCACCCACGCGTGAAGTACTTCCTTTTTATATTATTATGTTATTAAGCATTAGAGAGTGTTAGAAAACCAAATTATAAAGTTTTGCTAGTATAGAAGCAAAAATCTCAGACGAGCGAAGAGTTTTGTAGTACCTACCTCATAATTAAAGGTTCATTTTACACGGTGAGAGTAAACAGTATTGCTATAACAGTACTACCATGAAATTCTACGACAGTTACGGTCACGGGAAGAGGGGTACTGTTTACACGTAAAAAGGCCCGTACGTGCCCGCCGGGCAATCCGGCAAATGCACGATGGGCCCTATCATACCGCATCTTATCACAATGCGCCCTACTCAGCAAATTATATCATGAAACTTACTCATAAAATTTCGGGTTAATAAGTAATACTAGGGAAATATAGGTTTATTACAACTTATTTAAAATCCAGAAATATCCATACACTACTAAATAATACGTTGTCACATATTATTATTGTATTTTACAGCAAATTTTTACTGTAGTTATTATTATAATCAGGATTTTATAACAATAAAGGCACGACAAGACAGGCAAAACTAATATTATTTTTATAATCTTTAAGCATACCTACACGAAATTTAATATCCTAATGGTACCTACTTTAATTGAAACATTGCGCAAATATTGCATACATAGGATGTCTCGAGCGGTCTCTCTTAGCGGGCACCATCATTATAAAAATAATCCAATATTCTTCTGATAGAGTATTTTAAATAAACCACTACTGGTAGGTAGCAGTTGTTATTGTTAGTAAAATTTAACATTTAATTTATAGATTTCGTATATTATAAAATAAATATGGTAATTAAGTTTTATTAAAAGTCGTTGCAATGATTTTTCCAATATTTTTTCTAAAATCTGTGAGCACTGGTTTGATACTGTTTAAATAGTAATTCTACTCTTTAATACCCTTAGCTATTAGGTTTAATTAAAGAAATAGAAGCTATTCAAAATAAATTTCTAAAATTAATTTATATTAAATAACTGTCAAATTCATAGAGAACCATATTCACAATACACAAAATTATTTTATTTTTTAAATTTAGATACACTAAAATTAAGAAGAAAGAAAACTGACATAAATGGTTTGTAAAAATATTCAATAATTAAATTAATAGCTCTGAATTATTGTTAATAATTAATATTTTAGGTGTCACTAAGTAAATTAAGATGTATCAAATTATTTTATTTGTCTTTAGCAAAAACTAACTTATTAATGTTTATTTATTTATTTAATGTCTATTACTTATTAACCTTATGAATCATTTAAATAATATGTACTATGTAGATTTATTTGTGAATTATACAATATATGAATTTAAAAAATTTGTCAATTTAGTTAAATGATACAATATTATTTTTTATAATTATATTGGTATTGGATTAAATAAATAAATAATTAAATTAATATGTGCCGATAATTTGAAGCATATTATCAGCAATAAGTCTCCCATTAAGACATGATATCTGCAGATTTATCGAAATATAAAACCTATTCAACTTATTAAACTATAATTTATATTTTATTCTATTAACAAATTACCACAGTAAGAGTTATAATTCTTATATTTTGATTCAATTTCACCAAGAAAAATGGTTACACAATGAGTGTATAGAGTAACAAATCCCTTAACAGTTAACACTAAAATGTTTATTTTAAGAATAACAAGATGATGATAGGGTATAAACTTAGACTTGTTTATGCATATAAATAATATGGTTTATTTTACTACTATGATTTAAAACATTTAAATTTTATCTAAAAATTAAAAAGCTTAACTATTCATAGGTACTACAAAAAACAGTGCTCCAGGTTTTATAATTTTAAAATAGTGTTTAAATTGCTAGTTTACAATAAAACAATCCTGAGATACACCTAGTATAACTTCTAGTATCATTACTACTTGCTTGTAAGTTAATTTAAATAATATATATTTGCCTGTTAATCATTAAATCATTTAAAAATAATTTTTATCTGAAAACTGTTATGTGAATATACATTTTTTAAATGTTGTAATTAAATTAACTTACTTTTTTGCAAAAAATAATTATTAATTTTGGCAAATGACATTCAAATTTATAAAAATAAAAAATAATAAATCAAATAAACAATATTATAAGTAGTTCAATCCAAATATAAATTAATCAATTCAGTTGTCATTTTTATTAATTATACTAACATTTAACAATTGTTGAACAAAATAAGTATGTGTACAAATTAATACTTTCTAGTAGACAGTACTAGCAATTTAAAATAATTTAAAAAAAAAAAAATCAATGTATAATGACTAAATGTAATAAAAACGGAAATAATTAATCGTCATTAAAGTATGATACTTCAACAACATCACCTCCAACATTTAGAAGACATTGTCCCTAAAAAAAATTGTGATAAATACGCATTTAAAAAAAAAATAATAATTTAAATCACATTATACACAAATATCAGTTTATTATTAATATTATTATTTATACTATAATTATATACAACTCACTTGATTTTTATGGGGATTATTAAGCAAAATGCATTCATTCATAAAGTATGCTACCATTGCATTTCCACCAAGTGCTGTTACATGTGCACGTACTATTGCCATCACCTCAGCAACAAAACAATGAACAAAACCACTTAGACCACCACTCTACAATTAAAATGAAATTATTGTTTAAAAATACAATGGTGATATTAGATATATTTTACTTCTCTAATACACGTGCTCTCGCGTATGAAAAAGAAATTTAAATTTCCTAAATATCTTTCAATTTTAGCACCAGGTATGTAAGTCATTGGCGTAATATCCACACCATATCGATCTTTTGGAGCAGCCTGTAATTTTATCGAACACTTATGGATATTTGTTTTACTCAAATATATAATGTAAATATTTTACATATTAAGATAAGAAATACAAATTTATATTTTTAATTCTTGTTTTAATTTTTATGATTTTCAACTACCAAATTGCAAAAGTCACATAAGAAAACTAAAACGTATTTACTCTATTATAAATGTAACCATTTTTTTTTTTCTAGAATAATTATGGTAAACTAAATAACTATAGTATATTACAAATATTTAAATAATTTATCTTACATGTGTAGAAAGCCTATTTGGTCGAGGTGCTCGTTCAAATTTTCTCACTTTTTTTTCTCCTACACTTAATGAAATATCTTCTTCTAACTTAAAAATAAGTTCTTCTAAAAAAAATAAAAGTTCAAATTAAAATTGAGTATTAATTTTTATCCAATAGTTTCCACCAATGAATATATAAATTACTATAAATAAAACTACAATAAAAACAAAATTTGTAAAAATTGTAAATAACGATTAGGTTGTATATATATATAAAAGTATTTTACTTATTCGTTGTAAAAATACCTGTTTTCTGTTCAAAATCTTTTAGAGGTAATTGTCTTCTTCGCAAAATTTGTTTGGCAGTTGTTTTATCTGATTCACCTAGTCCTAATGCCATACCTAAAATTAAATTAATAAATATATGAATATTTTATTAAATACATTATTTAATGGGAATGAAACATTGTCAAAGATAGCTAACCAACAATTGATATTTGAAGTTCATCTGGTTCAGGAATATCAATTTTAAATGACAGCTTTCCTAATCCGCATGGTGTCATTCTTCTCAGTTTAAAAAATAATCCCTGAAAAATATTAATTTAAAGATATCTAAATAAATTAATTGTTTTGAGTAGCAAAGACAACTAACTTGTAACATCCTTTGAAGTTGTTTGTCAAAATTTCCATTAGTGTAATGTGCTTTAGATCGCCAAACCTGAGTAAACATTTGAAGATTACACACAGGCTCCATAGGAAAAACTTCTGAACCAGTTCCAGGAAGAACATCTGTATTAGATAATAAGAATGATGCTGGAGGAGTTGGCTCTAACAATTGAGTTACAACATCTAAGTCTTCTGCATCATCCATCTAATGAAAATTAATTTTATTTTATTAGTTTAGTTTTTAAAAGAAAAAAATATTATTGACAAACTAATTAAAAATATTTTTTTTCCACTCAAATTTCATTTTTTATTCTAGCTATTCTCCAAATACCAAAATCTTGTTTCCCATATTTCCTGTTAATTTCCCAAAACACAAAAATTTCAGGAAAATACGGTTCTATAGAAAAACTTCTATAAGTAATATTTAGTCTACAACTCCTTAAATTTTAGATTTTTAGGAATTTATTTTTAAATTCTGAGTGGAGCAAAGAAGCTTATGTTTCTACAAATATGTTTATTTTTTTTATTTTCTGTGGACAAGTTCTTTACCAGTAATTTTGCTCCAACTTTTAATGATAGCAATGTTTCTGAAAGGAAATTTTACTGGGGAGGTATTTTACAGGGGTTGCTTTTCCATTTTCCTCAAAGTTTTCTCAGCAAATGCGCAAAATTGGGAAAACTGGGATAATCAGTACAACATTAAACAAATATAATTAAAGAAAATATATAAAGCCTATTTAATTATTTTACTATAATATAGCATGTATATTGTTGACAAAGCATCACTATCAACTGAACTCTGCTCAGAATCGTTTTTTCGTAAGCAATGGTTTATATCATTGCTTACAGGTATACATTAAATTATCTATAACAGTGGCTACACCCGTCCCCATTTCCTAGGACATCTATTTTTTTTAATCTATAAACAATTTTTCAACTAGAAATTTTGATACCAATCATCAATTTCAGAGGTAATTTCTAGTAGGAAATTATGTCTAATTATACATTACGGAGGTCATTTTCCTTAAAGGATTCCTAATAGTTTGGAAAAACTAGGAAAATGTATGCAAAAGTAATTCCTATAAGTTTTAATTTGGATTTTTTGTTTTGTTTTAGTTAAAATTAATTATAAAATATTTACCGAACAATTATATTACAACTTTTTGGGGGTGGTACAATTTTCAATATATTCTAACGGTTTTTGACTTATTTATGACTATTTCAAATGCTCAGGTTATTTGTTTTTATAGATAAAATGATATTAGGAACACAAAAATGTTCAAAGGTTAATACAATGTTTATCATAGGTTACTAAAAATATCAAAAATGCATTATTTAAATTACTAATTTTGTATTTGTACCATTAATGTACCATTATAGTGTAATTTTGTATTAAAATAATAATATAAAATAAATATTCATACTTCCAAAATGCATGTGTCTCTATTTCCATAACTCAAATTAATATCGGGTAATACTTTTCCAGAACTAGTATAAGAAATATTTTCTGATTCGTCTTCCTGTAAATAGAATAATAATGATATATCATATTATTAATAAATAATAATATTATGTTTAAATAGATAATATTACTTTTTGAACAAGATGATAATGTTGTCTATTATTAACCACAGCATCGTTGAGTAATTTTTGAGCCCGTAACACTTGTTGTTGATCTGGGTGAGCCCAAGATTTACCAGCTTTTACTATTGGTAATGGTGGTTCAGGTAAGCAAGTAATGTACATAGAAGTTCCAGTAGCATGTAATGATACTACTCGTTCACCAAGGCACACTTGAATCTAAAAAAAAAAATTTAAATTAAAAATTGCTATGTTGATAAATATAATACAGCTCATTTATTTACTTTAAGACCAAATATAGCATTCATTCCTTTCACCCTTAATTTATTTAATAACTGACTATGAAGTTCATACTCGAGAAACGGTAAACCATCTGATATTTCTTTGGCATTCATTTCGCCCTTTAATTCACGTTTAGTACGACAAACAAAAGTTTGTAATAGAGTTCCAGTACCTCTAATAGTAAGTCTTTCCATAGGTTCCAATGAAGATAACAGAATATGGGGTACTTTATGTCGCCTGTAAACACAAAATATAATTCATAATGTAAGTGGATCTGTATATAACGCAGAAAAATATGAAAAAAATATTTTATTTTATTTCTTACTTGCATGTGGAGCAATATTTCATATTCATAGAAAATGGTACACTATGGTCGTTATATGGTATATGACAAATAGAACACGGTGACGAATCCAATTTTTCATGACTACTACTTATTGAGTGCTTATAAGTTCTACTATTACATGACTAAAACAAATTTTATTATTTACTAATTTTGTAAGATAAAAAAATAATTTTATAATAACTTGAATAAACTAAATATTTATAATTTTATAAATTAATCAATATTTTATAATTATATGCAGTTAATATATAAAATTCTTAATTATCTTTTACACATAAAAATTGGCCTTTAAAAATATTATGTACATATTATACAAGGTGATTCTTTATTTAACTGTACAACATTCATTATTTTGCAAAGTATTGAATTTTTAAAAAACTAAAAAATAGTTTGACAGAAACAAACTGTTTTAAAATATACCATTGCCATTATTTTTTGTTAATGAAATAATTCAAAACTTAATTTTCAAATAGCAACCTATTGAAATTTAAAAATGAATTCGCTTCAACAGAAATCAAAAAAGTCAATACTAAAATATATTTAGATTAAATACTGTGAAATGGTAAAATGTGAAATTTGTGAAAACTGTGAAATGGATTGAAATGGGGTTTCAGGAGCTAAGGAATACTCAAATAAAAATTTGTTGAAGATTTTCTAATTTTCAGCCTGATTATTAAACATATTTGCAATGTAACTTGAATTTTTTAAATGGAAACATGTATTTTAAACAGATTCGAATAAACCAATTTTTGATTTTGACCTTTTAAACATTCAATTTAAATCAATTAATTTATTAAGACAACTTTAAACAAGTTGACAAAATTGGGAAATGGACACACTGCAGTCATGAATGGATATGGATGGCTAAATTTGAATAATTTATAAGATTGATGTTAAATAATTTTATATTCATCATTTCTAAAATAAATAATAGCAATTACAGAAAATGTGTCAAATTGTTTAAGTTCTCTTAATAAATTAATAGATTTAATTTGATAGTAAAACTCATTGTCATTCAGTCAATTTTGGTTTTAAGCCATGATCAAAAAGTCAAAATAACTTAAAAACATTTTGTTTATCCAAATCTGGTGTTTAAAATGCATGTGATCATTTAAAAAAATTCAAGTTGAATTTAAATGCTCACAATAAAAAAAGGCTAAAATTTTTAAAATTGTCAAAAAATATGCACTTCAATATTCCTCAAATTCTACCGAAAACCCCATTTGAATTCAAAGTTATTGAACAGGAATATTTTTTGTTACTTACCTTTAAAAAGAAACACACTGTGTTTTATTTTATTATATATAAATATTAGACCTTTTAGTTTTGTTATAATTTAACAAATTAACCTAAAAACAAAAACCTTTAAACTAATATATTAGCTATAAAACTGACTTTATAATCATATAAATACTCTTAAATAATCCAAAAATAACTGGTTCATTTTCAAGAAAATGTAAATTATGGATTATAAAAAAATTGTAGGCATAAGGTTTCTCTCAGATTAAGATTTTAAGATATATTTTAGTTTAAACCTGTATATATTCCTGCATGTATATTTTGTTTTATAAAATATTAGAATTCTATAAATAGATTTTGTAATTTTCATTTGATATTTATTTTAAACTTCTAAATTTCAATTGTCTTCATTTTCTTAATTAGAATAAAAAATAAAATAAAATCATTTTTTCTCATCAAGCCAAATGCAAGTTATGTTAATTTAATTTATAAATATATCATTAATTTAATGTGCAAATATATTTACAGATATAAAAAATAAATATTTATTAACGCACGTATGCATTTGAGGTTGTAGGTTCTGGAATATCTGCAAGAGGTGCACTAGGATAAATTCCAGAAAAATATCCACCTGTATTAACTGATGGCATAAGGTTAACAACTGCAGCTGTTCCTGTTGCACTTAATACACAAACGTCATCACTGTAAAACAATAAATATATATATTTAATAAATAAAATGGTACTATTAAATTAATATTGAGTTTATATAAAAAAAAAAAAAAAACATTTTGAGAAATATATAAGAATAGTATTATATACTTCATTACTGAGATTTTAAATATATATTTTAAACCCAGGATTATATTTAAGATTTTCTTGAGGAAAGGGTATGTACATTAATTTTCAAAAAATCAATAAAAATAATAACCTAACTGTGATACACTCATCTGATTATCAAATTTCCAATTCTCTAAACAATTACATTTAAACTATCTAACTTATTGTAGCAAAATACAAACAAAATATTAATGATTTTTTATTACTATTTATTTTAGTTTGATAACCATTGGTTATTAGACTATAATTACCAGAAACTATTTATAAAAGAATATGAGCTAATTTAAAAAAATAATAATGAAGTTTCTTTTTTTTTACCACATTGCAGTATTTTCTGAATATCCCAGAATAACATTGCAAGATAAAGCTCTTGCATGGGACCTCATCTCAAGTCTTAATTCGCTCCACCAAGCATCTCTACTTTCTGGTTCTTCCATGTTTGACATACGTTCAAGTAATTTAACTGATTTAGCATTTACCATTCCACCTAAAATAAATTAATATAATTTTAAGATTTTGAGCTACTATTTTTGAAACCAATACCCAACCTAGATGTATAATAAAACCAGGAGGATATTTGGTCATTGTAAGAAATGGATATTCCATTGCATCCAAAGTATCTTTGCTTAAAATTGATCTGTGAAACATTGTGTGTCCATGTGCTCGATGAGAACTAACAGCCGAACTTCCGCTTCCTGTCAAACTATTACCTATAAAATGTATCAATTAATTGTTAACCCTTTTTAACAGTTATAACACTCAAATGTCAAATCTTCGTGTTACACCCTTATATAAAATGTGTTACATAAATTGCTGGAAACTATACTAATTTAAATTGATTTATTAAATAATATACTAATTAGTTTCTTAATTCTTATAATTATTGAATATAATTTTATATAAAGTTCTTTAGTCATTTAATAGATTTTAACTTACAAAGCAAACAAAAAAAAAAACAGTTGAATTTTTAATGTTGGCGCCTCTCTATTGGAAATATTTTTTTTATTTACAGGCACTTTTGTCAAGCAGACAATGGAGCCCAAATATTTAAACTAAGTCAAATCTTACAATATATTATTCTTCATTAAATTATAATTAAATATAATATATTAATCTTTAATAAGCAAGTTTTATTCGTATTTCATAATATAATAAGTTGATACAGTAAAATCATTATTTTTATTAGTTGATAAGATTTAAAATTATAATTGAAGGATATAAATAAACGAGTACTTATAATAATGAAATAAGTACATATTTAAATAACCTTTTTTATAGATATACGAATCAATTGAATTAGTAACATGTGTGATATAATAATAAATGTTCCGAAAAAAAAATTGTTGAGTATAATATAATAATATAATACATATAATTAACCAATATGAGTACCATGCTCAGCTGCTTTAAATAATGTTATCAGTAGCACAACTAATGAGGATGTTTTGAGTGTGTGGACAACCCTACTTGATCTATATTTATGGAAGTTTCATTCAATGACCACTGGAAATTGTTTCCTATTTACAAAAAATTAGGTAGATTTAGATAGACACCCCGTCAAAAAAACCTAACTACATCACTGGGAATTAAAAATATACCAGAAAAATTATTTCAAAATATATAGGTACACAGTCAGTTAATATAATTCTTACTGTAATTAAGTTTTACATAATTCATTACATACATTTAATAGTAAAATGTAAACATTATACTACAAATATTCTTGTAAAAAAATATTTAGTTAGGATTTTATTAATTAGTTTTTAATAGTGTACAACTTATACGATCTCATTTTAAAAATATTAAATTAAGCTAAATTCTCCTCAAAGTAAAATTGGTCTAGAAAATTTATATTTCAGAGTGATACATTTTAATTTTTTAATTTTTTAATTTTACCTTCTATTAACATTTACATTTTTTTCTAACCTACCTAAACTAATATAAATAATACCACATGATCACATTAAGCATGGAGCATAGGCTTCTTTGGTCATTTGGAGTTTTCATAAACATTTATAATATTTTAAGTTAATTAAGTATACAGCAAAATAGTACTCATTATGCAACAGTTTCTTTATTTAGTATAGATTTATTAAAATAATGTAAGTATATTCAAAAAATTATAATTTAATCATTCAAAAACTTGTATAAAATCAAATTATTTAAAAAATACCTCTAAATAATTTTAATCAAAATCATGAAAACACAACAATTTGAAATGTAATTATACTTACTTTGCAATAAATTGATTAGTTAGATACTCAGTTAGAATCATATATTAAGAGATTATTAGAACATGTGGAATAAATGAAAAAAATGTGTAAGGATATTTGTGAGTCAGAATATGTGTAGCTAACCCCATTTGTATAAAGGTGAAAATGAGAACAAATATTCAAATAATTAAATCTGATTTTTTTAAATAATTTAAAACTAATTAGAGAAATTCTGTGAATAAAATAATTGTGTAAGTTTTAATAATTATCACCTATAATAATAATAATAATTTAAATACTTGATTGAATACAACATACCTAGTCATTTCAGAATAATTCTAAATTAGATAATCTAGAATTTATCTTGACTAAATTTTAGATACTTATATACAACAAATTGATATCCATAACATATCTAGACAATATACATAGGTACACACATTTAGTATGGAAAACAAAACAACGAACCTAGATATATATTACCTTTTGGTGCATTATTGATTTCGGAGTCTGATGACCTTCGATGCATTGAAAGGTGTGTGACTTTGCCAGGTGACTCGGCTGTTTCGATGTTCCTGTCATCACAGTTAAAAGCATGCGAAGAACACTCGGATGCAGTTATATTATCAGAGAAAACAGGACAAACATTTTCTTCGAGTTTAATTAAACTGGGTTCATTGTTAATTATACATTTAACATCAGTATTAGAAATCAATGGCAAAGGCGGCGTGTTGTGTAAAACTGTACTTTGTGAATTACTAAAACTACTAGAGTTATAAGGCGACACGCTTCTGGATGCACATAAATCTGTTAAAGGACTATGAAAACTTGGTTTAATGTTGCTCAAATAAACAATTTTGGAAATTGGAGGAGTATTGGGTCTGTCTGAAGAAATTATTCTTGATAATGGTGGTGTATGTAGTTTTGGAAATACAGATTCTGAATTTGTGCTCACAATATCTACTGAATCTGAATCTACTGAATTTGACGAATCTGAATAATAGGTTGGATTATCAGATACACAAGGAGATAAATCTCGAATCTTAAGTTTTGTTACATCAAATCCAATAGCCATATCTGAATCTGCTGTTGAATCAGAAGCCGAATTCAATGAATTAGAGGAAGGTAACATTAAGTTAGGTACAGCTTTTTTACTTTCTTCTAATCCCTGATGATTTTGATGAAACAAATATTCTAATGATAATTTTGAGCAATTTGTATCAACACTAGGTTGTCTGAATAACTGTTTTCTTGAACTGTGAATTTGTACCTCTTCTGACTCTGATGGTAAGTCAAAAGATGAATTAAAATCTAATGTAGCTTGAGCTAAGAATGCTAAAGCTGAACTACAAGTATTATAATGTCTGTCGTGATCAGATGATGAACTAGCAGATTCGATAGATGCAGAGCAAATTTGTTTTTTTTTATGTTTTTGATAAGAATTTTGGAAAGTGATAGCTTTTAAAAATTTATTTTGTCTTTTAAAACTTGAAGCACGCATATCTTCTTGATCAAATAAACTTTTCATGCTGGATAATTCAGCAAAGTCTACAGTATTTGATTTTAAAAGATATGGAGACATTTTACGAATTGAGTATGATTTTTTACTTTTGTTAATAATTGAACTAGTATTATCAGTTTGTATAAATGAGTTAGAAAAGTCCAAACTTCAAACAGTTAAAACAAAAATAAAATAATTAATATATTTTTGAAAATATTTAATAACAATTAATACTCAATAATAATATAAATATATATTTATTTAGATAGCACTTTATAGGGTTAAGACAACAAAGTTGTAATATATTTAAAATTAATTTATTACTTATTCATACATTTTCTTTTGTGTGGCTAAGTTATGCTTTTAAACTTGAGTAACTTGACCTTAATTATTTCAAGGCTGCCCAAGTAAATTATTTTAAATTATTAACTAGTAAATTAAATAACCTTTCTTATTTAAAGAGTAAAAATAATATATTTTTATAATTTAATCTACAAAATAATTAAACTTATTATTTTTGAACATAATAACAAAAGTAGGTAATCAACAATATGTTTAACATAAAGTTCTTTTATTGCCTTGCCAAAAGTTGTAAGTAAAAAAATTAATTTTTGTTAACCCATATAGACCAGCAATGTGGTTTAGGTAATAAAAATATATTATATTTTTTAGCAATTATTCAAATTTATATAATAATACAAATAATAAGTTATATAAGGTAATTCGGATAATAAGGTTTATCTTTAGATAAATGATAAATAATTGAACAAATTAGTTTAATATTTTAATCATAATTTGAAATTATGTGTAATTTTGTTTAATACAATAGTATTACTTTTGATAAATTATTTCCTTTTAATATAATTTTACTATAAAAAGTAAATCAGTGCATTATTGAACTTGAGAGCAAATCCATGGATTGTGAAAAATGGACAAGCATATTAGAAGTAGTGATGGTACTAAGTAGACCATTATCAACTGAAGAAGAACGAGAATATTTAATATACCTAATAACTGTATTTATTTATATTATACAATTAGCTAAATGTAGTTGGCTGGATTAGCAGTAATAATACTTAATAATATTGATTTCACCTTAGATAAATTTAATATCTATATCTTTATAAACCTTAGTTACACCACTGATGCTTAAATATATTTTAAAATACTAATTAATAAATAAATAATTTTCTATTTTCAGTAAAAATTAACTTACTCGTCAATCGTTGGTTGTAAATTTAAATTTATTGATGGTAATGTCAAGTGTCGTACTAATGTAACCGCAGTTCCAATACCACGAACAACAATCCCAGATTCCCCTTCCAAATCAAAGTATTGATTATAACTGTAAATTAAAGTAATAAAATGATTTTTACAAATTATATTTTTATTGATATAATGTACAAAATCATATATTAAGTTTTTAAAACATTTGGAAAAATATTAAATTTGTAAAATTTTCAAACATACAAGATATTTTAGTCCACTGAGCATACCTTATTAAATTAAAAAATCTAATTATAATCTAACATAATTAAACAACTAACCCAATAACAGCATTTGCTCCTAACTCCAAAACTTTTAAGCCAATACGTCGCTGTACTTCATTAGAAAGCTTTAGAAATATGGTTTGTCTTGCTTCATTAGTGGCACGAGGTGTACGAATTTTATCAAGCCACTGGTATTCAGGATCATCTTCAACCACTAACTCTTCTACAAATCCATGCACCCATTCGGTGTGTGCTGTTATTCCAGCTCCAGCTATAAAACAAATAAATTAAGTTAAAAAATCTCCTTAATTCTAAATAACGCAGAAACAAACACGTACAGTAAAAAAATTGAATTCCACATGAAGACTGACGAAATCTATTAAAGTCTGAGAAAAGTTCTACTTTTATAATGATATGTACTTCACCACGAATACCATGCATTGTATCGAAAACAGGAAACCATCCAGATACCACAGACCCTCCTAAATTAAAAACACAGTAAGTACACTCATAATAGTTACTTATAACCTATGTATAAAATGCCTAAAATATTTACCTGTTGTTTGACTTTGATTTGAAATCATAGTGTCACCTAAAGCTTGTTGGCCTGATAGTTGAATATTTGTTGGTTGTGGCAAAAGTAATGGATTTAAATTAAAATACACTTTTCCAATTGCATCATTAGCAGAATATGTATCGTGATCCATGATTCTAATTTGAAGAGGTTCATCTTGAAGCTCGATATCATCTAACTATTTTCATTTATATAAATAAATATAATTAATATATTTAAAAAAATTAAATGTGTATAATTATCATAAATAAAGACTCACTTCAAATTTATACCAATCAGAATTCCACTGAGGATTTAATGATTTTCTACATACATCTGTTTTATATGTTGTACTTCCAAGTTTAACTTCAACATAGGCATCAGTAGTATCACTTGATCGGTCCATGACTGGCAAATTTCGACCAGCCAACACACGTACCTTTACTTTTCCTGGCATCTTTTAAATGTTTATTATGACATAACACTTTGTAGGGAAATTCCTACAAAAATATTTTATAAAATAGATTAGAACAAAGTAGCTAATTTTTTAAATTTAATTATGATTTTTCATTATACTAATTTGTATAAATACTTGAAGATGGACTCTTTTAGTAAAAACGTATTATTAAATTTGAAAAATATTATTCTGAAAAAAACTACGGTTACCTACCAAATGAACTGTATATTAGTCAAAATGATTAAAAAAATTACAAAAACAAATAACCTCTGTAAGTAGTGATATTTTTTAATTATTTATCTAGTAATATACTGGATGAAATATTTTTCAATAATAAATCACACCACTATAGCACTATCAAACTAATAGTTTCTTCCCTCTCTTTATAATTGAAATAAGCAACTAAAGTCTTAAAAATATAGGAACTTCTGTAAAAATTAAAATAGATTCAAAAAAAGACCATTTGGAGATGTAATGGATTTAAATGTCTTAAAAAGTTTAAAGTCTACTTAGTTATATTTAAAAGTTGTTTTTCAAGTTTTCTATATTTAACTACTCTGTTTGATTATTACTCTAATTGAATTAATATTTATATAATTTTTTTTTTTTTGATTCACTGCATATACACCTAACATTTTCTATTTTTAAAATACCTATATGGGTACTACAGTATCTCATATATTTTTGAATCTATTTAATAACAAATTCTTCAGTTCAATATCCTGAAAATTATGAAAAATTGAAAAACAGAGAGAATAAATAAACATTTTAATTTTAATTCTAAGATCCGCTTAGATTTTAGAGTTGAATGTGATAGTTGTTGTTACACTTAAGTAAAAACTAATAATATTATAATTTGTAGCCAAAATACAATTTAAATTCTGATTTTATAACCCATTCTTTAAAACTTAAAATTAAACTAACTAAAATGTATTAATTCTCCAAGGTTATAAATACATACTTGAATAATAGAGGTCAGTTTATGCCTAAGTTGTGCGTTAAAATTAACATGTTAATAAATTAGCAAAAAATTATTAATACAAGAAAGAAACATCAAATGTTAAACCAACTTGAATACAAAATACAAATAGTAACATCTGAACCGGTTTATTAAAACAATTAATAGATAAAAGATAACAAAATAAATAGTCGAACCATATGCCATAGATATATAATAGAATATTATAATGTCAAACAGATGTTTAATTTCCATGGGTTTAACATTGATAATATATTTGTTATCTATAGGTTTTTACCAAAACACGACAAAAAAACCATCTGACATAAAGCCACGCAATCATCATTTATGAATCACAATCCGACCAAATGACACCCGACAAAAATCCACCATACCAATTTTATAATTGAGTATACATTTTAGGAATTTAAATTTTCATAAAGCCACTCGACAACATATAACTCTACCAACTTCACTAATCATGTATTTCAATACAAAACCCTAAAATTATCGTATCCAAATATATTATTATGTATTTGTGGGTAGATGGATTTAAATAAAAGTAGACATGTTTAGTGGACACAATAGGTATACATTACATTTCGCATAAAACAACATATTTAAAGTATCCTATGAAGGTATGATAAGTCATACAATGATAACAGGGAGGTATGGGGCTGCCACTAACATAATATTACTCTTTTTTTAAAAAAAAAAAAAAAAAGAACTTATTCCTAGTTGTACATAATCAATTAACAATACTCTAAACTAAATGAAATATTAACAAGGTGGCTTAAAACATATTTTATCTAAAACTAATTTAACACTTAACATTATTAATGACCATATTATATTATATTTTAAATAATATCAACCAAGGTTGATAGCTGTCAAGTACCTTTCACACTCTTTCTGGGTATCGGTCGTCAAATTCAAATTTAAGTCCAAATTACTAAAACCAACGTCTTCCCTATATGTTAAAGATTTAGTTGGGTGAAGACTATCATCTAAATAACTTTTCTTCGTTTGATTAAGATGTACTTTTCGTATATTTTCCTTAACTTTGGCTAAATAAATTACTAAAGCTTTTTTTTGTTACTCTACTCAATACCCAAGTATATCCTTTTTTGTTGAAATTTTTCTTAATCAAAACTTTGTCATTTATACTAAATTTCATAGCAGCAACTGGCTCACTTACCTTCAAATATACTCTACTCTTAGGATTAAACCATGGCAATTGTGTTTTAAGTTGGAATTTAAACAAAAGTTCTGTTGGAACCAACTCAGTAGTTGTACAAGGTGTATTGCGGTAATTGGTTTAACACCTTAATAATTTATCCTTAAGTGCTTCTTTCCCTGGTGGACACCCAGACACAATATTTTTAACAAGTATTTTTTAATAGTCTGTACTCCTCTTTCAGCTAACCCATTAGAGGTTGGGTTATAAGGGGGCAAATTTAAATATATTATATTGTTATTTAGTAAAAATTGTCTGAACTTTTAAATGGAAGCCCATTATCAACTAACACAAGTGCAGAAAACCAAAACAAGATATTAGTTTGTCTACTACAAACTTAGTATCAGTAAAATCCATCAACCAAACCTCAATCCACTTTGAATAATCATCAATCAATATTGAAAATTTGTGTTGCTGTACATCAAATAAATCTAGATGTAGACGCTGTCAACTGTCAAGTTTGTGAAGTATCTGGAAAAGGAGACGAAGAGAAAGAATTATATTAATATACGGTTGGTAATGTTGTCTGTTATCACGTATTCACTGGGCTTTTAGTCAGATGGTTATTTGTCGCTTTGTCGGGTTTCTGGGAGCACCTAAAATACGGAATATATAAACCTTGAATGTACAAATCTTGAAAAATAATTGTCTATTAATCTAGTGTCATTAACTTCGAATAAAAAAATCTGAATTTCTATTTTCTATATACAATTATATTTATTGTATATGCAAATTTTGTCCATGCACTTAATACCTAATATTGTTTTGTTAAAAAAAAGATATGGTAATCATTCTCTAACACTGATAAGAAGACAAATTAATAAAATTCCAAAGTATTATAATTTTAGTAGCTTTAATTTACCATAGACATATTGATATATGTCTATGTAATTTACTGGTTAGTCTTTGGGCCTATATTTATTCTATCTACATAAAAATCTTTTTAACTGTTAAATGTTATTATTCAATTTTATCTAATCTATGACTATACTTAATATGTTTATATTATTTAGTATTAACAATTCAATAAGTAGTGACTCCTTTACAAATTGTCAAACATATTTTTTTGTGGTTATTACTGCAATTTTTAATTGTTTTCAAGTAAAACCTGTAAATATTTGTAGAAACATTAATGATTCCTTATCTATTAAAAAGTACCAAACTCAACAAATTTTCTTTGGCTTAAATTATAGTAAATACCATGACAAAAAAAAATGATACAACTAAAGTTCGTTTGTGTCCATCTGTTCGCTAGTTACAGTGATTTTTAATATTGTATGTGACGTCACGGATTCGTTCACCGCGGTGGCGGCGGCCATATTATATAATACTTGGCAATATTTATCCGTGTTTGGTTTAATGTAAATTAACTGCTAATGAACTTATTTTTTTCGAATAACCTAATTAAATATATTTTGGAGTATCTCATAATCTTTCTGTTTATATCACATTTTGGTTTAATATTAATAAAAATAACAATTATATTATAATACACCACGGTCATATAAGAGTGCTGCTATTATGAGTTTATTTTTAATTTTATAATAAAATGTTAACATTGATGTTTATTTTTCATAACAATATAGTCTTATTATTGTATTAATGTACCTAATAAATAACTTCATGATTATAATAATAATAATATCTTCTATTTGGAATTAGTCGTATTGTCAAAACAATATTAACACGTTCACAGTGAATGTATGGTAAATTCTTAATAATGTGTTTTTTTTTCCACAATATTAAACCAAAATGTGATATAATTATACGCATAGAAACATTATAAGATACTCTTAATTACATTATAAAAAGTCATTTGAAATAAATTAAGTTCAAAACGGATAAATATTGCAGCGTGTTATGTAATAGAGCCGCCGCCACAGCGAACGAATCCGTGACGTCACCATACTATTGAACGGTTTCGTTATGCAAATTAGACTGTGTTCTATTTATTGTGGTAATAAAATAATTATTGATTTCTTGAGTTTAATGGTCCCAATTAAAATTTAAATAATCGTTATCATTCGTTGTGTACTTAACAATTAACATCATATTGGACTATCAATGGGTATTCGAATAGCGCGTGTATATCTTCTTTATAGACGAAATATAATAATATAAACACATAACTACATTTATTATGTTTATGATTTTCATTAATGCAATAATTGATAGTTTATCATTAATTTGTACTTGGCTGCTTCATCAGTAGCGTACCAATTGGTACAATGAAAACCATTATTGTTGTAGGTGAGAAGTTGGAAAGGTAGAGAGGAAATTGAATGTAAGTATATCTGTACTCAACGATTAACTATTGCTAACGAAAAACGATTCTGGGTGAAGTTCGGTTAATAGTGTTGCTTTGTCAATAATTTATTATACGTCATATTATAGTAATAAATAGCTATTATGCATTATATATTTTATTTAACAAAATTGTACCTATTTTGCCATTTTTTCTTTGTATAATTCCATTTATTGGGAATGTTCCTGGAAAATTAAAAATGACCTCCTTAAAATACCATCCCAGTTAGATTTCCTTTCAGAAAAATATGTAGGTAGAATTGAAAACCTGAGCAAAATTGCTGGTAAAAAGGTTGTTCACAGATAGAAAAAGAAAAAAACATTTAACATTAAAATTTAAATTTTGTGTGCCTCAAATCGATTCATTTTAGACTTCTTTGTATAACAAATACTCCGGAGTAAGTAAATACACTTTACAAATTTTTCTTCCCTTTTTAACTTCATATATGTATGAATTATCATTTTCAACATTAGAAATAACAAAAACCAAAAAATGTAACTGCGTAAACTTTTCAACCATTCACCCATAAATTGAAGACCTACTTTCAGTTCACCAATCATATTGATTATACTTTAATAAACTAATAGATACTTTTTTGTTTAAATACCTACCATAAACTATCATTTTTTTTTTTTTTATGAAGAGGTGTAATAAACATATTATATACTTCAGCTATTATAAAAATAACAATACAAAGTAATATAAACAATTATAAAAGAAAGCCTTCAGAGGTAAAGAAATTAATTATTGAATATAAGAGGAACATTGGAAGATTGGAAAATATGAGGGAGCGAAAAAAGAATATTATTAGAGGAAAATAAAGAAGAGAGAAGACGGTGTTAATTATTAAGGGCAGGATAATTGAAAAGGAGATGCAAATAGATAAATTGTTTAAACTCTAATTATGTAAATATATATATTTTTTTTTAATAAAATGAAAACAGGTTTATAATTGTTATTTTTCAAAAATTCTTTAATTATTTTATGTGTGTCATCATTTTTTATGCATCTAAATTATAATGTCGTCGAACACAAAATGTTGAGAACCACTAATTTAAATAGGTAATTAAAAATGCGTTTGCCGATGGCTACTATAAAAACAAAGGTTGCGATTTTTTTAATTTCATTTTACTCCTATACTGATATTATATTGTATTGGTTAGTCGCGGTCATGCATTAATTATACCATAATTAATTCATGGTCGCGGTCATATTTATGGTGTGTTACTTGAGCCACTGTATACAAAGGAGCCGACGCCGCATGGTAGAGGAAATTTGGCCTCGGAATGTCAGAGCTAAATCATTGTAAATTGTGAATTTGTGATTTGTAATGCGTGGCGGTCTCATTCTCTCGTGGCACGGAGTATACAATATCTGTTTTAGAGACACTCTAGGATAAAAAAAAATCAAGTCGTGGTTTAATCATCCTTTTCTATAAATACGCTTATGTATTTATTTAGTAAACATCCTTCTAATTGATAATCACGATATTTTAGCATTTAAAAATGAACCTGTGAAAAAATAACCACATGGTACAAATGTTTTTCGATAACATTTTTAAATCGCTATTTAATAAATTATAATTATGGATTTTTAAACAAAATTTTAAAATGACACTTATTGACTATAATTCTGTTTTTTTTTTTTTTTAAATTATTTACATTTTAGGAATTTATAGACTTAAATTTTATCTTGAATACAGAACTTTCTAACATAAATTAATATACGATGAGTTGATGAAAGACAAAGTTTTTGAATAATATAATGTGGATTATATATTTTATAGTTTATCTATAAACATAGGAGTAAAGTAAATACCAAATCAAAGTAAATTATTGTATTTGTATAATGTATACAGTTGTAAATACAATTTTTTTTATAAACCTTCTATCTACAACTGTGGTCTTCAATCTTTTTGAGTCACCACCATAGTTATAGATAACTAAGTATCTATCGCGACCTCCTTTTTTTACCATAATTTTTCGTGACCCATGTTAATTTTGTTAGCTATTAAAAGCAAAAAAAAAGTTTAAATTGCTTAATGTCTTAGTATGCCATATTGTAAAAGACCATTTATTACTGAATGAATTAAAGTTAACAATTTTCTAGGTAATTTTTAACTTGAATGCATGTAATGACACAAAGAAAATAATTAGTGCGATATTTTACCCTGATTGTTTTTATATAATATTATAACATACTCCATTTCGATTCAATCTGTAAATTATTTGTTTTTGACGTTTTCAAATTCGATATAGTAGAAAACTTCTTTTTGAATATATATGTAAATTAGTAATATAATCTGATTTTTCATTTTTATCTTCTATTAATACAAAATGGTACGGTTTGATCGTAAATTGTATTTGATGTTTTATCATATACAATAATGCAGTAGCATAATATACAGTGGTATATTGCACAGTACGTAAAATGTTTTTTCTCAGAAGAAGCAATAAGTAGCTATACACTTTCAAATTAAAATTTTGTATAATTGTATAAACTTAATTCTTTTACATTTTAAACAGAAACATTATCGCAATCCAAAATTGAGACACACAGGTTGAAAAAAATTGAAATGATGACCATTGGTGTATATCATGCACATAAAAACAAACACTTTTATATAATCATAGAACAGAATACCATATCATAATACAGAAATAGAAAAATATATGACGCACGATGTAATATGTTTTAAGTTTAACTATGTACATCGTGATAATATGTCTATTCCACTATTTAAGATATAATATTTTCTGATTACAAAAAAAAAAAACCGTTGTGAACTTCATACCGGCCGGTATTACAAATACTTCCATGAATTTACATTGGATGTTTTTCATTTATAATACAATTATTGCCTATACTGTTTTTATGCATTGCATTTCATTAAGCAACCATCAGACCATCTTTCAAAACCGAGGTCACGTCTTATGTCATTACTCATTTGGTTATTAATTTATTACAGGTTTATTGAATTCATTAGTATTGAATTAATTTAATTTTACGAAGCTTTAAATCATTTTAAACTTTTGTTTAAATTTGCCTTATATTTAGTAATTTAAAGACATTCACATTTTTCTAAAATGGTTAGAGCAGTTTGTGTTTTAAACGGTGAAAATGTGAAGGGCACAATTTTCTTTTCCCAAACTGTAAGTTTAATTTTTAGTTAATAAATTATTAAAATACAAATTGTTAAAATTAAAAGAAATAATTTTTCAAAATTAAATAATTTTTTCAGAATGAAGGATGTCCTGTTGAAGTAACTGGTGAAGTTGCTGGTTTATCCAAAGGTCTACACGGATTTCATATTCACGAATTTGGCGATAACACTAATGGTAAGTTACAGACTTTAGTCTCATAGACCTTATATCAATAGTTCTATATCTATTTGTTTAATAGTATTATAGAGCTATGATAAATCAAGAACATTTAATGCTAATAGTCAAAATGTGTATATATAACATTTTGGCTTTACATGTTGGACTTTATGAGTAACTTAAAGAACCTCATTGATAAATTTAAATTAAATATTATATTTATTGAGAACTAATCGAGTTATGTATTACTTAAAAATTATAATTTATTGATAGCAATACTTGTATATAATTTTTTTGAAATTAATTTCCTCTTTGTATCTATATCTATCTAATTTTGTATAGTATACAATACTGTATTTTTCTGGAATTATCAAGGTTTAAAAATTATGTAACAGCTAACGATATTGGAGATAAAAGAGCAATCAAAAACCATGTTTAGATCTGATAAGTTAGTATATTTTATGCATAATTTCATAATAATATTTATGAATGATATAATATATTTAATTAAGTAGGTATGTATTTGACTATTTTTGTTTGCTAATTTTTCATTTGCCATGGCTATAAATCCAATTTTTTTACCAATAATGAACTGATATTTACCACTACTATATGATAAAATAATAACTAAATTGCATAGCTTCATCACTGATTAGAATTTTGATTATTATTATTATTATTATTTTATTTATATTTTTTCATTATATACATTTAAACATTTAAGTGATATTTGAGGTATTTGCGTTTAGTTTACTCAAAGAAGTACACATTATGAAGGTTTAAATCATAATTTATACTTAGATTTTTAGCTGTTACATTCAAATTGTGTAATTTGTACTGCATGTATATGTGTTATATCAATTAACTTAACTATTTTTTAGGATGCATGAGCTCTGGTCCACATTTTAATCCTTTTGGAAAAACTCATGGAGCTCCTATTGATGAAGTAAGGCATGTCGGTGATTTGGGTAATATTGAAGCTGATGGTTCAGGTTTAGCAAAAGTTAACATCAATGATTCAATCATATCTCTTACAGGATCTCTCAACATTATTGGTCGTACTTTAGTGGTAGGTACTTATAATTTAGTACTGATTTTAAAAATGGCAATTATTTTTTAAAATATATCTTATAAATATTACAAAAATATAGATTTTTATACTTAAATAACAATTATTGTAATAATACTCCATAATTTAAATATATTCATTATTTTTGAAATATATTAAGTACAATTCATTTGACAAATGTATGTTTACTATGGTCATACCTTAAATAAAATCTAACCATTTATGCAGTTTTTAAATTAAAAAAAAAGAGAATAATATTAAATTTGACTTTCTATATGTATAACCAAAATTCAAATAATAAATATTAATTTAAATTATAATCAAATATTAAAACTACTACATAACGGGTATGATTTTAAAGTAAATTAAAATTTTTGTATAACATATATAAATTTGAATAGTATAATATAAGTATTCTAGTTATTAAAAATACCTAAAAGTACTCAGTGTTATAGTATTTTTATTGTTTGAACTATACAAGATGAACATTTTAATAAATATTAAAATTATAGAATGTGATTTATAATAATATTATTTTAGTGTAATAAAACCATAACCTGGGTATATATAAATTATTTGTTAGTTTAAACATGGTATATTATTTTTACATACAGTTAAAAGTGACATGCACAGGGTTAGGTTAGAGATTATATTCCCCTCCCCTATTGACTTAAAAATACAACAAAATATAAGCAATCTAATATCGAAACATAAATTTCAGCAGATTTCCGAGGAATAGCTTGATGTATTGATTAAAAATTGGCTTTTTTTTAGGATCCAGCTTTTAAATTAGGTATAAATTTCTATAATCGAGTTGGGTAAAGATGATTTTACTTTTTATTTACGATTTTTATCTGTTACATTCTCTCTCAAAGAAAATTCTTGGGCACGCCATTGGTTGTTATAATACTACTTTACCTTATCTATTGTTTTACTTATGGATGATTTAGTTTTGATATTTTGCATCAAAGTTAAGACTACTGATGTTTGCTTAACTTCAATGTTCACGATTATTCTTACATACAATTAGACAAATTATGATTCCTGGAGGCTGAATGATTATATTTTGTTTGGGGCTTGAGTGTTGGGCATTGAATGTCACTTTAATGTACTTATGGCAAAGGGCAATTATTTCCTTCAAATTGACAATATTTTCTAAATTCATTAAGTTTTATTTGAACTTACTATTTTCTCAAAATTGATTGTTTGACAGAAACATATCAGTTGTCATCAATGTTCACAAAAAAGTTTCCATCCGTAGTTATACCCCATAATTATCTTGTCTTAATATATATAATAAGTATACTCTGTTTTATTTCTATTAACCTTTAATCCCTTTTTTCCAAGTACTGTTTATTATTCACCAATTACTAAACCAACAAATCTATATCATAAGCAAACATACATTTTTATTGCCAAAATCTTTTAATAATAAATAAATAAAATATAAACCTTAATTTTGTAGGTGCATGCAGATCAAGATGATTTAGGCAAAGGAGGCCATGAACTAAGTTCAACTACAGGAAACGCTGGAGCCAGAGTTGCTTGTGGAGTTATTGGAATTACTAAATAGATTACTATTAATGTATTATCTTTAAATTGTTATTTTTCATATGAATATCAATATATGGGTTAAATGGTATTGGACATTGTTTAGGGTCATAAACTTGATCCATTAACACAGAATTAAAGAAAATATCTACATTAGTATCCATACATTATTATTATAGTTGTTGATTTTTTGTTTACTCTTTAAATGTATGGATTCAATTTTAGTAATACAATATTTTTAATATTTAAATTAAATATTTGTTTTGTCAGTAGTTGAATTTTCAAAATATACTGTAATAATACCTACTTTAAATAATTAAACATTGCATTATAGTTTATTTTTGACTTTTTTTGTTTACAATATTTACAACATGTTCTTTTGTAAACATTTTTTGAAACTGTAGTAGTTATGAATTTAATTATATGTGCTTACACAAACTACAATGTAAACTTGTTACAGTTTATGTACAGCTAAACAAAAAATATATATAATTACAAATTTATCATTTGGTAGGTAAAAATATTTTATTAGGTACTTCAAAAAGATAAATCAGATCATACATAGAATATAATATTATTCAGTGATACATAATTAAATGAACATGAAATAATATTCAAATCATTATTATTGCAGTATTATAATTGTTTTATTATTGTTTCAAAATTAATAGTGAGTATACTTATAAGTAATAAATAATAATAATGTTTAAATAACTGCACAACTACTTTTTTCTCTGAATGGATTAGCTTTCTGTGATGAAAAACCAACCATTAAGCAGTCTTCCATTTCTCGTTCCCTGATATACTTTATAATGTCATGTATGGCTTGTGAAACAGGTATACGTTTCACAGCCGCTTCTCGACGAAGTTGCTCTGTTATCTGCCGCTGCTGTTGCAGATTGGAGATCATCATGTCCATGACAGCAGTATCGGATAGGCCTATTTTCGATGGGTGTGGTCACACTTGTTATAAACAGAATTGGAAGTCCACTTAATGGACTTTAAACGTTTTGAGGTTGGGGTGTTTAATTTGTGTTTTTTAGAATAATTATTTCGATACGTTTTTAGAAAATGAACGATATTAAGTATTATTGCGTTTTATTTTATTATTAAAATATAAGTGCAAAGGATAAGGCAAATAACATTGAACTATAACAATTGTCACTTCTCAAAATACTCAGCAATCACTACTTACTAACACAGATGAGTACTCAGTACAAAATTACTTATCAAACAAAACAAAGCAAGGATTATCAACAAAATATTACTTTTTATTCCATGTCCGAAATATGTGGTGCGTAAGTGCGTTCCATATTTAATTTTTTTTTTTTTTTTCGGATATATCTGTGGTCTATATGTAATTTATTTATTGATTATATTATTATATTATTTATTATTTATTATATTTATTGATTTATTTTATTTTATATTATATTCAAGATAATGTATATATATATATATATATATATACATATAAATATAGTCTACTTTAAATCGTGGCTTCTATCTATTGAAAAAAAAAATGATACCCAGAAAATATATAAATTGAACCACGTCTTGAAAATTAATATGCAATTAATTCACAATTTTGACCACTGTAATCATAAAACATTTGATAACATATTATCTCCTAAGACCGCGCAATGATGAACCAACCACCAGACTACAAGATCGAGTATCTATAGCCGTAGTTCACAGTCGTGTTCGTGAGTTATTTTTTCACTTTAACAGTACAAAAATACATACAGAAATAGAAACTAACGACTGGACGGGCGTGGAGGACTGCTTGTGGTTTTATTTGTACATTGATAACTGATAAGCAATAATATGACGTAAACACCTAAATTAAAAATAACCTTAATATGATATTTACATTTTTGAATTACAATTTATACCATTATTAATTTAAAATCTATTTTGTATTTTTCTTAGAAATTAGGACAATTAAATATTAAGTTTTGTTCCATGAATGCATTACGATAACGTTTACAGTTTGTTAACCACTGTTATCTATCTTATATTCATATCCGGCCAATGGCGGAATAAGTTCTTTTGTTGACGTTTTTCTTTCGACTCTTAAAAAGCCGATAATGCTATTTATCTAATCAACTTTAAAAAAAAAATTGTCCCAGTTTAGCTGTTCCACTTAGAAAATTCTATTGTAAGTAAATTTCAGGGTATTTGTATCTTATTTTAAACATCTAATATAGATAATAATTAATAAACTCGTCATATTCTTTCAATTATATTAGGTACATCCATATAAACCATCTGGATAGGGGTTATTATAAATATTAACATCTTTTAATTTACTTTGAATACTTGTTTCAACTGTGAAACATTAGCTAGTATATATACTATTAATTTAATTTAAAGGAACTTATTAACTAAATAGTAAACACGAAGAGTATTCAATAAGTTTTCAAGTAGTATATATTTTGTAAAATATCTAAAATTGCTATTGGGTTTCTCAAATTTCTATATCTTATATTAGTGTATCTACATGACTTCTGTTTTAAAAAACATAAATATTTTAATTGATTTAATACCTAATTTTGATTTTATTGATATATATGTCTATATAATATTGGAAATAATATGTTGAGTTCCTTACATAGTATAGATTTTTCATTTTTGAGATTTATGTAATGTACAAATTATATTTAACAGAACTAACTATTAAGTAATAAAAACGATTTTTTTTACATATCGGTGTTTATAATTTATAACTGTTGTGTCCAGTAATGTAGTGTTAATGAAGTATTGGATATAAAATCAAAAAAAGGTATGTAACCGTGTTGTAGGCATTAAGGTCTTAAGGCATTAATATATTATTAGAGGTATTCTAAGAGAAGCAAGTAGAGCAGGAAATTAAAGAGAATAAGTTGAAGTAATTCTGTTGTTAATAGGAGAAACGATAAGGTTGATAGATACCAAGAGAAGAGGTAGGCCAAAGAAAATTTGAATTGTAGAATAATTTTAGAAATATAAAGATAGGAAGTTATGAAGGATATAGGGAAGGAAATAAAACTAGCTGACCACTACTTTGGTGAGATGTAAAGAAAAAATTGATCAATCTATTATTGTAAATTGAGAAAACAATTCAATATATTTAGTAATAAACCTATATATTATAGGTTTTCATTAAAGGTTTATTTAACTCATAATTATGTATGAATTTAGTAACACCATGGATTTTATTATAAATTTATTATTTATTATTTAATAATTAATTCTATTATCAAATCAATGATAATACCGATCCTGTGATTTAAAAAAGTTAATTTGTATTTAATATATATTTATTCTAAATTTAAGTAGGTAAATATTAGTAATTGTAATTTTATTATATATTTTTAAAAGAATATGTATATTTATTTTTTAGATTGAATTCAAAAACTAAGAACTAGTTTGGACAGTATTTTCGTACTCATGCAAACCAACAAGATGAGAGGTATATTTCAGCTCTAGTTTTTTAAATTTAGAATTGGTTTTTTAAGTCTTTTATTTACTATAACCTATAAATACCAGGTAATTAATTTAAGTAGATACACTCAATATCTTGGAAAGTATTAACTTTTCCGGAATTTGTTTTCTAGAAAATTAAGAAACAATCTGCTCTACAATTTTATATTTATGTTATTATTTGTCATCCTTATTTTTGGGGGTAAAATCACTATCTACTTTTAATTTTAAAATGGCAACCTATATTAATAATTCCATAAATAGATAGAGTATTAGTTAAAATAAATTTGAGTGTTCAAATTTTTGATTTCTGTTAAGCTGTTGACGAGATATTTCATTTTTAAGTTTAGGTTGAACGAGAAAAAGAATTTTTTTAGGGTTTTAAGTGCGTTTTGAATCAAATTTTATTTTAAGATTTTCACACTGTAATATGATTTTTAGATTATAAATATAACAAATTATTAAATGGGTGCTCATATTATATAATGGAATACAATTTATATTATCAGTCAATAGTAATGTCAAAACTTAATGAACAAGGATTAAACAGATAAATTTTAAGGCAAAACCAATATGATATTTTTAGAATCATTCGATTTTCTATTTAATAGTCTGTTAAAGTAATAAAATCGACTATCGTTCAGTACAAGTTTTGTTGTAAAGTGAATTTATAATATATTTTATATCAAAAATAAACACAATTTTTTAGTGTATTATTTAGAATTTCCAAGGTTTAAAATCTTTTTTTAGGGCATTTTATTCCTACTTATAAGTTACTCAAAAATAGACAAAATTCGACCACACATGGCTAATATAAATATTCTGTGAAACTTGCATGTCTATGATTATAAAGAAAAAAAAATAGAAAATAATGAAACTATTAATGTCATTCACTATCTCAGATAAATTCCAATTATTGAGAAAAGTACACAGAAAGCGAAAAATGACCTTAATATACCAACTAAATCCAAACACAATAAAAAAAAGTCTAGTCATTTTTTAATTTGAGGAAGATTTCTGTTATAAAAGTTTTACATAAACACAAACAAAAAAGACTGACATACCTCACACAATGGGTGGGTCGTTGTTGTAAGTTAGAAGTTGGGAAGTTAAGATATAGAGGTGAATTTATAATTGTTAGCAATGATAAACCATTGCTTACGAAAATTGATTAAATTGATTCGAAGCGAAGTTTGATTGTACAGGTTTTAAAAAGTCGTAATATTTTACGATTTTCATCAAAATTTGCAAATAAAATTCTTATTAAAAAAAAGTATTACATTATTCAATTGTTTTTTTTTTTTTTTTTTGAACATTAAGTTAATTTATTACAACAACAAAAAATTGAAAATTATAACTTTTGTAAATTTTCCGTTTTTTCTCAATTATTATGAAAACCGCTTGGAAAATCAAAAAATTATCTCCCTCATGTACCAAGTAGATAGAATTTCCTTTCACAAAAGGTGATACATTTGTAAGACTTTGGTAGTAAAGTTATAAAAAATAAATATTGCAAAGCCAATATATTCCTCGCCTACTCCCTGAATTTAAAATACCCATCATAGTAAAATCATACATTTCTTGATACATTTGGAATCTATAAGAGCTGGCAAGGGCATGGTCGTGTGTCACTGTTTTAGGTAGTAAGTTGGAAAGGTAAGACCCAGAGTTATTTTATGTATATCTTTGCAATGATAAATCAATAAACAATGAAGATTTTTATTAATAAATGTACCACATTCAATGCAATTTTCTTTGGTCAGCACCTACTGTTCTGCTCCAATTACCCCCTACACAACTATCTCAATCACTGCTCCCACACTGTATCTAATTGTACAGCTTTACATCTATTTTTAATCGAATTACAAACAAATCTAAAATAATTAAACGGTTATAACTCATGAACAATAAATCTGATATGTTATGCATATCATAATTTTTAGAATTATATTCTTTATTTGAATCTGTGTTCAAAAAGGGCGGTTTCTATTTGAAAAACAAAAGCTCATACTTATTTAAGGTATATGGAGTAGGGGTAAAAAATTGAAAATAAAGCTTAAATGATTCCATAATAATGAAAAAACAGAAATCAAATTCATTTAAAAATCCTTCAAAAATTAATAGTTCATTATAAAAAAAATTGCCTGTAATTTATTTTAATAATTATTATATTGTAGTAAACGTTAGGTTAGGTTTTTGCAAAAATTTTAAATTGGTTTGGTTTTCTCCCAGTATTTATATTTTTTTCTGCGAAATATATTATATTATACGAATATATCCCCGTTACATAAAGATTTAATGTATCTTAATATAGTTTGTCTGTAAATATTAATATGTAATAATAGAGTTTGTTTAAATATCAGATTAATTTTTTTTCTAATTTGAATTTTTTCCGTAGATATATTATATTATACTTGATAAATAGTGATATAATAATTATGTTGATTATAATGTTATAGATTTATTCTATTACTTGACTTTTTAAAGCGTATAGTTTTCTTTAAAACTTTTTCCAACTTCTTTAAATTAAACTTGTTTATCAAATTAATTGTATAATTTTAAGATGGATGTAACATGCTAATTCAATTCTATAGCATATAATTGTTATTTAAATAAATATATTTACTATTTTTATTATAGCTATAATTAATACAATTTAATGTATTGATCAACATTTTTTTTAAATTTACAATATGTTGAATAATTTAAATTACAGTACTTTCCACATTTTTTATATAAATTATTGACAATTTATAATTTAGGTCGCCCGCCAAAGGCAAAATCAACATGTACTATGTGTAATGAATCAAAACATCCTTTAAACTATGTATTACCTACACAAAATGGGAAAAAGGAATTTTGCTCCGTTAATTGTCTTGCTGAATTCCGTAAAGAATATGTTAAGGTAATTTTATTATATTTATTATTGAATATTATTAATTTCAAACAAATTAAAATTTCTGTAACTGTCAATATTTTTTCAGTTAATTGGAATAATTTATTAGTTTTATAATTGTTATTATTGAATATTTAAAACCATATACAAATATATATATGTGTAATAATATTTATATTTGTAAAGTTTAAAAAATATTTGTTATTGTTATTGTTTTAGAATGGGTGTGCAAATTGTGATAATATAATTAAAGGCACACCAGTAAAACAAGAAAATCAAGATTCTACTCCAAAAAAATTCTGTTCTGCTGCTTGCTTAAATAAACACCAAAGAAAAGAACTATCCAAAAAAAGTTAGTACTAATATGACTTATTTTCAATAGTTGATTAAAGAATTAATAATTTATTAATTTTAAAAAAAACTTTCATATATATTATAAAAAAGTTTTTTAAAAATTGAATGTACTTATTTGTAATTTGTATAAATATAATATATAATTAATATATTTATATTTACTATACATGTATATATATATTATATTATATATTTATATATGTGCAGGCCTGGCTCAAGGGATAGGCGACACAGGCCCACGTCTAGGGGGGCATTTCAAATTTTTGACGAATTTATACATATTTAAGGGGCGGCAAACTTAAGTTTGCTTAAGTGTGTTTAAACGCTCGAGCCGGGCCTGTATATGTTCGTAATAGGTATTTTTATATTATTTTTTTTTTGTATTTCTAAGCAAAGAGAGGTAGAGGAAGGCCAAAGAAGAAATGGATAGACGTAATTGAGAGTAATGAGATGACAGTTGGTGTATGCTTGGTTGATGTGGCAGATAGTTATAAGTGGAAATTGAGGACTGAGGTAGCCGTTCCCAAAGAGCTAGGAGCAAAGGCGAAGACCAAGGCAATATGTATGAATATTACTATAAATAAAATAATTTTATTATGAATTTTAAGGGACGGGTACAGTTATTTGAAAATCATAAGGATAAATAATAGTGGCCTGAGAGTAATTTCTATACCTATAATTACATTTCTTATATTTTTTAATATTAAATAATACTATATTTTAATGTAAAATTACTTTGAATGGGGCCCCAGACGAATCAAACAACCAACCCATTAGAGGAAATTATTTAAAAATAAACCCTATTTGGTAGACTTTATTTTGTGTGCAATATGTTAATATGTGACTAGGCCACGTTATCAAAAACGGTTCTTATCATTTTCAAATAACTGTACTACACCAGAATTTTAACTATTTGTGCATGTAACTGGGCGCTGTAATTTGAGTATACTTTCCTGTTAACTCAGCTATTTGATTTATATTTTTATTCGAAAAACTAAATCAGTCCCCTTTTTCAGCTAAAAATATTTAAAAAATAAGATTATAATATTAAATAATTGGATCAAAAGATTTAATTTAAATAATATGCTATTAGACCCACTCAGTTGTACATTAATGCTCTATCTATGAATAAGATATTATGCAAGCATTTTTTCTTCTTAAATTATGTATGAGATATCTTCCAATTTATACACTTGATATAAATCAAAGGGTAATACTTTTTAGCGTGTCTTAAAATATATGAAACAAATATTGCTTTTGTTTATTACTTAAGAAGTAATTTTTGTTTTCTTGGGTAAGTCATATCTTGGTGATAACCACCAGTTTGTTTCTAAAGGTATATGGTTTTTAATTATTTTAGGCATTCTAAATGTAGTCAAGGTCAAGTTTTATACTCATGTTAAAATAAAATTTGTTAGCTAGATAGATGATCATCAAACATTTTTACTTTCATCAGAAACTTTAGTCGAATGGGTGGTGGGGGAGAGGGTAGAAATATTAGTTTACCTGAGGTATTTTTTAGATTCTGAGTGTAACAAAGAATGTATAGTTTTACAAAGATGTTTATTTGTTATGATGTTTATATGTATACAATGTAAACTCTTTTTTGAAAGGAAATTTTCTTAAGGTGGTACTTTAAGGAAGTAATTTTTTTGATTTTCTTGGCAGTTTTCCCAATAAAAGAGAAAAAGTGGGGGAAAACGGGGAATTCACATTTATAATGCTTTTATTATTTGTTGTAATTCAGTTAAAAATATTCATATTGATTTGAAATTAAGACAGAAAACTTATGTTTGCCTTTTTTTTTAGATATAGTAAAATTTCAAAACATTTGAGCCACTTTTTGGCTTTTTACACAAATTTTAATATTTTTTTTAAATTTAGTTTAAAATATTTGTATCGATTTTATGGACTTACAATTTAAAAAAAAAAAATTATATTTACCTTTTCAAGACGTAGAAAATTTTCAAAAATATTTAAGATATATTTGAGCTTTTAATAGACATTTTAACTTTGAGAGTTTTATACAAAATTTTTATTCGATAGGTACTGTGTAGTCAAATTGTTAGACTAAATAGCAATGCGTGGACATTTAATAGGAGGTTCATTAAAAGTCTAGATCTTTTTATATCAAATTTTTATGAAAATATTTGGATAAAAAATTATGTATTACAAATCTAATTTTTCAATTTTTTTTTTTCGCACATATGTATACTACCAATTAAAGAATGATGGTGAAGTCAAAATTGATCGGACTAAGTTCTGAAATTATAGCTTTTTGAAGTTCTGGTACTATGCGGATTTTATATGTTATTAATAAACTTAATATTTTCTTTTTTAAAGAATGTTTGTCATAGCTGAATGGTTATACATACCTATACCGTTTAACTCGTGACCCCTAGTATAATAATCCTAGTAGTCGAGAGTTTAAACCCGTGTTATGAAAAACATTTTTGCACTTATTTTTTCGTTTTTACCAAAACAGAGAAAATACAAATGCATTTTAGGTGTATCTAGAAATCTAGCTATCGCTCGCTCGGACTATTTTACTCGAAAAATACATATCGATTTGTTGTGCAAACTTTTCTACCAACAATTTTGCTCCGATGTATCAAGTGTAGCTTATTTTCTGAAAGGAAATTTTATCTTTATGGTAATTTAGGGAGGTTATTTTTTGATTTTTCAAGTGGTTTTCATAATATTTGGGAAAAACCAGGATAAAATATTGGAAAAATTGAAAATGTACCAAATGTAGGTATTAGTAAAAAAATATGGCCTTATTTTTTCTGTGTACAATTTTTCTACCAGCAATTTTGGTCCGATTTAAAATGATAGCACTTTTCTGAAAGGAAATCTGACTGGGAGGGAAGGTACTTTTTCAATTTTTCCAATATTTTACCAGCAAATGTGAAAAACTGGGATAAAACCATGGGAAAAAACGGAAAAATCGATACAATATTAAACAAATATTGTTAAAGAAAATATATTATGCCTATTTAATGATTTTACCATAATATGACTTGTCTATTGTTGACAAAGCATCACTATCAACTGAACTGCACTCATTTACTATGGTTTATTGTGTTGCTTACAGGTAGACATTAAATTACTTATAACAGAGCCACCCTATCCCATTATTCTAGGAAGTCTTTTTTATCATTATTCCAAAGTGGACAATCTGATTTTAAATATTGTACAGTAATATTTGATATACATATTCAATTATGTTTTTAGCTGTATTTGGCGATGTTCAAGTAGAACATCCATTCTGTACTCATGGTAATTCAGTATTTGATTGGGACAGTTATCTTAAAGAAACATCTAGTACTGCAGCTCCTGCGTATTGTTTTAAACAGGTTAGTCTAAAAAAAATGTATGTAATAATAATACTATTAAATCAATATTTTTTTTGGTTTAATGTCATTTTTGTGGATATATTTGTGTGTGTGTGTGTGTGTGAGGACTTAAATGTAAAATATATCATAAGTCACAACTTAAAATGTACTAGATTAATATATTATTTATAGCATGAAGAATCTCCAGAGAATGAATTTAAACCTGGTATGAAATTAGAAGCAGTAGATCCTCGAAATATAACATCTATATGTATCGCAACTGTAGTAGGTGTGGTTGGACCTAGAATACGTCTACGTCTCGATGGTGGAGATAATAAAAATGATTTTTGGCGATTAGTTGACTCTTCAGAATTAAAGCCAGTTGGATATACAGAAAAAAAAGGAGGCATGCTACAACCTCCACTTGGTAATTAATATTTATTTATATTTTGTTTTGTTTTTTTTAAATTTTATATTCTTTTAGGCTTCCGTATGAATGGCTCACTATTCCCTATGTTCCTGGTGAAAACTCTAAATGGAGCTTACTATTCTCCTGATACTGCTTTTAAATCAGAACCAGATACTCCTACAGATAATTTATTTAAAGTTGGTCAAAAACTTGAAGCAGTTGATAAAAAAAATCCACATTTAATTTGTGTAGCAACTATTGGTAGATCTTAAATTATAATTATTTTTTCAAACTAATAATACACATATTTTTGAAAATAAAATGATTGTATAATCAGAAAAATATGATCCCATTAAATATTCATGTGGTTTTAATTTGGTTAGGTGATGTTGATAAAAATAATATATTTGTTACATTTGATGGATGGAGAGGAGCGTTTGACTATTGGTGTTCATATGACTCTAGAGATATATTTCCAGTAGGGTGGTGTTTAAAAAGTAGTCATCCACTTCAGCCACCTGGCAACAGCCACCATAAAGGTAATAATAATATTTCCTTAATTTATTACATTTATTGATAAATTTAACAATATTAATTAACAAACGGTATAACAAATCAGCTGTTACAGGATCTCGCTATTCAGGAGGTAGACCAAATGGCGCACAAACTTCTAATGTAAAACAAAATTTAAATGATTCCATGAATTTATCACCAGATAGTGCGAGTGATCTTGAAACTGGTATACAAGAATCATGTTCTGGTATTACAATTTGTAAAAATTTAATTATTTATACAAATTTCTTGATTTTAATAATACATTTTTAAATTGTTATGAAATTGCATAAAAGAAGGTTTATTTTATTTCAGTTTTTATAAATCACGAATGCAAATGTGGTCCTTTTATGGATTCCTCTAAATTATTTGAACTTCCTAAACAATTGGGACCTGGATTAGTACAAAAAGTATTAAAAGATACTATACAACATTTAGTAAACACTGCACATGATATACAATCTGTAACTACATTAATGAAAAAGCAAGGTGATAGTACATGTACAATAACAGGTAAAAAAATTTAATATTTTATTTATTAGTAGTACAACATTTATTTTTAAATAAATTGTATTTATTCATAAATTAAAGAACCTAAAAGTGATCTAAATAAATTAGTTGTTTTACATACTTTGAGTTACATTAGGTCAAATGTATATTTTCTTGTACAGTAAATATTATAAATATAAAATTATATAATTATTACTTTACTAAGATTTAATTTGGTTTTATTTTTAGCTACATACGAAGGGAAATCTCGAGTTTTTAAATTACCGAAAATTGAGAAAGCAGATGAGTTTTGGGAATATATCAAAACTTTATTAGAAGATTTGTCGTGTTGCAAAAATTTGTTGAGTCCTGCTCTAAATGTTTGTTCAGAGTGCAAATTGGAAAAAAATAAAAATATTAGTATGAGTATAACAGTTAAAATTGTATACATTTATTTAAATAATCGTTTTTTAATTTCAGATGTCAATGAAGTAATAACAAATGACAAAAAAAATATAAAACGACATGGTTCACCAGAGAGCTCGACTCCTGATGAAGTGACATTGATAACAAAAATGCCTCGTACAAACGAACCTGAAATGGAAGCAGCATCTTCAACAACTTCAACTGAAGGACAATCAAGATTACCTGTAGATCCTGCAGAATGGTCTGTAGAAGATGTTATTCAACACATAAATTGTGTAGATATACAATTAAATACATTTGCTGATCTTTTTAGAAAACACGTGAGTTTAGTTTGTGTATGCTAAATTTGTATAACTTGTTACATCAGATATATTAAAAATATATACATGATTATTTTAGGAAATTGATGGAAAAGCCTTATTATTATTGAATTCAGATACTATGATGAAGTATATGGGACTTAGATTAGGGCCTGCTTTGAAACTTCAAAATTTAATAAACAGAATAAGACCACGTAGAAGATAAAAGTAATTATGATACTTATAAATATAATATACATATATTAAGGTGTATGTTCTAAAAGTGATGAGTATTGACAGTCAATGGTGATTGTTCATATATACCAGCAATTTTGTTGAATATTTGAATTTATATAAATATTATAAATTTGGGGACATTTTCTGGTGTTAATTGACATGCACAACGGGTAGTGAATGTTGCATATCTTGATAAAAATATCATCTTTTTGACATTTTAAAATGTATTTATTTTAATTATTATAACAAAGTAAATGCTTGTAATATTCTGAGTTGCACTCAAGTACACTGTTAACTAAACGATTATATTTGTTTGTAATGCTTAATATTTTAAATATTACCAACATTCACACTACTTTTGGTATATGTTGTCAAAATTCGCTAACTGCGAATGATTTTATAGTGGAACAAGTGAATTTTCATGAAATCTATCACAATTGGAATTATATTAATAGAGTTTTGATTTGAAAAAAAAAAAAATAATTAAATGTATTCTATTAAAAAAAAATTGAGTTGACTAAATATTATTTATAATTATATTGTTAATATAGGTTTTATGTATTTGAATATTTTGTCAGTTATTTAACATTAACCTAACTTTATCTTTTTGCTCTTCAGTTTTAATTTGATTGTATGAATTTAAATATACCTCCACATTAATTATAAGAAAAATGCTTGTGATTGTTAACATTTTTTAAATATTTGAACTTAAATATTTTCTCTTTTAGAACTAACATATTTTAATTTGATACAAATTATTTGTACACACATTTTAATTATTTATATTTCATACTTTTCAGGTAATTTAACTGATGTCCTATTGATAAATTATAAGCTTATTTAATCTTGTTAAAAATGAATATTTAATGTTTGATAATTTTATTACCCAACTATTGTAATGTTGTAATGTATGATGACTTAATTGGTGCTTAAGGTAAGATAAATGTTTTTTATTGAAAAAAAGTCATCATTCTAACCTAATATTCTACTGAATATTTGAATTATTATTTTATAAAATAATACTTTTATTTATATTTTTGTTTTTAATAAAAATTTGATTATTGATTTGCTTTTTCTTTTCATTCACCTTTTTAATAATTACATACATGTTTACTTTTATTTTCCATTTACAAGTTTCTTTTTCATTTAATGTTCAAGAATATTATGTTATCATCAAACATATATATATATATATATATATATATATATTATTTTTAAATTAATATTTATGTATATTTTTAATAAATTCCATGTATTAATAAGCTTCAAAATTATTTTTTTAAAACTATTAAATTATTTATTGGATTTATAATAAATATTTTTTTTAACAGATTTTTTTCTTTATACAGAGGTTTAGACGGGGTATATTATAGTTTTATTTCACCTATTGTTCTGTGGGAATAAATTTATTTATTATAATATTTTTGTTATTATGATATTATTCTTTTAAGAGTATTGATTAAATATTCTGGGAACAAAACCTCGCTTAGCACAAACATATTCAAATTGTTTAATTGATAGTCCACAATATCCTATTAGCCAACATTATTAGTTTAATAAGTAGAAACAAATGATTTAAATTATAATGAAAAATTTAATTATGATTATATGAAAAAAAAAAAGTACAATTATACACTCCAAGGTTTAACTTTTAGTTTATTTGTATTATTGATAATGTTATATTTTTGTTATTAACTTTAAGTCCATTTAAAATATATATATTAAATATAACTGTAATATTTTATTATGTTTCAACTTTTTATACATAGGGATATTTTAACATATTTTTAGTGATATAAATATTAAAATGTATTTATTAATTATATTGTAATTTTATAGCCTTAAAGGGAGAAAAATATAATGGCAATTGTTTCTGTGATTTTAGAAATATTTTGAATGATTGTATTGAAAAATAATATTTTTTTTTAAAATATAGTATTTTGTTTGCGTTTGTATTTGTGTAAATTTGTATTGTATTTTAAATACACCACATTTATTTATTTAAATTATTGTAGTATAAAATTAAATGCATACCTTTTAATTAAGTACTTTAAGGTAAATTCTGAAATATTTATACCACTTAAATATTTTATAAGAAAATTATTTTAGTTAAGTATTAAAGGTGTGACGAAGTGTTTGATTTTCAAACTGAAAATTGCAAATAATTGAACCGAACCAAATACTCAATAGTTCAGTTTGAAAATAATTCATTGCAGATCCTATGCAGTCACCAATACGTTTTTCTGTAGTGAGAGAGAGCAACCTTGTTACGGAAAAAAAAATTCTATTTTTCTTCGCATAGTGGTTTCATAATCGTAAATCACGGAATCAAGCAGTTTTAGAACCTAGATTTTTGACCTTACTATGTTCGAATTTGAAAAATTATTTTACAAGTTTGATTCGGTTTGCGTTCAAATAAAAATGTGCAAGTTCGGTTCGGGTTTGTTAATTTTAAGAAAAGTTCAGTTCAAACTTAAAAATCAGGGTTAGTAACATCTCTATTAAATATATGTAAACTATAATTTTGTTATTTTTGATTTTGATAAACGAAATTTAATTTAATTTTTATTTTGGATTGAGTGAGTTCTTTTTAGGAAAATAATCATCTAATAACAAAAGTCAAACGTATAACCCATTTTTTAAAACAAAATATGCTTTACGTAGTCCTAACATAAATACATGTAATTTGAACAGAAAGTTAATAATAGTTGTACTTGGTGGTAAACAAAAAAAATTAAGTGTAACATAGCATTTTTTTTTATTAGAATTTTTATGTCAAATTTTGAAAAAAATTATAACTATTATGGCCTTTTAAAACAGGTATACATAAGGTATAGCTGAATGCTACTTAAAACCGTTTTTCATTAGCAATAATTAATCGTTGCACATAAGAATACACATTAAATTCTCCTCTATATCTATCTTACCTTCTCAACTTCTCTCCTATAACAGTGGCCTACCACATCGTGCAATGTATGTCTGTGATTTTTGAGTCATAAGTTATACGTGACAGATCCATAATACAAGTAGTAAATGAAAAAAAGTTAGAGAACCTCCGCATTAGAGAAATATTGATAACAACAAAAGAATTTGCAATGATCATAGTAGGTATATTATATTTATTACTGTCATGCCTGGCTTAGCCCGTGCAATATAAAGTTTCTTCCCATGTTTACCTAATAATAAATATTTTATGTTTTTATTTCGTCTGTATCAATATAGTTGTACGCCTTCATCCCTATCACAGTTAACCCATGACATTTGTGTCAGATTAAATGCCTATGTTATCCTTTATCCCCATCCTTACCTCTGTTGGCAACCATTCTAACTCTTTTCTGTCCCTTAATAAGGCTCTAAGTATGAGATATTGTTTAGGTAAAAATCAAATAAAATTAATTAAATTTATATGAATAATTATTAAATACATAAAAAGTGAAAGCTATAATAGATGTTTGTTGAAAACAATGTAAAAAATAATTAACACGGTTGTGATCAGATTTGGACTTGAGGCCGCAACCAGCAATTTAATGTAAATGTTACTGCTCTTATGTACTTATTATGCGTGATAGTAGTTTTTAGCAAATTTAAATGGTGGTAAAAACTTATTGAAATACATACTTATCAATTGTTTTAAAAATTAATAACATTTTTATTATCTTGCAAAATTGGAAATGATGTTTAAGCATAAGAAACTAATGTATTTCAATAATTATTTGTATTATTAACTATGTTAATCTTTTGTTTTCACTTGAGTATAATATGTAATGATAATGGTAATATAAAAAGTAAGTCCTTATAATTTAGCAATTATTCTTGAAAATGCTAATTTGGTATACCACACAAACAGTGGATAGACTTGGTTTAGACTTTAGAAAAAAAAAATTTTTTAAGTGACACATTCAATAAAACTTACAGGTTGATTTCACTTGTCCAACATTTTTAAACAGTCATCTTTAGTCTTTTGTTACTAAAATACATCAACATCATTAACCATTATTGTATTTTAACATTGTTATATATTAAATTATATATTACTTTTACCATTGTTATTTGTTATATATTAAATATAAATTATAATGTTTAAAACTACTAGGCACAGAGAAACACTGAAACTTCTAATATTATATATAACTAATATTCTAATAAACAGAAAACTCTTATACCGAAATCTAAAAATTAATTTTGGGTTAAAGGGTTAAATTATTTGATTGGAAACAAATAGCAATTAGCTTAGATACCTATATTTGTAGGATAAATTTAGTTTTTTATGACTACATTTTTAAAACTTATATGTATTGATGTTTAAAGAATCAGTTAACAAATTGGGGTTCTTTGTCAGCAATGTTAAGCTCAGCAACATTATTTAACAAAGATTAGCCACAACAATGGTGTAATAATTTATGTGATCCCAGTCGTGAAGTTAGAATATAATTTATATTTTTCAAATCAATATTATATACTCATAACACTTATTATGCCACCTAGCTTACATATTTTAACTTGAATAAAACATATCTCTTGATATTTGGGAACATAAAATAATATATACCTATCACTTATTTAATTACAATAATATATATTGTCATGTATTTAATCAATATATATATATAATTTAAAATATTTCATATTAATACTAATACCACTAAGAAACTAAATACTATATGGTATTGTAATGTTTAATTATAGATAAAAGTTTGTATTTTTTATTGGATATGTGGTATTACTGTACAGCATCAGATCAATAACTTTCAAAAGTGTAGTGGTACCTTCTAAAAGTAGGTAAGAAGTGACAAATTGTAAAGCTTTCATTTTTTGTATGATAAACTGCATATAATGGTTACAGTTAAAACAATTAAGAATCATTATCAGAAACTATATTATATTGGATAATTTTAAATTAGTAACAAATATGTAAATTTATTTAATTCATATAGTATTGGTAAAACAAAATTTCATCATGGTAACTAAATCAGTATCATGTAAGTTAATAATTGAATTATAAAATATAGCCTAATAAATATAATAGTTATTAAAATATTTTTTTTCCAGTTATTGCTAAAATCAAAAATCTTCAAGATTATCAATTGCGATTGAGCTACAACACGATGCCTTGTCCTTCTGGACTAGATATAGCTAACTGTTTAAAATATTTTTCTCAAGTACTTTTAAGTAAGTTTGAAATATTATATTATACTATAAATATTAATTTATTAATAAAATAATAAAGTTAAAACAAAATTATTAAATGGTTAATACTCGTAAATAAATATATAAATAAATATCTTATGTGTAAAAATAAATAAATTAATAATAGCGTTTTACTTTTTGACTTTGTGATTTACCTGATTGTAGATTTTTAATTTAAAACCGTGTGTATAATTAAAATTATTATTATTTTGTATGGCAATATTATTAAAATAATAATTTAATTGTGTGCTCTATTTTCTATTTCAATTTAAGAGTTTTTTATTATTATTATTTATAAACAAAATATACAATTTATACCTCTTTAACACATTAACAATATATGATTAACGAATGTACAGCAGGTGACATTTTTAATGGAAAAAAACCATTCAGTGGTGGCACTACATTTTTTGTTATTTATATTTTAATTGCTATTTTAGAAGATCATGACACTTATTTCTTTTGAGCCTTGTTTAAGAGTCACCAGAAATTGTGGTTGTAGCTAAGTTAAATATGAGGGGCTGCGATGGAAAAGTAATTTAGAGTAAAATCTTTAAGAGTTTATCAAATTTGTTTTTTAGACAATTCTATATAGGTAGGTAGTATCTACCTACTTGTTTTACTTTTTTTTTAAATTATAACTTAATGGGACAAGCTCTTTAAAATAGATGTAAATATAAAACTTAAATACTAGGGATAATCATAGAATAATAATTAATAGGTAATACATTTTTCCAGATTGTATGCTTTTTATATTATTTAAAAACATGTATTATTTTTTAGCAATATTAAAGGAAGTTCCTAAATCCCCGCACGAAATGATTTTACATCCAGAAATGGATGCCACTCGTTTAGCACTCTACCCAACATTGGATTACATAGGCTTATATTCTGCTCTTGAATCATTACTTCACGCTGCATCTTCTATAAATACTGGTTTACAAGGTAAGTAAACCACTATTATTATTATTTAAAAGAGTTTATAGAAAATTGAATCACAAAAAAATTATAAAAATCTAAATATTTTTGAATAAATAATTAAGTATGAATTCAATATCAATAGTCTATTTAACTGGCTATTGATGGTAATGACCAGGTAGTCTACATTTACATAATTTCTCACATTAACATCTTTGATTATAACACATACCTACAGTCTGTAAATACTATATCCTTACACATCCTTTTTATAAAGGAGTTTTAGTATACAATTTTGACGAAAATTGTTTGAGTCAAAAATTATGTGGAACAAATCTAGTTACTGGTCAATGCAAATTGTTCAATACATATACATGTATATTTCCGATTTAAGATCTATGGTAAAGTCAGAATTTTACGGACTGAGTTTCAAAATTCTAGCTTTTTGAAGTTCTGGTATTATGTGGATATTATACCTATGTGTTATATTAAATAAAATAGGTAACTCAATTTTGTCAATTTTATAGTAGGTACCTATGTCTGTCGTAGTTTATTAGTGGTAGGTATGAGGTATCTATCATTATCCTAGAAATTGTAAGTTCAAATTCAAATTCCATAAAAACATTTTGCTAAACCACGTCGGGTATGAAAATGTGTATTACTGAGTTTAACAACCAACTAAAAAAACAAAATTAAAATTATATAGCTCAGTCAAAGGTATTAAGGGTTTTGAATAAGCGTTTACATTCCCTATTTTAATAAAATCTTTAGTAAGTAAGACACAATATATCTGTAATATTTATTTCATTTTGATGCATTTTTTGCAATTAATGCAATTCATTTTTTTAGCATTTGGTGAAGCATTCAATCAATGTGTGGCTTGTTTGGTTCCTTTTCTTGGCGGTGATACTTTAGAAAGTTTGCCATATATGATAGCCACTGCTTTTCAAGTACTCCCTTCATCAGTTCATCATGACTTAATCAACACACTATGTTATTTTGTGATACCATTTACTATACGTAAAATAAAAATTATTTACTATTTTTTATAACCTATTTATTTTATTGAACAAAATAATTGGAATTTAATTTATTTTGGTTTTTCAGCAAGAAACAAATGCATTAACAATGCAGCTTTATCTGTAGCTGGGATTTTATTATTAGTATTTCAAAATACATTTGATACTGGTAATACAAAGTTATTATATTAATTCAAATAATTAAATTATGTTTTATTTTGTTTTCAGCATTACATTTACAATTGGTAGAACGTCTTATGACATTTAAAAAAAATATAAAGAAAGACTTACTTATTGTAATTGCATATGGTACTTCAGTGGCACGTTATCATGCTGCAAGATTGTTATTTAATTATTGGCCTTTGTATAATGCCAATAAATTTGATAGAAATAAACCAAAATCAATAGGTAAATATATATTTGATGCCTAGATTAATAAGTTTGAGAATTAACTAGAAAAAAAAAATGATGTTCTTACTTATCCTAGGTACCTATGTAGATACTCTTAATAGGTATATACCACAAGTTAAGATTTATACACTTATATTCTTTGATTGTCAGGCACGTATATTTCAAATTTGCCACTACAACTCAGGAATGACAATAATTGCATTATAGATTGTGAGCTCACCTGAGATATATTTTGTCTGGCGATAAGGCAGTGGTGATATTTTTTAATAATGCCATTAGTCATAAATGCAAATTCCAAGTAGCCCTTGAACACTCAAAACTCTCTTCTTCTCATTTGCCTTCATCACAGATATTTGGATTCAGCCATCCTCGTTATATACTTCCACTTGACTCAATCTCCCTCCTCACATACATCAGCTATCTTTATGTCATTCTCAATTGCATCTATCGACCTCTTTTTTGGTCTTCTTCTCTATCCTTTTCTTCTCACGTAAATTTTCATTATAATTCTTACTGCTTCAGATTTCTCTCTCCCTGTGACATGATCAAATCATCTTAGTCTATTTTTATATCATTTTGTCTATTATTAAAGCTTCTCCTAAGTTAACTCATAAGTATTCATTCTTTATTCTATATTTTCTTGTCACGCCACTTATCCACCTAAGCATTCCCATATCTGATCTAATTTTCTATCTATAACCCAACACTGAACTATACAACATAGTCAGTCTTACCAAATTTTTCTAGAACTTAACTTTAAATCCCATTGGATGTCCTTTGTCACTTAAAACACCTGGCGCTTCTTTTCATATTATCCAATCACGCTTAATCCTATGTTTCACATTCTCATGAGATCCACGTTCTTTTATAAGAAAACTCAACTTCACCTATAACCACTTATTAATATTAGCTGCCTTGTGCTGTTCATCCAAACTCTGTTTTTTTTCTACTTATCCTTAGTCCCTTTCATTCAAATGTTACTCTGCATTCCTCAAATCTATTGTTAACTTCTTCTAAATTTTCGCATTTCAAATTTTGATTATTATAAGTTTTACACAATAGTAGAGCAAAAATTGAAAAATAACTCAATTTTAAAATGTATTTTACCGAATTTTGCTTATAATTGATTTTATTAGGGATTATTTATCATTGAGAACAGACATAAATCAAATAATTCTATGTGTCCCATTACCTTATCTTCCCAGTTCTCAACTTTCATAATTTGTTTATAATTAATTACAATAGATTTAATATACAATTTATTCACTACTTTTAGGAAATTGGTTGGCATTATTATGTCAAAAAAAAAATTGTCCAAAAGTAGGTTATGGTCCTGCTGAACGAGTATGTTTAGATCATGAACTATCTATGAAACATGCTGAAAATTGTCCACCGCCTTTTTATTTATGTGCTGATTGTGCTGAAGACTTACATAATAAAAAGCCAACCTATCAATTTCATATTGTTTTACAACCATTACTATTAGCCACCTGGAAATGTGAATATAAAGTAGGTAGCTAAAAAATTAATTTTACTTTTTTTAAATGCTTAAAATATATTTAAAGAATATTATAACACATAGGAATGTAAATCGCAAAATACTATGATTTGCGTAACTTGTTTTTCACCCGAGTGTGCCTCTATGAACAAAAACAGACCTATACGATTATGTTCGGATTGTTATAAAAACATCCATTCTGAAAATGTTGACCATATTGTTCACTGGACTCTAAAATCATCTGGAGAATTAGATAACGATATGCAAACTTATTTGGTTGAATCTATTGTTAGGTATTTAGATATTTCTTTGAATTCATTAATTTAATATATTTATAATAAAAATTATATACATGTATATTATAATCTTTAGTTTGTTAAAAGAAGTCCGTCCACCTATCTCAGAAGCAACTAAAGAAAGTCAAACTAAAGCAGCTGTATTTGGTGCTAAGGTAAAAGGAACAATGTCCTCTAGCAAGACAGATAAAGAAGATGAACAACCAGAAGTCACAATAAATGATAGACAACTAATGGGTAGAACTGGTGTTTGGTTATTGGTGGCTTTATATCGAATAGAAGATCAAAAACCTCCATGTTCTAGTATAATGGGACGATTGTTGTCAATACTATTTCACTGGTTTCATGTCACTGCTTATTCCTATGATGGTATATTTAAACTTTAGATCTAAACAAAAAAATTAACAAAATTATTTATATTTATTTTTTTGAGAAAGTGAGAAGATAGGTCTTTTTAAAAACTTAGGTATTATAATTTTATTGTTTTAATATCACTTTACTGTAGGTATACTTAAAAAAACTTTGTTTAAATTTGTTCTTTCTTTACTTCATAATTATCAAATTACTTGTTTATAATGCTATTTTTATTTAGAAATTATTTTAATTGTATGTTAATTGTATGTTACTATGACATATTTATTTTAGATCAACAAGAATGTACCTTAGAATATATGAAAACTGAATATATAGGTGAAAGATGGTTAAAAGGTGTTAGACAACATTATTTTGAAGCGTTTGTTAACTGTTTATTACCTTGTCCTCCAGAATACGCACAAGTTGGTGGCAATTGGTATATCACCTAAAATATTAAAAAATATATGGTTTAATATAATAAGATGTTTCATTTATAGGGATATGTTAGCAAGTCAAACTGCATTAATAAGAAATGGTCTAAATCAATTATTATGTTTGGTTCCTTATGACATTGTCACTTCAGAAATATGGGAACTAATAATGCCACATTGGTTAGAAGCTATTGTTCAAGATGTTCCACCTGGCGAATTAGCAGAATTGCGAATGCTTTTATGGTAAACATAGTATACATTGTGTTCTAGTAAAGAATAGCTAACTCTAATAAGTGTTACTCCATACTCTATATGTAGCTATAAGAATAGGTTTTTTTGAATTTTTTTTTAATGTCAAAACTTTGGTTTTACAGAATTTATTTGTAAAATATTCATACAAATATCACTGAATTTGGGTATTTATTATGTTTTTTACATTTAGTTCTGATAGGATCTTTAAATTAACACTTATATAAAAAATTGACTCCAATGAAATCCCCAACAAATGTATAATATACAGTTTATGTATTGCACCAAAATTATGATTTTGGACATGATGATAAGCAAAAAATAGTGGTGATAATGATTATTTTTGGAAAAAAATCGAGTGACCCCTATTTTGTAAGAGAACTTTACAAGAAATCCTCTGGTGCGGTTTATTTTTATTTTGTATGGATATTTTATAAATAAAACTAGTAAAACAAAAGTTTTGACATTAAGCCACATAATATAGAGTAAAACCCCGTAGAGTTGGCCATTCTTTTCTTGACACCTTGTTTAATAAATTATTGAATAATATCAATATTCTGGAAAATAAAAATAATTGATGTCTAATTTTTTCATTTATTATTTAAATTTAGCAAAATATTAGATTCAGATATGAGTCCTTTAGGATTTGATGCTACTAAATTGTACAATTTTATCGGTGTCCGCTTTAAAGGTACAGCTGCTAAAGTACAAGAACAAGCTTTAACTTGGATCCAGGTAAAATATTTATAATAATTGATTTAAATAATGTTATTCATTTGATTACATAATAAATTAATCGAATGATTATTTAAAAAATACTTGACAGGTATTAACCAGTTTAGAAATTGGAATACCAATACAATTATTATTCAACTTCTTTAAAGATGGAGTAGAAAGCTTAAAGAATATCTATATCAATGAAAATATTATAGAATCTGGTTTTGTAAAGAGTAATTTAAGTTAGTATCAACCTATTATTATGAGTATTGTATATTTAAATTAAATAATAAATAAAAGTACTTTACATTTTTTAATAGTGATTATTTATTTCAGATCCAGTTATAATTAAACGAACAGAAAGCGTCACTGATGATGAAGATAAACAAAATTATAATACTAAACTGGAATTGTCAGAAGATGACGTGAAACTTAGCTGCTGTGTATTAATGCTAGATATAATATCTAAACAAGTATTAAAATAAAAAATAACTAAAATTTTTTCAGTGAGATACATTAGGTTTTGTAATTTGTTAAATATTAATTTAGATTGAATTACATGGAATTGAAAAACACACCGGATTTGGAAGTACAATAAACCATGATGTTTGTAAATTAATTACTAATACCTTAGTTTCTGGTTGGTTTACTAAGTCTCACACAGATTGTGATAACAAAATAGAGTGTATATCGTATGAACTAATGGTTTTATGGCACCAACTTGCAAATTCTTTAGTGGAATATATTTCTTTGCCTAATTTAGCACATCCTCCTGATGTAAGTAAATAATACATTATCATAGATTTATAACGTGTATTTATTAGAATTCTAAATTATTATTACTAAAAGTTTTATTTGCAGGATCCAATTATAGATGAATGTTTTTCTGAGGATACAAAAAAAACACCAACAGAAGTTGATAAAAAAGAATCAAAATATGAAGGAACTAATTTATCTTTTATGTTAACCCCGGATACTATTGGTGGTCTTTTAGTAAACATGCCCCAAGTAAAGGCTTAGTAAAATAATAAATAATATGTATTAAAACTAGATGTCCATTAGATGAAGGTATATCAAAACTATTTTTTTTCTAGTGTTGATTTTCTATCATCACACTTTTTCTCCCTTCATACTTAACCAAAATCGATATTTGAGATAACATTTTAAAGGTTATATTCCCTTGTTTTAAATTCACAAATGCACACTGTTTTTCGAGCTAGATTTCCATCATGATAAAATAATTGGACGAAAATCTCTTGCTAGGGAAATGTAACTGCTTTAGTTTTTATGAGTTTATTTTTAAAATGTGAAGTATGTATAAATACAAGTATATATATAAACTAGTGTATTTTATATATGCATATATTTCACTTTAGTTTTTAGATTCTGAGTGGAGGGAAGAAGCTTATGGTTTTGCAATGTTAATTTTTTTTATCTGTGAACAATAAACCAGAAATATTGATTTACAAACGTAGCACTTTTTCTGAAAGGAAACCAGACTGGGGTGGTAGGTACTTTAGGGAGGTCGTCATTTTTTAATTTTCTCAATAAATGTGAAAAATCGGGAAAATAGATACAATATTAAACTAATATTATTAAAAATATACATAATTCCTATGTAATTATTTTACCATAATATGACTATTTATATTGATGACAAAGCAACACTATCAACTGAACTTGTATTAACTTGTAATAACAGTTTTTTATCCGTGATATCTAGGTAAGTTAAATTTAAAAAATTCAATTTATGTTCCAAAATTACCATCATATTCTATTTATATTTCATCCAAATCCATTCTGTTGGTTTGGCGTGATTGAGTCACACTGTCACTAACTTTTACATTTCAATGAGAAGTTATTAAAAATAAATCAAAACATAGTCAATGGTAAATAATGAAATAGTTAAAAGTACGAGTTAGTGCTTAATTATTTCAGGAGCTAGGTAAGAAAAATATCTACACAATTTTACTTTGACAATAGAATTTTAAAAATGGGTTAAAAATTAATTTTTGGTGTATAGCAATACAATTTCAGGAATTAAATAGGCAACATTATTTTTTAATTTGGGAACCACTGCTTTTTTATTAATTATTGCTAATATTACCTTATTAAATATAAAATAATACTTACCTTGGTATAATCATTTGTAGATTTGTAGAATATGTTGTGGAATATAATTACATAGATAATAAATCATTTAACTACAGTACAATACTCTAATTAGATGTAGTCAGTAATTAATTTATTTGATACTTTGGTTAAAAAACTAATGTAGTTAGTAAAATAATCTAATGTAATACACACAAGTTTAATTGTGTAGGTACTATTTTAAAAAAGACTGGCATACTTCGCACGATGGGTGCAGCCACTGTTATTGATGAGAAGTTGGGAAAGTAATATATAGAGGGGAAATTAATTTGTATCTAAGCAACAATAAACCATTGCTTACTAAAAACGATTCTGAGTGGAGTTCAGTTGATAGTAATGCTTTGCCAACAATCTATATATATTATGGTGAAATAATTAAATAGGCATTATGTATTTTCTTTAATAAAATTTGTTTAATACTGTATCGATTTTTCCGTTTTTCCCCATGGTTTTATCCCAGTTTTTCACATTTGCTGGGAAAATCAAAAAAAGATCTAATGTACCTTCCCAGTCAGATTTCCTTTTAGAACAAGTGCTATCATTGTAAATCACTACACTTAGAATCTAAAATACTAACATATAATTTTTCATTAATAATCTTATATTTGTATATCTATTTAAACCTATATAATTAAAGCTCATTATTTATTTTGTTCTCTTTAAAAATTTAAATATTTGGTACTAAGTTAGTAAAGAAATTAACTAAAATATTAATTTTGAAATAAAAAAATACATTTTAAAATTGACATAGATATAATAATAATTTGAATAACTAAAACCATGTTAATAATTTTATAACTTGATATTTGTAAACATACAAATTGATTAAAGTACTACTAAAATTATAGAAAAATCAATCCATTATAGAAAATAAATCAATAATTTACAAAAAATATATATTACTGTGCATATAAAATTTGATTTGTACAGTGCTAATGTTAAAACTACTAAAAATCTAAATGTTAATATCTTATTTCTTACCGAACATAATAAAACTTACATTAATCAAAAATATAAACAGATATTTAGTGTTTACAATTTATGTTATCTTAAAAAATTATGTATAATGTTTTAATGTTTTAATATATTTTTTAAACGTCTAATATATAATTATTTTTACAGCTAATGACTGCTACAGTTGAAACTGTAGTAGAACAGTTAGATTTAACTCCTGTCATGCCAGCAATTGCTAGAGCTATTACATTAACAGAATCTGATGTTGGTAAATATTTTTCTACGCTTTTATTTTTAACTAATGTAAATAGGAAAACAAAATAGTTTATTTATATAAATAAAACTATGACTTATATTACATTTTAGTTTAAATAAATATATTTTTTAATTTTTTAGGATTAGCCACAGCAAGAGTTGCACAAGCTAAATTAATGAACGAATATGATGAACCAATAGATGAATCTGTCCATAATATACAAGATTTTTGGCAAACAGAACAAGGAAGATTTCGAATCAAAATTGAAGAACTTCCTGACCAGTTACAATTAGTTTATCATATTCTAAAAGTAAATTTTAAAGTTTATGGGAAAAATCTAGATCTTAACTTTTTTCTTATTGATACTAATTTTAATTTTAAAATTAAATCATTAAAAAAAAAAAAAACAAATCTGTTTTATCTAGTACATGGTTTGTTGAATATCAATGAATGCATATTTTTAATGTTTTTACTTGTCATAGATCATTGTTCTACATATATGTTATTAAAATAATAGAATATTTGCAACCCCCTCCCCTCAATAATGTATCAAAATACTAAAATCTTCCTAAGAAGTTTAAAAATTTATATACAAAGCTTATTAGTTATCACTCCATAGCCATTATAGTTAATATATCTAGAATAATAGGGAAATAATTAACTAAGTAACAGATGGTACTATTTTTATGATATACTAAGTAACATAAAGATTTGACATATGAAATAACTTTTGTTCTGTTCAATTTTTAAAATTTTTCTTTTCTTGTGATAATTACTTGAGTCTTGTATTATGATTTCTCTATTATAGATTTTTTTTATGACAAAATACAAATTATTAATTTTTTTAATCAAATCTTTTTATATTATCCAATAAAGTCATTTTATAAATATATTTTGAAACAAAACTTTGGTACAAATGATGAAACGATAATTTTGAAATTGACAATAATTAATTGTTTTCATTGTTATTACTATATAATACAAATTGATTTTTCAATTTGTGCATAAAAAATAATTTTGTTAATGATTTTTGTAAACTTCAAACAATTATAAAAACTTAGTATTTCATTATTAGTTGATATGTGTAACACCAAAATTTTGTTTTCAAATTTATATTTGTTTATAAATGTCTATCTTAAACAATTTTTATTGAAATGTTTAAAAAAAAAATTTTAAAAAGTGTTGATACTGAGGACAGTTGCTGCCACTGTTGTAGATGAGAAGTTGGAAGATAGGGTACATAAAGTTATTTAATTTATATCTGTATTTAATGATAATTCATTACTAACAAAAAACAATTTGGAGCTAAGTTCGATTACATATATTTTGAAATGCCGTAATTTTTACAATTTTTATTAAAATTTGATACTAAATTTTTTTAAAAAAAACTAACTCATTAAACTCATATTTGATTTTAAATCAGATGTAATTTTTCTCTTTTTTGATTTTTCCCAATGATTATAAAAACTAGAAATTATTACATAAAAAACTTAAAAATATTAAACAGCCAAAAGTTATTTCATATGTCAGATTCGTGTTATACTTATATATTAATATTTTTTGTACATATTTAGGAATTCCCTAAAACAAGCGATACTAGTTTCAAGTATTATTTATTACAGTCCCTATATCTTATGGTTCTTCATAGTGATACATTGAATAAAGCTGTTAAAGAGCACAAAGGATTTGTAATATGGTGTCAAGAAAATTTAATAATTAAAAAGTAAGTATACATTTTAATAAAATGTATTATAATAATATTATATTAGCACAATTTATGGGTATGTAGACATATTGTTATTTACTACATTTATATAAAATATCTAGTATAATTTTTATATTTATTTAGCATTTGGGATTGCATTGAAGGTATTAAATCGCATCTATGTGAAGTCGCTATACCTGTTATGCTTCATTGTATATCACTACCATGTGGTAGTGACATTTTTTGGAAATTAATCAGAGATGAATTTCATAGTTCAGATTGGCGTACTCGATTCAATGCAGGTAAAAGTAGCTAGTACCTGCACTTATATTTTAATAAAACTTTGAAATTAAATTATGTTATAATGTTAAAATAAAATAACATATTTTTGCTAAAAGTGGAAAAAGTGGTGCTGATATCTAGGTTCATGGACAATACTCCATTGAGAAACAATCCTCCACTTCAATCATGTATAACAAATGCCTTTTGTTATCTATTGTCAAGTATGGATGATCGCAGTTCTTATGTAGCCACAAGAGCAACCCTTCTATTACCTACTATTCATGATTCCGCATTAAAGGTAGATAACATAAATAAAAGTTGTATTTACTTAGATCTTATTATTTTTTGGTACAATTTGTATTAATTTTATGTGCAGAATTTAATTCATTGTATGGAAATTCATTTTGACACAGTAATGGTTGATAGACCTATGATATTACAATCATTGTATCAGTTACACAATACTTTGAATGACAGAAAAATATTATCATGGGAGTTTTTCTTGGGACGTTTTGATGCTTTATTTATTGAAGCACAAATACAATTAAAAAAAAGTGGCGATATAACGCATGTACGAGGTAAACAATTGCATACATTTTCAATAAAAAAATTAATTTTTCAATTTTAAGGTAATTTGAGTTCATATAAAAAACATTATTCTTAATTGTATTAGATTTAAAAAATTCTGATATCACTAGTGATTCATTTATAAAAAAAGTTCAAAGAGCTCATGAAGCTATGTCACATTCCTCGGAATCAAATTCTGTACGAACACTAAGTGCAAGTTTTGGTCAAAAGTGGCCATACAAGAGAACTATGTCTGCACCAGCTTCCACGCTATCAAGGAACGATCCAAAATATGGTTAGAAATAACATATAATATAATAATGAAAGTAATTTTAAATGAACTTAGCATAATATTTTAAAACCAAATTTTGATTTTGGCTTATGCGCTATAAAAATGAATAAATAATTAGTGACATTCAAATTTCTAGAAAAATATTCTGTATTCAAATCTGTGTTCAAAAAAAGGGGGGGTTCCGATTTGAAAATTAAAAGTATGTATCTACTTATTTAAGGTATATGAAGTAGGGGTAGATAAAAATTATACATGGTTTTAAAATAAACTCTTAACGAATATAATGATGAGAAAAAACAGAAATCAAATTCACTTAAACTCTAAAATAATTGCTGTTTCATGATAAAAAAAAATCACTCTGTATATTAGATTCTGAGTGGAGCGAAGAAGCTTATGGTTTTATAAAGATGTTTTTTTTTTTTTTTTTACTGTGGACAACTTTTCTACCAGAGGACTTGCTCTCTACATATCTCAACTTTTCTAAAAGGATATTTCACTGGGGAGGTACTTTAAAAAGTTCGTTTTTCGATTTTCTCCAGAGTTTTCTCAACAAATGTAAAAGTCGGAAAATATAAAAAAATGTAGGTGGGTATTAGTTAAAATATATTACGGCCTTCTTGTTTTGCTGTGCACACCTTTTCTACCAAAAATTTTGTTTCAACTTATAATGATAGCAATGTTTTTAAAAGGAAATTTCACTAGAAAGGTACTGTAGAAGGGTCATTTTTTGATTTTCTCAGGAGATTTCTCATCAAATTTGAAAAACCGAAAAAACAGAAAAAGCATAGGAACACTGGAAAAATCGGTACATTTAAACAAATATTATTAAAGAAAATATGTAAAGCCTATTCTATTTAATTATTTTACTATAAAATGACATATATTGTTGACAAAGCATTATTATCAACTGAACTCCGCTCAGATTTTTTTGTATGCAATGGTTTATCGTTACTTACAGGTATACATTAAATTATCTATAACAGTGGCCTCATTATCCTAGGACGTCCTTATTTACTTTTCTAGTAAAAGTTGCAGAATAGAATAAAAATTAATTATAATAAAATGCTTTTACAATATATAAGTGAAATTATCATGTTGCAAATGATTTGGAATTTGTACAAAAGGACGTTTCAATTCGTTTAATATAGCTTTCATAACATTTCTTTGATAAGAACTTATACCGCACGTGAAGCAAAGAAAAAACGGAGTAGTCAAGTGGACACATCAAAGCCTTATTAGGTGGCATGCACTTTTTTGAATGTTTATACATTTAAGGTCATTAAAAAACCATGGGGGAAACTTAGACTTCTTGAAGTCAACTCTCAGCACAAAACTAAAAATACAAGAGTGATTATAGATCTATTCTGTGTATTGAAATCACATTTTGATTTTTCATGTAATTTTCTCAATAATTAGAAAAATAATAAGGAGACAGAAATTTTGTGGTATTAATGGTTTTATTATTTTCGATTTAGTCTTTTTATTATAATTCAGTTAAAAATACCCATACAAATCTACAATTTATATAGAATTCTAATATTAGCCTTTTATAAAAGTGGTAAATGTTCAAAACTTTCTATATATAATAAACATTTTTAAGCTATTTATAACAATTTAACATTTTTGAGTTTTTTTAGTTTTTATTTGGTAGGTATTAAGTGTATAAAATTGTTTGACTAAACAAAAATGATTGAACAGTTTAACACGAGGTTTATTGTAAATTGTATTTAGAGGTAAAAAAAAAAAGTTGAGTGAATTAGTATTTTTTTATAAGTGTTTTAAGATTAAATTTTGGTGAAAATTATATAAATTATTACATTTCAAAACAATATATGCCTGAATTTTGTTCAGAATCTTTTTTCATTAATATAGCTTAATTTTTAAAAACAGGTATAAATAAAATTATTTTTTTATCTATCCTACCTTCTTAACTTCCTACCTTTTTAATACTTACATCTTACCAATGTCAAAATCAGAACAATTTTTTTTTGAAGAGGAGGGTAGTAAATTAAAAATGTTCAATGTTCTAATTTTATTGATTGAAATTATTATTTTTGCTCAATTTAATAGAACATGAACAAATTTCAGGGGAAAGAAGGAAGATTGAACTCTCAAAACTCAACAATAGGTATAGGGTTTCATTTTACAGCTACGTAAATTAAAATTATTTATGCATTATTAGTTGATACTTTGATGTTTTAGTTTATATTTTATTTTTTTGAGGCATCAAATAATGTTTTATAAGACTTATTATAACGCATATTTTAACTTTTTATAGAGCATTTATTAAAGTTGTTTAATATACCAAACTCTACCTTTAAATAATCTATGAATGTTAGTTTAAAATTTAAGATCATGTAAATTAATATGTCTAGGTGATAAAGTTTATAATAGGCAGTTTTCTGCTCCAATTTTGAAACGAAAAACATCACAGCTTATTACTCCAATTCTGTCAATCCTTCCAGGTACTATTGTAAAAAACTTGATATCATTTTTCTAATAACTACTCTACTTTGTAATAAATAATTTTTTGTAGATCATGCTTATGGAATAGATTCACACGAAGACAATGCTGGCGAGCTCTTACAGCGAATTGTTGATTTAGAAGAATCTGATAAAGAAACAAGCAGTTTAATTGTATTTCTATTTATGCAATACATGTCACGTCCAGAACACGTAATTTTAAACTACCTTATTATCTTAAACTTTAATAAGTTAATTAATTATTTATTATAGGCATATCCAGAAGAATCAAAACATGGAATAAGAGTCCAAGGTATTGTGTTACAGCATTTATATTTGTTATTAGGTTACAACTATAATGAAAAAGGATTTCTTTTACCACCAGAAAAATTAAGGTATTTATTTGTATTTTATAGTTTTTTTTTTTAGTTATTATTTATTAAAAAATTATTTTATAATTTGTATAGAGTTTTACCAGTTTTTAATTCATTTTTGTCAAATTTGCCACAAATGTTGGATCAAAATTTTACAATGGGTCATGTTATTGCACCGACTGCACTTTTATTGCTTCAATATTGTCCTTCTCCTGAAGCACATTCTATTAATGCAACATATTCTTTATGGTTTTTAGAGCCAATGGCTAGAAAGTCATGGCTTATGTCTGTAATGGTATTTCTTTATAAGGTAAATACTAAACAATAAATTATATTTGTTTATGTTATCTAATAGTTTACTTGATTGGGTCACTTTAATTTCAGTACAATTTTGATAAAGAACCTGTTAGCCCCCTTGTAGTATCATTAATGGAGATAGTTTTGAATACACTAAATGCACAACAACATGTTTGTAACAGAATACCTCCAACAGTTGTAATGCCAGATACTTCTAAAACTAAAAGTTTGTAATTACATTTGGATTTAATACTATACAATAGATAGTAATATTTAATATTTTTGCCATATTTAAGTTGAAAAAAATGGCGAATCTTTTTTATGCATGGAATCACAAAAGTTATATGAATCCCAACCATCCACCTCAAAAAGATATCCAATGAGCATGGAAACTCACTGGGAAGAAGGTCCATTTCCTAAAAGAACTCCACATAAACAAGGATCTACGTATGTAATTTATCAAATTATTTAACAAATACGTATATTTTTATATTAATAATTCAACACCCAGATGGACAATTTTACATAATTGTTGTTAATAATTTTAATATTTAATTAGTGGATCAACCGAACCAGATGAAACAGAATCAGATTTAGCCATTGCTCCAGAAAAATATAAATCTGACAGTACGACCGGTCACTATAGTTCACACGTAAGTACTTATTACTATTTATACATTATATATTTCATTTTAATACACTTACCTAGTGCATATTTCTAGTAAATAAATCAAGTATTTAATATGTGTATAAATATTATGAAGGGAATTTGATTTTGGGATTTATTAATAAATATTTTTAAAATTGTATAATTGGTTTCTTGAAAATCAAGAAAAATTTTGAAATGTATTATGGTTTTTATCATGTGTTTTACTATTGGTGTTTTATCTCTAAAAACAATTTAAAAAGACTTAGTTCTTTTTTTGGATGAACACGTTTTTTATATATATTTCCAATTAAAAAAACAGATAGCAAATGTTTTCATACATTTATATATCCCTCAATTTATTGGTGTATTTAAATTATGAACAAATTGTTTATGAATATTAAAAATTTTAATTCTTATTGCCCATATATGCAATATAACTTACTATTTTGAAATGACAGCACACATATTTTTACTTACATACTTTTTTTTCATGAAACTTTTTTTTATTCCATATATTAACAATTTAAAGTTTTAATAATACATTTTTTTGTACAAACATATGCACACAAATTAAAATGTTGGAGAATGTCTTATAAACACTATAACAAAGCTTAACTTAGAATTGTTTTTTGAATGTGGAGATTGACTAGTTCTTTCAAATTTATAAAACTGGCTCAAATTAAGATGATTAAATTAAGATACTGTACCTATATACCTATCATTTCCAGCTTTATTTATGTGTTTGCTAATGTTTGCATGTGTTATCAAATGTTATTTATAATTACCTCTTAGTTGAATAATTTATTCAATTTTTTTAAATGTATTTTTAAATTAAATTTCAAAGTAATATTGTTAGCAACTATTTTTATAATTTTACAGGGTTCATTTGATGATTCAGTGGATGAAACCTATAGTAGAAAAACACCACTTAGATCATTTTGGTCAAATGAAAATAATATTGATGTAAGAAAATAATTAAATGTTTATGAATAATTATAGGTTAAAATGTAAATTAAATAATTTAAGGAAAAGGCGGATAAATGGGGCGTAAAAGAAGGAATGAAAATGTTAGCAACATCAGCAATAATCAGTGTTGCTAATCAACCAAATTTTTTAACACCACCAGTGCTAGCGACTACTTCAACTTCATCACCTGAAATAAATACAACATTAAAGTAATTAAAACAACATATACAAATATGATTTTGAGAGTTTTAATTATATAGATATCTAAATTAAATCTTTTAAGAAAATGTGAAGAAACAATTGAAGATAATTTCCAGTATAAATTACGTACATTATACAATCCAAAAGATAACAGTCAAACATCAACATCATCTTCTTCAGTAACATCACACCCACCAATAATTTCAAATATAAAAGAAAAATTATTATTACACAAACCACCGCCAAAATTTTATAACTGTCCAGAATCTCCTCTATCAAAAATGAAAATACATCCTAACTCATCATTTTCCAATGGTAATGACATTGAGTAAATATTTGTACTATTTGTATATTTAAACAAAGGTTCTATTATTGACAATTATGGTAAACTAAATAATATTATGTGAAAAGTTGATACAAATTTTGAATATTTAGATGAAATTCAGACAGATTTGGGATTTAAATTGGAAGTTAAAATAGAAAAAAAACCACTAGAAATACCAGCACAAGAACGCCTATTACCAATTGGAACAACAATAAATCTTGTGCAAAAAATTAACAAAACTTTTGGCTTAGGAGACATGGACTCGACATCACAGTCATCATCCCTTAATAGAGAAGATAGCTCTGAAAAAGAACAAGTATATATTACTGCAATTGTATTGTTTGTCTATTTAATACAGTGCTAACAATGATATAATTATGGGCGGACATAACATTTAATAAAAGTTCCAGCACCTCTCTTGACTCCCTAATGAAAATCTAAAGTACTAAATATGTGCTTACTGATTTATCTAATTGGAATGTGTCAATAATTTTAGATTGTAATAAATATAATAATTATACAGGATTTTCATTAAAATATAATGTAGTCTTTGAATTATTAAACTTTAGATTTTATAGTAAATTAGTTAATTAGTGTACAATTGTTACGTTACCTTAGAGTTGTAAAATTTAAAATTATGAAGTACATGTGAATCAGTTATAAATGGGTTAGAACATAAAATCATAAATAATGTATACAAATAATAACAATTTAACACACATATATATATATATATAAAATATATTTTTTAATTATATTTTACAGAAAAGTAACCACCATAGCCCACGCAAATTAATTAAACAAAGTGCTCTAGATAGTCCAGAAGACAATAAATCATCAACGTTTTCATCTATGCGACATTCTTTGAATTATGGAAATGATTCACATAAAAGTTCCAACAATTATCATAGGTAATAATTTTTCAGACCATAACAAATTATAATGGATTTTTTTATTATTAAATTAATTATTTTTATTTATTATATTTATTTAATTAAGATGGGCAATCAGTGATGTAACAAATGGGGGTAATATGGGTGAAAGGCACTTTTGGGCCACTGTAGAATTATGTATCATTGATTCTTACTGTTTAATAAACTGTATTTTTAAAAGCTTTATGGTAAGTGAGCCGCAAAAAATTGCCTTGCACTCCAAATAACAAATTAATAGTTGTGGCAATGTGAACAATAATATATTAGTATCTATATTAGGCTTAATGGCCTTTTTATAATTGATATTATTTTCAATATTCAATCAAAAAGTGTTTATTATTGCTATTACTATTATAAGGTTTTTACTGATTCATATAATTTTAGTTTTTGAGTAGAGTGAGAAGCTTATGGTTTTTAAAATATGTTTATTTTTTTTTTTTTTCTATTGTGAACAATTTTTCTACCAGAAATCTTGCTCCGATTTTTAAGTGTAGTACCTTTTCTGGAAGGAAATCAGACTATAGAGGTACTTAAGTGAGGTTATTTTTTTGATTTTCTTAGAAGTTTTCTCAACAAATGTAAAAATCCTAAAAGACCTTAAGAAAAACAAGAAAATGTACGAAATGTTTTACCTTATCATGCTATAATAATACCATCAGCAAACTGGAATTTTAGGCCCATCAGTTTTCATGTCATATATATCTTTAGTAACTGTACTAAGTGTAAATATTTATTTTACGCATCCACGATTTTTCCTGAAGTACTTCAAAATAAAATTGACAAATGAAGATTTAAAATAAAAATGTCTGAGTATACCTTTTGGTAGTACTTTTATTGTTTATTTTGATATTCAAATAAAGTTTATATGACCAAAGAAGTCTGAGTACTAATAAAAGTATGAAAACATATTTTTTCTAAATTGCCTGTTAGATTGATAAACTGCTGTGGATGAATGGGTTACATCTGCCATTCATGTTAAATAATACATTTTTTTTTTTTTTCATTTGTAATTAATTTTATCTATCAAGTATCTTAGGTATAGATATATGCAATATATTTTATTTATTCCAAAATCCTATTATTAACATAATTTATATGATCATATTTGTAAAATTCTTTAGAAATAGTCACTTTCAAAATTCAGATCCTCCAATTTATGGAACCAACTCACATAAAAAAGTTAGCAATAGTATGAGCCGCATTGGAATAGATTCTGTACAAGAAAGGTAACTATTTAAAATATATCAAATTATACCTATTTAAAAAATATAAACTTACTTGATAAATATATTTATTTTATGTAATTTTATATAGGTGTAGTGATTGTGGAACACGTAAAGAAGAATATAGTGATGATGAAATTGGACTTTGTGTTGTGTTGTTGGGAACTTTTGTTCATCGTGCTCCCTCAGTAGCTGCTTGCCTTTTACCTAAAATACTAATAGTATTAGCCAAGTAATTAAATTATTACACGGTATTTATAATGTTTTACTTGTATTTTTTTTTTTGTAACAGGTGTCATTCTAAACCCACTTTCTTATGGCAAAAAGATAGCCAAAAGTTTTTACCTTGTGGTTCAACTAGTATTGCTAAGAAATTTTTAAGATGTATTCTTTATCAATTAGCACCAAACGGAGTATTCACACAAATATTCCAAATGAAACATAATGGTAATAATTAGAATCATTTAAAACTATAAGAAAGTATTATATAAACATAAAATAATTCTTTGGTTATAGAAAGCCATGAAAATAATTTCTTTAAGAGTATTATACAGGCTTTAATGGATTTTAATGAAATGAATCCTATTGAGCCATTGCAGATGGTTTTAGAAGTAAGTAATGTTTATATCTATTAACATTTACCTACCATCCAGAGACTGAAACTTTTTGGTTTTTCAGTTCTGATTCCGATTTCAGTAATCAATTATTTTATTTATAAGTTTTGAAAAATACTAATTAAAAGTTAAAGTTATTAACAGTTTCAAACATTTTTTTTTCTTCTTTTGTATTTGGGCCAATATTAACTATAATACCAGTGTTTTACTACTTTTTATTGAGTACTTACTATTAAAAAATTTTAATTTAGGTATAAATCCACATTTAAGCCTAAATGATAACTATATACAATTCAACTGTTCAAGATTTCACAATAATATTGAATTTTTATTTGATAAATATAATTTCAGAAAAGCTATTAACTATATTAATAAGTACAATAAGTAACAAAAAAATACAACTATAGGTACTTAGGTACAAGTTTTTACTGTGTATAATTTATTATGAATATTTTAGGTACTTGCCTATATGTTATATAATAATGTAATATAAAGCTCATATGTTATAGATACCTACTTGTGTTTAAAAAAAAAAAAACAAATTAATCTTTTTAAAAATTAAAAACAAAACAGTTACAATAAACATGTTATTTTGAAAAATAAAAATTTGAAATTAAGGTAGTATAACTATTGCAAAACCCTGTAGTTATCAAATTAAAATTGTTCAAAAATATGGGTTCGGGTCTTTCAAAAATATTTAAATTTGAAACTGGTTCTACATATTTTAAGGGTTTTTGGTTTTCAGAATTAGTTTTTTCGGTTTAGTTCCAATTCCTATCTTTAACCTATAATTTACCCCTAGAAGTAGGTATGAATTACAATTTACTGATTCACAGCCATAACATATAATAAAAATGTTGGTAATTTAAAATTAGTGTTAATTTAAAATTTAAGAAGGTATTTATTATATCAATGTCCATAAATATTACAGTTTTTAGTTAATGTACAATAGAAACAGCTTATTATGACATTCAAGAGACCAGTATAAATTAATGACCAAGTCATTATCAGGGCTCAGATTTTTTAGCACTGAAAATAAATGGAATATACGGTATAATATGATATAAAAAATCGTATAATATGCTTTAATATATCATAAAACATGAAAAATGGTAAAAAAGAAAATATATTTATTCTAAATTCTAAGTAAAGCGAGGAATGTATTGGTTTTACTATGTTTATTTTTTTATACTATGTACAAAAATTCTACCAGAAATCTTTCTCCGATATGTACATGCGGCATCATTTCTAATCTAACCTTGCCCGTGGGTGGGCCACTGTTGTAGGTAAGAAGTTAAGAAGGTAAAGGGAAATTTAATCTATATTTGTTCATAACATTTAACCATTCGTAATAAAAAACAATTCTGAGTAAAATGCTTGTAGTAGTGTTACTTTGTCAACAATATATTTATGTCATATTATGGTAAAGTAATTACATAGATACCTATGCATTACATATTTTCATTAATAGAATTTGTTGAATATTGTATTTATTTTCCTGTTTTTTTCCATTTATAGGGATAACTCCAGGGTAAATAAAAAAAATTACCTCCTTAGAGTACTATGTAGATAAAATTTCGTTGCAGGAAAGGTGCTACACTTGAAACATTGGAGCAAGATTACTGGTAGAAAAGTTTGCACAACAAATCGAGGGGTATTTTCCGGTTGAAATAGCCAGAGCGAACAATGGCTTGGGTCTCTAGGCATGCTCAAAATGCATTTGTCTTTTTTTTGAAATTAGGAATTTAGGACACAAAACTTATATTTATTTTTATATGCCTTTTCTGGATGTAGTAAAATTTTAAAAATTGCTAACCATTTTTAAGCTATTTAAATAGATATATTAATTTTTGAGAGTTTTGTATGTAACTTTTATTCTGTACCTAGGTTCTTTGTAATAAAATTGTTAGACTAAAAAGAGTTTTTTGGAAATTTAACAGGAGGTTCATTAATAGTCTTACTTTATGGTTAAAACAAAAAAATTGAGCTTAATGTAGTATTTTTTTTTTTTTTTTTTAAGGAATTTTAATATAAAATGTTGACAAAAATCGTTTGAGTAAAAAATTTTGTGTAACAAATCTAATTTTTCAATTTTTAGTTTTGAACAATATATGTATATTGCCGATTTAAGGACGATGATAATGTTAATGTCAGAATCGAGCAAACTAACTTAGTTTCAAAATTATAGCTTTCTGAAGTTCTGATATTATACATTATATATTACATACCATATTTTATCATTATAAATAATGTAGTTTAAAATCTATTTTCTTAGGTCTTAAATTCCAAGAAATCATTGACAACAGATAATTGTATTATAATGTTATCAAATGTAACATATTATATTGATATATTAACTTCTGACACTACTGGAACAACATCTACTTTGATTTGGACTACTATTCTTAGTCACTTTGATACAATGTTCAGAAAAGTTCAATTAACAATAAGCAGCTTTGAAAATATTAATTTAATACTTAAGCTGATGATTATAGTGTTGAAAATACCTGGAATTATTTCAACTAAGGTAAAATTTGATCAAAGGTAGTATTTGTGAATGTATTAATAAATATTTATTTAACTAATTAAACTATTTATAATTGTTTTAAATATAAGATGTATTTATATAATTATACATTGTGCATTTTTTAGAGTATTTTAGATCCATTTTCAAAAATATTGGCTTATGCCCTCCAACAACATTATATTGATTATTATTTATTAGTTGATCTTTGTTCTTTAAGTTACAAAACATTTGCAAGGGTAAGCATGTCATACTTTATAAATACATATTTTAAATAATGAGAATAATTGATAGGAAAGAGAAAAAACAATACTTACAAGGGCAGTTACAGTTGAGTTAATACAAGCATTAAAATTCAAAACTCAAAACCTCAACAACAATCTATTGGTTTATGTTGCTTTTATACTTCAAGTAAAATTATTAAATATATAATACGTAAAATATAACATAAATTTTAAATTATTGTTTCAGGATATCGGTGGAATATTACCTGAGTGTTCAGCAATTGAAAATATAGTGCCAACATTCCCAGAAATTGTATCCAGCGTACCAACGGGTGCATCAGAACTTTTGAGAAATAATTTACAAGATATTTTAGATTTTTTGACAGATATTAATACATTAACAAAATTAAAGGTTATTCTTAAATCATATTATTTTTTTTTAAATATTTTCCATTTAATTAAATTTACATAAATATGTTTATGTTTAGAGTCGATGTACAACACCTGAAGAAGGCATTAATGAAGATACATTTGGAAGTATCGTGAAAGCTGGAATGTCTCAGTACTTATCGTTAGAACTATTAAAAAGTAATACTCGGGATGCAAGGTCATTAAATAAGATATTTCCTTGGTTATATTATGGACCAAATGAAATACAAACAATTGGGTAAAAATGTTAAATAATTTAATTATAATATGTTAAAATATATAACTGGACAGCTTCTTAAACTTAGTTGAGTAGCAAAATTAATTATTTTTAATACTAAAGTTAGCCAAAGATTAATAGTTGATTACACAAAAGGTAAAGTATGAGTTGGGGATTTTTTTTTTTAATACCTCAAATCTCACTTCAATTTTTCAAACTACTACGACTGACATGTCCACCCTATAAGCCCTATAAGTTGTATTCCATTATATTCCTTATACTGTATTTTCTCGTCACATGTATCCTACCCTTAGTTATATTGCTAAAAAAAATGTATTTTTTTTTATATTAAAATATATTATACCTAAGGTTTTTGTATATTATTATTTTTTCAATCAGCAGCCTACTAAAAAATATTGTTTTTTAATTAAAGTATTTATGTACTAGAACTTTTGGAGAATTTATTAAATATTTTGTAAAATTCCTATTTCAGATTATTCATTAATAATTGTAAAGACTTTTCGGATTGTCTCAGTCATATACGCTTATTATCTTGGATTCTAATTGGATCGCTCTCATATACAACAATGCAAAATAGACCATGTTTACCATTATCTCAAGATGTTTCATGCCAAATAGCTGATCATATTAATGTAATTATGACAGGATTTGCAGAAGAATCAAAGTCATCAGTTATTCATATGTCATCTCTCTTTCATGCCTTTGTACTTTGTCAAGTAATAATATATATATATGTAAATAATTTATAAAACATAATTTTAATTAATTTTAAACTAATTTATTAGTTATGGACCATTTATATGGAACAAACAGCTCAACAAATGGTAACAGCTGGTGATCATCATTCTTTTACAATGAATATATTACATGATTTTTGGAATAAAATTACACAGAGTATGCTTAATCTATCAACCAAATCGAAAACAGTTAAGTTTATAGCAAAAAAAACTTTAATATTTATGACTTATACTTAATACTTTATATTTTTTTATTGTATCATGCTGACTGCCCTTATATCTTTTATCTAAAATGTGTTATATCCATTTTAATACATTTCTTTCCCCAAATCTAAAATTTAAAAACAACTCATAATAATAATTCTTTGTTTAATGGTTAATAATTAATTATTTCTTTATTTGAAAAATAACAAACTATAAATATATACAATAATATTATTGTTTTTATTCAGTTGGGAGAAATGGTGAATTTGCATTTTTTGAGTTTACTTGAAGCATTACTAGAGTGCCGCACTGTAACATTGTGTAAACTTATACCTATGTGGAAAGAAGTATTATTTACTGATAAAAATATTAAGGTATAAATCAATATCTTAAATAAAATATTTTATACCTAAATAAACTACTATATACATTTTATATATTTTATTGGTTACAGTTACCAGGGCATATGAAATTGCGTTTAGATGCATGTATTGAATTTGAGCCTAGAGAACCTCCGTCAGTTAAACCTAGATCTGTTCTTTCTAAATCAGAAGTAAATTTAGATATTCTTAAATGGTTACAAACAGTACAATTTAAAATGGCACAAATTGAACTTCAATCATCTCAAGTAAACCAATTTTATAATGTTTAAAATTATACAAATTCATGACTTCACTGCCTATGACTTTTAATATTGGCTAATGAAAGTATATAGTCTTGCTACAAGAAAGTGAAATACTAAATTCAAACTAATTATAAAATATCTAATATTATACCATTAATTTATGAATGACTTAACTAAAATATTTCACATTTATGATGTATTATTTACTCATATTTAATATTAATAATAATGGTCAATTTTGTTTTTAGTCAGCTAGATTTTTTCTAAACTCTGTTAGTCTGATAAATGGTTTAAATTTACAAATAGATTTTATTTTAAAGTAGATATTTAAGTATGTGATAATCTTAAGAAGATGCACTATGTATTATTATGATTTATTTGTAAACTATTTTGGAGGTGAATATTTACAATTTTATCAATATATTTCAAGTAAATACATTTAAAATATTAAAGATAATTTAAGTAGATTTGCAAAAAATAATAGTATTTTTAATTTATTTTTAAACAATACTTCTTCACCTTTATTCCATGTCAGTGAGCCATCTACTCTTATTATTGCACTCCACTTATCATTTTCTAACACCATTTAACTCAATATCATGTGATTATGCATTTATCACTTTCATCTATTCTTATTGTATAATTGAATAGTTTTTTTCTAAAATTCTTCTTCTTGGTTAAAAAGGTATTTCAAGACCATCCTATTTCACATCCACTCCTTTCCATTCTTTCCTATTCATTAATCTTTCTTTCCAATTTATGCCTCCTTCTAGTAATTCCACATTCTTTTTGACTAAGTTTTCCTATCTTCTTTTGAGTCTTTTAAGAGGTCTTTTTCTACATAGGTTTTGTTCCATTACTGTTTTTTACTCATTATGGCTCCTTCAGGTATACTCTGTCCATTGGAATCTTTACTTTTTTATCAAATCCGTTATTATTATATTTTGGAACATCAAGTTGAGCTCTGCATTTTTTCTCCTTCTTCATTGCACCATTGTTAACTTGCCTAAAGATTTTCCTCAACATTTTCCTTTCTAATATTAAATATTTATTGTCATCTAGTTTTCTTGGTAGCCATGTTTCCACTCCATACAGGATTACAGAACAGATTAGTGTAGTATATAATTGTTTTTTCAGTTTTTTAGATAGTAATTGGGAGCCTTATATCTTTACTAACGTTTAGTAACACTTATTAGCCACCTGTATTCTGGCTGCAACCTCCCTAGCTATCAATGCTACCCATCGAAATATCAATATATTGAACTTTGAACCCATGTTTCTGATTACAGACCCAATGACCATTTATTTTAAAAACATTTCTAAGCTGTTTATAGATATTGTACATTTTAGATTTCAAGGGTAACTAGCTATTTGTTTTACAATGCTGTTTATTTTTCATTGTTCTTTGATCTAGTCTAGACACGTTTTTTCCTAGTAAACTGGCTCAGATTTTTATATGTAGCAACTTTTCTGAAATCTCAAGTTGTCTAGATGGTACTTTAGAGGGATTATTTTTTGATTTTCAACGCCATCTTTTAAATAAAAACACTGAAGTGGGAAAAAACGTAGGAAAACATGCAATTTCTCAATTTCATTATTTTATAAAAACACGAACGACGTTTTCTATCAGAAAAAATGATTTAATCAAAGAATCACAGAATACCGTTTTTTTTGCCTTTTTGATATACTTTTCTACGGTATCATCTCAAAAACTTTTGAGTTTTTAAGAAGTTTTAATTTTTGGAAGTATTTTTGTTGTAATTTGGTTATAAATACACGTAGAGACTTAAAATTTGGTAATAATACTTATATTGGACTTACCTAGATGTGATAAATTTTTTTTTAAAGAGTGTTTTGAAAACAAATTTAAACCAAAATTGAAAAAAAAAATTACGGCACTTCAAATTATATATTACCGAACTGCTCTTTGAATCGTCTTTCGTCAAGCAATAGTTTATGGTTGCTTACAGATATAAATGAAATAACCTTATGTTTTCTACCTTCCCGACTTCTCACTACAACAGTGGTCACTCCTATCTCCAGTATCAGCTCTTTTTTAATTTAAACCGTCGAGACACTGCAGTTACATCATGTGTTTTATAAAAGATTCCATTGTTATTGAATATATTTTTCTACCAATTGTTTTCCACTTCTGACGTATTAAAACATATAATACATTTATACAAATATAAAAATGTATAGATATATTATCTTAAATTTCATTTCACACGAGCCAATATAAAACACAATTATATTACTAGGGGTTTGGGCTATCACTCAATCTGTCACTTGTATCGGTTTTATTAGTATCAATTTTTTTTTAGTTTTTTATTTGGTAAGTTAGTAAGATGTGGATAAAATTGTTTGACAATTGAGATTTTTAAATTTTAACCTAATTACCCTAATTCAGGGTACTGATAAACTATAGGGAATATTATTCTTTTCTTGACCAGACTAGAAATTTAGAAAAGACATCTGTAGGTACCTCATCAATGTTGTAAACGAAAATCAGTAATCTCCCTTATTTTGATTTATTAATGTAACATGTTTTAGTCATAACATTTTTAATAATCAACTTGATTGAACAGTTAATTTTAAATTAAGCTAGATTTAACAATTAACATTAAATTCTATTACTTGTTTGTAATGTAATACCCACACTAAACACCAACCACTCAGAAATATATACTCTATAGGCAGTAGTAAATAGTGAGTATATGCAATACTCAAATAGACAAAATATTGATTTGAATATTTTTCAACAGCAATAACAAGTAAGCCAAATAATTTATTTTATTCAAAATACTTCAATATAATACTTATATTAAAATATTCTAAATATCAAAACCAGGATAGAGGATTATAAATTAAAATTATATAGTATGTAGATATAGGTATAAAATAATATTTTAAATATATAATACTTAATTATGATTTATTTAGTATCACTTTTTTTCATATGTTGTATTTCCCTTTTGAGTTTTTCTTGATTTGCTAGTATTTTCTTATTCTTCAAGGAAAAAGTTGATGTTTTAACTTTAGGAGGAAATGTTTTTTTTATGACTGTTTTCATTTCATCAAATATATTAACCTAAAAAAATATGACAGTTGAATCTTGGCACAAAAATAATTTTAATATTTATTCTTAAACTTACTTCTTTAGATAAATGAACATAACGTATCAACCTTGATTTTAGAAAAAGATTTTCACAAGAACATCGGTTACCATTAGGATCAGTCAATGTAACATCATTTAAAGTCACATTCATATCACTATAAAATATAAATAAATATTAAATAAATCACAATTTATCGAAGTATTTCAATACAATAAAATAATACCAATCAACTTCTTTAACAAATCCATGTACAGTGGTTTCATTTTGCAAATCAATAGTTGTGTATTGATTCTCTACTGATTTAATAAGACAAACTAAACTCCCCACAGTTTTCATTTTTATTCTGTTGTTCAGTTTTCCCATTCTAATTTAAATTTAAATAAATTAGTTTTATTTAGAAATGAATAACATAGTTAAAACAAACGCATTTTGCACACAAGTTATAACAGATTTCAATATCAAATTTACATAGTAATTAGTAGTACAAGTAATTATTAGGGTTATTCATTTTTTAATTATAATTATGGGTGAAAATAATAACTTGTCTATACTATTTAAACATTTTCATATGTATTATTATTACTTTTCAATGCATCTACCTACAACCATAAAATGTAAACTTCAAATTTTTGTTGATTATAAAAATACTTTCAATTTTAAATTAGTTTCATATTAAAAATATACATATTTATTTATATATTTTATTTTAACCATTCTAATGTGAAATGTGTAAGATAACAATTTGTAAATAGTGTAATTAAATGAAATAACAATTTAAGATATTTTAAATTAAAATATACAACAGTATATTAACTCCTGAAATGAAAGGAAAAAATCCTTTATATTAGGAAAGAAATATACCCTTGTAATTGTTATTTATTTATTTAATCTCTGACATTATTGATGGATTGGGTGAATAATATCTATACAATATGTTAAATATGTTAACAAATTGTTTTTATTTTAACGACAAATATATTTTAATAAACTATTTTATAATCATTGCATATATACTGATTTTATTTTATATTGGTACTTTAAATAATATTGATTGAGTAAAAATTAATGAAAAATGTATTAAAATTTTTTTTAACTATCAAAACCGGAGTAATACTGTATATATACTCAACATAGATTTTTGTTCCAGTAGTCGTTTATAATAATTACATTCTCTATTTTAAAGTTTATAACTATAGAAAGAAAGGTACAAATTTATTAACTATCTAATTTAATAATAAATAAATCACGTTAATGTTGAATGACTGAAACCCAAATGTGGCAAAGTACCTGCCACGATTTCCTGCAATTTTCTTTAATAGTTGAAAATATCAAAAAAATGTAATTTTTGTCTGACAAACTGACCAATAATCTTCACCATAACGTCAATAACTACTCTAATCACTGAATACTGAAAAGCGTAATCTATAGAAAAAATTAAAATATTAAATCACATTTATTTTGTCATATTTTCATAATTTGATTATCTAATTAAGATAGATCAGCTGGAACCACCTGACTCCGTAGAATCCAAAATCTTATCAATGTATTAACTTTGACATCAACCTCGACCATAATGTATAGCACGATCTTATCTTCAAAGACCGTGATGCATAGCGTGGATGCGTGATACTCAGATAAAGAGCCAATTGGGTTACCGAGTTCAACGATGTGTTTGTAAATGTTTCTACTGTTCAGATTAAAAGTGTTTTATTGTGATTTCTTCGAAAATCGTTTCACTGAGTTAGTAGTTACTACTTTACTAGTTACTGAGTAACTAGTAAAGTTACTTGGTACTTACTACTTAGTAGTTATAGTAGTTTACTTATCTCTTGTACCAGTTTTATTTATTTGGAACTACTGATTATTAGTGTTATTGTATTAACCAATCGAGGAAAATTATTGAACATCGCTAATACAATATTATGCGCGTTCATAATGTTATCTATACTTGCCGTAAATAGAATTTCATTTTTGTATTAATTGAAAACAAATATTGATGCAGAATGGATTCTAGTCTTTGTATCAAAGTTCTCACTGCAATGCAAGCTACCCCGTACGAGATACCTGTGACTATTAATACGACTGTGGAAGATGTAATTATTGAGACCTCAAAATTGCTAAACATTGGTCCAATAGCCAGGCACCTATTTGGACTAAGAGTTGTAAGTGTTACAGATGATAATCTGTGGTTAAGTTCTTCTCTCTTTATATTGTATGTTAAAAATGAACATCACGTTTATGAATATAAATTACGTTATAAAATGCCTGATGTTAAACGGCTGAAGTCCACTGATCGTTATGCTTACAATTTTTATTTTTATCAAGTTAAATCTGATTTATTAAAGAGTAAAGTTACTGGATTGTGTTATGACACATATAAGCGAGAGCTCATTGGCTTGGGTGTTGCTGATATGTACAGAGCTATTTTAGAAGAGGACAAGTCTAGAGAATCTGTTGAACAAAATTATAAACAATTCATGCCTAAAGAAGTAGTAAAGCAACACATGTTTTTTTTAAAGAAACCTGTCCAAGAAACTTTAAAAAAAATTATAAACAACAATACAGTTGACACTCATTATGTATCTATAATCAAAGAAAGTTATTTGGAACAATTTAATTCAATAGCTCCAAATTACTTAGAAGAAGAATATAAGGCTATATATAATGAAAAAAGTGATTCTGTCAATGTTACGTTTAGAGTAAATCCATTTCATTCTGAAATGCCTGGTGTACGCATGTGTACTGAAAATAGAAAAGAAGTATGTTAAATTTTACACATGCAGACACCACTATTAATTTATTAATAAATATATGTTTTAGTGGGTACATTTAGCTGCAATAGAAGATCTGTGTTTTCTATCCACAACTGATGATGGTATTGTTGAAATATCTAGAAGAACTGGTATACCTATACATTTAAAATTTGCCAATACAAGTACTATGGTATCATTTATTACATTACTTAATGGTTACTATCGTTTAATGGTTAATTGGAATTTTGATTTATGTGCATCTACCAACACCCCAACTTTAAGCAAACTTAAATCTATCCGTTCTCATGGACCAATCAGGTACTCAACATAATATGGGTTTAGATTTCTTGAATAGTTAACATATTTTAGTTATGCATAATTTAAGATTATTACTTTAGTGACTTTTTAAATTATTGCATTTTTGTATGAATTTTAAAGCAAAAACTAAAAAAAAATTATTTTTTGTAGCATTATGAAATCTACTTCTATTTTAAAAAAGAAAATGTCAAAGAAACATGGAAGTTTTATACTTCGACAAAGTATGAAAAATCATGATAATTATGTTATTGATGTTTGTGTAAATCAGAGGTAAAATCATATCTATATTTTATATAAATTTACTCATCATAAGCTATTAGCATTATAATAAATTACTTAAATAAATAATTAATTATTTTAATTTTAGTATGAAACCAATGACATATGTAATAGAAAGTAAAAATGGATTTTATAAAATAGCTGGAGACAATGACATAGAATACCCTTCTATTTGGAGACTTATTTCTAACAATAAAATGTCTTTGAATCTTATTGAATGTATTTTTCCGTCAGATAACGGTGAGTAACTTTAATTGAAGTCTTTTTAAAATTAAAACAGTAACTTTTTTACTGTTTATTTAGATAATATAAAGGTATATTTTTATTTTTAATAAAAAAATATATATATTTTTTTTAGCAATGAATGAATTACTGTTATGTCAAAACACCAATATTAAACATGTAGGTAATGATGATGATGAAGATAAAATCAGTGGTCCTCATTTAATCAATAGTGATTCTATAAAATTATTAAAAAGTAAGTGTTAACTATACTTCTACAATGAATATTTTAAAAAAACACTATTAATTATAATTTTTTTAGCTATTTGTTCACCAAAAAAAAAAATACAATCGCTTATGAAAGTTAGAGTAGCTACATGGTATAAATCTAAAAGAAATGAATCTACTGTTGTTGTGAAATTATTTCAAGATGATGTTAATATAAGTTTACATCTAATGGTAAATTTTGTCTATTTCCATCATAATAAATACATTTATAATCTTTACTTTTTACAGGACTTATTAAGTTTATCAAAAAGATGGAGTTCAGTGTCTTCGAGTGCAGTTGTACGACTATTTGGTCTTTGTGTTGATACTCCAACTGCCTTGGTCAGTGAATACTTTACATTAGGGCCTCTTGATGTATATCTGCGAACAAACAAAGATAAAATATCGTTTAGCAATTTAGTTGAAGCTGCAACATATATTGCTACAGCTTTATGGGATATGGTAATTTATCTTTATTAAAGAAAAACTCTTAATGATACCAACTCAATATTAAAATACATTAATGTCCCCATCACAAATATACTGTATTCTTACTAATTATAACATATGTGTAATCTATTATATCTCTGTGATTTTAGGAAACTGCATGTTTAGTTCATGGAAAAATTCGATGTCATAAATTTGTAGTAGCTGAACATACCAGAAATTCTTTTATAGTTAAACTTACAGATCCGGGTATTCACAAATGTTACACTAGTTATGAGTAAGTGTTTTAACTTTATTATTTAATTGTTTTATAAGTCTTGTTAAGATTAATGATTTATACATATACAATTTATATTTTGTTAAATAGGTATTTTTTTTTTTTTTTTTTTTTTTTTTNTACTACTTGACTAATGTAGTCCAGTGGCGGTCGCCCTCTGCTGTTATTCCCTTCAATGGCACCTTCTATTATCCTGCTAAGTAGACTGTTTTGATACAGTATGTGTCCAATTAACTTGGCTCTTCTTATTTTTAAGGTCTTCAGAAAGCTTCTTGTTTCTCCGGCTCTTCAATAAATCTTTTCATTTGTTATGTGTTCTGTCCAACTTATTCTAAGTAGTCTTCTGTAACACCATGTCTCAAACGCTAAGAGTTTTTTTTTCTGTTTTACCTATGGTCCATGTCTCACTTCCATACAGTGTTACACTCCAAACATAAGCCTTAAGTAAGTTTTTCCTCACTTTTATGTCAATATTTCGAGATATAAACATATTTTTCTTGCTTTAAAATGCACATTTAGCCTGGTTTATTCTGCTTATGATCTCCCTAGTACTACGGCCGTCCTCAGTTATCGTACTTCCCAAGTATTTGTACTCATTCACTTGCTCTAGTGCAGCGGTTCTCTAGTGTGTCACCATCTAGTGCAATTTGAGTTTGGGTTCCTTCGTTACGGCTACAAACAAGGACTTTCGTTTTTGCTTTGTTTATTTTCATATTGTATTCATTTTTCATTGTTAAGTTCATTATTTCTAAGATATTCTGTAGATCCTCTTAATTGTCTGTTATTACCGCTATGTCATCTGCAAATCTTAGCATATCTATTCTTTTACCGTTTATCCTTATCCCTTTTTTTGCATTCTCTATTTATTGTATTTTTTAATTTCCTGTATTTTTCCTTCCCTCTTTGGTCTGTAGCATTTTTATATTTTCTCCTTTCATTAATCATTTCCAGGTTTTCTTCGTTTATCCATTCCTTTCTTTTAGTTTCTTTTGATTTCCCTAAAACTTCATCCGCTTTGTTTAATATGCATCGTTTGATGTTTCCCCATTTCTCTTCAATGCTTAAAGTACATTGTGTGTCATAGGTCTCCATTATCGCTATATCTGTCTTTTCTTTGTATGAATTTTTGATTTCTTCCACTTTCAGGTTTGTCAGTTGAAAGCATTTCATACCTTTTTTCTTTTGTAGCTTCTTAAACTTAAGTTCACAATGCATTAGGACCAGGTTATGATCGCTATTAATGTCGGCTCCTGGATAGCTTTTACTGTCTTTAACTTGATTTTTGTGTCTTCCTCTTAATAATCTATTTGTGCTCTTCTTATATCACCGGGAGCTTGCCATGTATATCGTCTTCTTTTGTGATGTTGAAAGTGTGTGTTCGTTATTATTAGATTATTCCGTACACAGAACTCTAATAAGGTTTCTCCTCTTGGATTTCTAATTCCAAGTCCATACTTGCCGATAATATTCTTTTATTTCCCTTCCCCACGGTGGCATTAAAGTCTCCTAGGATAATAAGATTTTCTTCTCCTTTGACAGTCTTTATTAAATCATTTAGTTCTTCATATATTCTTTCTACTTCATCGTCCTTTTCTTCTGATGTGGGCATATAAACTTGAATTATCACAGTATCTATTGGTTTGGTATCTAACTTGACTAGAATTATTTTATCGCTATATTGCATGTAACCTTTTACCTTGTGTCCCATATTTTTTTGAAGAACTATTTCTACTCCTTTTGTAGCCAACTTTCCATCTTCTGTTCCCGAATAAATTATTCTGTATTCCCCTGACCAAAAATCGCCCAATTTAGGCCATCTCATTTCCTAGACGCCCAGAATGTCTATTTTAAGTCTCTTCATCTCAACTTTTAGATTCTCTAATTTCCCTGTCTGCAGAAGTGTTCTGACATTCCATGTACCAACTCTCTTGATATCATGACCTTTCATCTTCAATCATAAAGGATTAACTTCTTGAGTAGACCCCACCCGGAGATCCAATTGGGGGTCTATTTTACCTCCGGAATTTTTTACTACTGTCGAAGCATTCATACTTTAAATTGTTGATACTCAAGATATCTATTTAGATCTTTAGATAGTTTCCTCTTGCTTTTCGCATTCTATACCGTTGACCAGAAAATTGACTCATTCGTCCGCCTTTAAGAGCAATTTCTTACTCTAAGGGCAAGAGAGTGCTCTTTCCTTTACTAGCGTAAATAATTGCTCCTTATACCGGGAGTAGTTCGGTTTAATCCCACTGGAATTTCCTGCCTGAGGATTTCCACCAGTGGAGCTTGGGGCCCCGGGTGCGCTAAACCCGTAGTATATGACATATTATTGTCCTATACTTCCCCTGAGGGGTAAATAGGTATATAATTTAATTAAATAGACACAATAACAATAATTTTTAAATTGTGTAGTCTAAAAATTTTCTAATAGCATTCATGTTATAGACTAAACAAAATTGCATTAATCTTTTTAATTAATTTTATCTAAGTTTGAATATTGAATTGTTAAATATTGGTTCTTGTAAATTAAATGTATACTAATTATGTAGATTTTGATTTACCAAGATGGACATCCTTCACACAATAGGTGGGCTACTGTTGTAGGTAAGAATTTCGAAAGGTACGATATAAAGGAAAATTTAATTTATATCTGTACAGAATGATAGATCATTGCTTAGGAAAAATAATTTGAAACAAAGTTTCTTTTATACATGTATGTAAATTTTGTGGGTTTTTCCTAATTATTATGAAAACTACTTGGAAAATCAAAAATGGCTTCACTAAAGTAACAACTACACACAATTTTCTTTCCGAAAAATGTATTACACTTGAAATATCAAGGCAAGATTTCTGGTAGAAAAGTAGCTCACAGAAAGAAAAAAAATAAACAATATTCTAAAACCAATGTTCCAAATCTAAAATAATAAAGTGGTGTATATAATTTGTAGAAATATTATATCTAATAGACATATTAAATTATACAATTAATCAATTAGCAAAATAATATTAAAATACATATTGCATTTAAATAGTTAAAATTAGAAATAAACTAAACTGACATTAGGCCATTTTCATTTATTATTACAATAATAATAATAATAATAATTTTTTTTTTTAATTGCAAAATATATATATCAGAGTGCCACTTATTTTTTAAGTTGTTAATTTTGAAAAGCGCCAATCAGGAATGCATCTATAAATAGTGTCTATAATTGTTGAGTTTAATCGAATATAATTAACGCATGGAAACTTAAGCTTAAAGTTTTATGAAAAACTTAAAATTTAATATTTTGTACTATTCTTACTTAAATTTGTATTTTATAAAAAATTGTGTAGTATTATTATGTAGTGCTAATTATTTCCGATAAAATATTTATCTTAACATTTATTAGTAGAGTTAACCCTTACTAGTGAAAATGTATTCTAAAAATACTTGATTTAACTGTCAAGTATTTATATGAAAAGGAACTTCTCACAGAAAACAGAATCTCAATTGGAAATCCTAAAGTTTATCGTGAATCATATAAAAAGCAAGTAACAATAATTTCCCAATTTAAATGTTAAGTCTATATTCAATTATTGGGATACCAAATTATTAAAAAACGTATCAGGAAAACTAATTGATAGATTAACAAACATTGGAAAAGGTCCAAGTGTGGAGCAATTATTAGGTATTCCAAAATGGTATGCAGGTATTAAAATTGAAATATCTTTGGTGGTATATGATATAATAGTTGATTAACAGTTAAGTACAAACATGGCAGGTGTGTTTCACTCGAACAAATAATTTTTTTTTTGTATAGGTCATATTTATGAAAAAGTTTTAGCTACAGTTTTTACAAAGTATAATATTTCATTGATTTTTGGGCCAGATATATCTTTATTTAAACCGTTTAAAGCAAAGTGAGTTGGAATAAACTATAAAAACTCTTTACATGAAACATTGATGAAGCAATTATTAAATTGTTGAAAGCTTATTACAATACTGTACTGAATTTTTCAAATCATACAATATTGACCACATTATTAGGGGTTGATTATAAATAGTTCTTAGAGCTTATCATACATTTTTATATGGTATTCCTCAGAGTCGAATAAAATTTAAAAACCTGGAGTTTATCATTTCGCAAGATGTATGGCCAAAGTACTTTATTGTATTAAAATTTTACCAAGAGTTCATTTGAAAAAATAAGCGGAGATATCTCTGTCACAATTAATTGTATTTACTGTTTAATTTTAAGTTAGGTGTTGTTTTTCTTTGCAAAAAGTCCCATTTAACAATATTCAATTTTTGAGAAAATTACATGATTATAGTATAATCAATAAAAGTGTTTCTGATGTAGCTATTTTTAAAATTATTAATTATTTGTATTATTTAAACAAAGAGAAAGTAGTTTTTCATTTGATGGAAGAGTAAATAATGAAACCAAAATAATTGTTTGATAAGTATAAATCTGAATTTTGTATAATTATTTTATTTGAAAATGTTATTATTATGTATTTACTAAATATAAGAGTATATATTTTGCAAACAAATTTAAAATCTAGTTTTTTCATAATAAGTAAAGGTTAACTTTACGAACAAATGTAAAGATACATGAATTTTAGGAAATAATTAGCACTGCAATAATAATAATATTCAATTTTTCATAAAATAAAAATGTAAGTAGGTATATAACAAAATGTGAAATTTTAAGTTTCTTCATACAACTTTAAAATTAAGTTACCACGAGTTAAGCATGTTTGATCAACCTCAAATTTTACAGACACTATTTATAAATATATGAAATACAAATACAAAAAAATGTCTATTAGCACTCCTAAAAATTTGACAAATAATTTTCTTTCCATATAATTAACTGACACCCTAATATATTTATATATATATATTTTATTTTTTTAGTTTATATTGGATTCCTACTGAATTTTACAATAATATAGAACTTGCTCGGAAATCTCCTCAAGCTGATATTTGGGCTTTTAGTTCAACATTGTGGGAATTATTTAATTATGGTATTTTATTACCCGAAATTCAAAATGTTGATCTGTTTAAAAAAGTATATATTTATTATTTGGTAAAAAGTATAAAATGTATAACTTTTAGTATACTATTTTTCTAGAAATTTGAAAAAAATATAAGAATGCCAAAACCAGATTGTTCTACAGATGACATTTATCACATAATGACAGAATGCTGGGATAACGATCCTTTTATTCGAAAAAAGCCACAAGCAACATTAAGAGATTTAAGACAAATCTGGCTTCAAAGTAATTCAGTTATTCTACATAAATAGTTTCATACTGATTTAATTTGTGATTTCAGTTTATGCTAGTCCTCAACATGAATATACACCATTAAAAAAGGAAGAAATATATAGCGATGATGTTACATGCTCTGATGCAACAATTTATTATACTTCAAATTATACAAGTAAGTTTTTAATTCTATCTATAATAAAACATCTTTTTTATGTTGTTTTGAAGAAAACATTTGTGTCTTATTTATTGTGTTTTACATTTGTTTAACACTAGATTTTCTATCAAGAAATTACAATTTTTCAATTATAGTAGAGTAGTATTGATTTCTAATTAAATGGCTATACTTGATCAATTAAAACTCTGTATACACCTTCCTAACACCAACTTACACATAACTTAAAATGTTAGGTTTATATGTTAAACGTTAGATGACATGCCAAATTTGTATCGGGCTACCTGTCGCACACTTATTTATACTACCCAAATAGGAGATATATATAGGGTTGCCACCTTTGATGGTAGACCTGACTGATAAGAAAAAATGGTTGTCAGCAAAAGATACTGTGCCTGTGCTTATATGTCTATGCATAAAGTTAATGTATAACAATAGTTAATAAATCTAAAATATCTCATATTTCGGTGAATGAAAAATATTGTTCCTGTTGCTTATTGACAAACTATATACAATTTTATGAACAGTACTAATTTTATGACGATTCAGAGAATAATTCACTGAATCTGTAGTCTGTAGATTTATATGTAAATCTGTAGAATCTGGATAAAACCCGAAGAGGTGGCAACCCTAGATATATAATGATTTATGGTCAGACTCGCAAAAAGTGTTTTTTTTTTTAAAAAAAAATAAATTCATCCTAGGGCAAAATTGAGGTTTCAAATGCACATCAACATATTTGTCCAAGTTTTAAAGAGTTTGGACTATTTTTGTAAGTCTATTTGCTAATTAGTAAATATTTGCTATTCGTGTAGTATATTGTCAACAACCTAGCAAAATCTCAAAAGCCAATTATAACAAATTTTAAAAAACTGCTTCAAATAAACTACAATAAAAAAATGTAAAAAGTTCCTATAAAGTTTTTGATTGGAGCAACATATTAATAGAAAAATTATTTCAGATAACTTAAGTTGTTTTACTGGATAGCCTATATTACATAAATGTGTGATGGGTAAGCTGATTTGAAATAGACAAGTCTTTTGCCTATCGCCTTTTTTCATAACATATTACTCCAATATTGGTGAGTGTGTTGAACAATAACTTTTATTTGCATAGTATACAATTGACCTTATTAGCTGGCAATTGTGATATGTTGAAGTTAAGACTAAACTAGGTGAAAGTGGGAGGAGGCACTTATATAATTGTTTGAAAGGTATGTACAAAGTTTTAACTTCATTGTTCAACTATAGATTATTTAGCCAGAAATCAGTAAATTAGTGTGCCCAACTATAATTGTTTTTTTTTTTTAAATAGTATCTGTACATTTGTTTCTGTGAGAGAGGATCAGAATACTCCTATGGGACCTCTGCCTATTGTAAAAAGCGACAAATGAGGTTGCGTCTGGTCTACAGTTGGTGTAAAATTCTATCAAATAGTGTGAGGAGTTCTAAACAAGACTTAAGTATGCTGTTCTATCTTGGATGTGCATAGAGAAAACAGGTGAGAGAAGATATCATAGTCCATAGCATTGATCAGAGAAAATCTGAAATAAGTTAACTATAGGCTTAAGGAATGGAGAGTAACACTTGAAGGAAAGGGACCAAAGATAAGTAGAAAAAAAAACAAAGTACATAGAGTATGAATCTGGAGTAATAAGATAAGACAATAAACTTCAATAAGCAAGGTAGACAGTTATAATACCTAGGATGTTTTGTTCAAAAGAATGGTGGCTTTTATGAGGATGTGAAATATAATATGATTTTAAGTGTGGTTGAATAAAGTGCAGAGAAACGTCAAGTTTTTATGCATTAATTCCAATGAGACTTAAAGTTAAATTCTACAAAAGTATGGTAAGACTAATTATGTTTTATGGTTCTTAGTGTTAGGCTGTATACAGAAAAATAGAGCAGAGATAAGAATGCTTAGGTAAACGAGTAGAGTGACAAAAAAAGGAAGGATAAGGAATGAGTACATAAGTGGTAGCTTAAGCATGACTTCAATAGTAGACAAAGTGAGAGAAAATAGATTGAGTTGATTTAAAACATGTCATGGAGAGAGAGGAGTTTGAAGTAGTAAGCATTGTAATTAAAATAAACAGGAGGAAATAGGTGGAAGAATGACTGAAAAAAAGATGGTTAAGTGGGATTGAGAATGATATGAGGTAAACCAGTGTATGCGAAGGTGGAGATCTGGTCAATTGGAAATTTTAAACGTGGGTGGCCAACTCCAAATACTTGGGATAAAGGTGTAGGAGAAGAAATAGTATCTATAATTTAACATTTTATCTTATTATTTTTTTAGTTGAAACATTTTTGGATACTGTATCAAGTTCTTTTTCTGGAAGTGAAACTAAATCAGATTTTATTGATTTTAATTCTAATCCTGTATGTATTTTTTATTATTGTTTTGAACAAATTAAAGTATATTTAATGCATGATTGTTTATTTTTAACTTTTTTCAGGATGACAGAAGAAGTTATCAAAATGAAACTCCTATACTTGCAACCAACACAAGTTTCAATCAATTCATGGAACAGGTATATAGTATAATGATTGGTCAATTAAGTAATATTAACTAAATAAAGTCTCGATAAGTATATTAGTTACATAAAATACAGTTGAATATATGACCTAATTTAAAAAAAAAAAAATTATTTTTTTAGCTTACATCAAAAGAAGAAATAAAAAACAATATGCAAAGTGCTATGAACTGTCAACAAAAAACTTACCAGTTCAATAATGCTACATTAAGTTTACATCAAGTTATAGGACAGGTAAAGCTTTTATTTATTTTGGTAGTTTAAAATCATTAGTTGCTAAACAGAAAAGTTAATTTATTTTCTGTAGGGATTTTATGGAGTTGTATTAGAAGGCTTATTAGAATACAATGATAAGAAAACTAAAAAGGTAGCTGTGAAACACATGAAAAGATCATTCCAAACTGAAGATTTTCAAAGAGAAATTTGTATTATAGAGGTAAATCATTAATGATATTTAAAATAAATATTTGATTCTATCCTATTTATTTCTTTTTTCAGGGACTAAATCATCCAAATATTGTAAATATTGAAGGTGTACTAGAAGAACCCAATTTGATGCTTGTCATGGAGTATATTAAATTTGGTTCCCTCAGTAGTTACTTGCGATTACATGAAAATGAACTTCTAGAAGAAACAAATCAATTATTAAAATATTCTTTAGATATAGCTCAAGTAATTTAGATTTTTTAACTACTGAATACTATTGATCTAATTGGTGAAGAATTATAAATTAGGATATCACATAGCAAATAAGTGCACTAAGAGAAAATTCCTCAGAATCATGAGTGAATAAAACACAATAACACACAATGCTATTAAATGGTCATTGAATATTGCAAAAAAAAAAATGCAATTTATTTGCTCTTTTTATTGTATTAATGTGTTCTATATCTATTTTATCTATTTACTTATTTTAATTTCCCTGTTAACTATTAATAGTAAATCATAACTACATATTGCATTTAATAAAGGTCATACTAAAAATAATAAATTAGGGTGATCAATATTAGTTTATTACCTATATAATAATTTCAATGTATTGAGCAAATAACTTTATAGATTTTAAATAATATTTCAGTATAATTATTAAAATTAATTTGTTTTATTTCAGGGAATGAAATATTTAGGAAGTTTAAATATAATACATCGTGATTTAGCCACAAGAAATATTCTAGTAGCTAGTCCAACTACTGTAAAAATATCGGATTTTGGCCTTGCTCAATTTTTGTCAGATGATAAATATTATTATCTTCAAACAGTACGGGATTTACCTTTAAAATGGTAAGTTTTTAGTTATTAAGTAATTAACTCCATGAAAGTGCTATGTGTTATTCTTGAATTATATACTTCTAGGCATGCTCCAGAGGCTATTTTATATGGAAAATTTTCCACAAAAACTGATATTTGGGCATATGGTGTTCTACTCTTTGAAATTTTTTCACTGGGTAAAGAACCCAATGTAGTTTCCAAATTAGAAGAAAGATTAGATGTTGAAAAACTTATAAAAGTATTATTAGAAGGTCATCGATTACAATGTCCATCATGTCCGCCATGTACTGTGGACATATATAACAGGCTTATGCGGCCATGTTGGGCTTACATTGCAGCTGATCGTCCTAGCTTTGCACAATTAATTGATATTATTGAGTCACTTATGATTGAAAATTAATCAACTCTACTTTTTAAAAACAATGAAAAATGAACTAATACAGTTGACAATAAAACATTATAAAACATTATAGTAAAAGAAATAATAAAATGAATACATACTTAGAGGTAAAAAAAACATTGAAATGCTAGTAACAGTATTATTTCAATAACATAAATAACCATCCATGATGAATTTTTGAACATATAAATAATTAAAGATAATATTGTTTCTTAATTATTAAAGACATTTAATTCTATTATTTTAGCATAAGTACTATAAATATTTTACTAAAATATCTATTAGGGGATAATCTATCTATTTTAATGCAGATAAATTCAATTTAATTATACCTGACAATCAAAAGGAGCAATCCTTTTCTTGTTATTATTCTAGATTTTAGGACAATCTGACTAAAGATCAAAAGACAAAAGATTTATGGAAAATAATTCATCTATTTTAAAGCAGACAGAATCAATTTAATTGTATCTGACAATCAAAAGGTACAATCCTTTTCTACTCATTATTTTATAATTCAGAAAATAATTTTACTATGGCCTATGTATTTATCATTTAAACAAGTACTTAAAAATAATTTAACTTTTTATGTTATATTTATGCAAATATATAGTAATAACAGAGTTTTTGGAATTTTCACATTTAGTAATCTAGTCAAATTATTAATTACCTATATGTTACATATAATTAAATCATTTAAGTAAATTGTAATATTATAATCAGCAGATACCAAATATTGTATATATTTTTAATTAATTTTAACTTCTTTGAATATTTTATGTATAAGTTAATTTAAGTTTTATTTCACTGGTATTTTGTATGCTATTTAGTTGCTCAAATTATGTAGTTCTAATTTGCTTGATTCTTAAAGATTCTCACTAATTATTATTTTATTCATTAAGATTATGACCACTATTCTATTTGAAAAAACTAGTTTTAATGATCTAACATTTATATAGAATTATGTATTGGCAAGACATATTGCTCAAACCTGACAAAGGACCAACTTTTACAGAAATTTAAATTATGTAATGTTTGTTAAAATGATATCAAAAAATATTTTCAATTGTATTAAACAGTAATCAGAGACATTTGTTTTTCATACATAAATATATTTAAATTGTATTGTACTTAGAAAAAATAAAATAATATACAGTTTATTTAGCTATAGTAGAACTATATTTTCCACAATAGAATCCATTGGGCATTTTAGCCATAAATACTCCAGCCTCGCAATGATTTGACGTGCATTCTTTCTACAATCTATATATTTTACTATTTACATCAATCTAAGAATAATGATTAATGTTACAATTAAATAAAGGTTAAAACTAAAATGTATAAATCTTATGTTTTTAAACGCATTCTCTTAGACAAATTACTAAAAGAAAAGTTAATTATTTCTATGTTATACTCAAGACAACATATTCTTATCTTTTAATTGTTAACTATCAAAAAAAAAAAATAAGGCACTGTTAATGTGGAGGAATTCTTAAAAGTATACATATTACATTAAAATACATATGGATGGTTTTGGTAAGAAAAGAAATAAATTAAATTATACAATTTTTCAGGAACTAAAAAACACTGTAACTTTTGCTGTGAAGTAAATAGGTATTATAAAAATTGTTATAATTGTAATTGTAGTATAATATGTATATGCACTTTTACACGTTTAAAACTCCAATAATGCATATAAATTATTAAACAGGTGTTAAATGAAAATGTTCTTTGTCACAAAAAATTTAATAATATTATTATTAATAATTTTAGATTTTGAGTGCAGCGAATAATGTATTGGTTTCACAGGGCAACACTTCTGAAAGGAAATATTGCCCAGATGGAACTTTTGAGAGGTCATTTTTGGATTTTCCAAGCGGTTTTCATAATATTTGGAAAAATCAGGATAAAACGTTAAGAAAAAAATGGAAAATTTACAAAATTAATGGTTTTATTATTCATTCAATTTTGTTATTTGTTATAATTCTGTCAGAAATATTTGTTTTTTTAAAATTAATTAAATATTGACATAGTTTATAAAAAGGACACTAGATGGTGTTAGTGGCCTTACCAAAAGTAATAATGTTCGAGCTTCACTTATCACATTTTCATTCAGTATTCTGTATATTTTAATTTGTGACCGCACGCATTAATTTTGTTTCATTCTCCCGCCAATATTATACTTAATCCGCAATCACCCTAATTAATTTTTAAGATTATAAATTATATTTTTCAGTTTGCCTACATTTTTAATAATATTATTTTACAGAAATTTAGAATACTTAATTTTTATTTTTAATCTTGTTGGAATTATTTAAAACAAAATGAGTTTATGGGCAGATAAGTATAGACCTCATGCTTTACAAAAAGTTGATTACCATCAAGATCAGGCTAAGCATTTAATAAACCTCGTAAGTAGATTGGTTGTATATTAAATTGACTTTCATATAATAAAGCACATTTGTAGGTTAATCAAGGTGATTTTCCACATTTATTGTTTTATGGGCCCAATGGTGCTGGAAAAAAGACTCGTATTTTAGCATTGTTACGAACACTGTATGGTCCCGGTGTTGAAAGATTACGTACGGAACATATGAACTTTATGGTATGGAATTATGCTCAATATTTAAAGACATAGCTTTTATATCAATAATATGTTTTTTTTCTAAATTTAAGACGCCTTCAAATAAAAAGTTTGAAATAATGACTGTTGCCAGTAATTACCATATAGAAGTAAACGCCAGTGATGCGGGAATGTATGATCGCATTGTAGTTATGGAACTCATAAAAACTGTGGCACAAACCCATCAATTAGATTCAAATAAACAACGGCACTTTAAAGGTGTCTAAAAGTTTTTGTTAACATTCATTACAAATTTGTGACTAATTTAATTCAATTTATAGTAATTTTATTAACTGAAGTGGATCGTCTTACTAAAGAAGCTCAACAAGCATTGCGGCGTACTATGGAAAAATATATGGCTACATGTCGTATTATTTTGTGTGCCAATTCTATTGCTCAAGTTATTCCTGCTATACGAAGTAGATGTTTAGCTATACGTGTGCCTGCTCCAACTCATGAAGATATTACTTCAATTTTAAAAGTATATTATTTAATATTAAAAAATAAAAAATAAATGTATTCTGCTAAATAATAAGAATTTTAATTTTAAAAAAAGAGCTGATACTGGGAATGGTAGTGGCCATTGTTGTTGATGGGAAGGTAGGATTCATAAGGTTATTTCATTTATATCTGTAAGGAACGATAAACCATTGCTTGATGAAAGACGATTCCAAGTTCAATTCGGTAATGCATAATTTATTTTTTTATTTTTTCGTTTAAATTTAATTTCTGAACAAAAAAAAAAGTTGATGATTTTGGAAATTTTACCATGTTAGATAAGTCCAATATAAGTATTATTACTCAGTTTCAAGTGTCTACGTGAATTTATAACCGAATTACAGCAAAAATTAAAATTTCTTAAAAGCTGAAAAGTTTTGGTGATAATACCATAAGAAAATTGATCAAAAAATTGTCTTGTAATTTTTCGATTAAATCATTTTTCCTATCAGAAAACATTGTCCGTATTTTTATAAAATAATGAAATTATGAAATTGTATGTTTTCCTACGTTTTTTTCCACTTGGGTGCTTTTATTTAAAAAATGGTGTCGAAAATCAAAAAATGATCCCTTTAAAGTACCATCTAGACGTTTTGATATTTCAGAAAAGTTGCTACACGTAAAAATCAGAACAAATTTACTAGGAAAGAACATGTTCACAGGCTAAAAAAAAAAATAAACAACTTAGTAAAACCAATGCTCCCTCACTACGTTTAAAAACTAAAATTAAGTTTAAAATATATACGTGCCCAATTTAAACACAGCATAATTAAATCACCAATTATTATTATCTATTTGTTTTATTATATATTCATTAAACATTTATAATATCTGTAGATTATTTGTAAAAAAGAAGGATTGATGTTACCAGATGAATTATCTTTAATTATTTCTCAAAACTGTGAACGAAACCTAAGACGGGCCATACTTATGTTGGAAGCCAGTAAAGTAAAACAGTGAGTATTTTATTTTCAAAATGTTTTGGTTACTAGATAGTAATTTTTAATACCTGAAATTGTAACTGAGTGTACATTTTATTAAAGGTATCCATTTGACATAAACCAAAGTGTTGTTGTACCAGATTGGCAGCTTTATATAAGTGACACTGCCAAACAGATATTAAGTCAGCAGACTCCTGGAAAATTGCTTGAAGTTCGATCCATGCTTTATGAATTAATTGTGCATGGCATTCCAACAAATGTGATTTTTAAAGTAAGCCCAATTTATTAATCACTTATGAATTTCTAATTTGTCTGGTATGCAATTTCAGTTTTTACTTAAAGAATTGGTGAAAAACTGTGACATGTCATTAAAACATGATATTGTTGAAATATCATCATATTACGAACATAGCTTATTAAAAGGTAATAAAACAATGTTCCATTTAGAGGCATTTGTTGCCAAATTCATGTTACTTTATTCAAAGTTTATGGAAGAGTCATTAAATGGTATATTTTAGTCTGTATACATATAGATACATATTATTTGTATTAATAGTAAACATAAAAATACATTGTACAATTTATCATTATTTTTATATTTAACCAAAAATTGATTAAATCTTAATTAAAAGTATGTAACAAATAATATTTTGTATTTTCTGTTAAAGCTAGTAGATTCTTCAATATTAGAGTATTGACCACTTTTTAGATATTTCATATCCATATTTATAAAAATGTTCTAATAGGTTGTGCGCAAATACATCATAGTTTTATTGAATATCGATTTTTAAAATCTGATCGAAAAGAAACACTCTTCACAACACCATAAATTAAAAAAAACTTTATTTTACAAGTTAAGTTTTTAAATAGTTGTATTTTTATATATAGTTATTAAATTTACAGAAATATTGATAATAACCATTATTCTGTTGGACATTTTATTTTATCTGTTTTTATTAATCAATAATGCTATAATAAAAGATAGACAGATTATGATTTTTGATCATATCAGTTAAGGTGATTTAGTATACAGCTGTTTTAGTTTGTGCATTTAAGTGAATAATACGCAAAAACATTATATTTAAGTTATGTAACACATAGATTTTATTGTATTATTAAAATATTAAGAGAAAAGTTTCCCTTTGTTGATTCATTCATCAAGACTAATAAAAGGTATTACTCATAGCTCCTAATAGAGTACAAACATTTAAAAGTTATCTTAATATTTTGTACCTTCCCCTAAATCAGTCATCACATGGTGACACTTGGTTAGCAATTAAATACTAGTCTAACAATTATGAAAAAATAGTTGTTTTTTTTTAGTTCATATCATAAAAAAAATTAGGAACAAGAAATTCAACAATAGTTAAATATCTGGAGTAATAATGAAAAGACATTGATGAATATTGAACTTTAACTACATGATATTTCAAATATGAAATGTTATCCTCATTTTATATAAGAAACTACAAAAAAATTTAAAGGCCTAACACATTTAAATTTATAAAAACTAAGATACTTTACATGACGAATGCGTCACTGTCGTAGGTGAGAAGTTAGGAAGATAGGATATAGAGAGGAATACAATATATATTTGTAAACAATGATAAACAAATGTTGTTAATAAAAAATGTTTTGGAACAAAGTTCACTTATACTCATTTAAAAAGGCAGTAATTACGATTTTTGTCACCATTTATGGTTAATGAATCCCCTGTTAAATTTTCATTTTTATTTAGTTTTAACAATTTTATTCACAAAATCCCTACTAAATAAAAATTCTGCAAAAATACTCTAAATAAAAATGTTTATAGATAGGTTTTAGATTCTGAGTATAGCGAAGAATGTATTGGTTTTACAAGTGTTTAATTCTTTTTTTATGTGAACTCTATTATCAGATTTTATTCTGATGCACACAATGTAGACCCTTTTTTTGAAAGAAAATTTTTTTGGGGTACTACTTTAGGGAGATCAATTTTAGATTTTCCCAGCAGTTTCTCAATAAAATAGAAAAGTGAGAAAATAACTGTAATATATAGGAAATATATTAGTAAATTACTTTTATTTTTCTCTTCTATCAGCAATTTTTCTGATTTGCATTGATAGGAATTTTTCTAAAAGAAAATCTGACTAGGGAGGTACTTGTGAGAGGTCATTTAGTTTCCTCCAAATATAAATAAATGGGGTAATGTACAAAATATAGATATTAGTTAAGTAAATAAAATTTCTTCTCAGAAAAGTTGTTCATACAGAAAAAAATTAAAAATTGTTAAACCAATATATTCCTCAGTACACTACCTTTAAATGTATGTTTTTCGTATTCCTTGTTTTTTTTTTACATATATATATATATATAATTAGTAAAATTAACAATCCACTTATTAAAAATTTGCGCCATTATAATTAACTTAGTTTTAGCAAAAAATTTTGACTTTTTGATGCAAACTTTGAAAACTTGTTTTAATTTTATTTAAAAATGTGTAGTATTTATCTGTATGATCTAATCTCTATATTACATATTTTGGTTTTATTTTGTCTTAAGTTTTTTTACAAATTATTTTGAAAACAATCAAATAATAATAAAAAAAAAGCTTACTTTGAACTATTAAGTCAGATCTCTTTAGCCATTTAAGGCTACAAATTAATATTATTAAAACTCTATCTTGGTCAATGTTACCAAATATCATTGTCATATAAAACGCAATAATGCACAGGTAATTTCACATTTTTTCAAATGTCAATTATAACAAATATTTACAACATTAAAAATGTTTAACATATAAAAAAAAATTGTTATCAATTATGTGGATACAATATTTGTGCGTTATGCCACGTGCTAGTGATCAAATTGAATTTTGAGAAAATTGATCAATTAACTCTAAATAGTCTTCCAACTTTCAATATTATTACACTAAAATTATTGATGTCATGATTAATTAATAATTAGTTAAAGTAAGGATTTTATACCGGTTTTTAAAAAAGTAAACTCCATAGTATTATAATACAGTTTTTTTAATAATGATAAAATATTACACCAATGAATTAATAAAAAATATCCAGATGTTAATTTAAAATTCCTTTATTGAAAATATTTTTAAAAAAAATTTTTTTTGCTTAAATACTTGTTATATTTGATTCTAGTTGTTGCACTCTTGCTATTTTTATCTTGTTCAATCCGTCCATTGAATCTGTCTTATTTTGTCGATTGTATTGAATATTTATCTTGTAAAAGTGTACACGCTTTTTTCTCATTTAACTATAGCAAAATTCATCACATAACCATATTCAATTTAAGTAATAGCCAGTTAGATGTATGCTACATGTTTGTTGACAAGAAAAAATAAAACTTGATCCTGAACTTAAATGTAAATCAATATTCGACTGGTATTTATTACCTTCGTGCAAGTGACAAATTATTACTTCTTGGCTGTTGCCTGAAGATTTTATTTTTAGAGTGAATTTGAATCTATTGTTCAGCACTAAATATGGTGACTCACATTCAAATTTGTCACACGACAATGATCGTCTTATAAATGCTCCATAATCTATGTCCAGAACAGCCATGGTTAAATGTAAAGGTTTATCCACTACAATGATTTGTTGAATACCGCATTTCTCACATAAAGTATCACCATGTTGAGAAAATAATTTTACGCAATTATTTTCATCTTTTGGTGTTAGAACTAATGAATAAAAAGTCATGGTGATAATTTATTTCTATATATTATAGTAACTAAACTAGTTACCCAAAATACTTAGTATTTAACCTAAATACATAAATGTTATCATAATCATGTGGTTTTAATTTCATATATTTCAACTACTACAATATATTTTAATTCCCACAAAGATAACTGCTACAATTTGTGGTTTTTATTTAACTGTATTGCTTATTGCTTGAAAAGATAAAAAAATTTCATTCAAATATAATCCATATATACAAACAATCACAATAAAATGATATATGTTATAATTATATTAGTTATAATTATAACATATATCATTATAACTAAACAAAAAATAAAACACAATTCATTAAATTTAAACAATTTTATTTAATATAAACGTTCATAAAAATTATGTCATTTATGTCATTAACAAAATGATTTTTATTCAAACATTTAGCTAATTCATATCTGTACTTCAAAAGTATCCAAAAAACTATAAATTTTGCGACAGATTTTATAATTGCATGTATTTTATTAAAGAGTTATTTTCAATACCAATAATGTTTATTATTGCTCACAACAATTTAACAATTGCAAATTTAAATTTAAGGAGTAATGTTAGTAAGATGCACTAAATAAAAAATTTTTTCTTGTCATGAATATGTAAAAAAATAATAAATAAATGGAAATTAGCAAAAAATAATAGGAATATCAGTCGGAATAAATGACATAATGAATACTTAATGAAAACTTAATTAACATGTTTTAATTCCACTTCAAACACCAATGTACTATTTGGTGGAATTTCCGGTGGGCTTCCTTTGGCACCATATCTAAAATAGATTATAATTATGATATTCATTTTCTATTTGAATGAATTCCTATGAATACAATAAGTAATAACTAAAAATTAACTACTTACGCCATATTAGGTGGACAAATAATTTTCCTTTTGCCCCCAACTTTCATTCCAGCAATACCAACATCCCAACCTTTAATAACTTCATTACGCGCTAATCCAAAACTAAATCCAGGACCTTTTTGCATTGAATCAAAAACTTTACCAGAAGATTTAAGACGGCCAATATAATAAACTTTAATCTATTTTTAAAACACAAAATAAATTAATAAAGGTTTAATTTATGGCTTGAAAATTCATAAACTTACATTCTTTCCGTTTTTTGCTAAGGCACCATCACCAACTTTTAAGTCCTGAATCAAAACTCCACCATTCAACTTTTGTTGTTGATTTTGCTTATCTTTTGGTAATGGAGTATCTGGTTTAGTTTTTAATCCAGCCAATGGAGTTTTAGGTTCATTTTTCTTCTTCTTACTACTTTCAATTGAACCCTAAAATAATAGTGAAAATTTGAAGAATGAGATAAATTAAATGAAAACAATAATATACAAATTTACATTTAACAAAGATTGATTTGCATTAGGTGTTTTTTGGGCCAAAGGAGTCTTTTCTTGGCCTTTAGGAGTTTTTTGATTTTTCTTAAGTGTTTTCTGATCCTGTTTTGGTGTTTTTTGTTCAACTCCATTTAACTGCTTTTTGGGAGTCTTTTGTTGTTCTTTTCCTTTCTTAGTCAATATTGGTTCATCTTCACTATCATCATCATCTTCTTCTTCATTATCATTATCATCGTCGTCATCGTCATCATCATCATCATCATCGTCATCGTCATCATCATCATCTATGTCCATAATTTCATCACCACAAATTGATTCATCAGATTCATCGTCATGTAGTAAATCACTAATTTGATAACCTAATATGAATACACAATAAAATATTTCAAAATATTAATATATGCCATTAATTATTATTAAATTAAATAGATTTATATAAAAATAATGATTTTATTTTAATCATTTTTCAACATTTTAGTGATACATTATAAATTTAAAAAAGAGCAGATACTGGTGTTGATGCAAAGTAAGAAAGTATTTGTACAATTATTGTATAAGAAATATAAACATTATAAACATAGACAAATATTTTATAAGTGAATTACGACAAAACACGATTAAAAATAATAAAAAGTATTGTATGATAAATTTTCAACATTCCTTTTTTTGGCTTTGTATTATATTATTTTACTTATATTATTACTAGGAAAATAAAAACTAGATTAATTTTAATTAAAAACAAAAAAATTGCATGATAAGATTTTATTTCCATTATTTGAATCTATTCTGTATGTTGAATATTTCATCAGTAGAATAGTATAAGTATCATAAAAAAAATAACTTTACCTCTGTTAACTTTTTCGTCGTCATCATCGTCATCGTCATCATCGTCATCATCATCATCATCATCATCATCAAGCCGATTACTTTTATTTAATTTAACAGATTTTGTTTTTTTTGGATCATCTTCAGCTTTACGTTTGTTTCCTTTAAAAATTAAATGAAATCAATTGTTTAGTTTATTTTTCAAAATATGGTAAAATATAGTTCAATTTTATCATATATGTACATAAATAGATGAAATACTTTATAAGTAAAATATAAGCCATAATGGATATTGAAATTTATTAGTGTTACTAATCTAGACTTGATGGGACCAAACCTTATCAAATTGAATATAGCTTTTAATTTAAAACCCAGACTATAATCAGGCGGACGAAAAATGATTGCTGTCCGTCATGAACTAAGGTGGCAGTTTTTTTAAAGTGGTTATCAAATTATCCCACCAATGCTTGTTATTAATCACAACTATGAATACGACTCGTAATAACAGAGTGAAAGTAGAATGATGAGAACTAATAGCTTCAACACTAGGTATGAATGGGTTACAGTGGCCAATACTTATCTTTCGTATTTGCAACTAGCATTTTATTCTTTGCTGAATAATGCAATTTATGGTAAACTCTTTAATCATAGTGACAGATTTTGAGGATTATTTGTTGTTGAAAAAAAGTTAAGACTTACATAGACCAAATTGAATTCAGTTTTTGAATATCTTCATCTAAACTTAATAACACCTCTAAACAATCCCTTTAAAAATATCACCTTGATTATACCATAATTTGAAATTGAATGAAAGTTTCAATATGGTTTGTAGAATCAATGAAAAAAGGGAAGCAAGCATGCATTTTAATGACAATGATTAATTCAAGTCATGAAGTCATTTTCATCTGTATAAATGGTGTACCCTATACCCTTAAAGAAGTGTCCTTAATAGATCTTTAAGGAAGTAATTATTAAAATGTACAACATTGATTGGAACACCTGGACTACTTAAGAGAAGTAAGCCAAAGTTAGAATAAATACTTGAATGGACATTTTTTTCATATTTTATATAAACAACAATTAATAAGGGTTTGAATTTACAATAATTTTAAATGACGGTGGTTTAAATTATCTCCCACTAATTTGAAACTTTTTCTTTGTAACTTACAGTTGATACACCAATAATTACATTTTAAAACTTAAAAATATTATTAAATTAACTTAACAGCATATCTTTTCAAACTAATAATACTTTAAAATTTGTCAATTAATAGCCATGTTCATTAAATTGGACATTTTCAAGCTATGCAACCACTTAAGTTCAATAATGCTCAAAATTAAGTTTAACAAATTTTGTCTGCAAAAATAGTTAACTTACAATAACATTTACATTTTCATATAAAAGTGTTTTATAATGTCAATGATTAGCAAATTGTATTAAATAATACTAGTGATTTCCTGTTAACTGAGACCAGTTAAATTAAACCAATTAAAAGAATAATCACCTTTTCCTATTTTTGATTTATTTGTGGCTATTTTTACTTCTTCTTCTTCTTCTGCTTCTTCTTCTTCAATTTCACTTTCTAAATCAGAATATAATTCTTCATCTTGATCATAGTCTAAATACCCTATTATTAACAAAAATGTTTATACAAATATTCCAACAATACAATTAAAATAAATCATGAATAGTTCAAATAAATACCAGTCATATGTATTTGGGCAGATCCAGCTATAAAAAACTTCAAATCTGTTCCTTGTGAGAAAATATGATCCAATCTAACTTGGAAAATATTTGACGCTTTGGAAAGATGGCAAAGAATAGCACGAGGAGTATTATCAGTTTCTACGTATATAGTATGAATGTCATTATCTAAAAATAATTAATTTTAATGTGTAAAACAAATTAGAACAAAGTTCGGCAACTATACAATAATTTTAATAATGATATTAAGGCTATAAACAAATTACTAAGCATAATAGGGTATGACACCCATACGTTTTGTTTTATTATTATTAATTTATGATATAGTCCTATTTTTAAGTCCTAATTGAAGGTAAAAGGGGTGTTGAGGTCTATTCTTACCCTCCCCTCCAACCAAACTTTTTTTTATATATATTCAAAAATCAGACTTCATATTAATTACTCACTCTGCTCAGAATTTAAAATATAAATAAAATAATAACTCAGTTGCAAGTTTTCTGCAACGAAAGCGAATATATTGGTTGAGTTGATTGCAAAACATGCAAGTGTTTTAGAATGTAAAAAATCAGATCAACATATGTGGGATATTTTTATCTAATCAAATTTCTTCCAGAACCTTCTCTACAGTTTGTTTCTTTAAATGAAATCATTTAAGAATCTTTAATTCCTCTAAATAAGTCAAGTTATTTTCGAAGTTCTCGAAAAAATTTTCCCTTCTTGAATTGAATCAGTAAGTTCTTCCATTTCATTTTTGAAGGATGAAAAATCAATTTCTTTGTCAATATAACTACAACTATGAAGAGCTCTATTCATTATTGTAACAAAAACCAAAATAAAAAAGTATACACTATACAATTATTCTAATAAAACTTCAACATCAAATTAAAACACAAAATTATTAGCAACAACCATCATACTTATACAGGATATTAAGCTGACAATTAGGAAGCAATTGAGTACTCTTAATCACTCCCATAGTTGAACACATAAACTAAAAATTTGGCAAGTTTTTAAACACTGTATAGCCTTGTAATCTCGATTACACAAAATGTGTTTTTAACAGATACTAATTTGCACTGTTAATTTTAATGTTAAAATAAATAAACGTAATATCAAACTTAAAAAGCTAAGAACATCTTTGGAATATTGACATCATTTTATTAATATTATAATTTTCAAGAAATAAAATTAGGTATTAAATTGAGATATTTCAAATAATCTCATGAATATTAAAACATTGAAAAAAAAAAAAAACAAGTTCCAATTTTCAAATTCAATATTTATAATACATAAACTCATCCACAGTATTAAAATTAGCAGCACAACATTGTCCCTGATAAAGGAAAATTTACTATATCAAAAGTTAGCAAGACAAATACAATAAAGTATTACTCCCTCTTAAAATGAAATACCACATTAATGTTAATACCAAACAATACACCTAGTGCTTTAATATAAAGGATAAAAATGATGTGAATAGATTGTGCATTTATACATACCCTTTTTAACAGAATCTAAATCAAGAGCAGCCATAGAAAGATGAAATGTGTGTTCCACAATAGTGCTATATTTTTTCCCGGGTTCCATTATTATGCCTGTGAATATCAATGAGTTAATATAAATATATTCAAAACACATATTAAAAAATAACTATTACAGAGTTAATAATTATTATAAATTAACATAAAATGACGATCGAAAAAAAATATCATTGTTATATTACAAACTAAATACAAATAAAATTAAATAGATCACGTGTTTTTAAAACATATATTTTAAAATAATACTTACTCCACATGATGCCGATTAGGTATTTTAAGTCCTTAAAATAAAAATAACAATTATATGGAATACAATTGTTTGTCAACCTCGTGTAAAAATTATCGTGGAATAAAAATCTCACGTGGCTAACATAAAACGTCTAAAAGTAAAATGAATGAATAATTGAGGATTTGTGGTGGACTCGCTGCAAAAATAGCGTAGGTGCTTGCCGCTCGTCACCCAAAACAGTATAAATCAAACAATAAAGATTACGATACTAACTTCACTAATAGTAAGACCAATCATATTTGATATTATACTGAATTCCGATATTAAAGATGTGAGGAACGATGTCAACCGTGAAATCACAGCAAAAAAAAAAAAAAATTACAGTGTAGCCATTTTGAGAGAATTGTTTTAGTTAAATGAATTTGATGCCAAATTACATAACAATCATAGATAAAAATAATCATTATCAATGTAGGTAGGAATATTATCTAAGTTTTTTTATCACATTTTCTCAAAATAATAATACATTTTAAATTTTAACCATTCATAGGCACATTTATATAGGTAAAGGTAATACACAATTTTATATAAACATCACAATACATAGTAATAGTATTGTCTTCTTAATTAGTTCTATTTTTGGTTAAATAGACAATATGATTTTTAAGTATAAAATAAAATGTGTACCATATCTGGTCTGTAGAGAGTACAGGCCGCTCTCCGACCAAACCGAATGGCCACAGCGCATCCCCACGCCACAACACTATCCATTTATCCCCTCCCGGATCTATCGACAGCGCTGCAACGGCGACCGCAGAAGTGGTGCAGGTGTTGTACACTGCGTTTCAAATAATGCACTGTTGACTGTCGATAGTCCACTGTTTATCGCCAATTGCCGTGGTGTACGCACACTTCATTTTTACAGCGTTTACTTTTTTGTACCGTTTGGTAATTTTTACTTTTTTCTCCGTTTTTTTAATTATTTTAAAAAAATTATGTAAATATGACGACAAAAAAAAATGAAATGTTTTAATATAATTATTTATTATTTATTAAATATATAACTCTGTATTATACTTACAGTGTTCAATAAAATATTAAATAAATAAATATGTATACAAAAGAAAAAAAAAAGTGAATTATTATAGAAGGTGCTTGTATATACGATAGTTTACGATTTGAAAAATCATCAACAGGTTATAAAACAGCAAAGGTAAAAAATGTGTGATGCGCGATGTCTGATAATAATATTTGAATTTCTACAAAATAGCCTAGCGGTGTATAGTCAAAAACCGACGATGGAAGAAATGACAATCGGCTGCCTTCGCTGAAATCAAGTTATGTGGAGGGGTAAACATGCGCACAAACGGCCCGTTCTCTCCTGAAACAGATTATAGACAGTTAATACTAAAATATACGTTATCACTTATCAGGTATACTGCAGCATAGGTTATATAAACAAGATATTTCTCGGCACACCGGAGTAGGGATAATGAAAAATCAAAGATATCTATATCTATATTAAAGTTATAGTATAGATATCTGTGGAAAAGTACAGAAGTCCGTTTTTACGTCTGTCTGCCTCTACAGATAATAAAAGTACTTTTATTATCTATGCTCTGCATTCCAGTATTTTCTTATCCACGATCTTAGAACAACTAAAACCGTGTTCTTATCTATCTTAATGTAAATATCAAATTATCAATTATCAGGGTGAATTTCATCTATTATGTTTTAGATATCCGTTATATATCAATGAGGGAATCGAGAGCAAAATCCATCAACCAATCAGTTCGCTTATAAATCGAATATATCTTATCACGCGCGCTTTTAGTTATTAAGTATGAACTATACGTTTGCATTTAATTAACATTTCATATTATTTTCTATTATTTTACAATATCTTCGTCTTCTTTTATGTGTTTTAAATGTAAAAAAGTGTTTGGGTACCGTGGGAATTTATTATCACATGAAAAAAAATGTGGTATAGTAAATAATAATGAAAATAAAACAGGGATTAAATGTCCAGACTATAAGTGTGGACAATTATTATTCACCGGATATAGTTTATTAAGAAAACACGTCGAAGATTTCCATAAAATTACTATAAGTAAAGAACGTCATTACTTCCAAACTCTAAATGGTACTTGTTAGCTTGATGTAGTTACATAAAAAGTGTAAATAGTGTATAACTGTTGACTAAAATATTTTTTTTTTGTAGATTTAAAGGATTGTAAACTAAAAATTGAAAACCTATTATTATTGTCATCATAGTGGTTACTTTAATAGTATATCGTGAGGCGTCAGGCGCATTAAAAGCCAAGGTAACAATAAGATAGGTTCAAGATGCACGTTATCAATGGTAAATAATAAATAATAAATATGGTGAAATACCATAAAATATAACTGCCTTCCAGTTTCCACTAATAATAAATTTCCTCTAAAATTATTTAGATTGCGACAGAAGATACAAATGGAATCAACGTTGATTTTAGTAACACACATTTTGGGCATGGGTCTAACTAAGGTAGATGTAGACTAACTGCTGATGAACGAGCAAAGTTTTAAAACTCCTCCAGCCGCCGGTGTTGAATGTAAAATTACTATGTAAAATAATAATGACCATTCATACTAAACTAGTAATTCTTTACCAAATATAGTAAAGTACATTGTATTTCATATTATTTTTTATTATTATTAGTTCATAAGTGTTATTAGTTTATTTTTTAAGTCTATAATTAAAGACAAATAGAAAAAAAAAGGATTATTGATATTTTATTATATACTATTTTATTATTGATTATTATTAATACTTGATTGTATTAAGATTAATAATTATTATAATATACCCATTATAGAAGTGATATTAGATATATNAATCTTTTTCAATCTCTTTATTATGTTTATTTAAAAGTTAAATCAGGTTTTGTTCGGATAAAATAAATACAATTATTCATTATTATTTACCTAGATATAAAAATAATTTAACATATAATTTTAAATACTCTGTGTATAAATTAATAATTTTTATAGTCTGGACATTTAATCCCTGTTGTCAAATCAACGTTGATTCCAGTTGTATCTTCTGTCACATACTCATCATAATTAAAATGAAAATGAAATGTTAATTAAAACATTAAAACACCACTAAAAATGTTCAAATGCAAACGTATAGTTCAGACTTAAAACTAAAAGCGCGCGTGATAAGACAGTGATATTATATGTTCGATTTATGAGCGATCTGATTGGTTGATGAATTTTGCTCTCGATCCACTTAATCCACTTTGATAAATGTAAAGTCGAACACCAACGTTTTACCGTAAGTTGTTTTTTTTTGTTTGAAACCTTGGGCCGTATTTTGATTATATTTAAACGTATGCTAGTGTGATCTTCACTATTACATAAAGAGCTATTATTGGAACTTTATATTAAAGTACCCTTCCTTCTGATTTTTGAATTAAGTATATCTCGACAGGATGTGGTGATAGGAGAATGGTTTTAAGGCCAACAAATTTGACTTCGTACCCCACAGAAGTTTCCTCCATAGTTTGACACTGTTAAATCCCCCTCAAGGAGACTATCCTGAATTCGCCCGATCACCTCCTACCTTAAGCTAATCTAACCAATCCTTGGAGACGATACCTAAATCATATATAAACTACCCTCATAAAAATTAGTGTCATCGGAATGGATTGAAAAAAGGTATTTTGCTCCAAAGCAGCAGTGAGTCATTGGTGAGTTATTAATATTTAACGAAGTTACACTCTTCAAAATTTCAGGAAAATATACAAGAATTAAAAATAAAATTAGGTACAGTACTTATTAAAACCAAGTAGGTAAGTACAGTGGTGTATTTACGGAAGATGTGAGTTTCTCCCAGCACAGATGTACACAATTTTTACAATGATATGTACCTATCATGATATAATTATCTACTGGCATGTATAATATATTTATTGTTCGTTGGTAATGGTAGTTACAGTCATTGATTAAATAATATATTATTAATTAATATTTAAGCAATGGTACAATGATTTTATAAATATTGTTTTAACGAGAGCATTCCGGCAGCATCATGAACTATTTTTTTTCAGAACTGGTATTAATACAAAGTCTCACTGTATGATAATTTCCGATACCAAAACTAACATAACGTGTATCTACATGGATGGTTGTTAATATTACTAAAAAAGCTACACGCCCCTTTGAATAAATTATTTTAATCATTATTTTGGGTGGACCTAAAGACCAGCGGGAGTCACTCACTTGGACTGTTTTAATACCTACTTTAATTGATATTAAACTCTGATTTGTTAAGCATAATCTTGTCAGGTAACAGGGAATAAAAACACAACCTTAAATAAATAAATGTTCGAAAAAAATTCCCGTTATCCAACAAAAATTTGATTGTTTACAGAGCACTTTATATTATTTATTGGGTTAGAAAGTCGTTTTTTAATTTTCAGTGAAATTTTTTTATAATTGAGAAAAATTAAGAAAGTTTACTGAAATAATGGTTTCGTGTATTTTTAACTTTCTTTTTAGTTTCTGAGTGGGGTGAAGAAATGATTTTTACAAAGGTGAACACTTTTTCTACCAGACAGCTTACATTTATGTGTAGACCTTTTTCTAATACAAAATTTTCTTAAGTTGGTACTAGAAGTCATTTTTTTAATTTTTCTGGCAGTTGTCCCAATAAACGGGAAAAAGTTAGAAAAAAATAGGTAAATGAACGAAATATATTATAGGAAAATATAAAAAAATTTTCTGTGGTCAATTATCTACTAGCAACTTTGCTCCGATTTATAATTATAGCACTTTTTCTGAAAGTCAATCTGACTGGGAAGATACCTACTTTAAATTTTCCCAGTAAAATATGAAAAACATGATGAAACCAGGAAAATTGATACAATATAAAAAAAAATATTATTAAAGAAAATATTTAACTACCATAAAATTATTTTACCATAATATGACATATATATTGTTAATAAAGCATCACTATAAAACTTCGCTCAGAATCGTTTTTCATTAGCAATGGTTTATCGTTGCTTACAGATCTTATCTTAAATCATTTTCTGTATTCTTCTATTACTTCTCAGCTTTCCACTTACAAAAGTGGCTGCAACCATATGCAAAGTATGTTTTTTGTTATTAAATTTAAAATATTTGTAAAAATATGAAATTTAGACAAAAAAATATGTCTTTTCTGTACTGCAGCCCATAAGAGAAGGAACTAATTTTGCATACGTACCTGACTATTTTCTCTACTCAAACTGTCTGGCGGCAGTTAAATTTTCAAATACATTTTATTATAACCAATTTCTTTATACAAATAACTAATATGAACATATATAATTACATAAAAAATGTCAGTGTTAAAGGATTACATGGTAGGTATACGAACTATAAATATGGTGTACACTCATAAATTGTTTAGGAAGCATCAGGCCATAATAATGGCGCAGTCATCAACTTTTTTTTGATTTATTTTATTTTATTCCATTATTATGTATATATACTACATTTTATATTTACTTTACAATGTTGAATAACCATACAAAGGGTATTTAAGCAAAGGAATATATGTATTTTATTTTTAGTGTCAGACGAGATATTAATAAATATAGAAAATAGAAGAAAAACAACTTTTAACTTTATTTAGTGTTTATAATAGAATATATTATATAATATTATAATTATATTGAATTAATGACCTTAATTACAGTTATTAATTTATTATAAATAAGTAAAAGACAAAAAAAAAAAAAATAGATACTATTTAATGCAGAAAGTGTCTGGCATTATCAAAAACATAAGCACAGAATCATGAACAATAAAATCATACAATTCAAAATCTACGTATTAGCCTTTAAAAAATCAGCATGATTTTTATTTGGAAGTAAATTGAGTGCTTCATATTAAAATAAAAGTGGTAAATTGAATTCCTCATTAAAAAATTAATATGGTAAATTGAGTACTATTTAATATTTAAAATATAATCAAATACTGTTATCTTTATTTAAAATTTTTGTAATAATATAAATTAATTTTTACATACATTGTACACATTTATCAGCTAATCACACACAGTTATCGGTACGGACAGAAAGTTTTTTTTTTTTGTAAATTGTTACTTAAGTGCTGTGTATTAATACTTATTTTATCATATTTGGAAAAATAGTATGTCGAGAGTAGTATATGCAGGAAGGCTAGGGATTGTATCTTCTCATTGTCCTAAAAACACAAACAAATATGAGCAATTAATTAATTTTGAAATTTATATTATATTTCATCAAAGTTTTAAGGAAGATCTTGATGTAATGATTAGAATTTGGTTTTTTTTTAGGATCTGGCTTTTTAGTTACAAATTCCAATTTTATTTCTAAGGTATACAATATATTGTTCTGTATAATATAGTACATACATATTTTATGTTTTGTGTGATTAAATTGATCTACTTAATCATAATGTAGATTATTGAAGAAAATTGAATGAATTATATGTACTTATATTTATAATTATATCAAAATAACTGTGTGCATGTAATCATATTATTGTAATTGAAGGGTTAATGGTTATTTAAAATACTTATATCATTTAATACTATTAAAAAAAAAAAAAATTGAATAGTAAATAGTACAAAAACAAAATACTACACAATAATGTTACTAACTTAATATGATTTGTGTACATCAATACACTGACATGAACACATTAGCAAAATATTTATTTATAGTTTGAGTTAGAAGTCAATCATAGTTAAAACCATTAAAGAAACTAGAAATATTATGAAGAACAATGAGACAATATTTATTTTAGATGTGCTAATTTTCCTGATAACCTTTAATGTACTCTTAGCTGATACATGAACTAAGATTGTACCTTAGATTATATACAATAGTTATAGGTAGCCATAGCTACACTGCACACGCACAGTCATCTTCACGAGGATAATTCATAATACACAAACACAAAATCAATCAGAGCATATGAGTTCATAGATTCAAAAATTGGATGGATGTAGTCATCCATAGTATATAATCTAAGGGTTATACCTACAACATACCAGTTAATCATTCAATTAAAATATATAAATATTATACAATAAACATCTTAAATAACTTACTATCTTTGCATAGTTTGGACATGTTCCTTTACTTCTTCAATTAAAAGTATGGATATTTTTAATTCATTATATTGTTGAATGAAATTAGTAGATACATTTCTTAATTGATTCAGGTTGTGTTCAGTACGATCAATATTGGATTCTAGTAATAAAAGGTTTTTAGCTGTTTGATTTAACATTTCATGACTTTTGGAACTTTTATGTATTTGTTTAATAACCGATGACATATTATTAATATTCAACTTCACTCGTTCACTTAATAAGTTTTTGGAATCACCAAAAAGAGATCTAGCACTGGTGCTAGAAGCTGAAGTCATTCTGAATTATGTTTTAAGGAGAATGTAACCAACCACACATTTAAAATATCAAAGTAACCTAAATAAATATATAAAGTATCACATAAAATGTTTTATTATATGGTAAATAATAAAATAATAAATTATTTCAACAAAGTGTACAAATTACTTACATACCCAGTAAAAACTCATAATTGTAAAAAATGAGTATTTATAGGAAAAATTGTAAATAAAATTTCATATTTCATTACTTATTGAAGAGAGGATTTTTACATAACATGTTAATTATGTTTTTATGGAGAATAGTATGGAATTCTTATTAAATCATTTTTTTTTTTAAATTAATTTGTCAATCAACTAACATAACTACATAAATGTCTACTGCATAAAAATTGTATCCATTTCTTATTAGTGCAATAAACAAAATTTTATTGATATACAGCACTTAATATAATGAAAAATAATTCAAGAAAGAACTACATAGATATATTTTTAACTACACTGATCTAAAATAACATTTAAAATATTAACTTACTTGTTTAACTAGCCGAATTAAACCATGATATGTAAAAGAGAATTTAAAAAATGAAAGTTTAATATTATTTAATATTTATTTTTCAGATTTTCTAATTTCTATGACCCGAAAACACGGACTAAGTATATTTTAGTTCAAAAACCAATAAACCATAAATAATAAAGATTTACTATCAAAGTTCCAAACGTATATTCCACTGGCAATATTTGATAAGATTCCAGTGGTTCCTAAAATGTGTAAATATTTCAATTTAGGTAGTTCCAAGATAGTTAAAATACCTGGTGTAGTTCAATAAAAATAAAGCAACCGCACATATTTCAGCCGAATTTACCGAAACTACTAATTATAAACTTGTACATATCTTATCATTGTTTTTATCAGAAAATAAATTAGAATACCTGGAAGTTTAAACATAAATATTTTGAACAAAAATTGAAAAATTTGAAAAAACGTGCAAATTTTGAATTATAATTCCAACACAATTTTGAACAAATAAAACGACAATATTTTAAACATTTTCTATGATAAAAATATACATTATTTAATTAATTAGTTTTATATTATTTTTAATTTCAACCATTAGTAAGCATTTAAATTATTCAAGTGTAGTTAAACATCCAAATGTTGAATTTATTGTCAAAACTAAACCAATATATTATATTCTATAAACATTTAATAGAGTTATAAAAAAATCTATTATATGTCTATGATATTTTCCAATGAACTTCATTGTTTAAAAATGAAAAAAACAGAATTTACATGGAGCATCTGGTTAACTATTGAACTATTTTATAATTATCTTATAGTTCAGTGTGGTTATTTGTTTTTTATTTTAAAATAATATGTACGGAATTTCTCTCCTTTTTATTTATTTTTTATCACGCGTTATCGTATATTCGTTCAAATTAAAGATAGTAGAGTGTTCTATAATGCGTATTGCAATCTATTTGAGTTCCAAATTTTGCAATATGTACGTTATTGGGACTATGAAAAACGTTTTACTGTTATACAAATCTGGTAGTTCATTAAAGCACGCGTTATGTTTTCTATCATAAATATCACTCCAGTTAAAAATCATCAAGAGATTTTTTTGTTGAATATATAATCTAGTTGGTTAAAGACAAAGTCGTTTTTTTAATTTTCTTTGTAGTTTTTTTATAATTGAACGAAACCGAAAAAGTTCAGAAAGTATGGGAAAGTGTACAAAAATAATTCTCTTATTATTTTCAATTTTGTTTTTTTAATGTATTCATAGACTTGATATTTTAAAAGAAAATTTATATTAGATTTTTCTAGACGTAGTCAAATTTTCAAAATATTCAAACTATTTTTGAGTTAATTATAAACATATTAATTTTGCTGATTCACTGAGATTTACTCATCCTATTTTATTGGTTAAATTTTGCAGATATTCAAATTCTGAGTTTTGGAATTTCTAAGGGGAATTAAAGCTGACATTTTCATGTACTTTGATTTTTTACAATATTTAAGAAGTATTATGTGGCGATACCTTAAGTTTTTCAAATGAAAACCATTATTAAAAATTCTAAAAATAGATAATAAACGGAGTATTACTTTAATTAAATTTTGTGACAACATTTTTGATTTTCGTCAACCCGTTTACGAAATATTCCACTTTTTTATGGAAATTTAGATAGAGGGAGAGTAATGGAGTATTATTCGTATGGGGACACAGCGCGCGGCGTTTTATTGCTGCTCCGCTAATCACCCTCTTCCTAAAATTAAAAGTAAAATATCTCGTCAATGGGTTATCGGAAATCAAAAATGTTAACACCAAAATGTTTTGAAAGTAATATACCATTTATGTATGTAATTTTTAATATAGGTTAGAAGATCTCATTAAAAAATCAAAGTTAGTACGGTCTTAGATTATTAGTGCCACAGATATCGTCGTTCAGGGTTATTAGTGCTTCCCTCAGGTTAACTTTGTTGAAAAAAAAGAGATTTAGTAATAACGTTTGACTTTAGAAATGGAATTAATTCAATTTTAGTTTGTACGTTCGAGGCAACATTATTAAGCTATTTTATATTCTGAGTGGAGCGAAGAAGTTTATAGTTTTACAAAGATGTTAATTTTTTTTTTTGTAGACACCTTTTCTACCAGAAGATTTGCTCCGATTTTTACTTGTAGTAACTTTTCTGAAAGGAAATTGGTATGGGGAGGTAAATTAAAGAAGAAAAAAAAGGGAAAATGTAAGAAATGTAGGTATTAGCTAAAATTATTATGGCCTTCTTTTTTCCTATGAACAATTTTTCTACCGGCAATTTTGCTCCAACTTTTAATGATAGCAATTTTTCTAAAAGACAATTTCATTGGGGAGGTACTTTAAAGAAGTCATTTTTCGATTTTCTCAATAAATGAGAAAAACATAGAAAACCGGGGAAATATTATCAAAGAAAATATATAGATCCTATATAATTATTTTACTATATGGCATATATATTTTTGAAAAAATATCACTATCAATTGAACTCCGCTTATAATCATTTTTTCGTTGGCAATGGTTTACAGATATACATTAAATCCCCCTTTGTATCCTTCCCAATTTTCCACCTACAATAGTGGCTGCACCTGTCTTCATTATCTTACCTTTTTATATCTTATAACCAACTTGTCGCCATACATTGTTGCAGTCATAGGTCATTAGTATTAAGTCTATGGTGGCAGTTTTATCTGTTATCAGTGCGGTATCAAGTGTAATTCCGCTATACCCGCGAAACTTTGAACTGTCAAACTTTTTTTTGTGGAGCGAAGAGCTTGAGGATTTTATTGTAAGATATAACTCATTCACGTTAGAAATTTAGTTACGAAAACGATGTTATATGAAGATTTTTGGTTTAAAAATTTTTGAATAATTTAAAACCAAATTTCATGATCTGGGTAACATTGCACCACTAAAAGGGGTCTCTGGGCCAGTATTTTGTTATTATTTTTTAGCATAAAGTTTCATCACTTATTATTTTCCATTTTGGATTAAATAATAGTTTGGTTTTTCTTGATAATAATCCTGAATGTTTTTTTTTTTATTAATTATAAATTAATTGTAATAAAATTTAAATAATAATAAAATAATTTTAACACAATTGTATGATTTGTTTTGTTTATTATTCTTGTTTGGACCTAATCTTGCCAATAAAATACATGTTTTCGGCAGAAATAATTTGTTGTGTGTTATTACTATTTTGTAATGGTGCTGTTTTTTTTAGACCTGTTTACATTACCCCAGTCACAAAATTAAACAATTTTATTGCATTTCTTGATGTGGTGCAAAGTATGCAGACCCTATGGGTAATATTGTTCGACTTTTTAAAAAAAAATAAAAAAAAAAATGTTATTGGGATATAATAGGTACTCATTTTTATATCATAATAAGCTTAATGGAACTTTAAAAAATCAAACTATATAAGCACAATGTTTTTTTTTTTTTAATTTGATACACCTAAAATGACAAAATAAAATAAATTTGAAATATCAGAGAAAAGTAACCCAAATGACAGTACTTTATAAATGTTGTGAAAAATCGAAGTATTCGAAAATATTTGCTTTAATTATACTTAAAAATTTCAACAATCAAAATTTGAATACATGTAAAATATTAACCAAAAAAATCAGAGTGAGCATTCTTAGTGAATCACCATGTATATAATTTTGCATTGCTAAATAGTTTATATTGTAGGTTTTTTTTTTTTATTAAACCTGGTCAATGGATCAGGATCAAATAATTAAGTTTGGTTTATATTAACTTTTTATATAAATCTACAACTTTATTCTGAACTGGATGAAACTTTTCACAAATAAATACTAAATATTTACAATAAGTGGATGGCCATTGTCTACTTTTTATCTCAAAGTTTAACCCCTTAAAATAGCTTACACAAAGTTATTTGTGTTTTTAAAATTGAAATGTTGAACTTTTTTGTAGGTACTTAAAGGCACTTAAATAATCTCTAATAGTAGGTACCTAACTCAACTCGGTTAAAATAATTTGACTTATATTTATAAATAATTTAATAATTAAATAAATAAACTAATTATTAAATAGGTAAACAATTATCACATTATATTTATAAGAAATTTTAAGTTACTATGAAGTTAGGAACACATTCCTAATTAATATTACCTTTTTATTAACTTCAAGTACAAATATTTCATAGTTAAACAGAAGAAAGTGATAATTTTTCAGGTTTGTTATCTTGCCCTAGCACATAATTTTGAGATGAGTGTACCCACTTTATTGGATCACCTGGTATAAATGAATGATCATAAATATAAATTATCTTTTATCGAGTCAAATTCTAATCTAGTTTGTATTATCACGTAAAACAACAAAAATACCTATAAACTGATTTTGGGAGGTGGTAGTAGGACTTTCTCTGAACAACATAGACTATCATTCCAGAATTGTATTAGTCTCTAAATTACAAATGAATGGTAATCTACCAGAAAATTGTTCGGATTTACTAGACTATTTTGAAACATATTATGTTAATGGCAAATATAGAAGAATTAGAAACTAAGAGAATAAAATTAGACATCGAAAACTGCAACCAATGTACCCACTAGGGCACCCGCTGTATGGAATATCAATGAAACTACCTTCAATGACTGCCATAAAACCAACAAATTGTTGAAGGATGGAAATAAATCTTTTAACTAGTTAGCTGAAATCATCAAATGATATGGAAGTTTATACAGGATATAAAAAATTAAATTACCAATCTAATCCAATTAACATTAAATACTTTAGGTGAACTTAAAAAAAAAAGACATAATCTATAAACATCAGTCTTAAATAATTGGTTATAAGTATTGGAGATTTTTAAAAGCTGTATCCAATTTTATACACAATCACACTGACCGATACGATATTAAATTACATTTTTTTAAGTTTAATGATTTTAATTTTTTTTTTTTAAAGTTGGTTTGATCAGTGTATAATTTTTTATAATGTATAGGTCACACAGATATACATAATATATTATCTATATTGTATTTATGTCGATTACTTTATATTTGATAAGACCAGAGCCAATTCTACTACAAACACTGAAAATTATGGCCCTTTGTCATTTGATGGTGTCACTGCTGGTGCCATTACAAAACATTAACGAATATACAGATTATATACTAAATACCATTGATTTCATAATTTTCTATATTTTAAAATCAATAATACATACCATAAGCCACAAAATTATATTTCATTTTTTTTTAATAAATTTAATATTATATAGGAAGGTAATTATATTTTTAAAATAATTATATGATTTAAAACATGGAATTTTGGTTACTTATCCCATTAATCAACAATAATGAATGCTATACCATATACATTTTTATCTTAGTTTTAAAAATATATATAAAATAAAAAATACAGCCACACTAAATAATATTAGATAAAGCATATTGTAGCCACCACTATTTCTACTAAGCCTTGTAACTCGACCAAGTGTGTTGCTCAAAAATCCTCCAGTTGTTTCAAAATCATGATCCATGTCTCTTAGTAATCGATCTTGGTATTTTACTTCTGCACCAATATCAATAGAAAGAGACTTCAAAGTATTCACCTTATCTTTTAACTGTTCTGTTAAATCATCATTCTCTGTTTCAATAAAGTCACCGCCATATGAACTACTTGAAGGCAATGGGTCATAATAATTTCCTCCGTGAGCTCTACGCATTCTTTTATCTAAAAAGTAAAAACATGAAATTATAATTTCACTAAAATTAATATCTTAACAATATTATCTTTACAAGTTTAATTGAAACATACCTTTATATTCCATCAACTAAATAAATATTTATATTAATGTATTTTTATCATTTATTAAGGTAAAACCATTATTGTTTAAAAACATTTATAAAAGATCACGATTTATAATATTTATGTAACACTTGTAACAACAAGTAATACATAGGTAATATTTATATTAGAAATTAAAAAGTGATGAAATTACATTTTTCTTGTTATCTTGCCTCGTTGTCTAGTGATAAGTGATAACAAGTTCCATACCAATTGTGTTAGTATTTTAATATGTGCTACGAATTACAAAGAAATTCATTAAAGTTTTTGGATCTTTTAATTTCTAAAAATTTGAGCACTCGTTTGTTTTTTATAATTGTATACTATATTTTTTTGTTATTATTAATTAAATACTCACATTATTACATTTATTATTATTATTTATTTATTTAACGAAAAAACGTTTGGTAGATCCAATGTTTAATATAGATAACAGATACAATAAAGATACATACAATTTCTTTTTAATTTTACCATTGTAATTTGTAATGTAATTGAACTCTAAAAAAAAACTAATTTATCGTTTTTATTTTGACATAACATAATTTCACATATAGTAAGTTTACTAAGTGCATTCAACTATTTTTTAATAAACAATAGTTATATTTTTGTTATCAAATAGTTACTTCATATTATTATTATTTCATAAAAATGTTTTGCTAATATAGAATATATAGAAAATTTCTTCATAATATTTTATTTACAGATAAATTTTACAATGTTTCGCAATGGTAAATTTTCTGAATCAGCACCAGCAAAACAGTCACGTAGTGAACGTTTTCAAGAAATGTCCAAGCAGCAACAATTGATAGAGCAAAAAAAGCGTGAGATTCAAGCTAGATTTGAAGAAAAAAAAAAGAAAACTGCTGAACAAACTGAAGAAAAAAAATTCCCAAAACCATTGGCTATAACTAAAAATGCAATTAAATTAGATAAAATAAAATCGTTTTATCAAAAATCTAAGATTATAAAAAAGTAAATTATATTTTTCATATAATTATATTGATTACATATTTATTTTAATATTAAAATAATTGTATATGATTTAACAGGAATGAAGTTTTTGTAAAAAATATTAATGAAGAACTCCCATATGAGTCAACTGGGGCACATAAGAATAAACTGAATTTAGCAGATGTTTTTGAAAAAGATGAAGAGCCTGGTAAAATTTGTACTTTATTTATTATTATAAATAAAATTAAATATAAATTAATTAATAATTAATAATTTACTATTAGGTTTAATTTAATATTAAAGTTATCTTTAAATAATAAGTATATTAGATCATTAGATCATCCACTAGATTCATTTAAATAACTAAAATAGTTTCTATGGCCATTAAATAAAACTTCCATGCATAACATTCAAGAGGAGTGTGCAGATATCCAAAAAACTTCCCTCATTTTACCACTAATATTATGAACATTTTACATCACTAAATTAAAATATCCAAATATCTTGGTCTAAATTTCAAGATTAGTATCCTTTCTATATGGAAAAATAATGTCGTTTTTGATTTTTCGTGTAATTTTCAGAATAATTAGGAAAATACTTGAAATTGTGTGATTTAAAGGGTTCATTATTTTCGATTTTATTTACTCTTGTAATTGATGTATTGAAACAATTTTCCGGCTGTTACTCCTTAAAATTAAGAATACAATTTTCTTTCCAAATAAATAATGGGCATCTTAAGCTTCTCTTTTTGGCATTACCTTTTGTTGATTTCTGATAGTCTTGGTTACATAGACAAAAAAAATTATCTCAATGAGATCCAGTTTTTATAACTATTTGGTTTAGTTGTAAAGGTCACCATGGTAAGTCACCATTTTAGTGTATTGGTTTTTTTTTTTTGGATTTCCTAAAGAAACGAGCAGTGCTAGGTGATTATTGTGTAAACAATAATATTTAAAAAACAGTTTACAATCTGTTATTAAATTGAACATAATTCACCATATTATGTGATTTAATTTTTAAATTATATTTATTGCCAAGTTAACAGATAAATTTAAATATAATAATTAAACTGTATAAAAAATGTTTACAATTTCAATTAAGATACACATCATTTAACTTGTTTAATTTACCTATCCTAATTGTTTTGGTTTTTAGTTACATATATTTTATGGTATGCTATAAGATTATCACTGTTTTATTTATATAATTATTAATTTATTATAATTTATGTTGTCCTAGATACCAAAAATATTGAACCAGAAGTTGAACATGGACCAAAACTAGGTATTTTAAAGAAAATAAAATACACCCTTAATATGATAGAGCTAGAGCGGCTCAGTGATCACATAATTGGCTATAGAGCTTATGGCACTGTTGGTTCGACTTCAAGTGCAAAAAACTGTTTTGGTTTTTCTATAGTTATTCCTTACTAACTGATTTTAATATAGATTACTAGTTCACACACCTATATTCATGTCTCATTTAGGAGTAAGAAATAGATTACCAATTACAATTACAAAGAACTTAGTCTTTTTAACTCATTTAAGTCAATTTTTTTTTTTAAATATTTAACTCAAATAATTTAAAGAATCAAAAAGATATATATAAATGTTTTTATGAACCATATCTTCTAGAGCAGTGGTTTTCAACCTGTGCGTCAAGACACCCAGGGGTATGGTTTAGTATCAAGGGAGCTGCGTCTATAGTAAATATAGAAGAGTATTACAGTTTATTTATTTTTATTTTTATTATTATAATTATTCGTAAGATAGCCGCTAATTTGGTTTTCAAAATCAGAAGAGCCGTGGACTTAAAAAGGTTGAAAACCATTGCTCTAGAGTTTGTATAATTTGTAAATTTATATAGTTTATTATGTTAATAAAATTAAAAACGGATTTTAGAATCAAATTATTGTCCAGAAGTATATAAAGAACCAAAACCTTTTATACAAGATCATCATTTTATTGGTTATAATATTAATCAATCTTACCAACCACCAAACTATTATAATTCTCCATCAGTTCAAGTAACTTCAATTCAACCACAACCTCAGACAACTGTGGTTCAAGTTCCTACTGTATCAATAGTTACTACACATCCAATCATACAAATTTCACAACCAACTTCAATGTATCAGACACAAAATCCTGTATTCTTGTCGCAAAATAATTCAAAAGTAATTTAATTCACGAATATACCTACTTAAATATTACAAAATGTATTTAAAATTCAATTACAGATAACTATCCCTCATAATCCATATCAACAATATCCATTACAAACTCCTCCATTGACTGCTACAATAGTGACGGATACTACAACAACAGCAACTGTTCCTCGTAGTGCTGATGAACAACCATCACTCATAGTTACTGAGACATCTACTGTATCCTTAGGACCATCTCCAGATGCGGCACATTTATTGAATGCACCACCTCAGACAATTGAAACTTATACTCCGGTTGCGAGAGGTACTGTTAAGAAAACTTGTAGATTAATATGTTAACACAAATACATGTATTCACTTATAATTTATTATGTATATTGGGTTATTTGTGGGAATTCGGGAGAGGGGGTTTGCGTTTTAATCCGCATATTGAGCTGATTCGGAGTTGTCTAGCTTTGAATACAGTGATGAGGTGTGAACCACAGGCAGTACTCAACAATCAAGATGTTGAAAGTTTAGCTGCTACAGTTGCTGAGTATGGTGATGAAATTGAAAATATTATACTACAAGAGCGACCTCAAGATGTTAATTTATTGTATGTATCATTTTGTACCTATATATTTTTATCGTATTAAGAAATTGACAAATGTTTTTTTTAATGTTTTAGGTTTTTGAGAGACAAAAATTCTCCTGCTTATACAATCTTTCGACAAAGAGTAGGATATTTAAGAGCGAAAATTATTGCTAATAAATTAACACCAACAGATTTAAAACCACAAACATTAAATCAAGTACATACAATAGAGCTTGAAAATGAAGATGCAAGTAATAAAAAACGTAAGCGTAAAAGTCGTTGGGCAAATGATAACATTAAAGTTCCAGTAACATCGCCAATTGTTGCCATTGGACAAACTATTCCCCAACCAATTAATGCTCATAAACTCGGTAACTTTTTTAAAACAGAAATTATATCCTACATACCCCTTACACTAATTTGTTTAATTAGTTGGTGTTCCTGGTATGTCTGGGCCTATGATTAGCCAAGTTGGACGAAATGATCCTGCTTTAATGCAATATGCCATGCAATCCTTTGGAACAATCAATTTATCTGAAGAAGATTGGAAAAAAGCAGAAGATCATTATAAAGTAATTTTTTTTTTTAGCTTTTAAAGCCCATTTAGGGGCTACCCTGCTTCCACAATTTCCCGCCACCTCACTCTTTTTTCATTCTCTTCTAGCTCTTCCTGGTTACCACCTTTACCAGATCTGCTATCAATGTGTTCACGATTTCATTATATTATAAAAATATGGACAATGTTTTCTACCAGAAAAAATGATTTAATTAAAAAATAACAAAACACCTTTTTTGTTTACTTTCTTACAATATTATTGTTAAAACTTTTGAACCATTTTTGAGCTTTTAAAGAATTTAAATTTTTTGCTGTAATTTGGTTATAAATACATGCAGAGACTCAAAACTTGGTAATAATACTCATATTAGACATACTTTGATGAGGTAAAATGTACAAAATCATTGGACAACTTCTCACCTACAACAGTTGTTTATCCATCATGCAAAGTATGTCTGTATTTTTTTTTCTAATATTAAATCAAGATATCCAAAAAACCAAAATATTATGGATATATCTTATAAATTTTTATTAGTTTATAAAGTGGTTTTCAACCAGTGTGCTTTGAGCGTCATAGAAGTGCGCCATGTTAAATCGATTGATAATAGTTTTATAGGTGTGTATTTACTTGTATTATTATTATTATTAACAATATACCTGAGATATGCTTACACTAACTAAGTAGATTGGTAATTCTTAAAGTAACCACTACTGAATGACCTTTTTTGTTGATCAAATTGTGTTTTGTAACATACCTATTTGATATTTAATCACAATAACACTGAGTATGAATTTAAGTATTTGCAAGCAGACAATTTAAAATTTAAAATTACCCAAGTCATCTATCCCAATATCTTGTCTAGAGTTATGTTGTTTGCGAAAGAATGGGTCTTATTGAAGAAATCACAGTTGTGAATGAATTGATCCGGATCATGAATCAAATAGAAAGCCATTAATTTCGTTCTCATTAGGGTTGCACTGTTTATAAACAAATCAGTCCATACTGTTCTTCGAATGAATATTATCTTATAGAAATCTGAGCAATCATAATTATATATAATTTGTCTAAACCTGTGATTACAAGTTCAACAACAAATTTAAGGACATTGAATTCGTGAATACATGACCACGATTAATATAGCTGTATATATCACGGTTAAAGACATCTTACTCATGGTATACTACATGTCAACACATACTAAATACCTTTAATAAACAATAATCAGTAATCAAACATTATTGTAACTAGGTAGTAAGTACCTTTGTGTTTACTTTATTAATATTTAAATAAATGGACACTTATATGACATAATTTATGACTTCATCGCAAAATACATTTTTCACAAAAAAAAAAAAAAATATATTAATTCTAGTAAACAAATCATTATGAACAAAAATTGTAAACTTTATTATGTAATAACTGATATGATCTTATGACTCAGTAGATAGTCATTCAGTTTAATTCATTTGCGTGAACAAAATTAATTATATGAACAGGTTTTTAAATGACCCAATCCAAATGAACCAAATTATTCAAATGACCTGTTTTGACCATTTGTAAACCTTTCCCTGTGAAATTTCATTATTACTGACAATTAGAATATAGTCCATTCTGATAAAAATGCTAGGACAAAAATATACACAATATGGTGTTATTTACATCTTATTATGTATTCTATATTTAATCTCAGGGTATGTTACAATGTTTTCTGTTGCAGTGTTAGGAACAAGTCACTTTTTAAAATTATTTCATTAGTTCATGCATAAATGTTTGGTCTATGATTTTTTTTTTTTAAGTTGGATTACTTTTGTTTAAGTTGGTTATCACTCTGTATAGTGGCTAGGTACTTCTTAATTTATGAGTAAAACATAATAAATATAAAATCAAAGCCATTAGTTATATCTTGAAATTCCAAGATCATATATAAATATTTAATATAATTAAATATTAATCTATGTTTGCAGATTAATTTGTTGTATCAAGATATGTTAAAAAAACGTCAAAAATTAGAAAGTTTACAAAGAGCTGGTAAGTTTAAATATGAATATGACAGCGATGAAGATACTGAAGGAGGTACTTGGGAACATAAATTAAGAAAAGAAGAAATGATAGCAACTGAAAGATGGGCTGAAGAGTTAACTGAAAAGTCTAAAGATAAACATCATATTGGAGACTTTTTACCTCCAGATGAACTTGCTAGGTTTATGGAAAAGGTTAATATTTAAATATATTGTTAAAATTTTAAATGATTACTTAACTAGTATATTTTATATAGTACACTGCTTTAAAAGAAGACCGTGAACCTGATTTGTCTGATTATAAAGAATTTAAATTAAAAGAAGATAACATTGGTTTCCAAATGTTACAAAAACTTGGGTGGTCAGAAGGACAAGGATTAGGATCCAGTGGTTCTGGTATTGTTGAACCTGTTAATAAGTAAATATTTGTTTATTAACTATTTTAAATTCTTTTTTAATTATATTTTATTATTTTTACAGGGGTGGGTCACATAATGAAAATCATGGTTTAGGAGTTGAAAGACCATCAGAGTTGAGACAAAATGATGATGAATTTGATGCTTATCGAAAAAGAATGATGTTGGCTTATCGGTTCCGCCCAAATCCTTTGGTAAGCTTAATTTGTTTTAACATACATAAAAAAAAAACAAATAAAAATGTTACATATTATATATTTTAATAAGACAAATATTTAAAATCTATTATTAATTTTGTAAATTATCTTTTTTATTATTTACTAATTTATTTAGTACTTACACTTGCTCTGCTGTGTGCATAATTATATAATTTTGTAATTTATTTACTGTAGTATCAGTACTATATTTTTTTTTGAAAAATATGTTTTCTTTATTTGTTCAATATTGGATCATGATGTTAATTATTGTGAAGTTTCTTTAATATACAGATATTCTGGGATTTTTTTCTAGGAGGTTATTATTATTTTTCCATTTAATACTTTGAGAAAAATATTCTTCGAATGGTACATATCTTTTTAAATAAATAAATAGAAATAATATAGGAATACTCTAGCACTATACTAGTATTATTCATAAAATAAATATGTTTCATTGGAACTTAAATATTTATTATTCAAAAAATAAATTAAAATACATAGTTTTATTTATGAAATTTAAAAGTACCTATAGGTTGTCATTACGACTTTTTTGAAAAGAAATCTAACTAGCGTGGTACTTTAAGAAGGTCATCTTTGATTTTCCTATTAGTTTTCCCAATAAATAGGAAAAACAAGAAAATAGGTACAATATTAAACAAATATTATTAAATAAAATATATAATACATATGCAATTATTTTACTATAATATGACATAATATAATATATTGTTGACAAAGCAACAGTATCAACTGAACTTTGCTCAGAATCATTTTTCATTAGCAATGGTTAATTGTTGCATACAGATATACATTAAATTTCACCTCTATCACCCCAACTTCTCACCTACAATAGTGGCCCACAATAGGTATGTCCGTATCTTTTTTCATTTTCATTCAATATGTTTTTTATCGTTCAGTACAAACATTATAACGTACTCACGTGGGTCATATTTTTCCAAACGTGTGGTGATGCAATTCGACGGAAGGTCAGAAACAAACTAATCATTCAAATGTAATTAGGCTATTTAGCTATTAATTGAGAACATTGATATCATACATTTGATAGCTTTGACAATATTTCCAAACAAAATTAGCCTGGAAGATGAATCACCTCGCGCTAGTGCTGACGAGTTAAATTTGTGTACAAATCTGGCACTTCACAAATCATATATGTTTGAATTTTACACTCGACATTAATGAAATATATTTGAAGGCTGTGAACATTAAATACTGATCAGTGGTGGCGCCAGAATTTCTACTTCAGGTGGGCTAAGCTGAGTCAACATTTTTCTTGATACCTATTTTTAAATTCATGGAGATTATTTTGGTGAAATAATTGAATGGGCATTATATATTTTTTTTAATAATAATTGTTTAATATTGTTCCAATTTTACCTGTTTTTTCCGGTTTTTCACATTTGATAGAAAAATGACCTCCTTAAAGTATCTTCCCACTCAGATTTTCTTTAAAAAAGTGCTATCGTTGTAAATTAGAGGTAAAATTGCTGGTAGAAAAGTAGTTCATAAGAAAAAAAAGGTTGAACAACTTTTTTTCAACTAATACCTACATTTCGTAAATTTTCGTTTTTTTCAATTTATTGGGAATACTCATGAGAAAACCAAAAAATGATCTCTTTAAGCACCACCCCAAGATAATTTTTTTTCAGAATAGTGTTTACATCATAAACATCAAACTCATCAGAATAAGATTTCTTGTAGAAAAAGTGTTCACATAAAAAAAAAGAAAAAAGACGAGCATACTTCGCATATGGGTGCAGCCACTGTTATAGGTGGGAAGTTGGGAAGGTAGTATACAGATGAGAATTTATTAATGTATATCTGTAAGCAACGATAAACCATTGCTAACGAAAAAACAATTCTGAGCTGATTTCAGTTGATATATTGCTTTGTCAACAATACAATATAATATTATGTCATACTATAGTAAAATGATTAAAAACAATGTGCGTTTCCATAAAAAACCATTATGATTGTTTAAAACAGATTTAATAAATAGATAATAAAAACTAATTATAACAAAAAATAAATTTAAAAAATTGCCAATGACAATTTTATTTTTAATCTTTCTATCTTTTTTAACTTAAAAACCTAGGTTTTCCTCATTATCTCGAATATTAATGAGATTTTCAAAAAATGACTTCTCTAAAGTATCACCCAGAAAACATTTCCTTACAGATAAGTCGCTATATACTTGATGATCGGAGTATGCTTTCTGGTTGAAAAAGTAATCACATAAAAAAAAAAATAAACATCATTATAAAACAAATACATTCCTCATTCCACTTAGAATCTAAAAAAATTAACATCTTTGTAACAGAATTTCTTTATAATCATACAGGGTGGGCCAGCTGAGAGCCAAGAAGATTTAAGGGTAGATCACAGCCTACCCTTGGCGTATCCACTGATACTGATGATGTGTTAATCGTTTTCTACGAGTATATTATTAATATTGCTTATATATAAATATGTGTAGGTAACATATGGACTCAACTACAATAGAACAATAATTATGGATGATTTTTAGAAATTATTCCAGAAACTATAATATGATAATTATTGTATATTGTACGCTTTCTTTTCCAATATTTTTTTTTTTTTTTTCATAAAATTAGATTTTCTAAAAGAATCTTAATCGATTTACCATGATAAACGAATAATGAATACTGAAAATATATTATGGCCATATAAAAATGTTCATATTCTAAAAATTAAATGAATCACATCCCTCAAAAGTTACGCTCTACACTGTGCTTATGGCGCTCAATGTTTTTCAATATATATGCGATTTTATGATTTTATTTCATATTTATTTTTGCTTACATTAGGATAGAAAAAATGTGTATATTATAATTATATTCTACTTATAACAAATATGTACTTATATTTTATAAAATGACACATTTGTCTTTTTCTTGTTTCAGAATAATCCTCGAAGACCATATTATTAAAATCAAATAAATTGTCTGCAATAAAACTTAAATTAAATTAATAATTTAAATACATTTTTGTAATAAGGTAATTGTCTCATTGTAATGTGTTTGTTATGTAATTATGTCTATAGATCTTATGTCATCAAAATGTATGTTTAACTTAAATTTTCATTATATATCTCTACTATGTAGTGTCTTCTATATAATAATGCACTGTTTAATTGTTTGATCCTATATTATTATTAAATATTAAATGTTTATAAAACAAATTTAGCAATGATTACTTATTTATATTTGTCTGACAAATTGTTTTTTAACAGTGCCATATTTATACTGTATATATATTTATATGATATTATATGGTATACAGTCTTTTTCTTTGCCTACATCTCAACTATTTAGTATTGACCATCTACGTCTTAAACTTTCACTTAACCCGATTCCCACGTCATCCTCGTATGCACCTACCGCCCTCATATAAATCTTAAATATCGCTTTGCGAGGTCATGTCAGACTTGTAAAACCTAAAAACGAAAAAGATTGAAAATAAACCCCGATTTGTTAGACAAAACCTTGTCAAATAAGTAACAGTCTGTTATCTACCCGGGGAAAAGAAAAAATAACTAAAAATGCGAAGCCAGGCATTCCAACCCAATCTTCAGTGAGTACTATGAGCCAAACCATAAAAAGGACATAAAAGGACTCTAAATAGCTATAACCTATTTATTCTAACATTTTCAAGCTGATACTGCTAGAAGAAGGATAGTGTCGTAAAAATAAACTTAAACCTCGCTACACGAGTTTGAGTCTTCAGCAAATTCAATTATGACTAAATCGAAATTAATGTTGTTTTTACGGTTTGAAATCTCGAAGTTTTTTTTATTATAACTTCTTTAATAATGGTTTCAACAAACTATTTTCAAAATTAGCGTTGACACTGTTTATATACAATTGAATAACAAATTCGAGACTTAGTGAGAAATTTTTATCAAAGAACCACGCATGGATAAACAGAATAACTATCTAGGTTGGTATCTGCTAATATTGAAAGTAACTCTTAATCACGGACTAAGGCTCGTTTCACATGGACCACTTTACGTGTCGCTACATAAGAGACACGGTAGCGCCATGCAAATCAATAATTTCACACGATAGCCACGATGTATTTTTAAGTATATTATGTATTATATTATATTATTAATTGCCAGTGGCGTACCTAGGCCTCTCTTACGGGGGGCGAAATATATTTTCACCCATTCTTAAAATAGAAAATTTCTAAAAAATTAAAAATACATAACAATGCTTAGATATTGTCACATATCATTATACGACCAACGGGGGAACTTCGCCCTCTCCCCAGGTTCGACATTGTTAAGTGCTTATAGTGGCGTATTTAGGCCAGGGCCCCGTGCCCTTAAGATATGTCCGAAAAAAGGGTGCAGTAATTTTATCGACATAAAAAAATCATTAGAAAATATTTATCTTAATTAAAACTTTTTCCAGAATCACTATTTAATATTTTAATTTTTGTATTAAAGGGGGGGGCCTTTACCTCCTTAGGATTTCCAAGTTTCACGCAACGCTAATGTGTATTTTATATTATTATTTGGTTATTTTTTTTACTAAACTTGTGGTTGCTTGTGGCGTGGTCCGTATTAAATTAATGTACTGCTCAAATAGACCAATAACAGTGGAGCGATTTCTAGCGAGGACCGACCACACGTGATAGCATTAATTAAAAATAATGTATTTTTATCAGCGGCGTCACTGTCTTTTCTGTGGCGGGTACTGGTAGTTGTGAGAAAAAAAGTAAATTGATTATTATTCTTTATTCTCTATTATTGTCTTTGTAATTGCTCGGATAGATCTAATCGTTTCAAAAAGTGCATCTCCCCAACTCAACGGTCCACCAACGACGATTGATTCCACGACTTTTGTTTTAAGGCTGCTACTTGTTATGTTCCTACATTTTCTGAAGTTCATCCCCCCTTCTATCCTATTACATTTTTTTCTCACGTTCTTACTAATCCCTTCACTCTATCTGAACTAAATTACGCCATTTCCTCTAGGCGATCGGTAGCTTCCGGGCTTGATAATATTTTCCCATTAATGTTGAAACACTTGAATTTCTTACTCAAGGTATTAAATTATATATTGGCTACTAATTATATTCCACCCACTTGGAAATCATACAGAGTTATTCCTATTCCCAAACCAAATTCTAATACGGCATTTTTCGTCCTATCGCGCTTTCCTCAGCTTTATGCAAATCTTTTGAACACATCCTCAAATCTCTGCTCGATTGGTGGTTGAAATATCATTCTATATTACCACCTAACCTCTTTGGTATGGGGTATGGGCACTATGGAGTGCCTATCTACATTCATCGGTAATAGATATCACGCCTTCAATGATAAGGAATTCTTTGTTGCCACATTAGTTGATATTCGCAACGCTTTTGATTCTATTAATATTCCGACCTAGGATCTGTATTTTACTTCCCCGTATGGTTTAAATTGCACACGTACCACCTTCTCCGGCCTTCCACAAGATCTTAGCCCGATACTTTTTAATATTTATATGAGTACCATTGCTAATCACCTTTCCAGTCTCGGTTACAATTGCCTCATTTATGCTGATGATATTGTTGTTTTCTCCTTTAACAAATTCCTTAATATTGCTATAGGATCCCTTAACCTCGCTCTTATAGAACTAAATAATATTTTTAACGATCTCTTTTTTTCTGTTGTTTATGACAAATGCAAATCTGTAATATTTACTAGACGCAGATACCTAAATCCACCTAATATGTATTTCGATAACAATATTATTCCTTTTGTCGACCATACTATCTATTTGGAAATCACCCTCGACCCCAAATTGCGTTGGCAACCTCACACTATGTCACTCATCTCCTTTGGTTCTCGTTGGACTAACTTTCTTAGAGCAATTACCGGTACCTGGTGGAGATCTCACCCTTTGGCTCTTCTATTAATTTATAAATCCATTATACGATTCAAACTTGATTATGGATGTTTTCTATTCAGCTCAGCATCATTTTCTAATTGGAAAAAATTAAATAAAAGCTCTTCAAAGCTCTTGCTTGAAATGTATTATGGGTTACGTTAGATCATCCCCTCTCCCAGCAATTGAGATGGAATCCTTGTGCCCCCCTTTTAATATTAGATGTCGCTGGCTCGTTGGCAAGTTCCTTCTAAAATCTTTATCCTACTCCAGTTGCCCCATTTTCGATTCATTTTATTAGTTGTTCTTGGCGTTACGTTCCAAAATCTCTTCCCATACTCTCTCTGACTGCGAACTCCATTTCTCCGTTTCATCAATATATTCTATCCAATCATAAACTCCCTCTGTATGAGATAGCTTATGAAGCCTTTCTGTACTCTTCAAATGTACATATGATCGAGATTTTTTCAGGTTTCTCTTTCATGGAATTAAGAGTTACCCCTCCCAGGGTAATTAACAGCCTCTTTTCAAATTTCATAGAGGATAATTTTCCAGATTTTACTATAATTTATACGGATGGTTCCGTTTCTCCTCTTTCGGCTTGCTACTCCTTCTTTATTCCCAAATTACATATTTCATTTACAAGCAACTTACCCACTACCTCTTCTTTCTTTACTGCTGAATACTTCGCTATTATAAAAGCGGTCAATTTTATCGTTTTTATGATCCTATGACCCTATTTTATCAATTTTATCATCCTCCTAATAAAAAATTTTTAATAGCATCAGACTTTATGTCATGCCTCCAGTCTCTTAATTCGTACGCCTTTAATTCTCAGATATCTTCTTTAATTATCCGTAAAAAATCTATCCTTTTTAGTCTTAGTCAAGCAGACTTCAATATCAAATTTCTTTGGGTTGCCGATTCCTTAGTTAAGTCGTCCTCTAACTTTACTAGTCCTTCTTTTTCACGAATTCCTTGGTTTGACTTTACTCCACTCCTACGACGTCATATTTCTAATCGTTGGTCTATTTATTGGAACAACCTATCCGCTAATTTTGCCTCCAGATATAAATCTATTGTTCCCACTATTGTTAATAATATTTGGTTCAAAAATTTATCATTATCCAGATCCTTTATTGTATAGTTCAATCGTCTACGCATAGGACACTATATTTTACCTTCCCACGCTTATAAATTCAACTTAAATGGCTCCCCCTTCTGCACTCTTCATTTGGAGGAAAGTATCTGCAATTTATTGCACATCCTCTTCGATTGTCTTTTATCCACTACAAACCGTTTTATTTTAATTACTTCTCTTAACTTCCTAAATGTTCCCTTCAATCTCTTCTCTTAAATCTAATTCTGAACAAGTTGTTAATATTATCATTTTTTTCATCCAGGAGGCTGGCTTTATCATTTAAACCTTAGTTTAGTTATGTTTATTTTTTTTATTTTCTTTGTACTACTTGCTACCATGTTTTATTATTTTAATATCTTGTATTGTCTATATTGTTAATATGTTAAATTATGTAATTGTCGAGCTAAATAATTATTAAAAGCTACTTAAAAAAAAATAAAAAAAAAAAGATTTGACATACTAAATAGTAGATCTATCAATTGTATTGAATTCAAAAAAGCACTTTGTTATGAAAATATTGAAGAAATTAAATTGTTTACAAATTATTTCTGTGTTTCTTAGATCAAAGATCTTTAAATCTAAAAAAATGATACTAATTTTATACCTGTACTTTAATCTAAATGTAAAACTGGTTTTAAAGGTTTCATTGTTTCTTTAAATAGTTTGTTGTAATTATACTCAACATTAATTTAATCTAATAAACTATCACATATTAAAGCTTATAAATTAAGTCAGGACCATCTAGAGTTATTTTTCTGTAGTGCTCATTCCTAGGATGGGTTCAACAATAACCCAACCTAAGACAGTTCCGCTCTGCTTATAAAAAATTAACCTTGAAGATATTGATATTCTTCATTATTCTAGTTCTGATCCAGTCATAGTATTAAATAACAATTCAACAAATTTAAATTCAGATAAAATTTTGGAGAAAGAAAATTTACAAAATATAAAATTAATACATAATGGATCATGACTAAATTCACTATATTCATAAAGATTATTCTTTTAGTTATTTTTCAAAAGAAGTTATAACCTATATATCTAGATTTGCAGTTCATAAAAATACCAACATACTTAAATGTTACACCTGCAAATATGCATTTTGTGCTACTGATAAAGTATGTTTTTTAAACTCTCTTGTTACCTTAAAAAATAAGGTTAGTGTAGAGGTGATTTAATTTATCCAAGTGATAGTATCATAAATATTTGTTTCAAAAGTGAAAAAGTATTAAAAATGACAACTATAGGATTAAAACAGTCAATAAATTACAAATTCAGTCAGAAGTCTTAACCCATTTTTTATGCAACTCAAATTTATTTGCATCATTAAAAACGCATATGTAACAAGAAGTACATAAACTGATCATATAACTTTACTAATAAAATTAATTACATCAACATATGTAAATTTAATAATTGATTACATTATGAAAAACCATAACCCAGAATATGGTATAACAAACTACTTTTAAAGGTCAAAAACATTTTTTTCTTAGGAAAATTTTATATTAATGTAATGACAACTAATAAACACATTGTGATTTCATGTGATTGGTAATCTGTGTTTGAACTTTGCATTTTTAACTGAATATGGCTTTTCTGCTAATATTCCAACAAATCTCATTTATTTACTTAGTGTAATTAAACTTGACACTGACTTTCTCGAATGCGATTTCTGGGAAGGTCTAAGTTCTCACTCTCCCATTGATAACTATAGACGTATATCAGTCTACAATGATGGTGTTAATACACCCACTCGCATCATTGAATTGAAATTCTTACTCATGTAGGCTGACCAGAGTCTTCGGATTCCGCTATTGATTTATCCTTTTGCTCACCTGACCTCATTTGGATCCTTTCTTGGTCCACTCTTAATAACTCTTCTGGCAGTGATCATTTCCCCATTCTGATCTCTGCATCTACCGGCAGGTATATCCAATTTACCCGCTCTCCCGGCTCTAATCTAAACTCTATTGATAAGAGTCGTGTTATGTTCAACCTCAATAAGGATGATTGGATTTCTTATTCTCTTCTAATTCAAAACTCGATCACCTCTGTGCACGATGACTTACCATTGTGCAACTCGTATTCTGCGTTCATGGAGGCTGTGGATAGTGCTGCCAAACACTATTCCAGCTAAACATTTTAATCATAAAACTTATATCTCTTCTCCTCCTTGGTGGAATTCCACCTGTTTTAAGACTATCAAAAATAGGTCCCAATTATTTAAGACTTTTCGTCATTCGGGATCGATGACTGATTTTCTCAATTACCAAAATTATTGTGCAGTCACTACTTATACTTTAAAAAATGCTAAAAGAGAGGCCTGGAATAAATTTTGTTCAAGTTTAAACCCTTCAACTTCAATACATGTTCTCTGGTCATCGTTTCAAAAAGTGCATCTTTTATTCCATTTTCCATGTCAACTTGACCATAATATTTGTTAGTACTTCTATCATATGCTAGATGTTGGCATATAGCAATTTCACCTATTAATGCACCAATTACACAAGATATGATGAATTCCTCACTTACAGTTTTAAAAGTTTCAACAATTCACTAGTGAATCCTGGTTCAGAATTTAAATAACTAACCATTTGCTAAGTGTGTGTGGATGTGTTAATATTGTAGTAAATTGATCCCTGGCATATTCATAAGGAAAAAAAATGCAAAAACAAAGCAAATTGCCAAATAGCAGGACTATACTTTTTGGGAATTTTTTTTTGTCCAATTATTAACAAGATCTTGATGCTTACCAAAAGATTCTAAAAGTGAAACACTAGACTCTTCATCAATAAGATTTTGTGAGATCATTGATTATGGTTTGCATATTGGTAATTTTTTTATATTTTCGTTGTATGGTTTGTTATAAACTCTTTAATTACTTGGTGTGTGGTCTTGGGAGTGTTGTCGAATGTTACGTTTTAAATATGTATGATATGGTGTGTCCTCAATTGCGACCTCACTGGCAACCATTAATACAGCTTCAGATTTGTTCTAAATTAATAATATTAATGATAGTAATTATAATAATTTAAAAACATATTTATTTGATGAAAAATATAATATGCCCACAATTCTCATATAATTTTCATTTTTAAGTAAACATTCATTTAAAAATTAATATTACCATCATATTTTCATCAAGTTTATTAGAATCAAATGAAGATGTTGACGGTTCATTCATTGAAAATACCTTATAGACTTCTAAATTTTGTATAGGCAACTAGAAAAATTAAAATATATTTTATTAATATATTATAAAATACACAGTAGGGAAATATATATACATTTCTTTAATTAAATCAAAATGTCTACACAAAATATTTAATTTTTAATTTTACTCTATGGGCAATATGTAAAGTGGTCCATGTGAAACGGACCTAAGATATAATATAATGGACTGGTCACAAGCAGTGTATCAGTGGTCACAAATTAGTGTACAAGGAACAGGTGCAGAAGGTTACAATGCAAACCAACGATTTAAAATACTATCAGTTGAGTAAATTAACATTTGTAATTGCTTATTACCAAGCTAAATAATTAGCTTTTGGGGGCTTAAATAAAGAAATGGTTGGAATTTTTTTAACACCAGTGAATTATTTCACACTACTTTTACGCGTATCATTATTACAATTTATGTATAAATTAAAAATCGTTATAATGATAAATAGACTACATATGAAATCAGAAATTGTAAGAATATGAATAATTTTTCCGATAAATTATAAAACAAATGTGATTTCAAATTAAACCACCAGTAGTGCTAAAACCCGTTAGTCTAAGGTGTTGATAAAAGAAAAACTTTTGGGTCTTGTCCCTCGTCACCCGGCCACCATGTGATCAGTTTACGGCTATAGATAATATTATAGTCTTAGAACAATCTATGCAGTGCCTTAACTATACCAAGGTTTATATCAGTCTATACATTAGTCTGATACTCAACTTAATCATAGATTAAATATAGATTATATATATATCTATGGTTATACCTCTTTGATTGTTTTACTACGTTCACGGTTACGCAGTTTCCAATTTTACATTATTATGTTAGAAGTATTATTCTACAACAAATAGTGCTTCAACCTCCGGATTATCTCTTCCACGAAAAACTCAAACGAAATAATTGGTTCAGTTGCCAGTCCATATCATCTTATAAGTTAATTCCATAGTTCTAATATCTAAGGTAGTAAGGTAAATTACCTTATCTTATAGTTCAATTGGTAGCATTAGGATTTAATATCTAAAAAAGTGTTGCCAACAATATCAAATAAACTAGAGAGCACAAATTAAGATAACATTTACTATCAATTTTGTTGTCTTCCATGAGTTTTTCTATTTTATACCCGGTGTTTGCGCTTGCGCAATCACCATTTTACATTAATCGACAAGCCGTCTGCACGCTAATGGTCTGCTATAGAATTTTATTTTTTGTTATTGTATTTACTTCCAATTTAGTCTTATATTTTATTTGCTGATGTTATGTGTTTTTAACTTTATTCGTACTTATAATTGTACAAAATAGTTTAGCGTGTTATGTTTCCACACAACTGCGGTGTGTGAATGCTCGTATTGTTAGTAAAACATCGCAGGTAAATTATTATAGCAAAATAATTATTAATTACCGGCATAAAATGTAGAAGCCATTTTGTGCTAACAAATCACGATTCACCAATTATAATTTACATTTTTTCTCGTATGACTTCCACTTGAATCACAAGTTTTAAGTTTTTTCAAAGAAAAAAGAGAATATGCTATATATATTTATTAAAGCTCAATATTAGTTAATTTTTGCAAACCACTATTTCTTTATCATAATATTAAAACGTTCGTTTATAATCAACTGAAAAAAAAATATATAGCTTAGAAAAATATATAGCTATGTATATTTTTTTTAAGTACTCCATACTTAAATATCCTTCAAATATTTAATTAATTGGAACAAAATCAACTTCTTGAAATGTTGCTACAGTATTTATTGTTATCTGTTGGCTATTGTGAATTGTTTAAATTGATGGCTACAGTAACAACAAAACTTAAAACTATTATGTATTATTAATTATTTCTGTTTAAATTTAACAGAAGGTCTTCTGTAAAAGTATATATATATATATATTTTTATTAGTTAACAATTTGTTTAAATTTATTTAAAATCAAATTATGGATAACTTTTATTATTATAACTTCATAATATTCAATAAAGTTAGAATATGTAACCTATATGTTTTTTTTCCATTATTATAAAAACGTTTGAATGTATATTTACAATATGTAATTTAAATTACAAAAAGTAAACGATAACAAAAAAGTATGAGAAGAAAAACACGATTGGGCAGGTGTCCATTGGTGACACACCTAAAACTATACCTAATTACTTAAACAATAATTATTTTTATTTGTAGATATGTATCACGCAAGAGAATCGTTATTGGTGCATATATAATTAATATAATAACATTAGAATTTAAAATCTCTCAAATTGTGTGAAATTTATAGTATAAATTTTCTGGATAATTTAAAAAAAATACTATAAGGATATTTAGATTTTGGGCTCAACATGTAGGCACAATAGTTATTTTTAATACAGTCCAAATATTGAAATTAAAAAGTATTGAGAATTTAAGGAATACAAATTATAAATTGTATTTATGTATAATAATCTATTCTCAATCACCAAACATTTTTACAAAGATTACTTAATAATTTAAGTTATAGGTTAGAATATTACAAAGTACATAGTGCTGTAACTGGGTATCTGTTGGTTGTGGTGCTAACCAATTTTAAGCAGGTTAACATATCTAAAAGCCCTTACAAAAATACTATTTACTCATTGATAACAATCAATTATTTTAAGTATAATTTAGTCCATCGTTAATATTTAACAGTGGCCCAGGAGTACTTTGCACTCCAAGTTTTATTCTGCTAATGCTACCTATATTTTGGTTAGTCACATTATTGATTAAATAATATTCAATTAATCAATAACTGATGTATAATATTTTATTTTTTTTTTTTTTTCCCAGTTTACAGACTTCAGTGGTGGATCTGTGTTAACATTACTACACCCTTACTGTCAATGTGTTTAATATTATTTGCAAGTGAATACAGTGGATTCCGCTTAATGTGGCCACCGGTTAATCCGGACAGCTGCCTAATATAGGCATAATGGTGTGGTTCCGACTCTAATGTATAACAATATTAATTTTGGTTAAAATGGGAAACTGCTTAGTGTGGGCGAATATAACTGATCCCAACGTGACCATATTAAGCGGAATCTGCTGTAATTTTAAAACTGATTAAATAATATTGAATTAGTCAATAACTCAGATGCAAAGTATTCAATCTTAGCTGCAATATATCTGCATATGAATAATTTGAAAATAGATTTAAAAATATATTATTTAAGAAAAATTTCAAAATCAATTTGTTTTTAGTTAAATCTTCATAATGGGTGTTGACAAGCTTTTGGAATACCTAGATAGTGGGAAAATAGAAGGCAGCTGCATCAATGTCAATCTTACACAATTGGGACATACTGTATCACAACAGCTTGCTAAGAAAATGGTTATTAGAAAAATCAATCAAAATTTAAATCAAATTCAAGTATCAAAAGCTCAGTTTTGTTTACTAGTAGATGCAGAATGTTGTTTAGATCGCTTATACGGTGGATATTTTTCAGGTAACTATTTTTATTATTATTTCATGATTGTGATAAAAATATATACTAGCTTGTAAATTATATTTTATTTTACTTATAGATTGGGTTTGTGGTGGTCAATGGAATCGGATGGTATCATTTTTGACAAATTTTGTCAGTAGCTTACGTCAGTCAAATGTCCATGTTGTGGTATTTTTTAATGGCGCCTATGAAGAAGACCGTTTTAATGAATGGATTCAAAAACAAGAAGAAACTCGTAATAGAGCTAATGCTGTTAGTCAGTTAAATTAACTTTTTTTTTATGGTTATTGATGATTAAATGTAATATGATTAGGTTCTAAGACATATTGCTGCCAAAGGAACACCACCTCCTAAAGTATGGTGGATACCTCCCGTTTGTTTACGAACAGCTGTGAAGCTTTACTTTCATCATTTAAAAATCCCTGTGGTTTGTTCAGTAAAAGATCATCATTTGGAATTTATTAGGTACTGTAGAGAACATAAATTTCATGGTTTGATGGCGGATGATGCTGAATACTTGGCATTTGATCCACCAAGGTTTTTTTCTGCTCATTCACTCAAACTCACTATGCGACAGACATTAGAAGCTAAAGAGTATATTGTGTCTCAATTAATTGAAGATTTGAAATTAAGCAAAGATAAACTTTGTGCTCTTTTATCACTTTTAGGCAATTTTGTGTTGCCTCAAAATGAACTCTTTGATTATTATAAACGTTGCGGCATAAATCAAATAATTTCAAAGGTACTTATAATGTACAAATAATGTAAATTGATTTTAATTTTAATGAATTATGAACTCATTTTATTTAGGTATCAGGTGAAGAAGTTGTGAAAAAAATAGTGGATTCACTTCAAAGTTTACCTCCTATTAAAAATAATTTAGATGAAATAGCTACTCATATACTTGGACATAAAGATGACAAACGAGTGCCAAAGTTAAAGAAAAGTATTCAATATTATTTAGATGGTGCTAAAGACAACGCAACTAAATGCAAAACCAATAGCCAAGAAAATAATAGAAATATTAAAGGCAAAATTGATACATTTGAATCGACAGCTGGAATATCTGATGTTAAAAAATTTGGATCTGAAAATCTTAAATCTCAGGTATTTTACATTATATTTTATTTCTGTATTAAAATAAGTTATTATTTTAATTATTAAATAGTTAAACAATTTAATTTAATATTTTTTGTTTTAGATGGACAATTTATTATTATTTGATGATAATTCTGAGTCTGGTTCAAATACATATAATATTAATACTCAAACACCCCTACCAAATCAGTTATCTCCAAATAAATCTATTGAATTTAATATTCCTGAAGTTTCTATTGATGTAGTAAATACAGCATTTGAACGACACACTTCTGGTCTTATGTCTACTTATTTATATCATATTTTAACAAAAGTAAAGTATAAGATTATATCATGTATCAATGTTTCAATTTATATTAATATGTTTCTTGTCTTAATTTATTATAGGCAGAAATAAAACTACCTGTTCTGTTAGAAGATGAAATGAATCATGAAATTCCAAATATACATTTATTTTACAGACAAGCTCGACAAATGGTGTATGGTATTTTATTCAATCTTCATCATGCCCATTATTTAGCAAAATCAAATAGTAGTCAAAAAGGTATATTACTATTTATTCGATATTTTAAATACTAATAAAGAATATTGTGTATGCAATATATACAGGATGATTCACTTAGCATACTCACCCTATTTTTTTGGTTAAATTTTGCATTTATTAAATTCTCTTTTTTGGAATTTTTAAGTGTTAGTCAATATTTTCGAATGCTTAGCTTTTTCACAATATTTAAGTAGTATCCTATGGCGATACCAATTTTAGTTTTTCAAATGAAAACCTTTATTAAAAATTCTATAAATAGACAGAATATTACTTTATATAAATTTTGATGTCAACATTTTTGATTTCTATCAACCTGTTAACGAGACATACCACTTTTAAGTTTAGGTAGGGGATAATAGTGGAGCACTAATAAAACTAACATTTATTTAAAGTGATACTCAGTATATTTATAGAAATTTTAATATAAGTTTTCATTTGAAAAACCAGTTGGTATCGCCACTGGATACTAGTTAAATATTGTAAAAAATTAGAATCTGACCAAAAAACTAGGGTGAGCATGCTTAGTGAATCATACATGTATCATCCTGTATATACACTTGAATAAAAATTATATAATTATTTTAGTTGAATTACCTGTCATTCAAATACGTGAATGGATTAGGGATAAAACAAATATTTATAAACATTACCATTTGGTAAAAGCTGAACCATTAGGGTGGGGTGTTCCTACTGTTCACAGGCTTTGGTTTGGGTAAGTTTTATGTGCTTAAATTTAGGTATATCGGTTATATATGTATATTTTTTTTTTCCCCCAGAACAACTCCAGAAGATAACATAAGGCGTTTGAGGGCATTTTTGACTTGTATGCGTTCTGACACTCCTCTTATGTACAATACGGATTATGTTCCTCAGCATACACTTATCATTGCTTCTGTTCTTAGATATATCATAACATTTTCAGAAGTACCTATTCTTCAAAAATATGAACTGGATGCATTTATTATAACAGCTGTTGCACCTGAGTTATCAAAAAATGAGAATACTCAAGAATTACAAGTTAGTATAAACTTCAAAGACAATACCTGTCAATTATAAAAATTAATAAAAATAAATATTGGAATAATATGCTATAATGAATCTATAATATACAATTCCAATAAAATCATATACATGCCAATAAAATTCCATTCTATATTTATTTTATCCATTAACCAAGGAAAATAAGAAATCATTTAAAAAAAAGATTAGTCAACAATATTTAAGTTTTAACACGTTAACTGCCATGTGTCCTTTTTTTTTTTTACATTGTCATATTCCTATATACAATCAACACTCCCATGTCAGGTTTTTGAACAAAATAATAGTGAATTCAAGAAGGACTGTACAAAATATATTGTAAACAAAAACAACTATGACAACTTGTGGGGTTTATACTAAATTCTACATATGGCTGCTAGAGTAATGGATGAGAAAAGTGCATGACTGTTAATATGTTAATAAATCCACTTTTTTTTTTTTATATAAATTATAAATAGTTTATATAGTTATGAATATATTTGCTTATTTACACTTACGCTGTACAAAATTGATTCTTTAATCATTGAACACTCATTATTTATATTTATCAAAGTATTGACTCTTTCGAAAAACAAGCACCTCTAAAAGTTATCATTTAGTTAAAAGTTACCATTATCATTATACTACCATTAATTTTTATCATGTTTATTTTTAGGGGTGAGTGAAAAAATTACCAACTTTTGATTCACCTTTAAATGCTGTGTGTCGTGCCACCATACAAATGATACTTTGTTAATTTCCTCTTATCCAAACTTAAAAATGAAATATTTTGTGGATGGGTTGCCAGAAATTAAAAATTTCAACCCCAATATTTATTTAAACTAATACCCTATTTATTTCTGGTCTCTACTCGGGGCCCACAAGAGAAGTAAACCGTTTCGCGTATGTTTACTGACAACATTAACTGTTCAGATGTACTGTTTCCTACATTTTATTCCATTTAGTTAAGTGCTACAATATGCATTTTAGTCTGAACTCGGTTCACTTCTCTCATGGTCCAGAGTATAGATTACTTTTAGAAAATCAAAAGTTTGTTATTTCACCCTAAAAAACAATAAAAAAATGTAACATTATAGAGCTGCTTGACTTAAATTGTTTAATTTTTAGGGAACTGTTAGCGTAAGAGGTGTACATTTAGCAACACTTTTAATGTGTGGTATAGAAACGGCTATGTTGGTAAATGATGCTTGTGGAGCACCTGTACCTTGGTTGATGTCATGTCCATGGATGTACTTTGATGGAAGGTTATTTCAGTATCATTTAGCTAGAGCATCAACTGCAAATAAACTTGAAGACTTGTGTGAAAATCATTTTTCATTAACTATTAAGGTTGAAAAAATGAGACAAGCTATTTTAGAGGGACTGGGTGAACGATTTCAATCAATTACACCATTCCAAGGATCATTTATGGGTACTTATTGTTTACACATTTTTATTTGCTAAGTATTAAATATTAATATTTGTTTTTTAGACACAATTTTTAATCCAAGAGGAGTGCTTTCTCCTCAAATAATAAATGCTAGCATGGCTCATGCTAATATACCACCATATCAACAACAAAGACTGAGTCGACTAGTTAATCAAAACCCTAGCCGCTTTCGAGATGTTCAACATAACAGTCGACAAAGAGGCATTATGAAACAGTCATCTGGTGGTCAACTAGAAGTTGCTGGTGCTGTTGTGGGAATCTGGGGTGCCAATTATAGCATGGCTGCAACTGGAAGTCCTTATATGAGTCGTAGTAATATGATACCATCTCAACAAGTAAGATTTTAAATACTATTTTGATAATATTATGGATAAATTAAGAACTAATTCAATTATAGGTTATACCTCCTATTGGTCCAAGTTCTTTATTTCAACGTGATCTCATACCCAGACCTGTATTTAATACACGTAATAATTGTTCAAAAGCTGCTCGTGGACGTAGTCATGTTCAAAAGATACATGTAATCATCATTTAAAATAATTTACTGAAATATCAATAGTTAACATCATGAATTTTGTTTAACAGAATAATAAAAAGAAAATTATTAATAATATTGTGAAGAAAGACAATACTATAAAGAAGGTTCCATCAAAGGGCCGTGGTATTCCAAACACGTGGTAAATTGGTTAATTTTATATTAAAATGCTTGACAAAATATAATGAATGTGTTCTATATATTGAACTAATATTAGGTCAATAGTATAGTATTAATATAACTTCCTTCTTGGAATCACCTTGACAAAGATCACAGGTTGGCAAGTTATTTTTAGTAGGGTATATTTTATGTTAATATACATAACAAACATTATGTTTTTAGTAATTATCAATGTTCAGAAAAATAAAACTTTTAATTGGACAATATTTTATCTTTGTTACTAAAAAAAATGTATATATTTAATAGCTTTAGTAATAAATTAAAACTTTTCATAACAAAATATATGCCTTGGGAGTGGCATAATAATTGATATTTAATTTACCTGTTAATCAAATAATCTAGTTGCAACCCTCTAAAAAATTTAGTTTACTGATAAAGCCAATTTACTATTTCACTGCATTTTAAATAAAACCCAACTATATACTATTTTTCACAAGGGAAAAGTGTTTCACGTACGCAGCTAAGCTACAAATCGCTGCTGGACCCCCGATGTAGCCTGATAGTGGTGGGAGCCCTGGGCGAGGTGTGGCGTGGGGCTGCGTAAAAATGACTGGGTTTCGTTGAAACTCTACCGTTCTTTCGTGAAAAATAGTATTGTATGAGCATATGAAAAAGCAATAAAAACTGATTTTTTAAATTGTTCAGTACTCAGTTATTTGTCTATTAACAAGTTTATCTTTGTTCTGAACAAACAATTATGTGTTTTTGTTATGTAATTGAACTTTTATTTTTAGTGAAACTATTTTAACATCAGAACTGATAGAAGAATCCAAAATGTCAATTTTAAATAAAGAAAATGAAGACATTAAAACAAACGGGTATACCACATCATTTTTTTTTTTTTTATATATATATAATTTTAAATAAAATATGAAATTCTTTTACAACAATGTAATTTGATTTCAGTATTGTGGAAAGTATTTTGCCCTTGGTAAATGGAAATTCCCCATTGGATGGAAAATTTGACAATGCATCCCTGAATAGTACGTCTTTAACCTATATTACCATAGTTATATAACCATAATTTTAACCTTTTTTTAATTATCAAAAATTTGTTCGAGTAATATTGATTTTTGCTTAAGAATTCACATTTTTAAAAATTAAAATTATAATTTGTATAAATTGTTAATATTGATTTAATATTCTAAAGCAGAAAATATTTTGTTAAACTTTGGAAAAAAATATATTACAAGCATTTTGGATGAAGAATTGGAGTGAGGCATTAAAATTAAATTGTTTAAACAATTATCTCTGCTACTAATATCATTTATCAAAATTAAAATATAAAAATTTACTTTAGAATACTTAGTTAAAAATAAAATTTGATATTTAAAAAAACATTAAAATTTTATAATATTAAAGTAAAATTGTTTAGATATCCCTTTTAGATTCTGAGTGTAGTATAGAATGTATTGGTTTTACAAAGGTATTTAATTTTTTTTTTTTTTTTATGTAAACAACTTCTACTAGAGATCTTGCTCCAATTTTTATGTGTAGCATCTTTTTTTAAATGAAATCGGCGTGGAGAGGTATTTTAGAGAGATCATTTTTCGATTTTCTTAAGAGTTTACTCATAAAATGTGAAAACCGAAAAAAACTGAGGAATACAAGAAAATGTACGAAATATATTAGTCAAATATTACAAATTATTTTTCTGTGGATAACTTTTTTACCAATAATTTTCATCCAATTCATAATGATTTCAAATTTTCTAAAAGAAAATTTGACTGGGAAGGTACTTAAGTGTGGTCATTTTTTTAAATATTCTCATGAATTTTTTCAACAAATATGAAAAACTGAGAAAAAAACTGGACAAATATATAAGTAAATTAATAAAGTAAAAAAAAAAAATTGATTAAATAGTTAATATAAGTAAATAAATTAATGTATCGCATGGAATACTATGTACTGTATTGTAGGACTGGTTTTAAATTAAAAATTCATTATCGGGTAAAATCACAAAGTCAAAAAGTTAAATGCTACTGGATATGAATAAATAGCAAACATAAATATAATATTAAGTGGTCGTTTTACATAGAAATAATTTATTTTAATAGGAGACATAGATATGTTAAGAAATATAAATTGTTTGATTATTATTATCTAAAATGTATGATATAAGGTACTATTTTTAAAATCAGTTTGAATATTTAAAATTGTATTGAAATTATTTGTTTTTATTTCATTGTGTATGTGTAATAATTCTTCCAAAACTGAATAAATATAAATGTTATTTTGGTTATTTTATATTTCTAAGTCTGTATTAATATCAAAACTTATATCATGGTTATTTTCTAAAATAAGTTTAGTGAAATTTGAATAAGAGGTAATCTTTTTAATTTTATTTCAGAAATGTGTTATTTATATTTCATTTTAAAATGTCTGTTTGTCTTACTCATATAAAATGAATTACAGTTACATTTAAGTTATATATACCTTGTAAATTTCAGATAAAAGAACACCTAAAGGTCTACCCATAACTAACCCTTCTTTTTGTAAGTATAATTTATTATTATATTGGAAATAGTTTTCATTAATAATAACATTTATTGATTAATTAATTTCTTTACTTCGTTTGTATTGAATTTATTACTATGTATAAGTTTATTTTTTAAAACCTTATAACTGTACTAAATATTTACTCTCTTATAAAAGAATAATTAAACATACTAATACTTTTATAAAAAATACTTACGTTTTCATTAAAAAAATTAATAAAATTAATATTGAGCTAGATTACAATATGATTTCTCTTGGCGTAAAAAATGTATATACATCCTTTCTTAAACACAAAACAGTATATTTTTAAAAAATAACCTATACATAGTAATAAATTCAATTCATATAAAGTACAAGAAATTATTCAATCAATAATTGTCATTATTAATCAAAACTATTTTCAATATAATAATAAATTATAATCGCAAAAAGAAGGATTTTAAGTACTTTTTTTTTATCTGAAATTTTCATGCATAATTATGAAACCAATAATATTATTAACAACAAAATATACAGTTCATATATACAAGTATATTATAGATATGTTGATAACAATTTCATTTTATTTAGAAATTAAAATAAACAAGCAGACATTTAGTCAACTACTTAAATTAAATAAATTAAATTTCTTAGATCTTACAGTTTCCATAGTAAAAAATAAATTTGTTTTTAGTATATATAGGAAACCTACACAAATTAATACTATTATACCACATTATTTATTAATTATTATTCACCCTTATTCTCAAAAAAATATCATTTTTTAAATTCAATATTCTATGAGTCTGAATGTATTTCATTAAATAAACATAATTATATTATCAACACAAGCTCAATATTATATATATTACAGCCCACAGAAATAATTTAAATTTAAATAATATTAAAAAAATTGATAAACGTATAATAAAATAAAATTCACCAAATAACATTGTTAACTATTGTAGTATGAAATATTAAATAATCAAAATAATATCTTATATCTTGCATTTTAGATAATAAATAATAACCAAACTCATTTTAAATAATATCTCTTATTGAAATAATAATATTTTCATGTAAACAACCAATTTGTGTAATTTGTTCGCTATGTATTCCTTCATTTATTTATTCATATTATTTATTCGCATTTACTTTTTGACTATGCGATTTTACCTGATGATGAATTTTTAATACATATTTTTATAATATTCCAGATAATGCACTTATTTATTTATTTTTATATTTAAAAATATATTATTGAAATATTATGTTTTTTTTTCTGTGGACAACTTTTCTACTAGAAATTTTGCTCTGATTTATGATGATAACGCTTTTTTTAAAAGGAAATCTTTCTAAAGAGGTACTTTAAGAAGGTAATTTTTTTGATTTTTCCGACATCTTTCCCAACACATGTGAATAACTGTGAAACAATACGGGAAAAAACAGGAAAATCAGTACTACATGGTACTACTATCAATTACAAGACACTCATTATCCCAGAAAGTAATAACTTTTTTGAAATGATTTATGACTTATGATTTTGAAATGGCAACCTATATTAAAAATGTAAAAAATGTATGTTTAAAATTATTTTAGTTTAGTATCTTCTATTTACTTAATACCAATGTTTACTTAATAATGTAATTAATGTAAATTAATACAAAAATTTAAAATATCTTTGAGTTATTTAAAGTTTATTCCTGCTTTTAAATCTCTGGTGCTAATTTTAAAATTATTAAATACCCTGGAATACCGTAACAGAATTAGGTTTATTATAATATTATCTAATAAGGCCTTACCTTAGTAGTGATAAAATAATCTCTTTAAATTAATTATTGAGGTTCATATTCTCTTAAATATTAGTATTTTTTTTTTTTCAAGCAGAAATCAATTTTTACCACTATTATCGTATATTTTTATTTGAAAGTTACTCTTAGGTATATTGTATAATATGTATTTTCTTTTAGCAAATGGTGTTTCTAATACTTTACCAGAAGATAAACCATCAAAAATCATTCAAAAACCTCCAAAATTGGAGATTGGAAATTGATTTGATAAAGTGTAAGTTGTTGTTGTCATATTTTTAGTTTTTCATATTTTAAAAAGTAACAATATTACCTTTTATTTAGAAATTATAAAATACGCTGACACCTTATAAGTATAAATCAATAACTTATAAGTATCACCTCAAGTTTTTTTTTTTTTTGTAAATATTGACAAATGAAAGATGTGAAGACCGTCGCTAAATATTAGTCATTATTATTAATTTTTACATATTGTTTTTTTATGTAGTTTTTATTCTTTATTTTTGTAAATTTTTTGCAAACCATTTTGTTATCTGAAGGCGCCCGCGGATAAAGTTATGTTATCCGATTTGTGAACATCGAAAGACTGATATTTAAAGTGTTGCAACAAACATATCATTGTCTGGTATTTGTTTGTGCAGCCATGGTGATAATAATTAGATATTAACGTTATTATATTTTTAAATCAAATGAAAAAATAATATAAATCGTTATCCTTTGACTGCTGTCCAAAAGTATTATTGTCGCGGTGATTGTTTTTAATCATATTTTTGTAATTTGTTAATCCAGATAATTTTATAATTTCTTAATACTTAATATGATTTTTAATTGCATTTACAAGCATGTATATGACTGTAAATTTACCATTTCTTGTCATTGTTAACAATTTAATATCAGGCAAATAAAAATTAAAGGCCGCCAAAATAATATACATAAATATATATTTATATATATATATATATATTATTTTAATATCTTTGTGGAGGTGTATCTCACCTTGGAGGATTATAATATAATTATATTACGACTACTTTAACCCATATAATGCGACTTATACAAATAAAAAATTAACAATAAAAGCATTTTAATTTAATTTAAGATGCTATTTATTAGCAGGTATTATGTGCAGTGAAACATTCTTAACCTGCTATCAGATTGTTTTGTAATTATAAAAGAATTTTCTTATTTTACTTTTGAAAGTAAAATTCTTTTAACAAGAAATATTTGTATTTTTGTGTGAAACAATTAAGATTAAAATTGTATGTTTCTCTTTTGAGTACAATTAGCCTTATTTAATTTTATTTGTCTCCACACACCGAGAAATAACTTTCGTAACATTTTTTTTCTATTAACACTAGAAATTAGCATTTTTTTCCTAGTTTATAATAATTTTAAATTATGTTTTAATTAACACAAAGAAAGTTAATATTTTAAAATAAATACAAATAACATATGTATTCTATTAATTTTTATTTATCTCTTCATGTTTTAATATACATTTTATTATACTCATTAATGGTTATACTATCAATTTTAGTTAGTTTCTTTCAATTATATTATTATTAAATTATTAAATTCCTTAAATAAAAAATTAAAACTATTGTCGGCCCTTTTCCTTTTTAAATTATATTCACTTTTTCATATAATCACTCCTCAAAATATAATTTAACCTTTGTTGGTTAATTAATATTATACTTACATTAGTGTTTAATTTCAACAAATAATATTTATTAAGTATTAGATATAAGAAATAAAAAGTTGTGTAAAGTTTTAAAAAAAACAATGCATACATAATTCTTAAATGTTTTTTTAAAATTTTATTCAATCACACATGGAATATATGTTATCAGTATTGTGATTTCTGAAATACCATATTCATCATCTAACTAAAAATATTTCAATGTATAATTAAAATTAATTCTATGGAATACATGTTAAATATAGGTCTATTGTATTAGTAATACATATTTACTATTTAATAAGATGGTATTATAATTATATTCATTGACGTGTTGTTTCCAATTATTTTACTATTCATTTTTGTTTTATTGTTAATTGCTGACTTGAAGAATTACCATATTATCTATTATTAGAATGAATCAAGTAGTCCATTGACTCCATAGACTAGATAACAATTAATCAAAAGTGTGTTGTGGTTCGCCATAATTATTTTATTTAACAATTTATTATGTAAGTTAATAATCACTTGATTAAGTTAAGCTCATAATGGGTTAAATTAAAAACTAAATATACTTAAATTTTATATCTAATCTACTTAATTTGTATTATTTAGTACTTATATAACATATTGTGCACACCAATTGAGTAGTGAATTTTTAAGAATTTTGATAGGTTGTTTTAAAAATTAGGTGATATTAATATTTTATTTACTATGATTTAATCGTACAGAAAATCAATAGATACTTTAATAACTGGTAAGTAGTATTAAGTAGATATTTAGTTCATGTTAAGTCACATAACCATAACAGAAACTCAGTTCACGATACAACTCAGAACAGATTGTAACAGTCGCATTTCTTTGAAACTCAAAAAACACCTAACTAGTATCTATATATAAATAATCTACAAGTTTAAAACGTACTTGTAAAACATTTCACAACTTATGTTTATTTTAAATTTTGTTATATGTCGCACATTTATCTATGGGTAAGTACTATAAATGGAAAACAGAATATGGCTAATATGCCACCAAATTCACAAAACCTGTCCGATCTGTTTAACACTCCACACAATGTTTAATCAATAGGATGTTTCAATGCTCTAAAAATAGATTAATTAATTTAGAATATGTTTATTTTTTTTTTTCAATTTACCAACAGCAGTGGGAGATAAGTTTTCACATTGCTACCTCACCACTGCTATCGTTTATTAATAAGCACAATTAAGTAATGTTTTATAAAATCCTGTTTTCCCTTTTGCGGATCAGGCTCACATTGTTAACTATGTTAATTAAAACTATGGTGAGAGGTGAGTAGTAGAATCGCGTCACCTTCTAACATTATGCTAATTGCTAACTTAATTTAACCTGTACTTGACCTTGAGCCAGTGGCTAGGTGCAGACTTTGTTGCCCAGGACTAATGAGGCAGCTGGTCAGCCCTTGCCTCAGTTTTATTTATACTCTCGTCTCGCTCCTTACTGCTCATTATGCCCTCTATGCGGTAAGACTGTAAGCCGCAAAAGAAGGCTGCCTCGATCTGATTGTATAAAACTCCGGATGAAATGTATCTTCGGGGCTGCAGAACAAGTTTTGGACGTCGCTGAAAGCTGTTTCATCCGCCAATATACGCTCTGCCGGTGTTCCCAGTGAGGGCATACGATTAGCGTGTGCTCGAGGGTGTCTTCCGAATGAGTGTCGGCAGTATAGGCACTCCGCGTCTGGGGCTCGTTCCATCCGTAAGAGATAGTGCCTGAAGCACCCGTGACCTGTAAGGACCTGCGTGACGTGAAAAGTGAGGTCCTTAGAGTGTCTCGATACCTATTTCCTCAGATCTGGGAGAACCCTGCGAGTTCAAAGCCGCCTTGGTCGTGCGGTTCCACCTGTTGGACCACGCGTTGATGACAATGTTGAGCTCCGTGCATAGGATCTTGGATGAGGACTTGCTCTTGTCCGGATCTTCGATCTTTGAGCTGATTTTTTTTCCTCTTTAGGGCAAGGAGATTCCCTGGAAGTGTACATGTTAGTAGCGAGACGACGACAGTTGATACGGTGCGGTACGCTCAGGTAACTTAAGGACTGCACCCTGATTAGCGAGTTATAGCATTTGGTAATCTTGGTCGCGTGCTCGGCTCACGTCGAGACTGCATAGAACAGTCTATGTATCAGTATATCAGTATATTACAATATATGTACATTATTAAATGGTACCTCCTCAAAACACTGTTTACCTGAAGAAATTGGTTGGTTTTGGCAGTTGGTCTTTACCAATATTTATTGATTCTGATCCAATGATATTGCCAGGATTTGATTTGACAAATCCATGTATTCGAAATACCTACCATAATATAGGTCTGTTTAAAATGTGATTTGTACACTTAACATATTAACGGAATGTATATATTTTTGTACCCCATATAAAAATCGATGATTTTTAAAAATGTATAATACAGTATGAGTAAAAATTAAAATGTTATGTTGAGTAGCGTACAACTAGTAAGTAGTAGTAGTAGTAACTTACCCAACAATAAAAAACAATAACATGGAAATAACGTGTATATGGCTTATATGTATAATCATTTATATTTATAAGTAAAGTTCGGATATTTATGCCTTGTACATATTTTTAGCAAATTCAAAAATATATCCGAATATGATATAAATTTGATTCATTCAAAAAGCCTAGATTTCAAACTTGCAAACTTCTTTTGCAAATATTTGAATATTTAACATATGAATACATATATTGATTATTCCTAGATTTAGTAGCATATTTTAAACAATTTTAAATATAATATTACAAATGTGTACGGTAACTATTAACCACACAAAGTATTTAATCTATATAACATTTAAATTTTTTAATTATTTAATTATTTTATTTTGAATATTAACCCAGCTTTTTTGTAAAATTGTGATTTTTAAAAAATGTATATATTTAATGCATGCACGATTAAAAGAGTATATAATTTATTTAAAATTAATATTAAAACCTTTTTTGTACATATTTGATGAAAAATATTTTTAAAATGTAACCAACATTTTTCTAAACAAAGTACTAGTCAGATTAGTTTAAACTTTATAATATTTATTTTTAAAAATATTGTATTTATACCAAAAAAAATGTAATTATTACTTTTATTATAATTCATATAATTACCAGTGCATAAATGATAAATCTCATTCAAGTTACTGTTAAAATTTGGGAAAAGGTAATAATGACCATAAGGAAGATTTATAATAATTTAATAAAACATAGAAATCATAAATTATATAAAGACGTTTTATTGTATTTATTAATTTAAGTTTATAGAAACTATTATATTGCTTTTATAATATAAATTAATTTAATATTATTAAATCAGTCATTTGTAGATCAAAATCATTACAGTCTTCCTCTATTTCTATTCATACAAGAAATACCTTTTCGTATACCCATTGACAATTTACATTTAGGTGGAGGTGATTTAGGTCTGAGTTCTTCAATACGATCAGTACATCCAGTTGTTAATTGGCCATTATTAAAATATCCACAGTACATAGCAGAATTAAAATTTGAATTAGTTAATTCATGTCCTAATGTTAACCACCCTGGGCGTATAGTACTGTCACGACCAAATAAATGTAATCTAAAAAGTAAAAATAAATGTATAAATATATTCAATGACAATCATAATACAATACCTTCTCTTTCCAAGGCAAAAATGTTCAATAATATGAAATATTTCAACAGGTTTTTCCATTGAACCATGTCCATTCTCTTCAGTAATAATTAAATCAATATCAACATTAGCATGGATATAATCACCATCTGAAGATCGACGAACTGTTCCTTTAATACCCATTAGACAATGTTCCTAAACATATAGTAGGCAAATAAGAACATGATTTAAAAATATTTAAAATTAAATTTTGTGTTTGTTATATTTACTAGCATTGTAAATCCGTTTAGTATTAACTTCAAATAAATACCTTAGTTCGTTGAAAAACAGCATTTGGTTCCAAGCTTTTTGAATGTCCTGGATTTTTAGAATTTGTTTGAATCCAACAAATATCTTCACAACGCCTAAAACCCCAGTGCCGTAGACAATCACGGCCCTTATCCAAACCGTCAGATGAACCACACCAGAGAAAAATAAAACTACGATTCGCAGCCAATTCACCTAATTCTAGGTCCATTATCTAATAAATGTATACAAATAATTAATAACTAATCATAAATAAATGATAAATGCCTATAAAAACTAGTAAATCATTAAATAAGATAAAATTGATATGTATAAAACAATTAAAAAATAAGTAATAAATTATGTTAGAATAAGAGAATTAGGTAGTATTGAATACATTCAAATAATTGTTCAAGTGATAAATATTCAATAAGCAGAAATTAAATAATTATAAAAATTAATAATCATAATTTTGTATTTATATTCAGTTTAAAACAGGCTGTATTGATCGAATGATTTATTAAATTAAAACAAGTCTTAAATAAAACATTCAGTTCATGGTTGTTTTTCTTAAATAGATAAAATTTTACAAATGAGTATTAGTATTATTTATATTTATAGTTAACTTGTTTCCAATTCCAAAACTTTGTATTGGTAACACCCAAAGTTCGCTGATATTCTTCTAGTGGAGGTTCAACAAGTATAACATCAAATTTAATATTCAATGTTTTTAAATCATAAGTGCTTAAATCGCACTTCAGAAACATAGGTGGCGTAGAAGTTTGTTGTATAAGTTCATCCTATAAAAAAAAACTAAGACTTAAAGATAATTTTTTTAGTCTATATAAAAAGAAAAATATTAACAATTGATAAAATTGATGATATAAATGAATAATAAACATTGTATATAGTAGTATCAAGTATATAAGTATATACTTATATTTATAATAATTTCTGAAAACCAAAAATATAATATTATACCTTTAGACGGATTAATTTTCTTAGTTTTGGGTATTCTTCAAATCTATCAGTAAGACCAACATCTCTAATAAAATTTTGTGGACGTTGACCGGTATCAACAAAATGTTGACAATAGTCATTGTGTGGATTAGACGACTGTGTACCTTTAAGAAATGTTGAAGAATCTTTATAAGTATGTTCAGGACTTTTTGATTCAGAATTAAATTTATTTATGAATTTGCGAACAGAACTCATAGGCATCGGCTCCCTGTGAGAATTCAGCGCATGACGGAATTGTTCGACATCTGAGAAACCTAACTGTGAATAATAATTTATAAATTATTATAATTAGGAAATTTTGAAATTAATCTCGTTTACCGTTTTTGCCAATAACTTTTTTCTTATTTTAGATTGTTCTTTTAACATTTTCAATGTTTCACTCATAGTGGTAATGTTTTACAAATTGGCAACAAAATTAAATGTACCTATTAAAATGCTATTGACACTTATTATTACAGATTTTATTTATAAAAAAAATACTATTAAAAACTTACTATTTATAATTAAAAATTAACTATTAATAATATTATTCTTACAATAATTATTAAAAATAATTTGTTATCTATTAACTATTTATCACATATTAACAGTTGGTATTATTTTACCAACCTAATTTAATATCTTATTTGTCAAAAAATATAATAATATTAAATATTATTATAAAGTTATTTCTTATTCATCAAATAAAATGAATATTGGATTTAAATGATATTAATAAATCAATTATCTGAAATTTCAAAAAATATAATTTATATTATTTATTAATTGTTCTTTATTTTTGATATTTTGATAAGTATACTTCACGTGTTTATCACGAACACACTGTATTCTTTTTTTCTGATTAATAAAAATAAACAAAATACAATTTTATTCTTTCTTAAAATTAACAAATATCCATTGTAGTAATATTATTTATTTTTTTAATTTTTTATTAGTCAGCGCACAAATAAAGTTTGAATTATTATCGTGTTCTTTTATATTTTTTTTTATTAAATTCAAGTTTTATTAAAATGAACGGCGAATGCAAATTGGATTACCGCGAAGCTGATATAACTCATGCTGAACGAATGAAAGAAGAAGCGAATCTTCATTTTTCTGCCAAACGTTATGCAGAAGCAATTGATTTATATTCTAAAGCTATTGCAATGTGTGAGAGTTCGTCAACAAAACCACATAATTTCGCTGCATATTTTGCAAATCGTAGCTTTGCTCATTCTAAAACCGAAGCATACGGCTATGCTTTAGCTGATGCATCAAAAGCTATACAACTTGATCCTAAGTACTTGAAAGGATATTATCGAAGGGCAACAGCGTATATGTCACTTGGTAAATTTAAGGAAGCCCTAAAAGACTATGAAGTTGTTGTAAAGGCTTTACCTTCTGATAAAGATGCTAATCGTAAATATTCCGAGTGTAATAAGATGGTTAAACGATTAGCTTTTGAAAAAGCTATTTCTGTAGAAGATTCTAAAAGTGTTTCTGAACAAATAGATATTGAATCAATGAGTATTGAAGATGATTATATTGGACCAAATTTAGATGATGGAAGAGTTACACTCGATTTCATGAAAGAGCTTATTAAAACTTACCGAGATCAGGGTAAGTTACATAAAAAACATGCTTACAAAATATTGTTGGATGTTAAAAAATATTTAGAAAAACAGCCAACTCTTGTTTACATTAATATTAAACCTGGTGAAATATTTACAATATGTGGTGATATTCATGGTCAGTACTATGATCTGTTAAACATATTTGAATTAAATGGTTTACCATCAGATACAAATCCTTACTTATTCAATGGCGATTTTGTTGACCGAGGATCATTTTCAGTTGAATGTATTTTTACTTTGTTTGGTTTTAAACTTCTTTTCCCTGATAAGTTCTTTATGTCTCGCGGTAACCACGAAAGCGTTACTATGAATAGAATGTATGGATTTGAAGGTGAAGTTAAATCTAAATATTCAGTTGAAATGGCTAACTTGTTTACAGAAGTTTACAATTGGCTTCCACTTGCCCACTGCATCAATAGACGTGTTCTTGTTATGCATGGTGGTTTATTTTCTAAAGATGATGTTACATTAAAGGATATTGAAAATATTTACCGAAATAGACAGCCACCAGAAGCAGGCCCAATGTGCGATATATTATGGTCAGATCCCCAAGATGCTCCAGGACGTTCTCCAAGTAAACGTGGTGTTGGTGTACAATTCGGACCAGATATTACAAACAAATTTATCGAATTAAACAATTTAGATTATATTATCCGTAGTCATGAGGTTAAAGCGAATGGTTATGAAGAAGCACACGATTCCAAATGTATTACTGTGTTTTCTGCTCCAAATTACTGCGATACAATGGGCAACAAAGGAGCGTTTATCACACTCGAAGGACAATGCCTTAAGCCAAAGTTTACAACATATACAGCTGTACCACATCCACCTGTGAAGCCTTTGATGTATGCAAACTCGTTAGTAAACTTGTTTTGTTAGCCAAATGAAACTTTTTTTTGTAATTTATATACAAGTTTATTCTTGTTAATTTGTTTGTCTTACACAAAATAAAATAAATTTTTGTAATTACATTTATTTTTAATCAAAAGAGATTTAAGTAGGTTAAAAAATACATAATTATAAGACATTTTTTTATCATTGTTGCACGACTGAACGGCTTCGATTTGGGGTATTTGGTATGTTATTATTATGCCGCAGAATGGCAGTCAGTCTGAATCTGTTTCGGAAAGTTGAAGATCTTCATCTAAAATACGTCCTGGATCTACTAGACGACCTTTAAAACCTAAAGCAAAACAATGATAAATATTTTTTTTAATTTTACATAAATATTGATTTGTTTAAACTACCATTTGTGTTGGCAGAATTAAAAATGGGCAACGGGTGATTTTCTACATTTCTTTGTTGATTAGTGGGAGATGTTGTTGAGTCATCACTATCACTATCTGATGAACTACTTGATTCTGAATCACTAGAAGATTCACTAAGTTCTAAACTTCTAGCAGCAGGAACCAAATCTTCATAGGACTGTACAATTAAAAATAAAAAACATTAATATTAAATTTCTTAAAAAGCATTGTTATTTTAAATTAAAATTTATAAAACTATGTTTTAATTTTTAATGTGCCAAACACCTTTATTTTATACTCATGAAAATAAATTCACACTGAATAATTCAATTTGTGAAAAATAATTCTTGAAGTAAATTCAAAAAAATATATTTCCTTGGAAAAATTAAATTACTCAAAAATACAATACAAATATTGTAGGTTAAATTTTAAATGTTATTCAGTCAATTTTGGATGTAAGATAATAGAGACCCCTAGAGATTACAACTGAAATCTTTCTCTACATATTAGAGCCTTAATCTCAAAAATAAAGTAGAGCCCTTATTATCTGACAGAGCCAAACAGTCCTCCAATAAATATAAAAGCAGTTTCAATTAAATAAGAAAACATCATGTATACCTATCAACTAGTGACAACTCGCTATGGTAAACTACAAGAAAAATGTTTTGTTCTCAGCCTTTTGTACCTACTGAGAAAGACTGATGGAACATGGACTATCAGTGATATGGAAAAAGTTATTTTTTCCCACTACTTTTTTTTCTACTATCCATATTTGTAATATTTTATGTCCAAACCAAATTGGAAAAGTAAACAATTTCTTAGCCTGTTCACTATTCATCACTCTTCCACCCAACTACATTCAACCAAGCAAATTATAATATATGTAATACACTAACCATTTCGGCACAAAACGCTAAGCTTTGACCTAAATCACAGCTGATGTAGCTATTAAATTAAATAAAACATTGCTTATGTTAACACAGATATTACTCCATTTTGAGACTCATACTTCCCAGCTTAATAAAAAGGCACTCTTAGCTCTCCACTCCAATCCTGAAATGGCCTAAAATCTCATTCAAAATCACCTAATCTTAGCCACATTTTATGAACTTGGTATAAAGAAGAGAGAGGGGGGGGGGTAAAAGTCAACAAAGCGTGATTCATCCAATTCATGTTCACATTCCAACAAGTTGTTTGCCCTCCCATTTAAATCGCCTACCACTATTATCTGGACATAATATTTATTATTTAAGGATTAAACCTAGGCTACCTATATAGCTATATTTATACAAAACACCTTACCTTAAACAACTGTACTTGCCAACTATGACTTCTTCTTACATCTAAACACATTAACCTAAACATTAAACTTTCTTCAAACTAATTTCGAATTCAGTGTTTAATATTGGAGAGTTGACATGCCCACCAATATTAATATAATCCAAATAGTCAAAGCCCCATACCATGTCACAAATGTCTTTATAAATATATCTCTATTTCTACAGTAAAAAACATTGCCAAAACTTTCTACCAACTCATACACTCTAATGATTAGAGTAAAGATTAGAGTCTAATCTTTACAACCATCACAACCCCCTAATCTTAGAATTAACGGTTCCTACTATTTCTATTGACACTAAAAAGCACCTAAAATAAACTTGGTGTTGACTTACTAATTGATTAACTCTTAGTTATAAAGTATTGTCAATGGATAGCTCCACTGCTCAGGCCTATTGTCTTCGTAATTAAACAAATTTTAATTTAATATGTTTTATCTTATTTTTAGTTAAGCCAACATCGCTTGTGCTTATTGCAAAACGTTACTTTATAGATGGTTCAATTAATAATTAAAAAAAAAAAAAAAACAAACAATATATTGAACCTTAACAAATTCAAAATGTTAGTGTAAGTATTAGTTTACAATATTTAAGTATGTTATTTTAATTTTAAAACAGTTAAAGGACATAATTAAAAACTAAAAACAATAGATAATTTGAATAGTTGAAATTTGAAGAAAACTAAGAACATTTAAAAAATTCATATATCCGGAAGATCAAAAATAAAATACTTATATATAAACTATAATATTAAGAACTAACTAATATTGTATTTGTATTAAAGGGTTATATTATACAATATGTATGCTATTATTCTTTTTTATCTTAAACATTTTATGTGAGTATTATTTCCCTAATAATTTAATATAATTAAATAAGAATAAAAGGTAAAACTTACTTCTGTTTTATTATTTTCTGTCTTAATTTCCGTTTTAATATCAGACAATGAAAAACTGGGATGTGCTTGGGAATCAAACCCAGTCATTGAGCAATCATCATCATTCGGAATACTGGAAGACATTGGAGATTCCGACCTGTAATAAACAATTTATATAAAATATGTAAATTTAAGAGATATAAGCAATATAATGTACTACTATTATTAGTTATTTGTTTTTTTTTTTTTACGTATTTTATAATAAATTGAAAAAATATATTGAAATTTAATAAAATAGGTTTACTTACATAAAATAAATCTTAAAATATAATTACATAAAAAATTGCGGAGATTTATTCATATGTTGAGCGTTACTTGGTGGTGACATATTTGCCACTACTTTAGGTGACTGAGAAGCTTTCTTGGGAGATTTTTTCACTTGTTTTTTTTGTTGTATTTTGCCTTTTAATCGTTTATCTACAGAAGCTGTTCTATTTTTTTCAGATAAAACTGGATTAATCTGTACTATAGGTTTTTGTGGTTTCTCAACCGCATTTCTGAAAATTGTATTAATAAATAATTAGTAATAGTTGGGATGAAAGTGAAAAATAAAAAGATTAACGGGTAGTGATGCTGTATGCTATCTATGCAAACTTTGTAGTTGCCGTATGCTATCTATACAATCATGTCTACCATTACATTATTTTTTTATTTTGGAAAATAGTAATAATTTTTTAAATTATTATCATTTTATAAAAAAAATATTCTTACCTGTATTATATGCATATGTATGTAAGTTGTCAATTCAGATTATTGTAGATAGGTATACAGTTTTAATTGATGCTAAAAAATTGTTCAAAGGTGTTATTTGCTTTATGATTTATAGAATGCCACTATTCTTCTTTAAGCTGCCTTTCCAACAACTTAGTGGCATCGAGTGTTTCAAAGTTTTTATACTATATACAAATTTATCTAAATTAATTTACCAATTAGATTTAGAGTGTATTGTAACTTTCAATAATTGGGTATTTCATAGTTATTAATTATTATACTTGAGATAAAATAATATTGCTAGATGTCATACAGCACCAATATTAATACAAAAGTAGATACAATTTGTGATGTAAATAGCATACAACACCACTACCAATTAATGTTATAAATTATATTATTGATAATTACCTAGTTGATTTCAATTGTACATTAGTAGTAAGCTTTTCTAATGTAATTTCTCCAGTTGTATGATCAATGATAAGAACACATTCTTTTGTGTAATCTTTGTGTGATCCTTTATACACTGTATGTGATGCACCAGCACCATCAAAGTTGGGTAATGTAACGGTGACTTCACGATTGGATGAACTTATATCAACACTAGCTGGTTTATTGCTATCTACACTTGCAGGTTTAAAATCATCTGAAATTATTTATTAAAATGTATTATAAGGACAACCAAAATCAATAATAAAATAGGTATCTAAATATAAAATCATAATTTGTATAAAAAAAAAAAAGTACTAAAGAAAATAAAATAAATAAGAAAAAAAATGTATGATAACAGTAAGTTTAAATTATAATTGGATCCATACGCATTATTTTTGGATTAACTAATGTAATTTATTTTTCAGCAACCTAGTTGCCTATTTCTATTAAAAAAATAAAATTAAAATGTTAATTTTATACAAGTAGGTATATTATATAGTGTTTTTTGAGTCTAAGATTATTGGAATAAATGTAATATGTATACACTAGAATTAATTCTACATAATATAAGACAAAATTCTTCAGTATTGTCTAATAGTTTGAGTAAAGAATTTACTTACATCTTAATGTATGGAATCCAGGACCTTTGCCGGAAAATGTCGAGCCGAGTTTGAGTTCGGCTGGCTCGCTACCGAATGATTCCAATGAATCAAATAATTCATCATCCATTAGATACGTGTCGTTTACAAATGAAGAGTTAAAAAATGAACAAATCAGTTCAGCGAACAAATTCTACAATCTCCATTCACCGAATATGTCACTCTCTGTTTGCGAAAAATTCTAAAACGTTCTGCGACGAGACAGAACGGTACGGTACTTTTGATAACCTTGAAACGGCCGAATGTGTTATCCGTCATTTGGAACACGGTGTTCCGAAACGTTACCACGTACACGGAACGGAGCAACAACTATGTCCAATATTTTATAGAAATCCTATCGCGACTCCCTTACTGTTATCAAACCAAATATGCGATAGTGAAAAAAAATACAAAATTGGATGATAATCGTTATCACAGCTCCGAGAAACGTTTACTTATATTACGGTTTTTAGATATCTTTAATCCGCCACAGTATCATATTATTGTTTTATAGGCAATAGACTACTATTCTGATTCTGATCAATCTCATCATTCTCGTCCATAGGGTAGTTACTAGTTATTCTATGATTCCATCGCGGTTCCCTGTATTTAGGTCATTTAGTATGTTTTGGAACTTAAATAGAAGAGATTAACGGCGTCCTCAATTTGATCGCCTTACTAAAACCATTAGAAATAAATTTAGTTGGTGAGTAAGAAAGCCGTTTATAGATTTTCCCCCTGTAGAGTTGTTAATAGTTGAACAAACCAAAAAAAAACATAGAAAGAATGGGAAAATGTACGAAAATACCTAAGGCTTTTATTATTTTTAATTTTATATTTCTGTTGTAATTAAATAAAAAAAATATTAGAGATTTGTAATTTTGATAAAAGATTATAATTGCTTTTTCTAGTCATTGTACAATTTTAAAAACATTTGAGCCATTTCAACCTATTTATAGACATTTTAATTTTATGAGATTTATGAAATTTTCATTCGGTGGATAATTTAGCAGGAGGTACATTATTAAGTCATAAAAGAAGATCTGACACTGGGGACGGGTATAGATGGGAAGGTGGATATATAGAGTTATTTTATTTATATCTATACACAACGATTAATCTTAGTTAAAGAAAATTTTAGTTTAGTTTAACCATTTATCCACATAGTACCTAGGTACTAAATAAAAATTACGTTAAATACTCACAAAATTAAAATGTCTCAAATAGCTCAAAAATCTATGTTTTGAAAATTTTACCACGTATAGAAAGAGCAAATATTCAAAAAGTTGTATAGTCAATATTTCAATTCTCTACGAATACATTTAACTGCAATATAGTAAAAAAAAAAAAAAAAAATGTAAAATAATAACTAATAAAAATATTTGTATACATTTTCCGTTCTTTCTACGTATTTTTGTATTGCTCAATTATTAAAAAAATCAAAACACGACTTTCTTGGTCACTTACAAGATTAAAAATTCAGCAAAAAGGATTTCTTATTGTTTTTCTATTGGAGCAATATTTTTAGTAAGAAAATACTTAATTTGTACAATTTTAAAACAATGAAATGGATAATGCCGCGTCGCGTAATCGCGTTGTAAATATTTGCGTTATTACCTATAACTTTCTTTACGGTTTTTCCCAATTAGAAAATAAATCTTAATGTTTCAACAAGATAAAATTACCTTTCAGAAAAGGTGCTACACTTGATATTTCAGAGCAAGTTTTCTACAAGAAGTTGCTCACAGATACAAAAAAAAAAAACACACATATTAAAACGAATAGATCCCTCATACGCTCCGAATCTAAAATAATGATCACATAATTATTTGCACTACTAAAATTTTGATTTTTATGGCAACATCATCCAGATTACTTGTAAATTGAAAACTTTTGTTGTATTAAAATATTGGTAATATTGATTATTGTACATTTTTTATGAACTCCTCAAGAATTTTTTATTTGTGGACGTACCCGCTATAGGCTATAGGTGATTGGCATTATAGATGTGTGAAGTAATTTTTAGATAATACATTATATGGTTATTTATCATATCTACTAGATGTATACTGTTCTATGTGAGCATAAATTCAATTTTAATTTTTCTTTACTTTCATAGGCAATCGTAAGTAGGTAAGTAAAATATAAAAATTTATCTTATTAAAAATATGTTAACCCCAGAAAAAAAAAACACATTTAGAAGAAAAAAATACAAAAAACAAGTGGACGTACTTTGAACAATGGGTGGGCCCCTGTTATAGGTGAGAAGTTAGGAATGAAGAGTAATTTAATATATATATCTGTATGCAGCGATGAAAAACAATTTTCGAGCAGAAATCGATTACATATGTTTTTAAACCATATGTTTTAAAGACCGTAATATTTACAATTTTAAAATAATTCATTTCGTACATTTTCCCGTTTTTCTTATTTATGATTCATTATAAAAACTCTTGGAAAAATCAAAAAATGTCCTCATCAAAGTATCAATAAGTTTTCAATTTAGAAAAAGTGCTACAATTGTTAATCGAAACAAATTTGCTGGTAGAAAAGTGGTTCACAGATAAAAAATAAACACCATTATAATACTAATATATTCCTCGCTCTGTTCAGAATCTAAAATATGATTTTGTATATATATTGTATATATTTTGTTAATATTTTTTACGAGATAAATACAATTTTTAATAAATCAAAAAGGAAGTTAAACAATTTTTATCAGTAAACTTTCGGATTAAAAAAAAAAAACAACATTATTAAAAAGTAATATTTTTTCGAATATCGATTTTAAACAATTCAAACTAAATTAGACGCCATTTTGTAAAATAAGTTTTGAAAAAAATTAAATCGTTTGGGTTGTACACTAGATTGATGTCAATTATAATCTATGGGCACGGATGTAGATAAATGAAAATCGAATGCTATCTACGGTCATACGCTAATATTTTAACTCCCTAACGGAACTAAATAATACGTAACGTTGACCTAAATACAGTATTATTTTGAATCGTGGCAAAAAAAAGAATATCAGGATTTTCACAAGTATTTTGTATTTACACTACTGCCTACCATTAGGAAAATCGTGATGAGGCATTCTATTCGAAATATTTGAATAATTAAGTCTCAATGAAAATGCTGAAGTAAATGTAATTTAGTTGCTACGATTAAAAGATGGTACCCACCTAACATAATATAGTATATTATTAGTGGCTGCGTTTGGATTATTACCCACCATATACCTACTGAAATATCTACTTATATATTTTAGTTATACTTATAACTAATAGAGGTTTCAAACATATGATTGAAAAAAAATATGTTTTCTAACGCATTTTGATAAAATTAATGGTGACTAGTTATAGTGAAAATATCATAGTTGGTATAAGATATCTATGCAAATTGTGCTAAATTCATGGATAATACATTTTTATTATCTATTGCCAAATTGCCAAATAATCAAATAATTTGATAACATAAATGTGAATGATAAAGATTATAAATCGAATACGAATATACAATATATTTACTCGTTCACCAATTTACTCGTTTATTAAAAAGTTTTCTAAAGTTAGATATAAAAATGTTTAAACGGCTCAAAGGATCTATTGGGAAAATCGACGAGTCAAAAACATTAGATTTTTTACCTCAAGTAAAGTGTTCACTATTTTTAAATTCAAAATGTATGGTTCAATTTTTAATATTTTAAAATTAATTTTAGAATCGTCCAAGTTGGAGTGGTTTTTCTACAGTATCACCAGTAAATCCAGAAATGGAAGATTCAAAATTTTGTATTGATGATGACATTGAAGGTGAGCAATACAACTTTAAAAAGTAGGTGTTTTCTTAAAATTACATTTTTCAGCTTATGTTTCATTTTTTTAGAAACACCTAAGAATTCCCCTGCTCGTGTTACTGTTAGTGAAAGTACTACTGTTGATCTTGGTAAATTCAGTCAGTCTTCATCATCTTTAGTAAATGATCATATTTCATTTTATGTGAGTAGAGATTTATCTAATATTTAGATTATAGCCATCTGGAATTAATAATGCTTTATTTTAGAATGATATTGAATCAGCCAGTGAATTAGATGATAGTGTTAGTGTTGTATCTGAGTATGCAAATGAAATCACTAAAGAAAATTTGTATGCTGCATATAAAAAGCTTCATGGCCGTTACCATAAACATAAAATCAAGTACACTGACTTAGCCAATAAATTTAAACAAACAGTGATGACACACGATAAAGATAAAGTAACTTCTATTTAAATTAATTACTCTATGTTTTATTTATATTTTTTATTTGTATCTTTAGATCACTATGACAAAAGCTCAAGATAAATTACTCCAAAGAATTACAGAACTAAAAGAACAGTGTAACCTAGAACAAGCTGCTAAAGCACACATGGAAGATGCGTTGAGGAATGATATAGAAGAGAGAGATCATTTAATATCAACTTTAAATACAAAAGTAAAAATTACTAATACATTATAACTAAATTAAAGTGTGCATTTTGAAAATAAGAAATTGAAGTAAGGTAATTACACAAAGATTTAACATCATGAATAACATGTACTATTCAATATTTTTTTTTTTTTAAAGTTTATTTATTGAAAATTTACAATCTATACAATAAATAGTACATTAAGATTAAGTAAATGTGATAATGAATGAATATAAAAAATGAAGCAGTGAGAAAAATACAATGAATAGGAGTTTCACATTAGAAGCTTCTGAACATGGATTTAGTGAGAAAAAATAATAAACACCTTAAGTGTAATGTATAGTGAGAAGATCTCTTGGCCATCTAGGTTTCAAGCGTTTGGGTTGGTTATTCGGAATAGCATTGTTATGAAGTTGAGTGGTGTTCTATATTGGAGTGTAGGCGTAGGTAATATGTGATAGCTTGATAGCTGTTTGTTTTATGGTGGGGATTCAAAGGTCATTTGTAGAGCAACATTTTTGAACAGATAGGTTGCAGTAGGGGTTTGTAGAATAGTAGTTGGTTAGAGATGTACATATCAAATTTCAAGAGAGGCCTAAATATGTGTAGGCGGCTATTTAGTTGCTTATGTTTGGTTTTGAGGTGGGGGCCCCACGTGCGCCTTCTGTTGAATAGTAGACCAAGGTATTTAACTTTATTTGTGTAAGGAATAGTTACGTTCTCAAACCTTATGTGAGGACAGTCACTGGGGCAGAGGGAGGATGTGACATGAGAAGATTTGGAGTTGTTGATCTTAATTTTCCATGATTTGAACCAGTGGGATAAGCTGTTCTGATTGTTTTGAAGTAGGGCGTTTGCTTCGAGGGGGTCTTTACTCAATGAAAGGATTGCGGTGTCATCAGCATAGGTCTCTATTAAGGTGTTATCCATTGTAGAAATGTCAGCTGTGAACAGTGTGTACAGGAAAGGAACTATATCACTTCTTTGAGGGACCACAGCCAAAATGATATATGTGCTGGAAAATGAGGTTTTTAGTTTAACTTTGAATGTTCTGTTTTGTAGGTATGATTTTTTAAAGATTTTTTTTGACCTTGAATAATAAGCCTTTGTGCCAGACAGTGTCGAAGGCCTGTGCCACATCAAGAAAAAGCCCTGAGCAATATTTTTTTTATTTAAAGAAATTTAGTAATGTGATCCATTACACAATGGAGTTGGTGAAAAGCTGTATGTTTGGCAGGATTTATTTAGTAGGATGTGAGTCACTGCACAGAGCACATTTGTATTTGTCGGGTAGGTTTTGATCTTTTTGGCATTGTGATGAGTCATGGGGATCACCACAGCGAATGCATCTGGGGTAATAGTTGCAGTAAGTGCGCGTATGACCATACGATTGACAGCAAAGACATTGGGGGATGTCCTTTCTGGGACAAGGGGCTTCAACTTTTATTTTTGAGCAGCATAAGAGGGTCAGTTTAAATATATCTGGGTTGTTATTATCCGATTCTAAGTTGATGATGAACATAGGAAGAGGTAACTTAAAATGTCTGTGAAGTACATTCTTAATATTTCTTGGTTGGTAGCCTAGTAAGGTTGGTTCATCTTTTATGAATGATATGTCCGTAGAAAGGTGGAGATTTTTTATCACAATTTTGTATGGTTTAGTTTCTTTATTCTGGAATGAGTGGAAGGCAACTTGGCTATCTTTGAGAAATTTGACAACAGATCTGTATGAGTTCAAATTAAAAGTTTGCAGTTTTACTCCTTTAGTGGAGGGTTTGCATACGAAACCACCGGGTTGCGTAGTTCCTTTATTTTTGCAGTAAAATTGTTAAAATTTAAGTTGAATTCTATGAATATCGTTGGCGAATTGATGGTTTTGAGCATGGTAGTCTTTCATGATTTCTCAACATTGTCAGTGATCATTTTGATGTCTTCATTAGTAGGGGCTAGTGATGAAAAGCAATTTGAAGAGGTGTAGATCCTAGTGTTTTTTTTTTTGGAAGTGGAGATATGGGAGTGTTTGGGCGATCAGAGAGAGTTGTTTATTTTTTTGGTAGTATTATTTTTGGCCATAATGATGTAGATAAGGTGTACAGGGAGTAAACCTTGAGAGTATAATAAAAATAAAAATAAAACATTACTGGCGGTTTGCACCACATTGACAAAGATGCCGCAGCGAGCACAAATGACTTAGCTGTTGGAAAATGATAAGCAAAGAACTTCAACATTATTTAAAAACTTAACAATTTATCATAAATAAATATTTGTAACACTAACATTTTGTTTCAAAATATATTTATAAAATTATTGTCTTAGATTTTGTAAAAACAATTGTTTTTAGTTTAAAAAAATTAAATAAAAAGTAACAATAGTACACAGTTCTAAAAATGATTACAAGAAAAAATTTATAAATATAGAACAGAACAAAAATTCTTTCAGGTGTTAGATTTTTGAATTACATCCTGTATGTAAAATACAAAACAATACAGCATACTTACTTGATTAGTCTACAAGATATATAAGTTATAATTAGTATTAGAAATTAAAATTTACTATGTCAATTTTTATTTTTATTTAACAAGTACATTTAAATATAAAAGTTCATACAAATTTTAAATCTTATTAACTGCAATACTTTTAAAATAAAAATGTTCTATTTAGCATTTTATTTTCATTAATAACAAAGTAGGATAAATATTGAAGAATCAATTTTGTTTATAGTGTGTATATAATTATATTGAACCTTTAGAACAATTCTACTGTCCTTATAAGTATTGTTCAAAATAAAACAATACTTTTTTTAAAAATGACTCAATGTACTTTTTTGAATATAAAATGCTTATTTTAATTTTAATTTTTTTATAATTTTGATTTTTTTTTTGTTTATAGATCAATTTATTGAAAAAAAATAGTTCTGATGAATGTGAATCAGTTCCATCTGAGAATTTTGTTAATTTATTGGTATACGATTTTCTTTATTTTGAATTTTGTAAAAATATAAAACATATTGATGATGATTATGCAGGCTAAATGTGAACAATTGAATGAAGAATTAACTTCAACTAAGTCAGATTGTGCATCACTTGAAAAGCAAATTGAATTATTAAAAAAGAGTGAAGAAAGTACTCTGTTAAGTTTAGCAGAAAATAAAATGGCCATTCATAAAGAACTTGAAACCAAAGAAGATCAGATAAAAAAATTAGAAAAGGCAATAAATGGACTTCAAATGGAAAATAAAATATTACTAAAAGGTTGGTGTTCTAATAAATTTATTTTAAAATTAATAATATTTAAGTTAAATTTAAATTTTTTTTTTTTTATAACTTACTCAAAATGTGTATAATTTGTACTAATTTTATTTTTTAGAAAAGGCTGGACATTCATCTACAAATTCATATCAGGTATTGCAATTAAATACAATATTAAAATTACATATTATGTTATACATATGTTAAATTAATTTTAATCAAAAACCAAGAACTCATAATATCAATTATATTTTAATCTTATGTATGTGATATTTGTATGCTTATTAATGAATACTTTTCATACATTAAAATAGTAATCAAAGTTATATTGTCAAGTATTTATAGTTTTAAATTATGTATAAGCAATTAATTGGACATTTATCAAAAATTCATAGAAATATAAAATAATTACGATAACAGTTTATATTTGGCGGATTAACTTATGTTAATAAATTAATTTTTAAAAAAAGCCACTTATTTCATATTTTAGGTAGGCCATTGTAGTAAATGAGAAGTTTGGAAGGTATAGGGTGTTGAATAATAGTTTTTATATGTTGAGATTAACAATAATTCATTATAAAAATATTTTGAATGGAGTAGTATTAGTCGTGTTTTTCCCCTTGTAACTAAGGTAACATAGTAATTATCAACAAAAATAAAACCAATATATCTGCATTTGTTGTCAATTTTTTAATTTTCAAATAAAGTATCACCGGGGAAAAAGCCACATCTTTTAATGTACAATGCAAATAAAGCTAAATAAATGTTTTTTCTACATTCATTGATTTTTAAAATATCACTGGTACCAAAAATGTTTGTCCATAAAGATGTGCAATATTTACATTAATAAATTTGATTTTAGAATGTAACAACTATGATTATTCATATTTTAATTGGTTATTAGGTTAATATAAATCAGAATGTCCAAGAAAAATTAACCGAGCAACTTAATGAGCTAGAAGGAAAAATGTCTTCAGCATTTGAGTTTAAGGAAAATGAAGTGAAAGAATTGAAAAGCCAATTAAAAGTTTTAGAAAAACGTTTTGAATTACAGAAGCAAACAAATGTTTCAACAGGAGAGATCTTGATAGCTAAAGAAAAAGAAGTAAACAATCTTAAACTAGTTATTTCAAGATTAGAACAAAGTTTAAATGATGATAAAGTTTCAAATTCAAAGAAAATTGATACATTTTTAAAAGAAGTTGGAGAAAAATCACAAACAGTTAAACACTTAACAAATCAATTAAAAGAAATGGATAAACTTAGACAAGATTATGAAAAAAATGAAAATGAAGTAGTTAATTTAAAAAATCAAATTTATCAAACAAAAAAATTAATGAAGGACAGTGAATTGGCTCGTGTGGATGAACAAAATAGGTGTATTAAAGAATTAAAGCAGAAATCAGAAGAAATTTCTAATTTAAAAGAAGAATTAAAATTATTACGAATTTCCTTAAAAGAAAATGAAGAAAAAAACACTGATCTTCAAATTCATTTTGATGAAATTAATCTAAAAAATAATAGGCTTGTAGAATCTGTAGAAGAATTAAAATTAAAAATAATTGATTATAAAAAATCAAATGAAGAATTAGAAGATACTATTAAAGTAGTACAAAAAGAAAAACAAATGGTTACTGAAACTATGAAAACTAAAATGGAAGAAAATCAGTTTGAATATGATAAATTAAACAAATTATATAAGGAGATGTTAAGTAAATTAAATCAAGATAAATTAAATAAAATTTCTGAAGAACGTAGTATTGATTCTGTAATCAAAGATTATAACCTTCTTGCTGAAGAAAATGCGTATTTAAAAAAAGAACGACAAAAAATGCTTCAAACATTTCAAAATACAATAAAAATATTAAAAACTGATTTTGAATTTTTTAAAAAATTTGTAAAAGAGCAATTAGCTGAATGGTCATTTATATTTGTCAAACATATAAAACAATTTAAATCGGAATATTTATTGCAAATCAAACTGTATCATAATAATTTGATAGTTACAAAAAATAAGTTAGAATCAATTCAAAAGGCATATTTCATATTAAAATCTGATTGTGTTCATAATTTGGAGCATTTTAAAACTGAAATTATTGAAAATTATGACAAAAATATAATGATTAATTTATCTGAATATTATAAGGAGCTAGAAAAAAAGAACACTCATATATCTCAACTAAAGGAGGAAATTGATTGTAAGTACTTTTAATTTTTAACAATACAATAAACTGAAATTTCTATTATTTTATCATTTATGTTTAAGATGATATTATTATTTCCATCACAAATAAATTTTAATACAGAAAAGTTATTCTACAAGTCTAATCTATTATGTTTTATGCGAAAATGTTTATCTAAAACTCATTAGATCAAAAACAAAAAAATAGTACAATTATTTCTTTAGCTCTAAAAAAAATCAATTAGTTCAAAAATAATTATCATGTCTAAGAAAAGATAGACAGTAAATTGATCAATAGTGGGTATTGTTATCACTAAAACTTAATTAATAAGAATAATATCTAGACATATTGAGGATGTGAAAATAAATTACTGTGTAATGCTCAATGTATAACAAACTCAGACCGGGAAAATTTAGGATTATTATTTGTTATTTAAGGTCATATTTATACCTACCTATTGGTACAAAAATCGAAGCTAAGATAATTTAATGTATCAGGACATAAATTTATGAAATATAACAATTATAATATTACAATTTTTTTTTTCTGTGAAAAGCTTTTCTACTAACAATTTCACTCCAACTTTTAATGATAAAAATTTTTCTAAAAAGGAATTTCACGGGGAAGGTACTTTAGAGAGGTGGTTTTTTTTTATTTTCCTCAGAATTTTCTTAACAAATGTGAAAAACTAAGAATAAACATGAGAAAACCAGAAAAAACTTAGGAAAATCAGGGAAATCAGTACAGCGTTAAACAAATATTATTAAAGAAAATATATAGAGCCTATTTAATTATTTCACTATAATATAACATATATTGTTGACAAAGCATTACTATCAATTGAACTCGGCTCAGAATTGTTTTTTCATTAGCAATGGTTTATCGTTGCTTACAGATATACATTAAATTCCTATCTTTATCCTATTTTCCGAACTTTCCACCTACACCAGTGGCTGCACCCATCTCTATTATGTTACCTTTTTTTTAATGTTACATTAATAATATTTTTGATTTAGATAACAGAAAAAGTGAACAACGATTAGTGAAAGCAGAAGTGAGGGAAACTATTCAAGAACTACAAGATTGTATAGAAATACAAAAAAATACATTTACTGACCTTCAGAATGAATATATTAATTATCAAGTGGTAAGTATGAAAATCTATATTTAAAATTATTATGTAGTTTTAAATGATTTCTATTTCTTCTTTTGTATTCAATCCTGAGATTGGTTTGTAGCAATTATCCATTTTTCCCTATTGCTTGTTTTCCTCTTAGTCTCTTCGTAAGAATTATACCCTTGGTCCTTTATTATTTGTTGCATATATTCCATTTGTGGTTTTCCCCTAGCATTTTTACCTACTACACAGCCTTCTATAATTAATCCTAGCAACCCTCCATGTCTCAATACATGTCCTTTTCATTCATTTCTCCTTTTCTTGATACTATTCTATAGCATTTTTCTTTCAGACATTCTTTCTAGTACTTCCTCGTTTGTTACCATATCTGTCCAACTTATTTTGAGCATTCTTTTGTAATACCACTTCTCAAAAGCTTCTATTCTTCTCTGCTCCTTTTTGGCAATTCTCCACGCTTCACTGCCATACAGCATTATAGTCCATACTTTGTCTTCAGAAGATTTATCCTGGTGCATATACTTTTATTTCTTAAAGTAAAAAATAATCTTTTTTTTTATTAAATGATATCTTAGCTTGGCATATTCTTTTTATTATTTCTATTTTAATTCTGCTATCTTCGTTTTTCATTTTAATTTTCTTGTTCATTTCATTGAGCAGAGTTATTCCATAAATCTCAGTATCTTTTGCAAATCCTCTTCGTTTCCATTACTTCTTCATTATGTTCTATTTCTTGTTCAGTGAGTTCTGGCCTCTAATGTAGTTGTTCTAGATACTCCTTCCATATGCTCTCTCTATGTTTATCCTCATAAATAATTACTCCGTTGTTATCTTCTTGAACCCCTATTTGGCTTATAATCATTAAAGAACTTTTTAGCTGATTTATAAGCTGCATCTCTGCTACCAGTTCTCATCTGTACTTCCATATCTTTGCATTTTTCATTTAAGTATTTTTTCTTTGCTTCTTTTGACTTCCGTATCACAAGAATTCTTAGTTCCATGTACTTCCACTTATGTTCAAGCGTAGTCCCATTTTTATGCTTCCTTATTTCTTCTATCTTACTTACTGTTTTTAATGTTATTCATTCTTTCTTGGGTACTGTAGCTTTATTTCCTTTCAGAACCTTTGATGCTGTTTCTGTCACTGTGTTCTTTATAATAGCCCAACTATTATTTATGTCATTTAAATGATTTATAATTTTTAATTTCTTGTATACTATAAACATATTATTAAGATATTGCTGTCTAATTAAACTAACTTTTACTATTTATGAAATAATAGCAAGAAATTTTATTGAAAATGAGATACTAAATAATATATTAATCGAAAGCAAAAAAACGTGTTTTATGGTTATTTTCTAATTAAGATGTATTACATGTAACAAAATGTGTATTTTAAAAAGATCTTAGGATAAATTACTTGTTTTGCAATATTAATTTGTATAAATCTTGTATGTCAAATATTATAATTATATATGCATTTAAATTATAAATGTTTAAGTTAATATTTAAAATGTAATACTTAAAATAATTAATATTACCATGAATTATCTATCTAAATTTTCTTAGAATGAAAAGGAAAAATGGACAAATAAGTTAATACAAACTGAAAATAAGTGGTTAGAGAAAATGGATAACTACAAAAAAGTGATGGATACAGAGCATAGAGAAGAAGTAGAAGCTTTAACTAATGAATGGTCTAATGAACGAAAAGTAAGTATAATCATTTAAGTGTTTTATTCTCTATATTTTCTCCTATTTTTTTTCACATGTATATTTATTTTGATTTTCTTTTTCGTTTTATTTATTTACAGCAAAATACAATTTTAGAGACTGCTGAATGTAAAAATGAAGAGGTTATTTTTTTTTTTTTTTTTAAATTTAATTTGTTGACATATTATATAAATAATGTATTATAATTATTAAGAAAAAAAAAATGTTTATTTATTATACAACTTTTTAATGTTATTTTATATTATTAGGCACTTGAAAAAATAATTCAAGATGTTGAAACTACTTCACAACGAGAAGAAGCTTTGCAACGTCAAATAATTAAACTTACTAAAGAACTTGGTGAATTAAAAAAAATGTATAGGTATGTAATTGACCATAAACGAGGTATGTTATAAAAGAAACCAAAACATTTTTTTACCTGAATATTATTAAGATTATTCAAATTGGTAAAGTTTGATCAAAGCATACTTATTTTCCATCTATATAGCCGTTTGCCTCATAGTATTTGATAAAAGTGGGCCTGTTGGTTTATCTTTGTGCTGAATAATTTATTTAAGCCACATATTATCGTACAATTTTTTGAGAACATTTTAACAACGTAAATGTAACTGTGATATACAAAACGATTCAACAGGATTTAACTGCTTGTGGTACATTCTGTATTTAAAACCTTTTAGAATTGGTCAGAATTAAAATGATGAGAAGTGTTCTGGAACCTTGATAGGCCTACTCCATGCTATGAAACTAACTAATTTCATCTAATTGAGTTAACTAAAAACTAATTTTTGTTGACAATTGATAATAATATTACGAAATCTTAACCAGAAAAAATTAGGAGAAAATTGACTTTTGGTAATTTAACTCAGAATTATTCCACTAGTACCATTCTACTCATGCATTGCTGTTATTTCCACATTTTCTTCTAAAAATGCATTAAGTGTTTTTACTTAGCCATACTATTCACCTCTTTAAATTTTTTTTATCCTCATTGTTAAATTATTAAAAATGTTTTACAGCAACCCTAAAAATAATTCCAGAAGTGTATTCCAAATCTATATTCAGCAGTGTTTAAGACGTTGATTTAAGTTTAAACTGGGAAAGAAAAATATAGCTAAGGATTAAATGTACAAGTCTAATATACTGTATTTTATTAAGTAGTTTTAGATTTTAGTGTAACGTTAAAATAATATGTGTTTTTTTTGAAAATGTTCTGATTTTTTCATGGTGTACCTTGTAAAGTGCAGAGTTTCTATCTAATAATATTTGGGACATTTTTCTAGATTTTCAACAATTTTTTCTAAGAAATTAATTTTTAATTTTTGTTGGTTTTTGGGCTATAAGATAAAAACAAAGCTAATAATATGACTGGTATACCTTACTAGTTTACTGAGCTTTACTCAGAATTATTTTTCAATTGCAATGGTTTATTATTGCTTTCAGTTTATAAACTATATTACTGTACATCTTATATTTTCCACCTACATACACCATACAGATTTTTAAGTTAAGTTTTTTTTTTCATTCTGTGTAATGTTTATTATTAATAAAATAAAAACAAAATTATTATTATATTTATATGTAGGGAATTTTATTTTATAGAAATGAAGTTCATAATAAACCTAGAAACAATGATATAGATGATGATAATAACAAAGGTGGATGTGAAATGGAATACTTAAGAAATATTTTATATGAATATATGATGGGAAAGCAACCTATGGTAAGTCATTAAATTGTATTGTTGAACAAAATTACTTAAAGTTCATTCTAAGATGAACTCCATAACCATTCAAGTTCTTATTTTCTGTTTAATTGAATAATTTAGAAAATATTTTTGTTTTCATCACAAAATATTTTTTGTTGATATAAGAAAACAAATAACAAATTGAAACTAAATTTTCTAATTTTTAAATTAATTAATAAAATTAGCGTGTGAATTTTAAAATAAATAAATGGAACAGTTTATCAAATTTAGTTTTCTTATTCGTCTCTGTCATAAAATTAATAATTATTTTTGTACAACATAAGCTCTAACAATAATATGTTTATAATTTTCAATTTTATGTTTTTGTTGTAATTCAGTGAAAAATATTTGTAGATTTGAAATTTTGACAGAAACCTTATATTAGCCTTTTAGAGAAATGGTAAAACAGGAGGTTCATTATAAGTTATACTCAGTTGCCAATAAGAAAAAAGTTGAGTTTAATGTTATATATTTTTTTTTCATATAAGAATTTGAATATCAAATTTTAATAAAAATCATAAATATTATTGTCTTTTAAACATGTACAACCAAACTCTGCTCAAAATCGTTTTTCGTTAGCAAAGATTATTCTTGCGTACAGATTTACATTAGATTTCCTCTATATTCTACCTCCCCAACTTCTTACCTATAACAGTGGCCTACCTATCATGTAAGGTATGTCAGTCTTTTTAATATCTATTTGTACAAATCTAATTAAATACATTAGAAAAATCAAGTATTTTGTAGATATTTTGATAGGTGGTCAAAACAAACTGTATCTTATATTAAGGTACTTTTTTTGATTTATCTTATCCATCTTCAATGATAACATAAAATAGTACTTTCAACATATATTTTTTGAACATTTAAAAACTGATTTTTTTTAACACTTACTTCTGTCATGTTATGCAGGTTTTGGCAAAAGTGTTAGCTGCCATAGTAAAGTTTGATTCCAATCAGTTGAACAGTATACTCCAAAAAGAAGAACAGAAAGTTTCTTTAGTAAGTATATTTAAATAATATTTTTAACAAAAAACTGATTAAATATTTTGTATTCAAGTTAAAAACCCTAGGCCTGTGATATTAATTATCCAGAAGATGTATGAAAGTACACACATTATATTGTCATCTCAACTATTACACTTCACATCTTCACTATACTATCATCATTCCTTACATTTTTTTTTTTTCATAAGCAATTTTTATTTTAGTGCAATTATTTTATGGATACATTATTTTGATTTTATATAATGTGTCCTGTTTTGTTACCAAATTAGGTAATTTTATGTTAATACTATCATGGTATTTGTTATAATATATAAGCTAATCTAAATAATGCATTATTTATTTTGTTATTTATGTTATTTATTTTTGATTAAATAAATTATACATCATTTAAAATGTAAAATATTGATGCTATCAATTTGTGTATGACTTAGTCATATTATACCCATTTATTTTCAATTTAAAAATATTATAAAATTAGGAAGTTAAAATTTTGACGTTTGTTGATACACTAAATACTAATTTATTCTCCTATTCTTAGTTATTATTCAGTTAAACTTTCTAAGTTTTTAAATGCTGTAAGGTATATTAATTTATGATGTCCAAGATACATAACCAATCTTAATTTAATTGTATTAATTTGGTTTTCATGAGTAATATAGCTAAAGCAATTTTGAACAAAATGAGTACACATAATAGTTAAAAACAATATGAGGATAAGACCCTATAGTGGTGAAGAAAGTGGGACTACATGTAGAATTTAATTTTTTTTATATAAACTAGTCCGGGCTAGTAATAGTACAAAATATATAATAAAAATACTATAAATAATTATGTACAATAAATTATTATAGTACAATTTATGTTTGCTGGTCGCTAAAATAATCTTTAAAACTGAAAACCTGATTTGATTTTAATTACATGTACTTCTAATTTAAAACTATGGATTTTTATTTCTTTAAATCCATTTATATTACTATCTAATAGAAGTTTAGTATACATAAATAACTGGGCACCCCACCTAGTTAACAATAAAATTACATTTATTATTTAAGTAAATTGTATGTTTTAATTTATTATAATAATTGTTTTATTTTAGTTATGATTGTGAGGCGATACGGTAATTAACGAATTCTGAAAATTTGTATTATTTCTCAAATATTAACATATTAATATTATGTAATATAGTAGTACATTTTACAGTTACTCGAAAAATAAGATAACAACACTTAAAACTTTTACTACTTTAAAAAGTAAATATGTATAAGATTTTTTTAAAATTTAATTTATTTAACTTTTGAAATCTTATTTATACCTGAGGAATTGCTGTACTATACTCTTTTCCAAATAAGAATGCACCGGATGACAGACGAAAACCAATCAAAACTCATGCACGCCCCATTATAATTAATATTTTTATAGTAGGGGTGTTTGTTTCCACCTCTGATAATATGCGATGTGGTGCGTTATTATTTTAAAAAGAGTATAATAACTAAAAGTACTATTTATTATATATTATACATTTGTATATGAGCACTGTTGGCTACTCATAATGTATTGGAAAGGTTATTTTTTATTTTCCTCGTAGCTTTTGATAACTGCTTTAGAATATCTACTTATTAAAATCGACTAATTCAGTTTTTGCTCGATGGATATCCTATGATATTTGTATATATGCAATATTGAAGTATTTAACTTCATACTGTTACATTTATTAATCATAAATTAATTGGTAAATTAGTTTAATATAGATACATATTAATTTTCAGGAGTAAAATTTAAAATTAAATATTATAATATTGTTTTTATTAGTTTCCTAAAATTATCAATAAAAAATTTATCAATTTCTCATATTTTTTTTTTTTTTTTTTTTGTATATATTGATGCAGTGGTGTGATAATATATCAAACTCTAAGTAGAATGAAGTATTTAAAGAATAACTAGTATGCAAAAATAACTTTATTCTAATTGAAAAAATGTAAGAATTAAATAAATAATCTGCAAATGTATAGTATAGGACAATTCATGGTAATAAGTATTATAACAAAAAAATTACAAACATATAAGTCAAATAATTTTGTATTAAATACTAATAAAGTATTTTGTTTACAGTTCAATAAGCATATTAATAATGAAATTATTAAACTATTAATGACATTTTAGATTAAACTATTATGGACATAAGATAAACATAACTAAAAAGTTCAAAACCTATAAGTAATCTGAAAGAAAAACTATTGTATCTAATTATGTTAAAGTTTCATTTTTATTATCTTTACATTCTTTTAATCTGTGTTCAAGATATTTTATTTTATGATGTAGAGATTCTGTAAATATTGAAAATAATGGAATTTCATTTCCTTCTTCAGAAATTATCTTTCTACCATCAGGTATAATATTTCTTAAAGCTAAATTTCTCTGAATTAGTTTTTTATTATATTCTATACCACCATGAATATATTCTTCACCAATATCACATATGGTTTTCTCAACTTCACTTTGATAAAAATATTCAATAGCAGTACGAATAAATAGCCACAAAATGACTCCAACATTACATAGGAGAAAAAATGCTAATGCTCTAATTTTTACTGGATTGGGCGGTATTGCGCTGAGGATAGTACTTCCTAAAGCATACATTGGTATTAAAGTACCAGGACATGATAGAGATTTAATAAATAATCGATAATTATCTGCGAGAATCATTTCTCGAGCAATACTATATTTTTTGGCAGGTTCGCTGAGTATTAATGATTCCATAAACTTTTGACCAAATTCAGTGTTATCATTCATAAGTTGTATATACGTCTAGAAATAATAATATAAAGATTATATTAATTTTATTTAAAATAATTAACGTTACAAAATGTGTACTATACTTGTAGTTCTGAATTATCCACATTTAAAACTGAAATATCATTAATTGTATTCAACTCATAGGTATTGGGAATTCCTATATAACTACCAGAGCGTGTATTTAGACAACCAATACTTGTCGGTTTAAGGCTTTCAACTATAAATGGTGTTGAAAATGCTTTTTGGAATTCTGTGTACTTTAAATCTTGCACGACAGAATCATATCGTTTTCGCAGTGATTCACTTAATGGAACTGGATGGCCATTTCTGTAAAATAATTTATTTTAAGATTTGTTAGGCTAAAGTATAGCACATATTTAAGTTATTTTCTGTGCTATAAAATCCTAGCCCTGATAATTACACTCGGTGCAGAGCGACAACATTGAACATTGATGGGAAAGAATTTATGGTAATAATCAGCACAGTGTTAGTAAGTCGTAATATTTATAAAAATATCGAGCTTTTTAAATAATGAAAATACTAATACTTATATTTAAAAAAAAAAAACATACTTGTATTCTTCTTTAAAATATTTTACATAGACATTGGTAAGTAACACGTTTGTCGTATATTCCGCAACACCCACACCTAGGGTTAGGGTACACAAGCTATTAACTATGAAATCCGACGTTATTTTCAAATTTAATATTTTCATAATTAACGATTCGAAGAATACAAAAAGACAAAAATGAAGATTTGGTATCGATGACTAACTAAGAAATTAGAATTCCTAGATATAAAAATATTATTTCAGTTAATTTTTTTTAGATTATTATTTATCAGAGTGATTTATTATTATCACCATATGTTTGTAAAAGCACGAGCGTCTCGAGAGCAAACTTGTACCACCAACCAGAAGCGTTTACATTTGTTATCAATATTTGTGAAAAACACATTTCTTATCAGTATTTATACAAATATCATTAATAAATAATCATTTTCTGTAAAAACGCAAAAAAAGACTGACATACTTTTCACCACGAGTGGGTCACTGTTGAAGGTGAGAAGTAGGGAAAGTAGGATATAGAGGGGAAATTAATTTGTCTGTAAGCAATGATAAACCATTGCTCATGGAAAACGATTTGGAGCAAAATTCGATTATACATATTTTGAAAGTCCGTAATGTTATAATACTGCTCTACCAATTGTATCCACAGAATTCCTACCAAATAAAAATTATGTAAAAAACTCACAAAATTAAAATGTCTATAAATAGCTTTAAGATGGCTCAAATATTTTGAAAATTTTACCTCGCAAAATTTAACAATATACGTTTTCGTGACAACAACGATTGTTTAAAAAAGATTAAAAAAATAAATAATAAATAAAAGCGGTTGCCAATGACATTCTTATTTTGAATTTGTCCGTTTTTCCGGCATTTTCCAACGTTTTTCTTTTAAATGGGGAAACTGCTAGGAAAAATATAAAATGACCTCCCTATAATGTTGGTATTCCACAAGAAAATATCCTTTCAGTTGAGGGCTTACATCATAATATACATTGGAGTAAGCTTTCTGGTAAAAAGTGTTCACGTGAAAAAAAAAAAATAAATATTATTGAAAAATCAATACATTTCCTCACTCAGCTCCGAATCTAAAATCATTAAATTATTAATTTATTTTGCTTCATTGATTACAAAGATTTTTAAATTTATTAGAATATTATAACATGTAATATTATAGGTACTTACATAATTGTTTATTGTTTAGTATTAAAAATTCCCAGGAGAAATACTAAAATGATTTTGCTTTCAAAGGTTAAAAACAACGGTACAATATATTGTTACAAATTATCTGTCAAAATAAATAGTTGAAACTGGGAGATTATTAAGATTGTATAAAAATACACTGCTAATATTTTGCTGATTGTTTCTATGCTCAGTGCCAAATTATGTGGTGACTTTATTTTTTGGAATATATTTAATAATTTATAACATTTAATTATGGATATAACAAATAAATCTTAAGCGTACGCAGTGTAACAAGTACTTTAGTTACAAAAGGACTTTAAAATGACACTCAATAACATGTTAAATATATAAATCATATAAATATATATATATACATATAAATCTTCAATACAAAAAGAACAAAAAATATTTGCAAATATCCATGGTACAGTCAATCGATGTGACTTGAAACTACAGGGTAACATGAAATAATTTGGTTTATTTTTAAACATATCAAAGTATCTATGAGGGTAATTGATATAATTTGATTCTACCGCCATTAAAAATGAATTTATCATTTTTGTGATAATAAATGTTATCTTCAACCACGGTCTTAGAAGATCTCCTAAGACTATGTGATTGGTCTTATCATTACCGCCAAAAATAATGACCAAACGTCTCTCATGATAACACCAATTTTGTCAATGCTTTCAAAAGTGATTCAGATCTACACGATTGAAGTCGATTTTAAAGGTCTGCATATTTATATTCATTAAATGATACTTCAAAAGAAAAATATTGTAATTAGAAGTTAAAACATATTTTTTTCCAATTTTATAACTAAGTTTTATTTTACAGTACAAATTTGAGGGTGACTTGTAACAAAGATTTTATAATGATACTGTATAATATATATTTAATGATAATGATGATGATATTATAGATCAGTCTAAACATAATAATAAAAATAAGAATTAAAAATATTATAGCCCAACTTACTGTAAAATTGAAAATAAAATAAGTACAAAATGTGATATGTTTATAAATATATGAAAATTAAGTTTGTTGTTACAAGAGGTAAAGTCAACTCTTTTTTAATTTTTTTATTGTTCATTTCAATGTGTGGTTATTTTTGAAATAGATATTTCGTTACAAGTCAACTGTAATGTGCCTGATTTAAAATTTAAGTTTAATTTTCACAGCTGTTACAAGTCATCTTAATTTTTGTGTGACTTGTAACACGAATGTTTTTTTTTTAAGTCAGTTTTAGTCAATAAACTTAATACAATATATGTAATTTTTGTAGCCCAGTTTATTTTTAAGCTCAGAATACCAAGAAGTATGTCAAAATCGTTTCAAGTCACCTTGATTGACGGTAAACATTTTGTTTTTCTATAGGTAAGTCACACTTATAGTGATATTGTGTTTTACTTTTAGATTTCTAAGAATAGAAATAGAAACTAGAAGACAGTTTATGTTTTTATGCGTTAAATACTCGTTTAGATGAGTACTTTTCAAGTAATACTCAATGTCCCAATGCTCTTCTCACATAGTTTATATAAACAGCACATATATATTATATTTTACTAATAATATTTCTGATAAGAAATATGTTTTCACCATGGTCTTAAATTGTACCTAACAAAAGTGAACGCTATTAATTGGTGGCGCAAGTTTGCTCCCGAGGCGCTCGTATAAAAGTGAATAACAGATACTATAGACAAGTATACTAAGACAGATACCAAAATGTATTTATCTATGCGTTCGGCTCGCTCGTGTTTTTTGTGTCGATATCAAACTTTAAATACGTATTTTTATTTTTCGTCTGTTCGCGTTGTTGTTATGTAACGAGAATGTAATTATTAATTTTACAAAATAGCGGTTTTATTTTATCGATGAGATCATCCACCTTGGTTTGGTTACCGGCTTGCCGGCCGGCACTCCCACCACATACCACAACTCCACCCATGATCATATCGTACCAATAGTTGTTTATCATTTTTGTTTTTTTTTTATTGTTTTTCTCCACTTCACCCAGTCTGTTGTAGTAGTGTGGTTTTAGTAGAGTGGTTATTTAACCGCCCATACTCGGCATCCGTTTGGTCTTCCGTTTGTTGCATCTATTATATTTTCGTCCGGTCCGATTACGATCTCCTCGTGACGAGAAATAACCGTCACGTTATCCCGGAAAGCAACATCAGTCCGTTTAAATAGGTCCGTACGGGTCCAGCGTCCCAGTCTGATTTTAAGCTGTGTGTGGCGGATAATGTTTGTAAACCGTAAACAGCGGCCGTCCGTATCGTAATGTGGATGTTTCGAGAAGTGATTGATGCCTTTTGGACGCCGGACATTTGGTTGCCGCCGAACACCAAATGGTCGGATCTGGAACCAAACGAACGGGTGCAGTACACTGACCACAGGCACTTGTTCTATCCACTCCCAATGGCAATTGTTGTGTTGCTTATACGATATCTGCTAGAAAAGTAATCACTACTAAAAGCATATACTTATCTAACGCACAAAAATCAACACACACAATATGTTAATTTTAATTAATGATTTCAGATATTGTTTTTCGCCTTTTGGCGTTTCTTTAGGTATTAAGAACACTAAACCCAAACGGGCTCCGGATAATGTGATTTTGGAGGAGACGTTTGCCAAAAATAATAAATGGAATCACAAAGAAGTTGTGGGCCTTGCTAAGAGGCTGGATTGGACTGAACGACAAGTAGAGCGATGGTTGAGACTGAGGCGTGCTCAAGGAAAACCATCAACGCTTGTAAAATTTTGCGAGAGCAGGTGAGATTTGAATTTATAATAAGTATTTAGGTAACTACATTCATTAATTATAAAAATTGTTTAGATTCGCAGTAGGTACAATCTAAAGTGAGTCTCTGTTCAGATATGAGAGTTAGGAAAATTCTATTTTTCACAATTATTACAAAAGTTTATTAAGTATTATTAAGTTAAAAATCTTTCCTTTTTTAATTAAATATCCATAAATAAATATTGTCAGTTTATAGAGTTATAAAAGTTAAACATTTTGTGATAGTAACAGTTTTCAAATAGACAAATTGTATTAAAATTAGTGTTCTTTATCCATTTTTACAAAGTACCTACATAATATAGATATGTAATTGGAAAAGTGATTTGGTTTATGTTATAATATTACGAGTATAGCCAAGATATACTTTTATGACCATTTTTATGGATATCAATAAATTTTAGATAAGATTATTTACACCATTTTTTAGAATTGTTCAAGACTTAAGCTACACATTCCCATAATTTATTCTTATTTTCATTATTGGCATTAAGTTATAATGATTTACTAATATTAGTGTACCTGCAGGAAGTTATAAGTTAATTAGTATTAGCATTGTATATGTATAGATAGATTTTTTTTTTATTAAATATGGACATATTGGTGCCTATAGATAGGTAAATATATTTACAGACTACAATAGTTATTTTGCTTAATATTTAATTTATTACAGAACTAATGGTGCAAACATTTATTGATATTTTAATGTGTTGTCAATTTTTATGATTTTAAGATTTTTGTGTTACCATGGAAACGTAAATATATTCAATAATAACTCATATATTTTCTTTAATTTCTAATATCTAGACATTGTTATTATTTATGCATATTGCATATTTTATATACATCATATATATTAAAATAAAGAAAAAACTTCCAGTAGGTATGATATTTTTTAATTTAATTGCTATTGCTTATTAAGTTTGTTTGGTACTTATTGTTAACTAATTGTATTTTATTATTATTTTAATTCAATACCTATTATCTAAATAATATTCATTGTACAAGGGACTTAAACCTGTTACTGAATTAACTGGGTATATTAGATAATTTACATATAAACAAAACTGAATATGGAACCATAATTTATGATTAAAAGAACAAAAACAATTAAATAAAACTACCACAATTATTATTGGTTTCCAAACCAAAAAAACAATTATTTTTTACAAATTGATGATAAATTTAATTATTTATACCATACCCATACATTTGTATGGGCTTTAAGTATATTTTGATATATGAGTATGTGGATTTCACTGTTTCTTGTTAAAGTGATTTAATGAGTAAATGGTGTTATCATCAATGGTATTATAAAATATTTGGTATATATTTTTAGCTTAAGTAACTTAAAATGCAAATTTTTCATTAATTATTACTTTTTAATTTAATTTTTATAAGAACAAATTTATAATATTTAACTAGTTATATTTATAAAACAGTTATATTATGTATAATAGTTGTTTACTTAGCTTAAATGTTTAATATTTATATAAGATTTATATTTTTAGTTGTAAATATATATTGTTTGGTCAGTTTGTAGAACTTGTTAAACATGTTAATGAAAAGGTGAAGCCATTTAATATTTTTCATAGCATGACAAACAAACACAAATTAAGCATAGAAATAGGTTATATAATACTAATGACACATATTGTTTCATATTTAAATGTAGGTTATACGTATAATGACATACCAAGAGGCTTACCTATTACCTAAGTACTATTAACATAAGTTATTTTAATATACTGAATTTAAAGGATTAAAATGGATAAAGAATTCACAAAATATCTAAAATTAAGAAATAAATGAATGAGAAAATACATTTTTAATTTCAAAAACTTATTTCTAGTTTGTCTTGTATAGCCTTGACTCAAAAGTAATTTTTTCATCTTGTTTTGCTACTTTCTAAAATGTTTAATATCACCATACACCACAATATTTCTTTGCTTATTCATTTTGAACTATACTAAGTTAATATTATTATAAATAAACTATTAAATAATAATAATAAAAAAAAATATATAATATTTTGCATTTAAAAGAAGATATTATTTATTTACACAGCAATAAAATTAAATATTTTAAAACAAATGATAATTTAATTTTTTATTTCATATGCTATCAGCATTAATATAGAAAAAAACATTAAAAAGGATATGATAAAAATAAAACCAATAATCAAAAAAATTTAATTTTTCAAAATTGATTAAAATAAAATGTTTATTTAATGTTTACAAAAATTGTTTATGATTTGAATTGTATTTAGATAGCTACGATTAACATCTTAGTAAATGCATAATCTTTAACATCAGTTATTTAACAAATTTATGTGGGGCATTGCGTAAGTTTCTCAAGTTCTTGACATTTGTTTGCTCTTTTTATTCTTTTAGATTATGACGGTAGTGAGGAATGTATTGATTTTACTGTATATTTTATTTTGTTTTTTTTCTTGTCTGTAAACAACTTTTCTACCAGAAAAGATATCTGGTTGCTTCAATCAAAAAATAATAAGAGACCTTGAAGTTGCATTTTGGATCTAGGTAACGATTAAAATATTGTACTTAATTTTCCATCCAGTTTTTATTATAATTAGAAAATACTGACAAAAAAATTCTGTTATTCTACATTTTCAAGTTTTTCTTTGGTAGTTATGTGGATACAATTTTCTGTTTGACAGACATCTAAACAGAAATGCTTGAATATTTAACATGGGGTTTATTATAATTTCTACTTAGTGGTGAAAATAAAGTTGAGCATAATTTTTTTTTTAATGTATAAGCGGGTAAAATTAGTCAAGTTACCAATGGTTTGTCGTTGCTTATAGATATAAATTAAGTAACTTTATGTATCCTAACTTCCCATCTACAACATATGCACATCATCAGTATCAGTACTTTTTAAATTTAATAATCATTTAAATGGAACTAAGTAAAATTCTACAATCATTATTAATTTTAATATTTTAATTAAGAATAATATGGCACAGACATTGTAAAGTTCACAAGCCTTACTAATCTGTTAAAAAGGTTATTGAAGTTCAAAAAGTATTAATCTATTAAAAAAAATAAATCTTCATTGTATAAAGAAAAATTGAGAGAAGAATATAATAGGTAAATTCTAGTATTTTTTACTGTCCAATTAATACCGTTTAGAACAATAATAAATAATAATCAAAATCACAATAATAATTACTAGCGCCCTTTAAGTTAAGATGAAAGAGCTATTATTTTATCAGGTCAAGATTTCCTATTCATTTTTTTTTAATAATCACCATAATAGAGATAAAGAAAATAAGTAAATTTAATTATGTATTCTTTTCTTTATACAAGCCACTCTTATTTTTATCTTTCCCCACTCCATCTAATTATGTAATTTGTATTCAATTAAAAGTCGACTACAAATGATTATTTAGGCTTTTAAGTTATTTTCAATTATATTATCTAGTTGAACTTAAAATATCTTGATATAGATTAACTGGGTTATTCTCTGTTTTGTTTTCTTTGGTATTCTTAGGTTGATTTTACAGTCTCCCAAGATTGAGTTATATTATTAAATTGAAAAATATAAACATACTTTGCACCATGGGTTGGCCAATTTTATTGGTGAGTAGTTGGAAAGTTAGGAAAAAGAGGGAAATTAAATTTATATCTGTAAGCAATGATAAACAATTCAGTGTCAGTGCAAAAATCCTTGATATTTTGAAAGGCTGTATTATTTACTATTTTTGTCAAAATTGGATATTAAAATTTGCGTAGGAAAAAATACTACATAAATTCAATTTTTTTTTTCTGACCACCAATGTACTACTAATGTTGTATTTTCAAGCATTTCTGTTTAGCATCCACAGATTACCTATCAATTAAATTATGTAAAAACCTCAGAATTAAAATGTCTATAAATAGCTCAAAAATGAATTAAATGTTTGAAAATTTATCCACATCTATAAAAGGCAAATATAACTTCTATCCAAGTTCAAAGATTCTGCAAGTATATTTTAAACTGAATTACTTTAGTACAATAAAATTAAAAATAATAAAAGTTTTTTTTTTGTACATTTTCCCATTCTTTGTAATTTTGTTTTTTGGTTTTGCACAATTGTTAAAAAAACTTCAATCAAGAAATAACTTTTTTAATCACCAACTATATTTAAAATGCAACAAAAATAATTTCTTTTTGTTTTTCTATAGGGTTGATATTTCTGGTAGAAAACATGAACACAAATTTAAATTAAATAAATTGTGAAATAAATAAATAAATTTATCAGTTCATTTTAGATTCTGAGTGTACCGAAGAATGTATTGGTTTTACAAAGAAGTTTATTTTTTTTTATGTGAACACTTTAGTATCAGAAAGCCCACTTCAATGTTTATGATGAAGACTATTTTCTGAAAGGATATTTTCTTCGGATGGTACTTTGGAGAGGTTTTTTTTTGATTTTCTTAGAAGTTTTCTCATCAAATGTGAAAAACATAGGAATATCTGAAAAAACTTAGGAAAAACTGGAAAATTCGTACAATATTAAAGAAAATATATAATGCCTATTTAATTATTTTACCGTATATATTGTTCATAATGTATCACTATGAACTGAACTCCGCTCAGAATCGTATTTTCATTAGCAACGGTTTATTGTTTTTAACAGATAATTTAAACAGATTAAATTTCCTTCTGTATCCTACCTTCCCAACTTCCTTCCCACAATAGTGTCTGCACCCGTTCTCATTATCCTAGAAACCTTTTTTTTTTTTCATCTTTGGATATTCTCAATTATTATAGCTATTTGGAAAATTATAAAACAGCGTTCTACTTGAGCTATTAAATTTAAAATTGAACAGAAAAGGTCTTTAGTCATTTTTTGAGGGAAGTAAGATATCTAGTAGAAAACTATTTTCAAAAATATAAAATCATAAGATTATTATGTAATGAATCTTTGTCTGTTTTTCCTATTATTATGAAAACCTTTTGAAAAATCAAAAAATGACCTTTCTAAAGGACCAACTTTTAAATATTTTACTAATGACTGCGTGCGAAAGTTGTTTTTTGATTTCTAAAGTAGTTTTCAAAATAATTGAGAAAGCAAAAAAGATAAAAAATATGATTATTTCAATTTATGGCGCAATAAATTTATTGTTTAAAATGTTTAAGATTATATTTTTCTGCAAGAAAATATTGTCTCGTTAGTGAGTATGAAAGTTGTTTGATTTTCCATATTGTTCCCTAATAATTATGAAAAACCGGAGAAAAATATAGGAAATAAAGTTAAGTGTACAGCTCTGGGTTTTTTGTTATTATTCAGTTAAATATTATTGTGGAGACTTGTATTTTTTAGAAAATACTTATATTGGTCTTTTGTAGATGTGGTAAATTTTTTTAAACCTTTCTAAAAATTCTACCTATTTTTAGGTATTTGATATTTTAATGTTTTTTTATATATATATATATATATATTTATTTTGTAGGTATCTGTTATTAAAATTATTTGACTTAAGAGAAATGCTTGAAAATTTAACACAAGTTACATGGTACATTATAAGTTGTACTTAGTGGTTTAAAAAACAAATTCGAGTTTAATGCATTAGTTTTTTTTTCATAAGTGTTTTAAGATTTTAAAAATTACAGCATTTCAAAATATGTCTTACCGAACTTTGCTCCAAATTTTTTTTTATCAGTATTGGTTTATTGTTGCATACAGATATAAATTAAATAACTTAATGTATCCTATCTTTCCAACTTCCTATCTACAACAGTGGCTGCATCTGCCTGGAGTATCAGCTCTTTTTTTTACTTTTGGGTACAGAATTAAATGTTAACCATTATAATATGTGCTAATATTAAAAGTGCTCAATTATATTATTAGGTGCATGCTGATTAATTTTTCTTCACATCTCTTCTACTCATATAGGACAATATACAATTTTATAATATACGGTTGTACTTTTATTATTTTATAATATGTTTATTATGGTTTTTTTAAAACTATTAATTTATGGGTTTCAGCTGGCGATGTTTCTATTATACATTTTCATTCCATTATGGGTTTGTATTTTTATGGAGTAAACCATGGTTGTGGAATATAGATTATTGTTGGATTGGATACCCACATCAGGTAAATAAATAGAAATGCATTGTTTCAAACTGTTAATGTAGATTTAATTTCTTATTATTGTTTGAATTTTAAATAAAATAATGTTATATAATTGGTTTTAGAACTGTTTCTATAGAAAATTTGTATACTTATTAACTTAGTATTTTTAGGGTACAACAAGAGATACATGGTGGTATTATATGATGTCATTATCATTCTACTGGGCATTAGCTGTTTCTCAATTTTTTGATGTAAAACGAAAAGATTTTTGGCAAATGTTTGTACATCACATATGCACTATATGTCTACTATCGTTTTCATGGATATGTAATTTCCATAGAATTGGGACTCTTGTGCTTTTAACTCATGATTGTGGTGATATTTTCCTAGAGGTAATACATCATTTTAATTTTTATATTAAGTATAAGTATTGTGTTTTATTAAATTTTAATAAATGTATAATAAAATAGAATACTAACAATAAGGATATATTGATTAGATGAATTAATAATCGTCTTAAAAACTAAGGAGTATAGGTCAAACAATAAAGATAAGTCTTTAGTACAATTAAATAAACATTTAAAATATTTGTTTAATAAATTAAATTAGAGGTCATTTTTTTTTCAAATGCAATTTTGATTTGTTTGCTTTCAAATATTTTTCTCTTTTATATAAATATTATTTATATTATTGTTATTTAGATACTATCTATCAAATGTCAAATTTTGAAGGTTATTTTTTTGTCTAATTTATTAAACTAGACAACATTATTGTAGATTAAAATATACCATTGTTACAATCCAAAACAATGATTAGGTAAATTATAATGAACATAATTTTTACATTCATCATTCATACAACTTTTTGATTTTCATATGCAATTGGACTGAGTTTAATAATTTGCATATTTATTTTAAATATTTTTGTTTTTTTAATTTGTGTAAGTCAAGGACTAAAGTTTTGAATATTGTGCAATAAAATATTAGATATGGTTTAATGATAATACAAATAATAAGTTTGCTTTTGATAAAGTATTGTTATTTAATATTAGTACTTTTATTTATTCAAAAAACAGTGATAAATAATATATTACAATAAAATAAAATAATTTGTTGCACAGATTATTTATCGAAAAAATATTCTAGATTTTGTTACAAAATCCGTTGTTTCTAAACTACACTAATTGTTTTTTCGTTAGCAATGGTTTATCGTTGCTTTCAGATATACATTAAATTCTCGTCTATATTCTACCTTCCCAACTTTTCACCTACATCAGTGGTTGCACCCACATGTGAAGTATGTCCGTCCTTTTTTAAACTTAGTACTAAGCAATTTTATTTGAAAATAAGTTTATATGATTATCATAGATAACTATGCATTTATGGTATATACAAATTTAAAAAAAAAATCGTAAAATAAAGGTCCATTATTCTTGTTTATTTTTAACTCGCGATAGCTCGCACTGTTAGAAAAAATTAACATATTTTATTATTTATTTATTTACTTATTTTTTATAAATAACTATTATTGATTGAATGATAATTAATAACCCTTCTACCAATAGTTTATCTACACGATTATGAAACATATAATATTATTAATGAGATTAAATTGTATAAAACTTATTTTGGAATTTATATTTTAATGAAATTTTATAAAGTAATATATTATCAGAAAAAATTGAATTAATTGAATGTATAAATAATGGCATTTAATTAAAATGAAAAAAATAGTATAGGAACCTATATATATGTATATTAACACTTTACTGTCTCGTTAGGAATTCTAATTTATTTCATACATTTTTTATCGTATCTCGATATCTTAAATAAATATAATATATAATAAAAAAGAATTATGATGATATTTTTTTTTTTTTGTGAACAACTCTTCTTCCAGAAATTTGGATCCAGTTTACAATGATAGCATTTTTCTGAAAGAAAATCTGACTGGAGCGGTGCTTTGGGGAGGTCATTTTTTGATTATCCCAGCTGTTTTCATAATAAATGGAAAAAAAAAATGGGAAAATAGCTACAATATAAATAATTATTATTAACGAAAATATATAATGCTTATGTAATTATTTCACTATTATATAACATACATATATTGTTGACAAAGCAATACTATTAACTGAACTCTGCTCAGAATTGTTTTTCATAAGCAATGGTTAATCTTTGCATACAGATATATATTAAATTTCCCCTCTATCTTCTCAACAGTTGCTCACTCACTTGAAAAGTATGTTTGTCTTTTTATTATCTTGTTTTATACAGGTAATATAACTAGGTAACAAGTTTGTATTTATGCAGATTTCTAATTGATTTTAGAAAGTTTAAACTTTCATCACATATTATAATAGTAGAAACTAACCCATTAATAATAATTGTATTGCATAGCTTTTTTTTAGTATTCATTAATACTAAAGTTATAATTTAAAATTTATTATTAATGAAAATTGAATATTCAGCATTATATTTATTTAATGCAATACAATGAAGTTTAAGTATTTCTTGATTTTTGTAACATTTTTTCAGAAAGAAAATGTTGTCCTATTGGTGTATAAGAAGGTCCTGTTTTTAATTTCCCTTGTAGTTTTCTTAATGGCTTGAGAAAAATATAGGAAAACAGAAAAGTTTATAAATAGTAAATTTATATTTGGTTTTGTGTGGATAAAATTATTTTAATCAAGCAGAAATGTTTGAAAATATGACTCTAGTTTCATCATAAGTTGTACTTGATGGGCAACAAAAAAAAAATTGAGCGTAACATAGTATTTATTTTTTTTCATGTATGCGTTTAAAGTTCACGTTAACTATGGTATTTGGCATCAGTATGTTATAGTATACTCTCTCAAAATATTTAATGGAAACACCACTGATTAAATAATATAAGAAAATATACGATTGAAAATTGGTATAGTTACTATTCTCCTATTATTTATAATATTAAGTATTCTAAATTAGTTATACCAAAATAATGTAAATTAATTCTATTAAAATAATTTTATTAATTATTTAAAATTTTTAATATGTTTAGATTTAAGAATATATATATATAACCAATATGCTCCAGATCTAAAAAATAATAGTTTTAAATTTGGATGTACAACTTATGCCCAATAGGATTTTGAAACATGCTTTTTAAAATAGTTAATATTTTTTTATATATATGTATCACTAATTCACAGACATTAATCAAATTTGATAAACAAAAAATTGAAAAATTTAACTAAAGCATTAAACAAACTTTTGTTTGGATTTAGAATTCAACATTTTATATTTTCTTATATCCCCCTCCCGTTGTGATTTATCATTTTAATATCTTATATTAATAAATGTCTACTACCTGTTGGTTTAAAACACATTGTCTTTATAGTTAACTTTTTAATGATAAATTAGTCAAATATTACAAACTGTGAATCAACAGGTAATCATAAATAAATATGATTTTGATTATTTATTATTATGTGAGTAATAATTGAGTAATGTCAATATTTATAATTACATGATATATAAAAGGAACTTCATATAAATATATAAATAGTTCATAATTTAAAAAAATAAAATATGCCATAAATAATTATCTACATGTATTAAATAATAGTGAATATTTAACAAATTTAATATGAATTATAGAAATAAAATGTTTTTAATTCTGTACATACAGTTAATGTAAAATTCATGAAAAATGAGAAAATTAAATATTTATTTTATTTTATTATAGTGTGCAAAAATGGCCAAGTACGCCAAATATCAAAAATTATGTGACATTGTTTCAGTAATATTTATTATTGTCTGGCTTATAACTAGAATTGGTTTATTCCCTTTTTGGATTTTATACAGGTAATTTTTTAAACTTTATTTTTAATTATGAATCAAATTTTTTTTATTGTAATTTTTGTTTATATTTTATGTTTAGTACATCGGTTGATGCACCTCGAGTGGTAAATCAAATGTTTCCAGCTTATTACATATTTAATGGCCTACTGTTTCTTTTACTTGGCCTCCATCTTTATTGGACACATTTAATTTTGAGAATTGCATTTATATCATGGAATTCTGGAAAAGTATATATTTTTATATTTATCTTACCTTTACCTTTACCATTTTTTAGTAATTTTAGATTCTGATTGGAGCAAAGAAGCTTATGGTTTTACAAAGATGTTAAATTTTTTTTTTTGTCTGCGCAACTTTTCTACCAGAAGACTTGCTCAAATTTCTACGTGTAGCACCTTTTCTGAAAGGAACATAGTGTGGATAGGTATTTTAGGGAGGTATTTTTCGATTTTCTCAAAAAAATTTTCATCTTATGTGAAAATCTGAAGAAAAACTGGAAAAATTATGAAATTTAATAAATATAATATTTCGATTTTTTTTCTGTGGACAACTTTTCTACCAACAGTTTACCTCCAACTTTTAATGATAGCAATGTTTCTATAAGAACATTTTTCTAGGAGGGTACTTTAGAGATTTAATTTTTCGATTTTCTCAGTAGTTTTCTCATTAAATTTGAAAAATCGGAAAATATAATAAATCTATGTATTATTTAAAATATATTATAGCCTTTTTTTCTGTGCACAACTTTTCAGCCAGCAATTTCACTCCAACTTTTAATAATAGCATTATTTCTAAAAGTAAATTTCATTAGGAAGGTACTTTAGAGAGGACATTTTTCGATTTTCCCAATAGTTTTCCCAGCAAATGTGAAAAATCGGGATAAAATATGAGATAACCGGGAATAACGTGGGAAAATCAGTACAACATTAAACAAATTTTATTAAAGAAAATGTATAAATTCTCTTTAATTATTTTACTTTAAAATTACATGTATATTGTTGACAAAGCATTAATATCAACTGAACTCTGCTTAGAATCGTTTTTTGTAAGCAATGGTTTATCGTTACAGATATACATTAAAGTTTTGTCTATTTCCTACTTCCCCAACTTCCCATCTATACCAGTGGCTGCACCCATCCCCATTATCTTCTTTTTAATCCCTATTTGCTCCTAACATCTAATGACTTGATTTTATGATTATATGAACCTAATTATTCCTTATTCATCCTGTTATAATAATAATTATTTTTTTTTACAATTTTATATTTTTTGTTTTTTAGTTTTAATGTTATTTTTAAATTTTTCTTAAAATTAATTCTTATTCTTTTGAATTTAAATTATAATTACTTTTGTTAATTTTATCATTCTTAACAAATATAATATTTCAGATTGATGGTGACATTCGTAGTTCTTCTAGTGATGAGATTACCCTAGATGATGATTCAAATAGCAAAATAGATGACATTAATGAAGTGTTACCAAATGGCACAACTTAAATTGTACTACTTATATTTTATTTTCGTTTTATTGCGTTATGTTTTAATTAATTCCATAAGCACCTTAGGTATTTGTGTAAATATTTATATGTTCCAGATTACTAATAATTTATTCCCTATTTAATCATATAAGACAAAAAAAAAAAAAATGTTAATTTTATCATGAACATAGCTACTTAAATGTAAAGTTTTTAAAAAAAACATTATGAGCACTTAAATGTTTCAGATTCAGCTCTAGTCATCTATAAACAAAAATATTTCTTACAAGAAGTGTACCATAAATGTAATATTTTATATGCAATTATTTTAGTAAATTAGATATTAGTTTGTTATTTAATTTCATTTTAACATAATTCATATTCTTAAATAATACTTATTCATCCCTTCCCCGGAAAAACCGAAATAAAAATGTAACTTAAAACATATTAATATAATGTATGTATTTATTATATTATTTATAAAATAAAGCAGTTTTTTTATGTTTTAAGATTATTATAATATAAATGTGTCTTATTGTCGAGTAGTCTTGATATTGAATTAGTTAAACTTTCTTAACCACCAAATTATTGATTTAACAATACCTGGTACTAACAGGCACCACTATTGCTACAGACGTACTAGTAACACTATTTTATTTTATAAAAGTAAAATTGAAACACCATTTCAACAATGGGGAGTAGTGTAACGGAATCAATGTCTTCCGATGTATTAGATTTGACAAATTTTGATTCATGTGGCCATTTAAGTCCTTTTATACTGACTAGTCCAAGGTCATTGTTAGCATGCCGTAAGGCTAAAATTAAGGCAAGTGGATTAGTTTGTATCGATATTATATTTGTTTTACATTTTTTATTTTCTTAGCCTAATGAGTTATTATATAAGAGTGCGGCAGATGTTTCTAAAGATTTAGGAGTGTCAATCAAGTTAGCTTACCCAGTTTATCAACAACATGAAAAAATTAGACAAGGCAAGTTTTAACTTATTTATTATTTTTTGTTTTGATGATTTAAATATAGTAAAACTAAAAATTATAAACCTAATTTAAATATGTGTAAAAATCATATAGTGCATTTTAATAAATCAAAATAAATATAATTTGTAAAATATCAAAAATAAAATAATATACTTGAATCAGTATTTTTATAATAATATTAACTACCTATATATTTTATGTGTTTATAATTATAGGCCCTCAACAACTTACAAACATATTTAAAAGAGCACAATACAAACAATTTTTTTTCTAATTGTGTATTGTTAAATGCTAAATCATTGCAGTAATAATTATTAAAAACACTTGTCAAAATCTAAAAAAAAATATTTAAGGAGATATTGAGATATCTAAGATAGGAAATTTTCACGAGACCTATAACATTGCTCGTCATCTTTCAATTCCTCATAACTCATAAGCATAACTCATTGAATAATGCGAGTAGAAATGTTAAACCTATACGACTATATTTAAAATTGGACATTCTTTTAAATTAGAAAAACTTATTTTTTTATATATTGTGCTCCCTTAATCACAATTCAGGAGTATTGGAGTAGGTATCCAACTATATTTAAACAGCAAAATATAAAATACCTAATTGATTTTGAACAATCATATTTAATGTAGGATAGAGCCTTTCAAAAATAATTTTAACATTTTATTTCATAATATTAAAATAAGTTTATTTTTTGTTAGTTTCTATGGCACTTGGTATCTATGTCTTTCTTTTCTAAGGTGTGTGACTTGCAACTTGTCACAAAACAAAAGAAGAGTTTAATTGCTAAAGAAATGTATAATTATGTTGGTTAGGTAGTATATAGTTAGAAAATTAAACAAACTAAAGTGCACAATCATTTTGTAGGCATAAAGTTTTGGTTTTAATCAAGTTTGTACCAAGGTAGGTATAAGTACAGACGGTAACTGGCTGGGGTGCTGAGATCCTACAGAACCTTGGTCACCATAAAATTATCTTAATCAATTAACATACAACTATTATGGATTTTTAATTAGAAAGTTATAATTCTCTGATAATATAATTATAGATCTATTTATTAATAGCTAAGTAAATAAGTAAATAGATTATAAATAATTTGTGGAACAAAATTCAATATAATATCATTGTCATTGGTTTTTTTTTATGTGGATGAAAGTAAATTATCTATGAAATTTATTTTTATCAACATTTTATGTTAAAATTCGTTAAAAGCACAAGCAGTTGTAATTTATTTTGGAGTAACAAAATAAAATGCAATTTTAAATTTAAATTTGTCGAAACATGTTGAACTGATTTATTATTGCGTACAGATATTAATTTAATTTAATTTCCTATTATATCGCATCATATATACATGTATATGTTGCATTCTCAACTCACAACAGTGGTTCTATGGTAGGTACGAACTAATTTATCTTTTTTAAATGTATTTATTATTATAATTTACCCTATTTGTTGTTGAAATTTGCTCTACAATTATGTGGCATCCCATTATCCTTTTTACTAGTCCAGGCCTCTGTAGGTATTCTATATTATAATTCGAGGTGTGTTCAAAACGTTTTAGGCCTTTTTGAATTGAATGCTAACGGAATGTCCAAGAACAGTAGGATTAATATCACTGGCTAGTGGTTTCTGTGACTTTTCTTGAGAACATCTGTTTTTGTAGATTGTCTATAACTTTCTTTGTTTTAATGTTATCGACGGTTTTGGAGATATTTTTTTTTCTGTTTTGTTGACAGAATCTTAATTGGTAAAAGAGTGAAATATTTCACATGACTTATGCCAACAAATAGTAAATGAAAAACTGCAGATGTGAAAGTTTGTTTTGAAAATGTAAAGGAAATATCGAGGATCAAAAATAGATCCAAGTTTAGGTTTGTTAGGAACTTTTTGATCTGGTAAATGACATTATGGCAGTAAAAACTTTTTGACTTTTCATCATAATAATAAACATGACCTGTATCATTATGTAATCATCAAAATGAAAGAAAAATCTTTAGGATTCATAACAAAAATCGTCAAACATAAAAAATATTGGTCATATCAAAACAAAGAAAGTTGTAGAGAATCTACAAATATTACAGTACCTAGTCAAAAGATGCCAGTGCTATCAATCCTAGTGCTCTGGATGCTTCGTTGGCGCGCAATTCAATCAGTGCTGGAAGTTTTGAACAGATCTCGTATATAGTACCTATCTACTTAGTGCTTACCTGAGAAATTAAAAATTGACTAGTAAACTATTATGTTTAGTACACTCTTTTGACAATTCTTTGTTGCGCTTCTGAGACGTATAGTAGTTTGTATTTGAAAGGTAGGTACGGGGAAAAAACCAGAAATCACTTTTTTAATTCAAAATAGCGGTATTCATAATAAACAATTTGTATTGATATACTGTATCTTTTGTGCGATCTAACCAATGAAAAAACAAGATTAGTCGAAAGTAATGAGTGCCAGAAGTTTAGGTCTACAAGAAAAAAAACATACCTACCTAAGTCAACTGATACTAGGAAAGAACCAATTTTAGATTAATATACGGCTATATAGCCGTGGTTAATAATATGACATTATTGTATTGTGGTTATATATTTCAAAGTTTGACATTTAATTTAAACCGAACTTTTTACTTTGTAAAAAAAGTGACTTTTCTGTGTTTTCCCTGTACCCTTCATTTTAATCACATAATTGTCTTCATACCTACCTATTTGTGTGGAAATAGAGCGATTTATTTTCAATATGTAAAGTAGTTATCCGTTTCCCTCCTTGCACAAAATAGCTGTTATAAGAGCAAATCAATCCATTCCGCATTAATTTCATTGAAAATTAACTTAATAAAACTGATATATATGTATAATTTATCTATTTTTAGTCCTATTAGATAGGAGTACATATTTTTTAAATTTATTACACAGGAGCCTAATGAAAATATAAATAAAAAATTGTAGAAAATATTTGTTTTGTCTTTGCTTTTTTAAATATTATAATGGTCTTCGAATTACGTGTTTTACAAATAATTTTATTAATCAAGTAATATTTATTTTATGCAGAAAAACTTGAAGCGTGTAGAAAAGAAAGAAATAAACTTGTAAATTGTGAGACTACAACTACGCCATTACGAAGAAAACTAAAAAAATGTTCGAAAAAAGAAATAACATCGTATCGAAACAATATAGCTTCGAATATGCGACGCACAAAGTCTATTCAAAATAAATTAAACGAAGATGAAAAGTAGTTATTATTTTATTAATATAAGTATTAATTTAATAATTATTATAAACATAGGCCGAAGCAAACTTATTTAAATTTACACACTGGTTAACCAATATGATAAAAATATTAAAGGGGTTAAAAATCTAAATCTTAATATTTACTTTCTACGAAACTTTAGGTAGGTATTGATTTGATTTATGTAGCTATTTAAAAATTTAGGAAATGAGGATCGCTTAAATATAAAAATAGGTTTGTTATAATTTACTCCCATTAACCTTATCACTAACTGTAATATTCAAGCAGTGGTTTTTCAAGTACTTTTAATTTTTATTTGTTTTACGTGATGACTACGTGTGTTAATAGGGTAAAGGGCTGCATGTGCTGAAGAAGCCATAGAGGTTTAGGGACAATTGGCTATCGGTTTGATGATATTTTGTTTCGTGCATTTATTGTATAATTTGCAGTTTTGTAACTTTGAAAAATACTCTGAGAAAACACTATACTCACAGGAGAGACCTTGAGAAGGTTTGCCTTTCCCTCTCCCAAAGATGGTTAGAAACCGAAAATGGCTTGAAGAACTTGTCTTACGTTTGTGACCCTATTACTGTTATTACCTATTATTTTTTATGATTATTATTTATATTTATATTTTATTTATTTGATTATTTTGGTTTTTTACTTTTAGTTTTATTTATTTTTACTTATTTTAAATATATCAACTGTTTACAAGCTAATTGGCGTAAGCGCCGTTTCATAAATTTTTCAGGAGAGCAAAAAAACCGTTTTTTAAACTATTCTTATCAGTATATGAGTGTTTATTCCACGGAAAAAATATTTTGATAAATGTTATTTAAGTAATTTTTCAGTCTAAAAACTATTAATTTGGCGCTTACGCTAATTTTTTTCTTTTTTTTAAGTAAATTTGTGCTTACACCAAATTATTTGCGTGTATCAGAGATTGGCAAATGGTAGCTCGTGAGCTGTATATAACCAAAAAACCATTTTTATTAACCTATGTGACCTTTTAAAATATTGTTAACAAAGTGCATAGTTTGAGTTACACTTTCATAAATAATGCAATTATAAACACTAAATTTTCTACTACAGTATAAATTCATATTTTTCCCATTAGGAGTATTTAACACTTTTTGTAATTCAAAGCTCACACATAGGTAAAGTTTAGAGTGATATGATAGCTTTTGATATTAAAGGAATATTGCCTTGAAATCTCCCTTATACTCCAGGTGTTGTTGCTGAACATGTACTTAATTTAGTTGACTTACTTTTGTGGATTTGGATATAGTTGGTGTAAAGCAATATTATACTTTTCATTGAACATTTTTCTTAAGTAGTATTTAGATACAGGTGATCATTTTCTTTTTTACAAAAGTCTTTGTAAATAATGTGTAAACGAAGAATATTCATAAATTCTGCTAGCAAATACTTTTTGACGCTTGATGCTCGATAATAGTATAAAGAAACAGCAGGTAGTTTTTCAAAAAAGTGTTTAATTTTTAAAATTGTAAATTCATCCACTTTGTTTTTAGGAGTAACTTTTCCACAATAGTATATTTTTCCTGTACTAACTGGTGAACTATTTTGGATAGTATAAATTAAAAATTTCTGTGAGATATCTAAAGTAGTTAATAAATATTTTTGACAAACTTGTTTTTCTTCACTCATGTGTGGACGTATGTTAAATAATATTTGTATGTGATAGAACGTCTACTATTATTTTTAGATCATACCTTTAATTAATATTTATTAAATATAAATCTATTAACCCAATTTTCATTTTTGTAGCTTACGAAAAATAAGAAACCATGATAAAATATTTATTATTCATTCTTTTGTTATCAAACTAGACGCATTCGACGCGTCTTTGTGTTCCTAATGTCTTTTTGTCAAAAAGTTAATTTTGGTAAAAGTGTCGCTTACGCCAATTATAGCCTGCAAACAGACGATATATTACAAAAAATAAAATAAAAAAAGACGCCAAATCTGTCAATAATATTTATAAATAAATACACAGTGTTTGAAATATTTGCCCTTTCATTATTTGTCATATATTACAGTGTAGAATTGGTTAAGCACCAGTACCATTTTACCTTAAAAATCCTGTAGTTACACTCATGAACTATTAGAAATAATTCACATAATAAGAATTCGTAGGTACCTATTTAATATAATAATATTAATATCATAATTTCTTATTTATCAGAAATAACTTCCACTTTGTTACGAAAAAACCAAAACGCCGTTGTAAAAAATCGAAAAGCATTAGTGACTTAATGGATTTAAAAGAACTGTGTAAAAAAGTCGATCGGATTGCAGTCCTCGAACGATGTGAACCTCAAGATATAAGTGTTGAGCAACTATCTGTTAAGAAACGTTCACGATCTAGGAACAAAAATCATCGGTATGTATAATAGCTAGTATAGTCTAGCATCTCCTATAATTTATTTTAAATTATTAACATAGGTTTTACGTTCCTATCTCCCAGTAAATCCATCCCGTTTACGATGGTAACGGTTTCATATATTCCCACACTGGGTATCTTCTGCCCTGAAGTGTCTAATACACCAGAAAAAATTAGCACATAAAGCCTATAAAAAATCTAACTTGGCAATCGATTATTAAACATTCTCCGAGCTCCGTGTTAGATGCAAATGACTTTCCTTAGTTAATTATTATAGATCTTTTATAGCTAACACTTAGCACACTCTCACTTCAAATCCTTCTTCTTTTTGGAAGTATGTCAGGAACTTGAAGCAAAGCTCTCAAATCCCTTTATTGGTCCATTTGTCCGGTGTAGTAGCAGGCTATTCTTCTGATTTAACTAATCTATTTCCCAAGTACTTCTCAGTTTTCAAGCCACCTTAGCCAATCTCTTTGGGTCTTCTCATGCATCGCATCTTTCGTATAATCTCCCTTCCAATTTTTTCTTCACTTGCGCTGATGAGCTCGGCGAGTTTGTCTAGTTATCTAATTAAAAACAACCTATCTAACGGGCCTAACATTATTTATACTCGTTTGCTCTTTAATTGTCGTAACTCCCTAGCCTATCTTATCTTCTCTTTATTCAAGCGTTCCCTTTCAGAATTTCAGAAGACATCTTCCTTGACGTTTGGAAGATTTGTTGTTGTATAATTCCTATTCAGAAATCTGGTGACTTCAGATGTCTCTAACTACTGGCCAATCTCCATTCTTCAACATCTCGCAAAAATCTTCGAATCTATAATTTACTCCTATATTAAGTAATGCTTCTTATTTCACGTGTACACGCTTTCACGTATTCACGTTAGATTAAGGTTCAATTTATAAGACCCGTTAGTTAAAAGTTTCCGTGAATTTATAATATTATTTACGTATTTACGCCTAACTTTTTTAGTACTTTATTTTTATTTGTAGGAGAAAGATGATTGTATTCATATCACAAATATAGGTAAATAGTGAATAATATACATTTTCATACCAATTCAAATTATTCACGTAATTAACTAATAATTCAAGGCTTCACGTGATTATGATTCCGATACGTGTTCACGTGTTTTATCATTTATTAATTCACGTATAATAACCATACGTGTTTTATTGTGTTACATTCACGTGTTCACGATATTCCTGTACACATATGTTTGTATTCACTTAAAAAAGTAAGACCCCCTAATAATAAGATAAGTCTTGATCATGTTGCTATCGAGAATCAGCATGGCTTTCATCCTGGTATGTCTACCACAACTAGAGGACGTGGTTTTTTCAATCAAAATTTTGGATAGTCTTGAAGCTGGGTCTCAAGTAGATACTGTTTTCACTAACTTTAAGAAGCTTTTGACTCCGTTGACCATTTTCTACTCATTAAAGCCCTTGAATTCTCGGGATAGGCAATTTGCCTCTTTCTTTTTCTCTCTTTTATCCCCACCGCTAGAACGTAATTTGTCTCCATTAGTGTATTTCATCAAAACTGTCTTACATTTCCTTTGATGTCCTGCAGGGTGGGCATCTCAGTCCGCTCCTTTTCATAAACTCCCTTAATGACAACCTATAACTACTGCCAAAGCTCATCTATTTGCAGATGCCATTAAATTATTCATCAAAGTTAATTTCCCATCTGACTGTCTTTGTCTTTTAGCCGACTTTGATTCTTTCCAGGCACGTACACAAAAATAATTCAGAGAATAGGTAGTTTTTCAATTTGAGATACAATATAATTATGGGCTGATATTTAAAAATCGAACGTTGGAAATCGTATTTATGGTATATTTTATTATGTGTAGGTGCACTAAAACCAAAAGAGTAAAATTTGTACCTACATGATTACACAAGTAATGAATTAAAAATGATTTTATATTTTCAGAAGTTTAATGGACATAAGCGATATTCATATACCGGACCAAGACAGAAAAATTTTGGATAACATGCGACGAAAGCGCGAACAAAGGCAACACGGCGAGGATTTGGCATATCGTATAAATATATATTGGGAACAAATGCGGGAAGAAGAAAAACGTTTAACTAGTGAACAAAAGCAAAAATGGCAAAATTTTATATCGGCAAAACGCAATGTTGAACATGGAGTGAACCATATACGTTTGGAAGAATTACGTATGGCTTTCGAGAACAATCAAAGGCAACTTAAAGAACAGATAAGAGAAAAAGATGAAAAAGTTAAAGAAATTAAACAGGAAATCGAAGATCGTAAGGTACAATAATTTAGTACTATTATATTGCATAAAATAAGGAGGTCTACTATGTATAAATATAAATTATAATAACCAGAAAGTTCACGTTTAAATTAGAAAAAATAATACATATACGAAATTTGGAAAAGTTGATAATAACGTGTACAATGCACATATTGTAGTTTGCATTACGATTGCCTAACATTTATACTTTATAGAGAATATCATTGCATTTATATGTATAAACTACTATTAATTCAAATGTATATTCGACATAAATATTTTATTTTTTAGTTTTAAACCATTATTGATATTTGATATTTTTAAAATTAATTATCATATATTATCTAATTTATAGCTATTCTTGGCGTTTAAGTTTAAATTTTAAAGAAAATTAATTTTGATAAATATTATAAATATGTACACACGAAATAGGAACTTTTAACTGTCCCATGCGTTTCATGTTAAACAAATAGCAGACGTAATCTAACATTTTTGAGAAATGAGTTGAGATCCTCAATGTCCCTGTACTTTTGTTCAAGTCAAAAACTGCATGTAGGTACATTTACTTTAAACGCCAAAGTATAAATTAAACCAATAAAGTTATAACAATTGTGAAGGCACTCAGGAATAATAATAATAAAAAGTTAATTAAGATTTATACTTGTATACATTTTTAGACTTTTGAAAATTCTCTGAAACAAGACATAGAATTCGAGAAGCATAAAATTGCGAGTGACAATAATTTTTATGAACAAATGAATGCTCTTCAACATAAAAAAAAATTGCACGATATAAACCTTCTGAAACAGAAAAAAGCGAAAGAATTAAGAATAAAATCACTTCAGTTGAATCAAGAAGTAATTTGTATTAATTAAAACTTTTTAAATTTTTATTATAAATTGTGTTAAAAAAAAAAAAAGAAAACGTATGAGTAGGTAGGTATATTATATTACAGGGGTAGCCAATATGAATATGTTCGCAAGTCACATATATAAATGCAATGATATCAAGAGCCAAAATATTTGTAAATACATTTTATAAGTTTATATAATTTGATCTAATCTGTACTTGAATAACGTAAAAGTAATAAAGATAGCTAATAGCGTATAAGCATATTATCAAATTATGTATTAGTTCAATTTTATTTTGTTTTGATTAGATCACGAGTTTTCTAACGATTTCCAATACCCAAATATTAAAAACTGTGCGGTAAAATTGATATCAATTTTTGGAACATCATATTCGTGTGAATCGCTATATTCAACAATGAAAATAATTAAGTCGAAATATCGTTCAAATTTGACTGATGATTATTTCACAGAATTACTCAGAACTGCAACTAGATCTTAAGAAACTAACTAAAATAGTTGATACGAAAAAAATACCACGCAAACAAATCTAGCTTAATGTTTATTTTTTTATTTATTATTCATATTAATTTAGATATTAAGTATATTTGTTTATTAATCTGTATTGTATAGCCTTATATCTATATTATAAAAAATATTTTTTTTTTTTATAAATGTATACGAAAAAAAAATAAAATTAAAAATAATAATAAGTAAATTTTGGTTTTTGTAAATAAGACGCGAGCTGCATACGCGAACCGCAAGTTAGCCACTCCTGTTATATTAAATGCATATTAGTTACCTACTGATGGAGGTGATACTACACTTGTATACGATTTTAGTTTTGTTTTTGAATTCCTGGGGGACGCTTTAGTTATTGTCAGTAAGTGCAATGAAGTTTGTCCATATTGTTTAAATTATTATTTAAATTACAAGATGTTAACAATTTTTTAAAGATTTAAGTTTTTTTGATGAAAATATAAAAATCAATTTCTGCTATAACATTAAAATTTAAAGATACTGTTCGTATAAAATCAACGAGTTATTAAAGTACCTACCTAGTTTAACACTTTTGACATTCGAGATATGGTAGTTTTAATTTGCATTTTTAATTAAATATAAAAAATTTAAATTAGTTTTATGTATACGACTTCATACCTAATCAGATTGTTCCTTAGTTCCTTAATTTTTATTGAATAGGTATGTGTGTAGGATTTTTGTTTTGAACGTGTTTTTTATTTACAAACATTTTTTAACATATAATTTTTATGACCAAATAGGTACGTAGGTATGTGTAGGAGGAAACAATTTTTAGAAGTCTTGTCTTTTAGACGTTTGGTTGGGTATAGTGTTTGGAAACGCCTTTTGATTTTTGGTATAATAATTACAATATTGTATTACATAATAGCCTGCATCGAAATTTATCCCACTCTAACTACTGTGTTATACAATAATTTTAAAATTATTACATAATATATACATAATTAAGGTACCTAATATCAATATGAGAATGGCAAAAATATATCACATGGATTCGATTTGATTCAGAGCAGCTATAACGACTAACGACGATGTATAATGTAGGTACAGGGAACCGTCTTGTTTTAAATTTATTCATCTTTTATACTGTAAATAATGTAAATAAAATTATGTTTGAATCATTGTATTCATTTCAAAACGTGTTTAATACAATTAAGTAAATGATATCTTTCACAATCATTAACATTATCATTGATCAATTAATAATAAGTATCATAAATAATGATTTAGATAAACTATATCAATTTTCGAATTCATTCACATGTATTGACTCAATAATTAATATATTGAACTGGATGAACCAATATTGCATAGTTTTTGAATTGTGAATATAAAATGAGGTTTAAAATACGGTTATATTAGATAAATCATTTTTGGTTCATTTTCCCTAGCTCTACGAATTTATGTGAATTTTAATTATTTTGTCTCTTTTATTCGCTGTTATAATAGAAAATAATATACCCACCTAAATCATTTTTTGTTTTATTATGTATAGAGAGTTACGTCCACAAATCGTATGGAGGAATTGCGACATGTGTTACAATTGGAACGGATGCAGGCACGACACGACGACGAAATACGTCGGAAGTTTGATGAGTGCCAAGCCAAAGAACGCAGAGCGTTTCAAAATCATTTAGACAAAATGGCGACACGCATGAGAGAACTCGCTGCAAAAAGGTTAGCGATACCCTCTAAGATATTAACATAGTCGAACAAACGAAAATTGATTAACATTAAAAGGAGCAGACGGAAAATGAATAATTATTATACATGCAATCCGAGTATTGTATAATACGAGTAGATGTTGAGACTGATGTACCCAGAGTCATTTAGCGCTAACGGGGATATAATTTTAAGCACCCTTTCTTAAGGACTTACTTGGGAATGATTTGGGCGCTAACTTCCTTCAAATTCGTTTTTGTTTTTATTTACAATTTTATTAGATTCATGTTATAATTTCAACATTTTACTTCCATCAAATAATATTCTTCATTAGTCCTAAATTTGTCTATGTACCTCTACACAAATACCATGCGTTATAAGGTTGCACTTTTAATTATCAAACAATATTCACACTCTAAGCAAAGTGTTTGAAAATAAAACAACTAACAAGTGATTTAATAATATAATGATATTTTTAATTTTATTTCGAGTTTTACATTGAGCTGAGTGTCCAATTATTTTAAAAACTTAAGCGTCCCGGCTTATTTTTCACTAGCGTTTTAACATCAAATTTTGACGAAAATCTTAAACATTTTAAAATACCTACGGTATTTCAAAATATGTCTTACTGAATTCCGCTATGAATTGTTTTAGTTAGCAATGGTTTAACTTTGTTTACACGTATAAATTAAAAAAGTTTATATATCCCATCTTTCCAACTTTCCACCTTCAATAGTGGCTGCACACGTTCCCAGTATCAGCTCTTATTTTTTTTTGTAGTGTTCACATTGTAAAATATTATTCATTACTCATTAGGTACAAGTCGTTGTCTAATTTTAATAGTTTATACATTAGATATAATAATTTAGAGCTAACAGTATTTAAATATGATTTTATTAGTTTACAAAGGGAACAACACATGGGTCAAGTTCACAGAGTTGCTAGAGAACTGGAAGACGGAATGCAAAGATGGCAAGATCGTGTTATGTTAATGCAATACGAACAATTGAGGAGAGCAAAAGAAAATGCAGCACTGTACACGGACAACAAAAAACTTAGAGCTGAGATCGACAATAAACGGAGAGTATTAGAACATTCTGCTAAAATACAAAGGTGAAGAACATTTATAAAATAGTCTTTATTTGTTATTAATACTTACAAATACCTATAATATATTAATAATTTCTTGAAATTTATATTATGGAAGGCATTCTATCTTGTGTATAAATAAATAAATCTAATAATTTACTTATAATTTCCAAAGGATTAAAAAAAAAAACAAAAACGAAAATGTGGGTGACGCATTTTATAAGTGAGTTCGAATTATAGTTTAGATTTTTTTCTGATTTTAGCAGATTTATTAACGTTTATTTTTGTCCATGTTACAGCAAAAAGAAAATATTTAAAATATTGAAATCATTGTTACCATACATTTTCCCGTTTTCCAAACGTTTTTTCAGTTTTCCGAATTATTAAAACAGTTTAAAAAATCAAAAATATAACATCTTTAAAAATCGTTTATCGTTACGTACAATTCTAAATTAAATAACTATGTATTCTACCTTCCAACTTTCTACCTACAATAGTGACTGCACGTCCTCAATATCACCTCTTTTTTAAAAAATATATACAGCATGTCCCACGAAAATACATCCATTGTGATATCTAAACATATACAATTTTTACCGAAAGATAAAAGTTGAAATCAAATATAAATATTTGCTATCCTTATATCTTTGAATAAAATTAAAAAAAAAGTCAGAATTTGATTATCTTTATTATCTCAGGAGATATCGTAATGGGTACATACATATTTGTGAGACACTCTATTTATATTACTTATAAGCTATTTAATTAATACTTTAGTATATATAATATTCTATTTTTTTTTTTTTTTAATAAATGTTTAAATATAAAATACATTTTACAGTGTTGTGTAAGATAAAATAATATATTTACTATCAAGGCAATATTATTTATTTTACATATAAAATATTTAGGTACCAAACTGTAAGTATACACGTTTGTATTTATAAATAAATTTGTTTATTAGAAGTCTTTCCTAACATTATTACGTTATAGAATGAGATTTTAAAATCTGTCCGATTTATCCGATTTATCCGGGAAAGTAAACGGGGTGTACAATACACATTACGATATAATATGTATTCGTATAAATTTAACTGAAATCCAAAAAATGGCGGGAATTTTTTCACAATATCGGATAAATTATGATAATGAACAGTTTTAAGTGATTTTTGAAGTTTTCGGCGAAAAGTTGGCCGTTGATGTGAACTTAGCGGCGTTTTTAGAAAATTGCTTATAACTATTTAACAATTGTCGAACAAATTGTAAAAACATTCCAACCATGTCCAATAAATAACCAAAAACATTGTTAGATAAGTTTAATTAAATTCTGTTACAAGTGTGCCGCTAAGTTCACGGACGTGTGTAATGTACAATTTTTTTTTTTATACGAATTTTAACACAAATTTTGACAAAAATCGTAAATATTACGGCCTTTCAAAACACGCATAACCGAATTCCGCTCAGAATCGTTTTTTGTTGGCAATGATTAACCGCTGCGAACATATGTACATTAAATTCCCCTCTATATTCTATACATTCCCAATAATATAGATTGTGTTAGAAATTAAAATTAAAATAATAAAAATGTAAAATGTAATAGGGCAATCCGGGGTAGAATGGAGACGCAGGACACAATGGGGTAACAGATTTTTTTCCATATTTGTATGAATTCAAAGTTCAATTTAGGGAATGCTATTTAGTATTTTGATTGATTTACTTAACTAGTAAATACACATTATGAAATATTAGATTATATTTGCTCATAATATTTATTACTTACCTATAATGAAAAATTGGTTGCATAAACATTTTTAAATAACATGATTTAGATATTTTATGTTTTATCTTATTATGTGCTCAACATAATATAATATACAATAATTTACGTAATATTATGTTTTTTTTAAATATTTAATACTAAATAATAAGTATAACCTATACTTATTAGGTAATATAAATCTATAAAATATTATTGATATTAATAAGAAATGCTAAAAATATTTCTAATACTCACGTGTTTAGGGTGAAAGAAGCAGAAAAAGAACGTTTGCGCAACATAAAAAAGGAAATAGAAGCTGAAGAAAAAAAAATTAATAGGTTAAAACAGAAAAAAAGTTTAGAAATCCAAATGGGTCGAAAACTGGCGTTAAATACGGCCGAACTAAGAAAGGAAATTCGGTATGTAAAAAAAAAGAATATACCTACTATTATATCTAACATTTAAATTTTTTTTTACGTTTATGATTTTACTGAATTCTATTTTGTTAATTTTTTAGACGCAGTACGGAATTGCATTTGTGTAATCAGCGATAATAAAATATTAGATATACCTATACGTTTATATGTTAATTACATTTAATTTGTTATTCATTATAATTTTATAAAATCTAATAATCTATAATAATATTTTTAGATATCGCGTATATTTTAGATGTGTCGAATCAAATAATATCTATATTATTTTAAATGGGATTTTCATTTCTTTGAAAAAATGAATTATTTTGAATAATTCGATACTAAAAAAATAACATTGAAGAGTATGTAACAGTAGTACATATTTAGTATATATTATTGTCCGTAAAGTACATCAGTGACAATGAAATTATTTTGTCATCCGAGAGATGAAGCTGTTTTTACATTTTTTGTCTTTTTTTTATAAAAATAGGTAATATATGTATTATTAAAAATATTGAATGGAAAAAAAGACTTAGATAATAGATAATAGGGTATGGTACAGTCACTCTTATAGGTAATTTAATGTATATCTGTTGGCAATGATAAACCATTGTTAACGAAAAAATTATTCTGAGCGCAATTCAGTTGATAGTGATAATTTTTCAACAATATTTATGTCATATTATGATAATAATTAAATAGACATTATATATTTTCTTAAATAATATTTGTTTAATAATATTATACCGATTTTCCCGTTTTTCCTGCGTTTTACCTAGTTTTCCCATGTTTTTTTCTGGTTTTCACATCTTCTGGGAAAACTCTTAGGAAAATCGAAAAATTACCTCTTTAAAGTACTTCCCCAGTCAAATTTCCTTTTATAAAAAGTTCTATCATTGTCAATCTTAACAAAATTGCTGGTAGAAAGCTGTCTACAGAAAAAAAATCTTAATATTTTACTAATGCTTTTTGTATATTTATCCGGTTTTTCTCCATTTTTTACGATTTTTCCATTTATTGGGAAAGCTCCTAGGGAAATCAAAAAATGAACATCTCAAATTACCATTGGAGATAAAATTTTCCTTTCAGAAAATAAGCTACACTTGATACATCGAAGCAAGATTTTTGGTAGAAAAGTTTGCACAACAAATCGAGGGGTTTTTTTGCGATTAAAATAGTCCGAGTGAGCAATGGCTTGGGTCTTTAGGTACACCCAAAATGCATTTGTTTTCTCCTTGTTTAGGTAAAAGGGAAAAAAATGCAAAATATTTTTTTTCGAAACACGGGTTCGAACTCGTGGACCCTACGACAAACATATTATAAGGCAATATTTAGTTATTTAACATAACATATAATACTCGCATAATATCAGTATTTTTTAAATCGGCAATATACATATATTCAAAAAATAAAAAAAATTAAAAAAATAGATTTATTTCACATAATTTTTTACTCAACGACTTTCGTCAAAATTGTATATTAAAATTCCCTTATGAAAAAAAAATACCACATTAAACCCAAATTTTCTTTTTTTGACAACTAATTAAAACTCTTAATGAGTTAATCTTATCATATTATTTAAGAATTTCTGTTATGCCTAAAAATTTTACCACAGAGTACTTACCGAATAAAAATTACGTACAAAATTCGTAAAATTCAAATGTCTATAAATAGCTTAAAAATGGCTTAAATTTTTTGAAAATTTTAAACAAAAATATTACAATTTGTATAAAAAGCTTAAAAATGGAAAAAATGGTTCGACAATTTTACCATGTCTAAAAAAGGCAAATATGTTTTCTGTACAAATTTTTAGTCTCTACGAATATTTTTAACTAGATTACAAAAAATAACAAAATTTAAAAATAATAAAAGCATTATTTTCGTAAATTTCCCGTTTTTCTTACGTTTTATCCTGGTTTATCCCAGATATTATGAAAACCACTTGAAAAATTAAAAAATGACCTCCCAAAAGTTTTGTACACAGTATAAAAAAAAAATAAACATCTTAGTAAAATCAATACTTTATTCGCTACACTCAGAATCTAAAAGGTCATTGGAGGATATATGTTCCTCATTCCCCCTTTCATGTTTGATCGCTCCTGAGATACCTATAAATATAATAGGTACAATAGGTACATATACCTATTGTATGTGTATATCATTGTGTCACATGCTTCGCTTGCAATAAATATCATTTGTTGGCATAATTAATTCATATAGAATGCATATATTGTCCATGTTATTATCATTTATTCGATACAATATACGATTTTATAGAATATACTGTACTGTATGGGAGGAGGGAGAGAAACAATTTTTTATCGAGGCACCTTATAACTGTTTAATAATATATACGAAATATATTTGTACGTATATAATTAATCAATTTGAGCAAAAAAAAAAAATAATATCGTTATGTTGAAAATAAATAAGTATTTTCTAGTTTTTTTTTTTTTTTTTTTGTCTATTTTTTACTTTAGTGAAACTCGAAAATAGTTTGTATAATGTGTACCAAATACCTACACGGAATAAGGTCAACGGCATGGCATTATCTTGCTTAAGTAATATGTTGTTTCCTTAAGTCTTATGCGGCACTGGAATAAACTGAGATTCAATGCATATACATGGTGGGGTTTAAAATGCTAGTGTAAAACTTTGTGGTTCTTATAAAACAAAAATGCTAAATATGGACACGAGTTGATTAGACTCGAAAAATTACGGGCTTGCCACAAAGAACTTCGACAAAGAGAACAAAAAAATGGCAAGTTTGATCACAATATTGTATACCATGATGGAATCCCTTGCATCTTGAAAATTCGGCCAAAATACCACAACCTTATTACACAGCATCTTCAAAAATGAGAAATAAACCACTCTCTTAGTATCTCACTGGCTTCTACAAAAATCGTTGCGGATTAAGGACTAAACTTATACATTTTAATTATAACACTTATAGTTTTAATTATTCTTATATTATTCTCACCGAAACATGGCTTAATAGCAATTTTCATACAAATGAACTAAGTCTCATTAACTATAATATTTGTAGATTTGATAGATCATCTTTTACTAGTAATCATGAACGTGAGGGTGGTGTTCTGATTGCGGTCTGAAAAAATATTCTATCTTTCCTTCTTTCTACTATAGACAACTCTACCGAACAGCTTTTCGTGCGCATTTCTCACAATTCTTCTTATTATATGTTATGTGGCGTTTATCTGTCACCCACGAGTTTCACTAACTACTACAATGCCCATTTACCCTCCGTCGCAGCTATTATAGAATAATTTCCCATAAATACCTATATCATCTATGGAGACTATAATTTACCGCTTATAAATTGGTCAGACGACAATTATGGCCTTTGTTACTCATCCACATCAACTTCCCAAAACCTTTGTGTCCCAGAGTTCTACTCCCTTTATGTATTTGTCCAATTAAACAAATTTATGAACTAACGCGGCTCAATCTTTGATCTGGTATTCACAAACTCTTATATTTATCTATTGAGATTTCACTCGAGTATGCTGTTTCTCTAGATTCATATTACCTAGCCATTTGTTTTTCTCTTACTAAACCAAATTCATCTACTAATACATCCCCTTTAATATCATTCCTTAACTTTTCCAAAGCCGATCTTCCAAGTATAAACTACTTTCTAAGAACAAACATTCTTGCCATTTAATACAGATGACGCAATGAAATATTTCTTGGATGCTATCCACTCATCAATTCTAGCCCAATTCTATGTACCCAACGTATACATCCGGTTCTCCATCTGTCCACCCTGATTTACAAGTAACCTCAAACAGCTCGCGTAGCAAAAAAAAAAAAAGCCCACGCAAAATATAGAAGCTCTTATTAAAAATAAAGAGCTCTTTATCTTACTGACTATCGTTCATTTTCTCTTTTTCGTGCTCGTTATAAATTTCTGTCAAACAAATCATATAAAATCTTCATTTCTCACACAGAATTTTCCATTCTAATTAATCCTCGCTACTTTTGGTCATTAATCCGAAAATCCCCCTTCTTGCCAACCATTCTTCACAACGTCTACTACAATGATTCTACAAATTCGGATGTTTAAACCCATATTCTTCTTCTATAAAATACGCAACATCTCTATAAAGGCATCAGGTGAATCTATCCGTGACTTAGGATTTACTATAACACCTGACTTCTCCCCAAATAAGCACATATAAGAAATCTGTTGTAAGGCTTTTAAGGTTCTTGGTTTCATCATTTGCTCTTCTCAACTTTTCAATCTAGTCATGCCCCTCAAAACACTGTACTGCGCCTTAGTGAGACTCATCATTGAGTACGGCAGTGTATTATGAGACCCTGAAATCGCAACAGCTAGTGCTTCTGTAGAGCGTGTTCAAAGAAGGTTTCTACGTGCCGTTTTTCATCGTCTAAATATTCAATGTCCTATACCCTACGACTGCTCTTCTGTTCTATATAAGCTTGGCTTCCCAAGCTTAGCAGACTGTGGATAGATAAATAACATTTCGTTCCTTTCAAATCTCATTATTGGCAAAATATATTCATCCGTTCTTCTTTTCCTCGTCAATTTTAAAGTCCCACCTAGTCGCACCCGTTTCTATGCTCTATTTCATATTCCCCATTCTTCTACTAGTTTTCTTCAAAACTTCCCCTTAAACCTTCTAATGAGAATCACAAACAATGACCCATTCTTTAAATTATAAAGCATAAAAAGGAAAATGCTAAGCAATGTAGAAATAGCAATAGTTATAGGAAACAATAGTAATAGAGTTAAATATTAAGCTATCGCTAGCAATCCATAGGTCTATTATAAGTAAAATATGTGTTAGATATAAGATCACTCAATGTAAACTGGGCTTGTCCCATATTTTATAATAAATAAATAAAAAAATAAAAATCATAAGCAAAAATAATGCCAATATTTTTGAAGGTGGCTTAAGCCCAATTGATTATGCTATACTTATTATTTACATGATGAGGCTTGGTTGAGTATTCGGGGGGAGGGGAGGTCAAAATCCTCTAAATGCTCCTCACCTTTTTACACTAATTCACAAAATTAAGGGTACCTTAGGGTTTAATATTTAAAAAAAAATGAATACATAAAATATATTTGGGTGGAAAATCTCGCAGGGGAGTTTGCCGCCTCCTCTGTCTCTCTCGTGCCTATGCTTATGCTTATTCCTACCTTCCTGGTCTATTTTTGAATAATTGTAGATATTTTAAAAATAATTAGAATTCATTTTTATTCGATTAATTACGATAAATGTATACTAATATGTTTACTTAAATATGACTACAAACCAATACGTGAAGATACGGTATCAGTTAGGTTAGGTACTTTTGTTCTATCATCCAATTCCAACGGGATACTAACTATTGGGCCAAGAAAAATGTTATTTTTTAAAATTGGGAGCCGAGGAAATTTACGTAACTGTAAAGTATATGTACATTAGTACATATTCAATAATAATTATAAATTTATAAATAATAATAAAAGCTGTAGTAATTTAACTAGGTGTAAATTATATTATAAAAAAATGTGCTCCAGGAAAAACTCCAAAATTTAGATACAAATATATTGGTACATAATACTATGTATGTATATGCTAAATAACAGCAGAAAGTCAAAAACAGAATGTAGTGACTATAGATATAAAAAATTTCACTGTAACATCTGTGTTCGATAATAGAGTATGATAAACGTGTTGGCACTTTTATTTAGGTATATTGGTTGATGATAGTAGCTGTGAGTCAAACACAAAAATATTATTCAAATTCCAAAATAAACACTAGTGATGGTACCTAATTTAGTAGTCATTCAATAATAATGTATTATGATTATTTAAACTAGATTTAAATAAAAATATAATATTATTTTATTTTTTGATCAACTTTGAATTATCGTTTTTTTATATACAATAGCAGTATTTGTCATCGGCCTATTTTCGTCAATATAAGTAGCGGTCCTGAAGTTGGTTTTTAATTTACATAACTACTATTTTTTTTCTTACTCCTATTTTTCTTCTTTACCTTAATCCCAACTATTTGGTGTCAGCTAGTAACTATTTTTTTTTTTACATCTTAATGATTATACTTATACTAGAGTAATAATACTTTATAATATTTATAGTTCAATACTTCCACTGTATTAATAATAGTTAGTTAACCTTGAATATCTTTGAAAATAAATTATAGTAAACATACATAAATAAGTTCATTATGTTTTTTTTATAATTATTATATTAGTGATATATTTCATATTTTATAGACAAAGTTTTGAGACTTTCTACTGCATGATGTTGATTTAGTTTAGATGTAATGATATATGTATATTAAAATTAGTTGAGGTGCCTGAAACACAAGGGGTATAAGGGGAATTTCATTGATTTCGAGAAAATCACGTTTAAAGTTATTTGTATTTAATATAATTATTATATTATATCAATGTTCTTGTATTCGAATGATAAAAAAAAATTGTAGACATTTGGCAGTAAAGAGACATTAGTGTGTTAATAGTTGTGAACGCTTGCACCTATTTACTTCTAATCTATTATGGCATTTTAATTTGACGACTATTTTAATGCGATCTCGCATTTGATACTAGATCACAAACCAATACATTCGTTGTTACATTCAGAATCTAAAATGTAATAAACCAAAAATATTTGTCGATATTCTAGATAATACCTATGATTTAAACCTGTATTTTTAAAGCTGTTTATTTTTAAATAATTTAATAATTTCTTTATTTAAAAGTGTCAATTCCGATTGTTATTTTGTTTTTGTTGAAATAATTGTTGCACCGTTGGGGTATTTTTTTTTTTTGGAAAAAAATATCGTAGGTAATGAACATACATTCTTGTTTCTTTGTTGAATAGGCTGAACATTTTTCTACCTATGACGAACAAAATATTGTTTACGAACATAACAATACCAGTGATGAACATTTGTCACGTTAACTTTACAAAATTGCTATAATTTTATCTGTGAAAACAATTTTTATATATTTTTTCGACACAATTACATGCCAACATATGTCGCACTCGTATTTACATTTCTGACGATTTAAATACTTTAAGCTACCTTTAAAACGATGTTCTTAAAATAACATAAAATTCATCAGTGGTATTAATTTTTGTTATACGTTGGAGAAAGATTAGTGTTACAATATTTATCTCTGAAAATCGTCCAGACTGGAAAATTCATTAGCATCATTTTAGCAAAACGACAAATCACCATGAGGCTAGAAACACTATATTTTATTTCGGGTGTTTTTCTTATTCTTGCTACAATTTTGGGCTCTATCGAATGCCACGAGAAAGATAAAGGTAAAAATCTATTGTTTAATACGTTTTCATTAAAGTTAAATTTTATTATACTCGCATTCAGTTATTTTTTACGAACAATTAAAAATAATAATAATAATAATAATAATAATATTATTAATAAAATATTACTTTCCAACTGTACCATATATTCGCGTTTCTAGGTAATACTATATATTTAAGCCGGATGGCTTTGGATTTAAATTCTATTTTTTTTTAGTTAAGTTACATTTTCAGGGGTACTGAATAGGGTCACATTTTATAACAAATTTCAATTGTCTAACCATTTCGGTGCGCTCGTGTGAAATGCATATTATTTTTTTTGAATAATAAGGTTTTAACTACAGATTATAATTGTCCTAACTTATTTAAGCAACATTGATCAATTTTATCTCAACAATCAAATCTTATTAAAATTTGTTGAAAGATATGATTTTTTTCCCATAATCAAATATATAATAAGTTTAAAGTTTAAAGTTATATGATTTACATTTTTTGAAAAATCGATTAAGAATCAGATGTTTTCACCTAATTTACATGGTGGGAGTTAGGTAAATTTTGAGATAAAAAATTGTATTGATCAGATTTGTTTGAAAAAAAATATGACTATTCTAATTTTATGTTGAAAATGGTGTAAATTTACAAAAAAAAAAAAAAAAAACATTTGTTTTGCACATGTACACACTGAAAGGATTAAATATTCAAAATTCACAACCTCAAATATATATTTCAGTACCTCCTATTACCTTTCATAAACGGAATTTAAATCCAAGGTCATTCAACGAATTTATTTAGTGTACACATTGCGAATTTATACAAATACTAATATAATATTATAAAAAGAAAAGATTCTGTTTATATGTTTGTAATGCCGTAATAACATTACAAATAAGCTCAAAAACTACATAACCGATTTTAAAACTTCGTTCACCTATAAAAAGCTAACTTATCAGCGAATAAAATGGGCTGTATACTATTTTCAAAAAAAGATCCCTATGAAAATTGCAATCGTTAGGTTTTAAGGTATTTTTGGTACGAATATATATAAACAAACGAATTATTTGTTTATTTTTTTTTTATTTATTCGTGGGTTACTTTAGTGACATGGTGAAAAATTTGGTTGTCGCGGACAAGAAAAATATTATTTTTATTATTATTACTATTATTTACACTTTTATCTAGCAATAGAAAAATATTGCCAGGTCAGCTGTAAACAGTATATTATATTGTTATATATAGTGTTTTTATCACGGTTCAGTGAAGTAGTCCATAATTTACGAAAATATTGAGTTTTTTCAGTTATTATAAAACCGTGTTTAATGATTGTATTTAAAATATTTTTTAAATATTATTATTATTCCTAATGCCATAAATATATAATATCAACTTTTGATTTTCAAATAGCAACATCTTCTGTTCAAACTAGATTCTAAAAGAGAATATTTTGTTAAAAATTGTTATATGCATATTACTAACGTACCTAGTAATGATATAATTGTTGTAACAGGTTAAAATTTAAACCGGAGGTATACCGACTAGAGCCATGTAGGAAATTTCATATTATTTTTTAAATTAATTTATCATCTAAGAATTAATAAAAAATGTACTACTCTAAAGGCTAAGAGTTAATACTCATTTAAAGTAGATACATTATTTAAGAACTAGGGATACTAACAGGAAAATAGTGTTAAATAAAACTTAATCGATTCCATAATGAATAAAAAAAAGAGAAACCAAATAATTAGCAAGTAAATTGTATAATACATATGAAGTTTTCAAGTTTCTAGAGTAAAAGAGTGAGATCATCTCCACGGACATATTGTTTATTATATATTCCACGGGTTTTCGACTCGTCTATCATATTACATGGTTTAAAGCTAGAATACATTCGGAATATTAAATTTCTCAATTCAATAAATAACCTCATGCTCTTTATTTATGCCTGTTTCTGTATTTATCACCTGGGGAAAAGTATATGGAAACAATGTCCCTAACACGTTTTCTAGAAAATAGGGGAAAGCGTGTTTCTCTGTATAATATTAATTATAAACGATTTACAATTGTATAAACAAATTTTTCATATTGTATATAAAAAAGAAAGAAAAAGATGAAATTTTCATATTAACCCTTCAGAACCTCCTAAATTTGTGACTGTTCTACGTGATGCCGGTGTTAAAATTCCTTAACTATCACCGTTTGGTTGTTCCAAGTCCAAACGAATTTCACGTCGTCGGGTGTGATCATGATCACCTTGATTTTGAATACGGGAACGATCTATTTTTGCAATTTGAAAAAGGACATATTTTCAAAATAAATATATTCTTTGCCCTGCTCAGAATCTAAAAAGAATAAAACTTTTAAGATTGTTCCATGCCAGTCTTAATCCGATGAATCATAAGTCTAATGCGAAGTATTAGGTATAGCGAACAAATTTTGTGGTCTTTTGAATTTATACATCGTCGATATTATACATTTTTTTGGTAACTTTAACGAATTACTCTTTTCTTGTAGTAACTTGTAATTTATCTAAGTCAATTGACTCTATTACAACAAATGTATGCAAGAATTTTCTTCAATTAACTAAGTTAAAAGTTATCAAAACAGTAACTTATAATTTTAATTTATAACTAGTTACTAGTACTTTTGGTAATATTATAATGCATTTATCTTGATTAATGGAATGATCGATTTTGTTTTAATTAAAGAACCTGGTGCAGCAGATAAACTAAAAGGCACAAATAAGAACAATTTCTTGTATAGGGAAAACACCATTGCGAAATTACGAACAAGTAATTATATTAGCAATATTATATTAGTCTTTTAGCAATTATTGATAAATTGGTAAATATGATAAAATATGTATTTTATATTATGTAGGTAACAACTAATCAAATTTGATTTATTTTTTTAGATAAATTTGCAAGATTATTTAACAAAGGTAATCTACAAAAATACATTAATAGTAGGTACTTTTGTTTTCATATAATTAGTATTTTTCAGTTATCGGGTTTACACCAAAACTCAAAGAGAGTAAGTTTAAAACGTTTTTTTAAAATTATCTCCGTATTAGAACGTAGTTATAGTTAAAATATTCGCGATCAGTACCTAGATAACTTTTTTTTCTTATCAGTCTATTATTAGTAATAATTTGGGTACAAACAAGTTTTTAGTCCCATTAATAATATATTTATTTTTTTATACGTGCATATTGTGTAAAATATACTTATATTACTTATAATATACTTAGTATCTACTTCCAAACTAAGATTTGTTTACTATTGATTACGAGTTAGTCAAATGAGGTTTTTATCAATAAAATAATTACCTGATTACTTAAAATGTAGAATAAAATCATTTTAAAGTTACTTTATATTGCATTAGTGGTACAGGTTTATTTTTTTTTGTTTAGGTCCAATTATACTTCATAAGGATTGTTATCACATAAAAGAAGGTTTTCAGCTATCCCGTGTACGTCTATATTCAAACGAAGCTCCGTTTATCATATTATTTATTTTATCAAAATGTACAATATAATAATAAAAAAAGCTGACTAAAGTTCAACTCTGCGGTATCCTGGTAATAGTTTGATGTGCCGGAATATTACAACCAATCACAGCACATTTCATAAAAGCACGTAGACGTAAATGGGATAGCTGGGAATCTGCTTTAAGATGCCATCCACAAACATATAAAGATTTATGTATTTCTAGGGTTTAAACATCTATGATGTTATCCTCATATACATATATATATATATATATATTGGTATTTCGTTAAATTTTAAGTAATGCGTTCGCAATGCATATACCGTGGCTTCAAAATTTTATTTTGATTTCTGGTATAACTAGAATTATGTTTATGGGGTACTCAATCCTACGCCCCTCTCTAGTTCGAGGACTGGCGATAGATAGAAATAGTATGGACACCATGCAGTTATTAATCATATAAAATTATTTTAAAATTTTAGATAATCCTCTTGAGCTATACACTTTAGTACTGTACGATGCTGATTTAATTAAAATGGCTGCATACAAAACACTTATCTATTTATTTAAGGTAACTACAATAAATTGGTTTTTCTTCTAACGGAAAAATTAAGTACCCGTCGTTATAATATGGTATCACTAATAAAGTGTCATCAAAAGAGGCCATTATGTTATGTAAAGTAATATTACACTCAATAAACATATGTCATACACAGTGCAATGTTGTGTCTTTCTTCTGATTTCTATAATTTGGTGTTTTTATTAGCTAATAATTATTATTAAACTCAAACTCGAACCAGTAAACTACAACAGTACCTATATTACTTTTAATTTTAAATATGATACACATTTTTATTTTAATAGTATTGAAAAAATTACATTTCCATTTGAATTTAAGTGTCTATACATAATCGGTAATTATTAGTAAAACTTCTAACATTTTTTTTTTCTTTACAATTAATACAATTAAATTATAAATTGTTAAAACAAAACTTAAAAAATATTGCATTTAATTTGCAATCTTATTTCAAAAATGCTAAACGTATCAGTGTATTACTAAAAATAGTTTTATTTTTAAAATTAAAATATCATATCGGCATCTGTCTTAAACCATTTTGATCTCACGTACAGAAACTACGTATATGCTTTGAAATAAAACCTATATTAAAAATATGTTATTTTCTACTTATTCTTAAATGTAAATAATATAATATAATAATATGCTTAAATGTTTAGAAAAGTAAAACGGACGAAGAGAAGAAAGAACTAATCATTCCGATTATTCATTCTGCCACCGAATTAGTGAAATATTACAGTGTTGTTTTGAATTGTCCTAAAATCAAATTGACATTTTACGAAGGTAAGCTATTGCTGTTTTCACCGGAATGTACTAAGCTGTTAGATTTATGTTATGTTTTGCCAATTATTGATTCCTCGTAACGAGGAATGTCTTGGTTTTCTATACTTAAGGGATGATTTTTTCTGATCTGTGAACTACTTATTTTATAAGAAATCTTACTCCGGTCATTAACTTTAGGAGTGGTTCATTATAGATAATTATGTCTGGTTAGTGCACGGTAGAAGCCATGTTTTGATTACTTAATTTTTGGGAAAACGCCGAAAAATGTATACAATATCGTTTTTTCATTTTTTATTGTCATTCTGTTAAAAAAAACTCATAGAGACGTTAAGGCGATTTTTGAGATATTTTTGGCTATTTTAAATTTTGTATTTATTGGGGGGGTTTTATTTGAGTTTTATGATGGCACAGTTAGTTTGGCTCTATCAAAATGGTCAACAATTTAGGACGAAAAACACACAATTTTCAAATCAAGTTTATTAATTCATGATTAATCGATAATCGTTTAGAATCGTTTTTCATTATTCATTAGCATTAGGTAACTTATCGTTTCGTATAGATATCGATTATGAGAGCGAAGTGTGACTCTTGAAAGACTGAATCAAGCAAAAATTAGACGTTATGAAAATTAGATGTTAAGAAAATACTGTTGTTTGTGGATCCCTGTTTAATAATGAGTTAATTTATTTCCAACGAAAATGAAAAACCATTGAGCTAAAATAAATGACAGAAGGGGAATATCTCGTCAAAGGGTTGACGGAAATTAAAAATGTCAACGTCAAAATGTATTTAAACTGACACTTAAGTCTTAGACTATTTATGGAATTTAAAATATATGTTACCACTTGAAAATCTAAATTAAGTAGTCAACTCACCCCCCAAAAAAAATAAAGGTTTGTTTCTAAAATTATAAAATAAAAATTACGAAAAAAGTTTATATAGTTTCCAAAAGATTGAAATGATCGTATATTTGTGGGCTGCATAGTATACTGAGTGTACAAATAAATTAAAGTAGACGAATCTTGTTTGTTTACGAAATTTAGGTTTAACTACATAAATATTTTAAGTAATATGAATTAAGACACTACTACATACAGGATGATGTTTTTAGGTATATTTTAGTTAAAGCTGATATTTTCGAATACTTAGATTTTTCACAAAATTTGAGAAGTATCCTGTGGTAATACCAACTTTCGTTTTTTAAATGAGAACCTATATTAAAATTGCCATAAAGATTTGGAGTATTACTTTAAATAAATTTTGGTGTCGAAATCTTAGGTTCAATTTTGACAAGATTCTCATTTGAAAAATTAAAGTTGAAATAATTACACCTTAGTGAATCACTCTCTATGTATATTTTTGTATACAAACTAGTATGTTTGTTTATACAATTAAAACAAATTAATGTATTATTGACTTTCTAGGTTTGTCTTATACAAGAAAGTGTTTTAAATATTACCCAGATGAAAAAGATGGTACATGTTTTAAATACAAAGCTCTATTGCTTGAATCCTTCTTTTTCAGTCATAAGGTAGAAATTAATCGAATAATGAGAAAATGGTTGGTAAATACGTATAAAAAAGCCATAGCGCTCATGCCAAAAGACAAAATGCTTGCGTTTTTGGCCGCGAAATTGGGGTGTGAGGTAATTCAAAATAAATTTATTTAAAATCCTTATTTAACCCACACAATTTAGAACAGTGGTGACCAACTATGGGCCGCGGGTCAAATCTAACCCGTGATCATTTATTAATCGGTCCCCCAAAATATTAAATTAAAATTGAAAAAAAAATAACTTAAAATTTTAAAAATTAACACTCACATTAAAAAAGATGTTTATACTTTACATTTTTTTTTCATTTATAACAATCAATACATAATAAATAATTAAATATATCACTGTACCTATATTAAGATGTATCTACAATAAAATATAATATTCTGTTAACTTAAAACTTGGCCCGTCAAGAATTATTTTTTTTAATGGCCCTCTATAAAAAAAGATTGGTCACCACTGATTTAGAGGGTTTAATATAATATTTTCGTTTATGTGTTATATATTTAAAACAAAATAAAAATAAAATTATTTTCATCAATTATTTATGAAATTATTAATATATAATAAGTTAATAGAATACCAATTGCGTGATAATTGTTAAAAATTGCTTCATTGTAGTCAGTCATAATATCCCTCGGAGAGTATATTATTATAGTCTAAATAAAGTTATTATGCAGAGCAAAGAAAGAAAATAGATTGAGATGGTACTGTTGTATTGGCATGTTGAGAGAATGAGAAAATATGATGAGGAATTCGCAAAGATGTGGGTAATTGCAGTGTAGATGAAATCCAGGAAATAAACTAAACGAAGAGTATCTAGAGGTTATTAGAAGAAATGTACGAGGGTGTGACATTATTTTAGTACGTATGTAGGACATTGGTACTTATTTTTTTTTTAAATTAACAACAATTAATCATATTTATATTTATTTTAAAATTTGTTTTCTAAATATTATATTGAATGTAGATTGATAGGTTGGAGGAGAAATGAATTAGTTCCATGACACCAAAATCCTAATAACGACTCTGCAAATTATAATCTTATATGCAAATAATTTGTATAGTACTAATTATATCATGAACAAGTACCAATATTGTAACTGTACTATAAGTTATACTATACATTTAAAATGTTTCGTTAAATCAATTTTTTTTTTCAGTTTAAATTACAGACAGAAAATAAAAATTTCTTCATGAGAAAAATCAAAGAATTGTATATGGGACCGGTAGTTGAAAATTACAATTGCAAACAAGAATTATTAGCAATAAAAGGCGGAGTCAAAGATCTCGGGACATACGAAGGAGAATATTATTATTTATTAGCTAAAGCTTTGGTAAACGAAGGCTTTTACAATGAGGCTATAGTTGCACTCATAAATGCACGGAATGGACCCGTTGTCGATGCAAAGGTACCATTTCAAAATTGACAATATTCGATATATTTTTTTTTATCCTATCAATAAAAATATTTGAAATTTGAAATATAAATTACGAAATTTTAATAATACTTTTACAGTACTTTCTATTAGGACTTTAAGTGTTAAATATTATTATTATTTTTATTATTATTATATAGCTACAGTACAAGATTATTATTACTCAACAATTAATTAAAATATACATATACGTATAGGTGTATAATATTATATGATAACTTATAAATTGCTTACACATGGTAACAAGTATAAATAATATGATTGCATAATAACAAAATATATAAATATAGAATATGAATAATTAGATAATGAGAAAAATATTAACTATGTACTTAATATCTATAACATCTATAACATGTATTAAATATGTAAACAACATGATATGGATGTAAGAAAGGTATGACGTGTGTCCTACGGAATGGGATTTTGTTTAATAAGAATGTAAGTGCAATTAGTTGTGGGTTAAGTTATATTAACAGTTATATTAATTTTGACAATATATGTTATGTAGTTTTAAATTACTCTGATTTGAAGAGGTATCCTAGATTTTGGGACGAGGTCAGCTTCAGTTTTGGCAAAAACTTCGTCTTGTTCCACCATTGCTAGCACTTCGAAACGATTTGGTGAAACGGAAAAACTTGCTTTTTTATCCTCGTGATCCGAGGAGTTTATGCACGTTGACGAGAGAGCTCTCTTTGATAGGGCTTTCATTGTTACCTTTTTAATAACTGTGTTCTTATTTAAAATAACAATTGGTGAAATAGTATGAGTCATTAATTAGGCGTGTTTAACGACTAATTAAAGGAAAAATATTGACGTACGATACGTGACACATTACTGAACGGCCACGCACTAGCTATCGCTTTGGCTGCCTGAGCCCAATTATTTTTTTTCACGGTTTTAATTGTGTTTATTTTAGATTTCTTAAAATTATTTTTGTTACAACATTCGTCCATTAACAACCTGTACAAATAGCGAAAATTTCTTCATAATTGGTAGTCGAATAAAATGGCAGATATCGTATTAATACAAAATTATCAATATTTACTGTCAAGCAGTCATTCACTGTTTATTAATAATTATAGTGTACCTACGTGTCTGGGCTCTGTATACTGTTATAGTTAACAGGGGAATCAATCGGGGCATTTTTCAGAGTAGTTATGATAAGAGTTACTCAGGAGTTTCAATTGTTCGCCCTTTTAGAGATGGGAATAGCATATATTACGCGCAGAGGTCTGAAAATGTATATTCAGAAACGGATGAGCGGGTCCGTTGTTATGCACCACGAATTCGGATTTCCTAATTTCAACCTCTAAAAGGTGACTGAACATGTTTTTTGTTGATTTATGAGTTACCTCGGCGACTAGAGTGAAAAAGAGTAATAATTATTATAACTTAATTTTGTTGTCATGACCAAAGAAATCTTTAAAATAAATTACCGGGCAACAACGGTTAACTGTAATAGAGACGTAGCGTTGATGTGGATACGGGATGATGCGTTTTTATTATTTTATTAAATACTGTGCAAAGCTAAGCTGTACAGGGTAAATATTAACAAATAATTTAGTACGTATTATAAAGAATTATTATATAATATCGTTTGCTTTACTTTACTTATACCGACTTACAAATACTTTAATGTAATGAAATAATTTAATTTTTTTTACTGATATAATAAAAACTGAACGGACTCACGGCATGGTGGCGTTGCATTATTATTATTGTGTATATATATATTTATTTCATTTATGTGTTTATTTATTAAACATTTTTTTTTTAATAAATATAAAATTTATTCATTTTAATATTAATAAATTTATGTTTCATTTATTTGCAGACTCGACATACCAATAAAAAAGTACAAGAGTACTTAGAAAAAATATATTTAATTCAACACGGAGACCTTTAACCGATGGAAAACATACTTGATATTATAAGTTTAGTTCGCAAATGTTTCATTGTTGATATATAATTAGTAGTTTAAAATCGCAATGTATTTAATAGGTTTCGAGTCTATATAATATAATTATATTGAAATTTATTTAAAAAATTAATAACGAGGACCACCCTACTATTATTTGTTTTGTTTTTATCTATATAACAAATTATAAAAATTATACTGTTTGACACCATATTATAGCTATGCATATTTGTTTTTATTTTTGAATAAATGTAATTAATATAGATAGTTTTATTTTTATAATTCTTCCTCATTGATGGGTCTATTAATGGAGGAAACAATAACGTCTCGCATATAGGTACCTAAATGGTTTTTCATCATTTATTATGATAATCAAAAATGGATTGGTTGGATAGAAAATCAAAAAACCAAAAACATTTTTTTTTTTGAGTTAATAATTGCACGTGTATCAAAGTTAAAAATTTGTTTTTATCTACGTATGTTGATGTAGACAAAAAATACGGTGATTTTCGCTTAATATAGGCACATTAGGACCAATTACATTTGCTCATATTAAGGTGGTTTCCCACATTCATTTATTTAATTAATTTCAATTAATTAACTAGTGACCATATTAATCGGAATCAACTGTATATGAATGAACTATATATACTTCCGTAGAATTATGGCAGAAGTTGATATGTACAATTTTACAATTTTCGGGAAAACGATTTTAAACTGTTTAAAGGTTGGTTGAATAGAATGAAAAAAAAAAATTTCCGATTTTCAGGCAAATTTATTCAATATTTTATAATTGAAATTCATAATATATTCGGATTTTAAATATTATAAAGTAAAAATCCAATTATTTTCCAAAAGTAGGTAGACATATAGTTACCTAGGTGAAAAATTAAGACGGATCATTACTTGCTATCAGATATTTGTTTAAGTTACGAACACAATATTATGTTTTACCATCCTGGTATTATCAAAATAATGATTTCAAATATGTACCACAGACATGTCGAATTTTCCCATTCTATATGTATGTATTATTCCATTACTCATCAGTTTTGTTCTTTACCCATAGATGTCTTATTAAATAGGTAGGTTAAATAGAGGTATATAGTTTTTTACTTCCACTTAGAACCTACCATTTTACAACTATTAAACATAGTTTTAATTTAAACATTAAAAAAAAATGAATTAAAATATAAACATTTGTAGTCTTCATCCCTGTGAGTAATCTAAAACAATTTGATTATCTTTATTATTTCCGGAGATATTCAAGGACATATATTCGTAGATATTCGGAGATATCTTCGTAGGACAGCCTGTATGTCAGCTTCTGTCATAATTATACTGATTTATATAATATGATTAATACAATTAATGTGATGATATAATCATCATAACAGCTACCAAAGCAGTGGTTTTAAGTATTTTTGGGTCCACGACTCTTGTGATTTTGAAATCCAAATTAGCCGCTCCCTTATAAATAATGACAACCATACAAATTAAAATGAATACCGTGTTACTTTATTATATTTATTATAGACGCGGCTCCCTTGATACTAAACTACGACGCGCCTGGGAGACACGACGCGTACAGGCTGAAAACCACTCCTCTACAGGATATATTATTTTCGAGGAGTAAATTTTATTATGTCGTATCGGATTAACCGTAGGTTTTTTTTCAATGTACCATATTATTGTGTAAACAAATTGTAATCATGTATCAAAGGTTTATTCAAAGGTACATTCAAAGGTTTTGTACATTTTTTTTAAAATAGAACATATTAATTTATTTACAGTAATGTTTAGTTATGTTCAACTGATCGTTATTTTTTCAGATAGTACTTTCATTATATAATAAAAATAATGTCATTTTGAAATTGTAAAAAAAAAAAAAATCGCTCACCTATTATATTATTTCCATTTAGTTTATGTATATGCAATAATGAACAATTTGTTTTAAAATAGTACCTATCAATGCCTCACTAGTGTATTTTATTGTTACCTGCAATTATATTATATATAAATAGACAAAACAATCGTATCGTATTATAGGTACAAAACAAAAAACTATAATTATTATTCAATTGACAAAATTACATAAAACAGATGTTACAGTCTCGTTCATGAATTTGTTCAGTATCTGGTCCGTAAACGATGTTTGGTAACGTATTTTATTTGTATGCTATAATTCCAAAGTTTCAACAAGAAAAAGTAGTTGTTAACTGTTAACTAAGTGTTTTCAAACAAATATAAGTCTATATTGTATTACAGAAAAACATGGAGATCAAAAGATCATCACTCTGTACGGCCGTTATTTTGTTCACTCTGGCCATCATTTCCATCACAATAACAGAATGCAATGATAAAAACACTGGTAAAATATTACTTACGTTATCGTAAATATTATAATTGTAAAATAATGTCAACGGCAACGTTGTTCGTTTCTGGGCCACGAGCCGTCCTGACAATTTGCGGGGTTCGGGGCAAAGATAAATTGGGAAGTCTAAATTCACATGCATGTCTACAGAATGTATTTAGCCCATGTTTAACGGTGAAACAAATTGAAGAGAGATGTTTGGGGTCTTGGAGGCATTTAATTATTTCAACAACTTGACATTTTTCGATACGAATATCATTATTATAATTAAAATTACCGCCATTCCAGCCCTGCGTATTGCGCGTGGCTCTTTAGTGTTAGATACGTGCCCACATATGTGTTTCATGTTTTACCGAGTTTATATTGTTTTTCGCAATGACAAAACAAAACGCATGTGTTTATACGAAATAAAACCGTTTGTATTTGGTTAACCTAAAATAGTTGAGATTGTGGAATGAAGTCGAAAGAAAAATGGAAGAAGACTGTTTGAATGCTAATCACGTGACAATAATTGTATGCGATCAATACAATGTGTACATATTATGTATGGCTATTTTTCAAATTATGTACATAGCGTTATTGATTTTTGACATTTAAATACATTATAAAATCATATTCAAGTTATTATACCTGCTCAATCGTATACAAACTATTATAATATCATACGATTACAGATAATCTTTTATGAACAGTTAGATCAACCGTATTTAGATTTAACGAACAGCATTAATGTTTTTCAAATATAATCAAATTTATATCTAGAGGCGATCGACGGAGGGTGAGGGGGATATATGCCCTCTCACCTATTCTACCTATGGCCTATTCTCCTTCAATATAATAATACAAATTATTATAAAAAACATGTATGTAAATCTACAATGGTTGAAAAATGTTAAAAATCAACCTCAAACTCCCACGTTTTATTTGCCATTTTGATCGATATATTAGATAATGATAGTTGATATGGTTGATATGATATTATGTATATCAATGATAACAATTTATAGCCTCAAATCCGGAAGGTCCCTGTGAATGATAAACATAGATTTTTATTATAACTACAAAATAATATGCATAAAGAATATTTTATTTAAATATCATTAAACTAGATGGAATATTAGTTTAATCACATTTATACAATGTTATCTGTATAAACAGAAACTACTATATTAAATATTTATTAACATACCCAATCATTTTTTTCTCTAGGTGCTCAACCCAAGCAATCAAATAACGTGAACTTTCGGCAGAAATTAAAAACAAGTAATTTATCAATAAATAATAAATGATCTGTGAGTGGAAAATGTCTATATAATAAAATTTTTGTTCAATCGTCTAGGTTACAACTCTTAATGTAAGTATACTAATTATTCTTATTACATTTTTTAGGTACTGCGGCAAGGTTATTTAACAAAGGTAAATCGCATTATTAAGTATATAAAATACCGTATAAATTGTGTTCATGAGTAGTTATTTTTTAGTTGTCGGATTTACACCAAAACTTAAAGAAAGTAAGTATAGAAGTTATAAGTACTTACAAATAATACTATTAAATAACGAATTACAATAAAGATTTTTACGCAATAATGTATTAGATAAATATTAATTTATTGTTTTTAAATAGGTATGCTATTCTAGGTAAAAATATCTTCGCAAAATTATCCTGTACTAGTTAATAATCTCATAATAAATAAAATTATAACCTGAAACCCAGGACTGGATTAAGGTTTCTGCAGTCCATAGGCTATAATTAATTTGTCACATTTCAAATACGTACTTATTCGTGTGCATAGTAAATATATACATGCAAATAATATCTACATAGTGTTAATAATGTATTATTATCCATCGAAAACAGTGTTTTTGAAAAACTTGTAAAGTATCTATACGGAGTGATCAATCTATCGTAAGACATTTACTATCTGAGAAAGTGTAAACTTTTTTTAAAATTTGTTTTAAACAATATTTAAGAAACAAACTGTTTTGCAATTTTACATTTACATTATTTTTTGTCATCCTAATTTTTGGGGGTGAAACGACTACCTACTTTTGATTTTAAAATGGCAACTTATACTAAAAATTTCATAAATAGATGGCGTACTGGTTAAAAATAAATGTTAGTGTTTAAATTTGTAATTTTACCCCCAAAAATTAGGGTGACAAAAAATAACATATATGTGAAATTATAGAGCTAATTTCTAAAATTGTCTAGTAACAAATGTCGAAAAAAGTTAATACTTTTCGAGATAATGCGTGTTTTATAACAGATTGATCACCCTATATATATTATTTATATATCTACAATTTACAAGTTAGGATATTTAATTCTGTGAGCGAATTAAATTTCTGGTTTTTAAACATATTTTAATCGATATACCTACTAAACCATATTAAAAAACTTCGAAAGAATTTGATAACATAATATATTATGCACATGTCTATAAAGTAGAAACCTAAATAAATACTTTTTTTTTTTTTTTTTGTAAATAATATTGTTAGGATATAATTTATATTTTGATAGGTACTTTGTTTAATATTGGCTAGTATGAATTTATATTCAATACTCTCATGCTTATATTAATTTTGATATTGATAAATAATAGTACACATATTATGTTACGAATTTATTTTTAAACTTATAATAATAATGTTACAAATATATAATAATATGGTATGGGGTCATTTTGGCGAATCGTTTTCGGCGAAATTATTTATTTATTTAGAGTGAAAAAAATTAAAAAAAAAAGCTGATACTGGGGACAGTTATGCTACTGTTGTAGGTGGGAAGTTGGGAAGGTAGAATCATAAAGGTATTTCGTTTTTGTCTGTATACAAACACAACAATAAACTATCGCTAACGAAAAAAGGATTCGGAGCCAAGTTCGGGGTAAGACATATTTTGAAATATATTTCCTGAACAAAAGATGGACAAATTGACAAATAAGTAAAGATAAAGTAATTTGATTCAATGTTGCTATGCATATTATTACGATAACGTTTGATCCGAACCAATATTATTATTAGAATTTGGATTGATAGTATTATTTTTGGAGACTATAAAACGTAGAAGACAAAAAGTTTGACATATTAGTACAGATAATAATGTCTGATTTTTGCTCCAAATAAATAAATTGTTTTGCCGATATATCCTTTCACCAAAAACGATTCGCCGAATTGTCTTTTCCCAAGGTGTCCTAGATTCTAATAATATCCCATTCTCAACCAAAACAACACCGTAACTAATAACTATGTAGATCGTAGTTACTATACGGACGTACGGGCACAACGTAAGGTGTTTAAAATTAAAGAATTCTTTTTTAGACAATTAAAAGAAACTAAAATGCTTGCTTAAGTTATCGATTTAGATACACCGTTAAGTAAGTTGTGAGAAGTAATTATATTATCGTTGGTCATTTTAAACTAATATAGATGACGTTACAAAACTTCTGGACTTGGTATTGTACGATGCCGATTCAATTAAAATGTCAGCTTATAATAAACTTATCTATTTGTATAATAAGGTGAGTTTTATTTTTCGGTAAGCTATTTATTGTAATGGAACATATTATTTGCAGTATTTGCATGTATAATCAATTTTTAATGTTTTTTTTTTTGTGTATTCATTGAAATTTATATCGTATACTGCAAGTACCAGGGTGTTTTGACAGAATGACGCACGTGTATTGTTTATTGGTTTTTGTGTAAATTGTTGTTTAAACACATACCTAAGTATGTCAATAAGAAATTTAACAATTTAAAACTTAATGTTATGTTTAAATCTTTAGAAAAAAACGACCGGCGAGACCGAAAAATCGCTTATCATTGCAATGATTCGATCTGTGACAGAGTTGATAAAATATTACAAGGTTCTTTTCAATTACATTAAAGTCAAACAGGCATTAGTTGATGGTAAGTTAACAAATTATTATAATAAATTAATAATGTATTTTATCTTCGTTTAATATTTTACGTAAAGAACCAAATCTTAACTTGTGCATCATGGTAATTTTTTTATGTGTATGTAAAAAATGAAATTTTACTGATAATATAAACTAATCTAAGATAATTTACATCAGTACTGTAGTCAGAAAAAAATTCGACGGGGGGGGAGGCACTTATAATTTCTATTAATACCTATTATATTTTAAATTGACAAAATATACCAAAATAACCATAACTACTATTAAACGAATGATTTCAGGGGGTTCACTTTTTTCCAGTGCCCCCTGGCTACTACACTGCTTTATATTGTGAAATGATGAATGTTAATATAATTTGTAGAATGAATTTAATACTTGTATTTAATATACCCATGATTAATTAACTGTTCAAATTTTGATCATTTTAAGGTCTGCGCTATTCGAATAAATGTCTTAAAATACCAGATGCTAAGAACGAATGTTATAAATGGAAAGCCCTGTTACTCGAAACCTACGTGTTTAGACATAAGTTCATACTCACCCGTTTTACCAGAATGTGGTTTAATGGCGCTTATGCACGTGCTCATGAAGTAATTCCAGATGACAAAATGCTGAAGTTTACAGAGACCAAAGTAGCATGTGAAGTAAACGAAGATAATTTTATACGATTTTCATTGTCTTCATTTGTACTTTTTTTTTTATCATAGGACATAATTATAGTAGGTTTTTTTTTTTTTTTAAGATCAAATTAATGGTAGAAAATAAAAATGGTTTTACCAGAAACCTAAGTATAATTGTTAAAGGAATCACTAAGTCCGAGCGAAATTTCGATTGCATTAAAGAATTATTAAAATACGAACAGGAAATTGAAAATGTTGGATCGTATCCCGGAGAGTATTATTATTTATTAGGAAGAGCATATGCGAAACAAGGTGACAATCAAAAAGCTATAGAATGTCTCGCGAAAGCTCGTCTTGGACCAATTGTATGCCAAAAGGTAATAATAACTTTTAAATTCAAAACTCACATTATCTTAAAATTTGTGTACAAAAAAAAAATTGTATTAAAATATTATAGATTAGAACCAGAACGAATAACTAACCCTCTGCCAACAAATTATCCTAAAACTAAAAAAAAAAAAAACAGAGTAAATATAATACACACGCATCGATAAATAAATGATTTTATCTTATAAGATAAATTAAAAACACAAAAATGCTTTCAAATTATGAAATAAAAACATAAATACAAAAAATAAAAATATTACCTGGCCTAAAGCACACTAATTATCTAAAATAAATTTAGTTCCTGTTCATTAGTTTTTTTTTTTTTTTTTAGTTATTTTGCATTTATCATATAACTTGATATTTTTTAACAGACTCGTCATAAAAATAAAAATATACAAGAATTGTACGAAAAACTATATATCTTTAATCATGGAGTTTTCTAAATACTTGAAAGTACGTATATTTTATAACATATACTTTAATTATTAACTTTTTTTTTTTTTTTATAACTACTCGTATGTATACTTACAGTATAACTACAATAATTATCTGAATACTATAGTATTATATATTATAATATATAATATATATTATTACTATAGTTTAGTATGAAAACGCAGTTTTTCATTATTTTTAAAAGTTATAAATACACGTGATTGAATTGTTTTTAATATTAAATTTGTTAATAATATACAATTAAAAATTTATCTATTTATATTCTACTTATTCTTGATTGATTTATTATTAAAAAAGAAAGAAATTTTAGAATAAATTACTGCTTTGAATAAACCTAATAAACCTAAATATTAAAAATTATTTTATTGTTAGGTGTTGAATAGGTATTTATTATAAAGGAAACAAATATTGTGTCCATTGCAAACTCAGAAACCAAAGGTCCATAGCAGATATGTTACAGTAATACAGTTAATAACCAGCACCTTTAAAAACTAAAGGTATTTAAATAGGCGACGAAAATCAAAATAATAAGATAAACAGATAATTCTAATTTATTAGTAATGAATGATAATATTGCAATCAGTGAAAAGTAATTACGTTTACAAAACAGACAAAACACTATTGATGAAAACAAAAACATGTTCGAATTGTTAACAGCCGCGCTGTACAAATATAAACACTGACGCGTCTGTGCCGTCCCATGGTTAATTAAATTGAAGAGTAGATAGGCAGAACTATACCTACTCTAGAATCTACACCTATAAAATAAATTTTCAATTGGACTCTGCGATCTACCCACGTCCTCCCGGTTTGAGTATTGAATGTGTCACATTTAAGGCTACTCGTGTACCAATTGAAAAAACAAAAAAACAGAAAAACCATAAAAAGATTTTTATTTACAAAACTATGTACTGTGCAACAGATGTTATAGTATAGTCCTTGTATTATTTACTTTACTAATTTATTAATTAGTTTTTTTTTTTCTACACCAGTTTTTTAAATAATATTAATTGTACAGTTCGGTATCCGGTTCGTTAACGTTTAGTAACGGTACTAAATATTAGTTTTGTTATCAACCCGTTTACGTTTACCAAAACAGTGTTGTTTACCTACTTGATCAAGTGTTTTTAAACATATATATAAATCTACAGAGTTAGACGGGAAACCATCATGGAGATAAAATCGGGACTCTATATTGCCGGTATTTTGTTTGCACTTGCCGTCATTCTTACGTCCACAGATTGCAAAAATGAGAGAAAAACTGGTAAAACTATGTGACGTTATCGTATTTAAATATATTATTATGGAATTGTAAATAATGGTAATGATTTTTATCCGGTAACATTCCCTATATTAGTGTAGGCAACGCGATCATAAGGGGTGTCCGTGTCTGTGATCAATAAAATGAATTTAAAACTGTATTATAAGAACGTATAGGTATATTATGATATTCTATTTTGAAATTGAAATCTTATTGGTTAAGAACACATTAGTGCGAAGGACATAAATACTAATTTTATTTTTGTAATTGTGAACAAATCAGAAGGTATAGATCGATAGGTATAGAAGGATCGATAACATTTTTTCAAGTTTAACATATATTTGATTTTATTGTATGAAATAACGTATTAATGTATATAGATATAACTACAGAAACTAAAAAAAAAAAATGTTTCACACCAGCATAATAAATAACAATATTATCAATCAATTGTTAATTTAGGTTTAGGTATTTGTAGTATTTAAAATCCATAAAAAGCACTTAAATACGTCAAAAAAGCTCCGCAAAAAAATATTTAAAGATCTTAAAATTGTAGACATGATTAATTCTAAGGTATGTTTTTTACTTGTAATTGCTACTCTTAAATCTGCTTCAACAATCAATCTTTTTATTAATATTTGTTTTTACTATCTAGTGTCATAAAAAAATAAACATAGTACCTATATAACTTTTTCATTAAGTGTTAAATTATTGGTGACCCCCTATTATACATTTTGCGACCACCAGTTTGCTCACCAATGGTATAATCGGTAAATTGGGTTGGAGGGGGCTTGTCTATGAAATGTCAAGGAACAGGTGGAGTACGGATTACGTTAATTGATGAGGATTTATTTTATCTATTATAAAATTTAAATGTCCGTATTAATGTTTATGACTTATAATTCAGTGTTGATTCCTTCATATATTGATGACATTTGTTATTCCATAATGATTGGAGTCATTGAATATTTTAAATAATATCTCCCCTGTAGTTATCGGTTTGTCAGTAAATAGATATTTACCGAAACTCCGAAACTACGGTTAATTGTTAATTGTACATTGCTATTACACTTATCGTACAATTACTATTACCGTGTTCCATGTAAATCGTGTGGTTATCAGATTACCACTTACCGTATAATATAATAAATATATAGTCTAGAATATTTAACTATTTAACCCAGTGGTTAAAAAGACGGTTAGATGGTTATTTATATGGTTATTGATGATTTATGTAATCATCGTTTTACCCAAATAATGTTTTTTAATATGTTGAATAATTACTAACAATTCTGGACAATGACATAACATGATCTTCACGAAATATGGTGACGAACAACACCTTTATCGGGTTTTCTATAGTTGACGAAACAACGGTATAGTTATCGGTTTGTCGGTAGTTACCAGTATTTTCATGTACCGGTATTTTGAAATATTAACATTTTAAAATACTGGCGATTCAACTGCATACCGAAAATACCGCAAGCTCTAAACTATTATGATATATTTTTTATGTATGTTTATGTTCATTTGTTTGGTGGTTACATTGCGGAATATTAGTGATAAGACAATTGATAATTATTTTTGTGATGAAAAACGGTACTTATTACATTTTTGCAACTTTGAATTACTCGACGACGGATGAACTCTAAAAGATGACATAATTAGAAAGGTAATCGAATGGAATCGTTTTTATTTCGTTAATTGGACGCACTTTTTTCTAAAGAAAATTGTGATTAAAATATCCTATAGTATTCAAAACGTTCCTTTTCCAAAGTAAGTACCTACTATAGCCTTTTGCAAAACTAAATTGTCTATGCATTATTATTATTCCATCGATATGAATCATCAAAACGTTCAGTTTTCATCGTTGCTTATGTTATTTCATATAACTATAGTCTACACGTAAGAGCATTCGCTGGTTGAACTTTAGGTAGTTTATAGGTAGTCGTAGTCTGTTTAAGCGACAGATATGATAACTAGTATTATGTTTACACATTGACCAAAAAATATATGTTGAATTTAGGTGAATAAATAGTTTTAATCTGATTTCTCATGATTAATTATTGTAAATCGTAAATTTGACGATTATTCAATCTAAGTTTTATGCGAACATTATATTCCGGTATCAATTCAAGTACAAACATTATGACGGCGCCTCGGGAAATATCTTATTATAATATATAGGTGACCACTGATGAGTCTGTTTGATAAGTCATGAAAAGACAACTTGGTAATAATATATTATTCTGTTCCACACACGGTAACAGTTCACATACATAATAAAATCACTTGAACGTTTTATTTATAGGTTATATGCTCTTAAACCGTCGTCACTCGCACTATTTCTGTTGTTACCTTTACTCGCACGGGGTATTATTATTTTTTTTTTTTCAAATTTTGTTTCTTATATGTATTGTATGAGTAAATAAATTAAAACCAACCTAGATGTAAATAATTGGTTTCCAAGTTTTATTTAGACCACTTTAATACAATTAAATTATATTACAAAACAATTGGATTATAAAAAAATTATTAAAAACTAGTGTGAAAAAAAAATGTTAAATACAAATATATTTGTTCGTTATATTATTATTTACCATAGCCTATTGAGCATAGCAATCCGGACACTCTTCGATTAAATGATCATGGCATATTAATTTAACACGTGTCGCGTAAACGTTTATTGTTTTGCGATCAAAAAAACATAAAAACAAGAAAAAAAAAACTGAGAATGAATTGCTCGTATGGAGTAAATTATTTCCAAACACTGATACTGATCACTTTATGTACTTTTACCAAGAGAACAAAAAACCAAGATAACACAAAACTGGTTACATTTTACCTATAAACACATTATTCGAGGCTATATAAATGTACGAATATTTATATTCACAATAATATTCATAAAATTATAAATAAAAATAAGCTGGGATCATTATTTATCTCGAGTGAGTGACGACGGATTAATTCTTAATCTATTTACTAATGACAATTATTTTAATTTAATTTTTCAGGCGCCGCGGCAAGGTTATTTAATAAAGGTAAACCATTTTGCAATTGAATATTGAAATATGAAAACATTGTCATATATTAATTTGTTTTATAAATTATTATTTTTCAGTAATTGGATTTACACCAAAACTAAAAGAATGTAAGTACCTATCTACGAAGATACATTTTTTAGTAGCCATTTATTCATTTATTCTGAATTATACAACTAACACAAATTAAAAATACGACTTTTGCATTGCACTAAGAAAAATACTAGCGGAACTATTGCAAATATATTTATACAAGTTTAAATCTACATCAAATTAAGAATAAAGTTTATGAACAAAGAACGTATCTATAAAAACAGACCGGTTTAATTTAAATAATTATCAAACAAAGAAAATGTTTAATAATATGGTCCCAATAATATTATGCTTTTGGTATAACTTTTTTTTTAGTCCAAATTATTAAAAAAAAAACTCCTGCTCAATAAATTAAGTGAATTAAGTTTCTCTATAGATTATCTCTAGTTGAAACTTGAGATTGTAAGTAGCTGTTTTGAGAAGTACTCTCAAAACCTATTTAATAATTTTACCTCTATGTATTTATGTATATTGAATGCAATACTGTTACGTTCGGTTAATTAATTTGCATCGTTTGTTATTTTAAACTTATAGATGATATTACGAAACTTCTCGATTTGATATTGAACGATGCCGATTTAGTCAAAATGGCAGCGTATAATAAACTTTTCTATTTGTATAAAAAACAGGTATTTTTTGCAACAGTACTTTATTATTATTTAAACATGAATTTATTTTTAGATTATTTTTTGTGTTTTATATGTTGTATTGAATTAACGTATAGTGAATGTCCCCTAACCTAGCGTTAAGTGTTTTATTGTTTATGTATTTGAATTATATATTTGTATAATATAACAAATAGTAAAAAAACGCTATAAGTAAAATAAAATAAGTTTTAAGCCGTATAAAATGATTAAAAATAGAGTAATTCAAGTTATAAAATTTCAATTTGTATTCTGAGCACACGGCAGTGCGTCGGCGAAGTTCTAGCAATGCCGGTGTTTCTTTACACGAACCATTTCACCAGGTTTTAGAACCCTCATATTTCTGTTTCCTAGTCATAAAATATTATCAACTTTAAAAGTTTTTCGTGGACTTTATTACCTAAAACATATCTAACACAGATAGCAAGTTGGTCCAAAATAGAAACATCTTGTGTAGAATCTACCATAATAATAAATATTTTAGCTTGTTTTATTGGTTTGATTAGTTTGTTTTTAAAAGTTTTCGATAAAAAAAGTAACCAATGACCCCCTTCCATGACCATGAACTCGATTAGCATTTTTAATATTACATAATTCTTTTTATTTTCGCTTATTATTTAAATATATACTATTTTGTATATGTTGATCGGAAGTAAATTGAAAATACCAATTGATAAAACTGCGGCAATTTAACTGCACAGATAAGACGATGCGTATGTAGGCAAACTGTACGGTTTTAAGTTTCATTATAGTGTGTTTAAAATACATTTCAACCCAAGAATCGCGAGAGCGTCATCTGTCGTCGTCATGTTATTCGACTATGACTCCATGATTCATTACTATTGTACAGTCAAATTACTTAGTTTTAACTGAAGTTGTGCATGCAGTAGTGTAGAACAATTTATATGTACAAATAAAATTGTACAGTCGTATTGTCCTGTTTTAACAGTACTTTTGTAGCCTCTTGTAGCTACTTACTTGGTATAGTTCATATTTACACATTTAAACATTGTTACGTACAATAAATAATTCGGTGGAGAGGAAGAAGGTTTATTTTGGTAGAAATGGACTAAATTTGTGAATATTGGTGGAAAATGGCAAAAGACACGTTTGGTGGAAAAGGGAAAGGTTCATTTTGGTGGAAACGAGTCACGCCCCATATTATTATATGTTTACATTCGAGTTTGGACCTTAGTGGTTTTGATAGGTAGTTGAATTTCGATAAATTTAAATACTATACTATGTAATATTGTAGTTGGGTTCCGTAGGGAATATAATGATTGGGTCTGAACGTTTAAAAGCAATACATAAAATTTTCCTTCTTATTTTCATAAACTCAGAACTTTTATTTAGGATTTATTTTTCCAGTCATTTTATACATTGTTTATACATTTTTAAAGACTAAATTTACTTTTTCTGAGTTAATAAAAATTAACACATTATACCTATTTAAATTAATTTTAATAGTGTATTATTTTTAGATAATGCATTATTGCATAAAGAACAACCTTCAAAATATAATTATCTAATGTACATATTTCCCTACTTTTTAAGTTAAAATTCTAGTACATTAACTATTTAATTTAATTTAAATTGTACTTTTATATAATATTGAGATAATTCACTATTGCATTTGCACTCTATTATTTTCCTTAATGTCTTACCATATTTTCTTGTAAAACTTATTTAATTTTGTAGGTACATTAAAATACAATAGTGCCAATGTATATAATTGCAATTTTTCTATAAGAAAAGTGGTTTATCAAAATTGCATTTTTCGAATAATTGCACTACCGTTCTGGAAGTGCGAAGTACCAGGTTAAGGCTATCGCTATATCTGGGATAGGAGACCAGACCCTACTCAGTCCTAGCCCTGTATCGAAGTATCATTGTATTCATCAGAAAGTAGCCAAGTGTTAGGCAATCGAAATAAAAGAGAAGTTGCTCATGAAAGTAGGAATAAAACAAGGTCATGGACTACAGAAATAGCAGATTTGGTTATAATGTAGATGTCACTACTTGGATGTGCTTAATTTTTTATTTTTAGCTGAGAGGAGGGGGGGTCTGGAACTGAATTATTTTTTCATAGTTAAGTTTTTGTTGGGGATAAATATTATTTTATAAATGGAAAAATATGTGCTTGCGTTCATTTAAATTAATGTTTTTATTATTATTTTTTTTTGTGAACAAAATTTTTTTTAAATAATTTGTCAATTTCTGAATGTTTAAATCTTTAGGCAAACACGACTTCAGATGAGACCAAAAAATTGATAGCCGTTGCAATGATTCGATCTACCACAGAGTTAATAAAATACTATAGTGTAGTTTTCAATTACATTAAAGTTAAAATTGCATTGGCTGATGGTAAGTTTATAAAATATTACATTAAAGTAACACATTTTACCTCTACTTAATTATTTTGTTAAAACATATTAATCATTTTATTTTATTGTGTGCATTATTACATTATATACATACATTAATGGGCTAGTGTCTAAGGTACAGATAGTTCAAAGACAACATTAATTCATTTAAAAATGATACATTTTAAATTATAACATTAAAAACATTAAAGATTGAGGACTTCTTGTTAGCTTAATATATTGTTCAATGAACAGGATTGATACGGCCATAATCAGTGTGATGAAAAGGGATGTATAAAGGAGTAAGTAATATGGAAAATCTACTAGGAATATAAAATTGACCTTCCCCAATAGTTCAGGTGCATTAACTAAACTATTAATTAGTTTGTTTAGAAAATGTTAGCATGCAATCTTCTGTCGGATGAAGTACTAAGCTTTAAGTGACGTAAAACAGTGAAATAATCACGAGGTGGATGCTCAAGTTTAAGAGAAAAAGAAGCAAAACTGAGAAATTTATACTATATTCTTTCAAGCAGGGAAGAGTCAGATACAGTATATGGGTCCCATACATTTAATTTAACAATTTGTTAGGTTAGAGGAAAAGAGCCATTATAAAAAAGAAGACAATTTGAAATTCAAAGAAATACGTCTATTAAAACCCAATACTTTCAGAGCTTTAAGTAATGTGCTTCATGTGAGGATCGAAATCTCAATTTAAGGGGAAAAAAAATATCCAACAGTGGGCTGAGTACAAAAAGGTATTCGTAGAGCTTTTCTAAAGATTTAAAATTGAGATTTGACTGTAGTTAAAAATATGATTTTGCTTATGGCGAGTAACTCACCTAATTTATGAACTAGAGTAACAGAAGACATTTTACATTTGTTCAGAAAAATACCACCATTTAAAGAACGTCTAAATATCTTATATTATAAGCCATAGTGGGAAATTTTATAATTGATAGAAAAAGATCCAGGCATGTTCACTTGTAGTACTCGTATATGATAGTTTATTTAACCTCATATCTATATATATTGGAAACTGGGAATAAAGAATTTTTAGGCTGAGTATCTAAGAAAAAGGCTATCATATAGAACAGTACCACAAGTAGGTTTGAATATAGAAGAAAAATAGATAGAAAACACGTTAGAAATTTGATCATTTTCTGAGCAGTATTGGTTATCAAGGCGCATAAAACAAGAAATATACTACCAGGAACGATAAATTTAGATGACATGTAATAAACTTCAGGGATAAATTTGAGAATGGAAAAATGCAGGGCATCATACAAACCAGTATGTAACTGAATTGATAATCAGATTCCGTTTTATTTCAGACCAATTAAAGGAATTTAGAAAAGATAGTATGCTAGTGACCTACGGAAGCCGAAATATGCATGGAAATTGTTGGAAATAATGTTGAGGGTTTAGAATAACTTCAAAAGCAGGATGATAAGAATCGCAAAATAAGAGAAAATTTAGACATTTATCAATCATTATTTATTTATTGTTAGACAAATTTAAGTCAAGAAAACAATAAGCTGAATTGAGAACACAATTTAATTGATAAAAGTTATCAACGGTAAAAGTCTCAGAAACACAGGAAATAGACGCCTTAGAGCAAGAAGAATATCAGAAGCCATTAGGGTCGTTAGACCAAGAGACCTGGTAAATTGCAATCCCCATAAAATATAAATATATAATTTGGATTAGTAAGAATTAAGGATTCGACAGTTTACATATGTGATTCATAACGTAGGAAGGACTTGAGAGAGGTGTATATAGTCACAAGAGTTAATATCATTGAAAATTGCAATGAAAATTTCACCAACCCTCTTCAAGTTACTTGTTAATCTATTTCAACCAATAAACTTAATACCAGTGAGAATATGGGCATAATTCTTCATAGTTTCAGTAAGAGAAGAAAGTAAAAATACAGCTTCCGATTTAATTGAATATATATGAAAAGCATTCTGTCGTATAAAGTACGACACGCGCCTGCTCGTGTAATACACAGTAGCGCGCCTGCCAAAAGGTTAATTTTGAAAATAGTTTTTAGTGATCACATAGTAATGTTGATATTTATAAAAATTCTGAACAATTTGACGTTTGAATGAATTATGATAGTGAATGTAGACATGGTATTAGAAAATATTTTACTGTCATCGGTAATTTTTCCTCGTAAAGAAGAATCAGTGGACTAAAGAATACAACAGGCAATTACGTTAAAGAACATTTATCATGTTCCGAAATTTCTTGGATAAGTTGAACGACAGATAATTGGGAAAAGAAAAAATTTGAACCTTCAAGCTTACATATTTTACTTATTATTGTAGATAATTTAGCATAGTCTAAAGTTCTCGGCTTTGAGATCGGAAATATGAGAAGAAATATTAAGTTTCCTAGGTTCAGCTTAAGTTGAACTGAGCTGATTGCTTCTCATTATTCTGCTTATTTAAATTTAATAGTTTCTCTTGAGACAATCACAGGACTGTAATGGCTTTAACAATATAACTATATTGAGAACTCATAGACGAAGAGCTGGAGATTTAGTCACTTTTTCTGACATAGTGAAAAGCGCCGTGAAAAAAATTGACTGCAATTAGATATACGCACCTGTATACCTAAGAACAGAAATCGATATTAACTTACAGGAGAATAGTAGGTCTGTTTCCTCTACGCGAAACAAGACGAACAAAAATAATGACTAGCGAATAATAAAGATAAGAAAGCGAAAATGACACACGTACATCTGTGAAGTTTCCCCTCACGTCTGAAACATCCCCGACAAATTGTAAGTTAAAGCTTTTTAATTGTAGGTAAATGTAAGTTTATTTCCGGAATTTGTAAGTAAACGCTAACTAAGTTATTAAATAAATTAGGTTTTAGGTGACAGTCTATTATGTGTAATATAAACACTAAACAGCAAACAGGAAAAAAAAAACATACTCATATAAAAATTAATTCATATACTCATATAGACATTATAAATAACATTTTTAACTGATTTTTGAAGTTAAATATAACATAAAAGAAAATTGTAAACGAAAACAGGGTTTATTTCTAAAAAAAATAGAAAAGGGATTACCGTTTTGATAATCAATCCTTCACTAAGATTTCTTATTTTAAATATTATTTATCACATTATACACAAGATAGGTACTAGGTCTAAAATATGTGCTTGTCATTAAAAATCCAAACACTAAAAACCTAATTTTTTAAAGGTTTCATTGAATTTTTTTGTATTAACAAAAACTGAAAAACCCTGCATAATGATATTATAGAGACTCCTCAAAACTATTTCATCATTATTATTTATTCATGTTTTGTTTAATACAAAATTTCGGATAATAAATTACAGTTTTTTAATACCTAATATAGTAATTTTCTGTATACTTAACTTAAAGAAATAAAAAATATAAAACCTTAAAAATATAATACCTTATTACTTAATTATAATAAGATTTGTCTGTGTCGAGGGTTTGTCAATCATAACTAAATTAGTCCAGTAACTTAGTTAGGGCCAAATTGTGAAAATTCCGAGAATAAACATACATTTACTTGTATCTTATTATATTTAATCGCAATCCAAGGGCTATAACTTACAATTTATCCGGAATGATTCGGCTGTGGTGAGAGAGACAGATTCACAGATGTGACACACGCGTCCGTTCTGTACCAATGACTGATATTAATAGTATTATAATTATATTATCAATTTATCATTGAGTAAATGTAAAACCTAAGCCAAACTTGTGGTTAATGATGATTGTTGTAGGACTTGAATATGCAAAAAAATGTTCTAAAATAAAAAATGCAGAAGCCGAATGTAATAAATGGAAAACTATGTTAATCGAAGCTTACGTATACAGACATAAGTTTGCAATCGACCGTATATCGGTTCAAAAGTTCAAAGAGGCTTATGCACGTGCTAAAAAAACAAATCCAGATGACAAAATGATTAACTTTCTCGGGACTAAAGTATCATGTGAAGTAAATGAAGATTAATTTTATACAATTTGTATGGGCATTGAAAGCGTTTTTTGGGTTAAGTAAATATTTTGTTTTGTTTTAGGTAAAGTTAATGGAAGGGAATAAAAAAAATGCATTGAGAAACTTAGATATGTGGTTTAAAGGAATCAATAATTCAGATCAAAAATTTGATTGCATTACAGAATTATTAAAATACGAAAATGAAATTGAAATCGTTGGATCGTATCCTGGAGAATATTATTATTTATTAGGTAGAGCATATGCAAAACAAAAAAACAATCAAAAAGCTTTAGAATGTCTTGTGAAAGCCCGCCAAGGACCAATTGTATGCCAAAAGGTAATGAAAACTTTTAAATTAATTAACATATAAATAGATTTAAAACATGTTTTAAATTAAAAACTGTATTCATATGTACGAGTATGATTAGGTATTTATATTTATAATCACTAATATGATAGGTACGATATCGTACCCATCTCCTTTCGAGTGATAACTTTTCGGTCAAATCAAAAAGTATTGAAAACATAAGGCATACTCGTATACAAATTATAAAATAAATCATTTTTGTGAACAATTATTTAATCTGTACCTACAACAGTTAACTATAGTTACTACAGTTACTATTATTTAAGGAGTAAGCATCTATTGTTTTCACTTTATGTCATCTATATTAAAAAAGTTTATACATGCATAAAAAGTTATTATTAACATTATTTTTAATTATCTTCTCGTATAGATAATTCAAATGTATATATAATGATATATAAATATGTACATAATATATATATATATATATATATATATTAATTTTCTGTTTTGGTAAAAATAACTGAAAAAATAACTTTTTTTATTATTTTCGAAAAATTTGAACATAGCCATTTTACAGTATATTCTTCTAAACATTTTAACGTTTCAACTTTTTATTTTTATAATTTTTTAAAATTCCGAAAAAAAAAGTGTACAGTAAATTAACCATAATAATAAAAATCAATTAGCGAATGCAATTTTAGGCTGCTGCAGAATTATAAGTGATTTCCTCTGAACTATAAACAATTATTAAAAGTGTCTCGCCCTATATTTCTAGTATTTTTGTAATCGTTTATTGATTTTGTTTGTTATTATGTTTTTTTACAGTTATTATTTATAAGTTATAATCGATATTTTTTTTTTATTAACAGACTCGCAGTAAAAATAAAAAAGTACAAGAACTGTATGAAAAATTATATATTGGTGAATATGCAGAACACTAAATAGGTACTTGAAAGTATAAAACTTTATATTTAAATGTTTAAAATATATTAATACTATATATATAGTAGTTATAATAAACTTCTAAATACATACTTACTAATAAGTTAGTTTAATTTATAATCACAACTTTAAAATACTAAAATTTAATTTTTTTTAAGAGTAAAGTTTGTTGATATTACAATTAAAAATGTAATTACTAATACTCTATGTTAGAAAAACATTTATGAGCATTAGAGTTCTGTGATTAAGGTTAATACTAATAAGGTACTATAATTCCTTATCTGTAGAAATAAACAAAGATGCTGTTCAAAATAGTTTAAAAGTTAAAAAACCTGTCTATAATTGGATTCTCAATATTCACGAGTAGATTTAATCTTAACTAAGATAACTTTACTTTCTATATTTGTCTCTTCATGTTTCACCTTATATTTGTAAATTTGTTATAATCTATTACTGTATATTTATTTTTATATTTTGCTCATAAATTATTCTTTTTATATATTGTAATTATTAACTATTTAAAATTTAAATTTTATTATTTTAACAGTGTAAATTAGTAAATAAACACTTTTGTGCCTCCACACAAGCAAAACTTAAAGGGGACTCATAAGTTCACTTAATACTTTATTTTTAACATTTGTATAATATGTATATTGGAATAAACAAGTGAAAAAAAAAATATATTAGATAATTAATAAACAATAAAAAATTGAATGCTACATGTATATATATAAAAAAAATTGTATTATTGCATATTATCAGTTGCGATTTGTACACCGAACAAGGTATGTTTCGCTCTCGCAGCTCTCGAAATAGTGCTGTTTCAGTTATTATTATTTTTATATCAAAGTTTATAATGCAGAAAGCGGCCAACAACGGGTGTTAAGTTTTTATAAACAAACTTATTTTAAGTGGGTCACACGTACAGGATCTATCCTGTAGCTACTCTACACAGCTGATATACCAAACGATGACAACACAATTATAGACAAACACACAACGCTATGTTTGTCCATGATACGGCAATTTTGTCCACAAGTAAGAATCAGCTAACTGCACCTGAACAAGAATCAATTGACAACGGCTTTGTATGGACAAGACGTTGGAAAATTAAGATAAATTGTGATAAATCAGTATACGTCAACTATACGTTACGTTAAAAAGAAGAAATCCAAATTATGTTGAATTAAACATTAACCTCCCAAAAAGATTCAGCGAAATACCTTAGAATGCACCTAAACTTCCGTTTAAAATGAAAACACCATGTCCATCAGAAAAAAATACAGATTAAAAAAAAAATGCGAAAGTTCTATTGGTTAGTTGAATCCCATTCCGAGTTAACTATAGAAAACAAATGTTTACTATATGTAGCTATCATAAAACTAATTTGGACCTATGGCATTTAACTGTGTGGTTGTGGCAGTAAGTCTAACATTGATATAATACAACGCTGTCAAAACATCGTTCTTCGGACCATCACTGCAGCCTACCGGTTTGAAAGAAACGATGCCATTCACCACGATATGATGCTGCCTACAATAGCTGATGAAATCCAAAAATTTGCTCACAAACACGAGACAAGATTAGATCACCATGTCAGTCCACTGGCCATCCAATTATTAGACAACTCCAAAGACATTAGATGTTTTAAGAGCCTGAAACCATACGACTTAGTTTAATAATTTAAATTAAGGGTAGGAGCCACTTCATTGGAAGTGTGACTTCATCAACTTATAAAGTATATCTAGTTTGTAACATCTAGTTTGTAAGATATATCTTATTAAACATATGTATAAAGCCTTTAAGTCGTTTAAATAATAAAGTCTCTGAAAATTTAAAAAATTTAAAAAAATTATTGCATATTATGATCAGGTTATAATAATTTACTAAATCAAAAATATTAATAATAAGTATAAATATAAGCTTTTTTAACATTAAATTATTCAGTTATTTGATTGCTTAAGGTTTACATTTATGTAATTGGTCTATGTCATCACTGGACCGTGTATTCACGCATTTAACTACTACATGTCTGATGGTTTATAGCTCTCCACAGTCACATCGAGGAGGTGAAATTATTTCCCACTTATATAATAGTTACATCTTCTTGGTTCTGCCCTTATCTTGTTGGGAGATGTCCAATAACGATATGGGTTGAAACCGGGAGCATCATTTTTAGAGCTGAAAGACGAATTTTAGTTATTCCAGTTTTGATTACTTAATATTAATACCTAAAATAAAAACTGCTTGGTATTTATTTAAATGTGACTGTATTACCTACCTATATTAATTAGAGTAAAATGTGCGTATAGGTTCAAAATTTCAAACACAAAATTATTCCTCAACCCGCACCTGGTTAGTGTGTCCAGTTTTATTTCTAAATACTTAGGTGCTTCGACAGGCGCGTCCTTGATGTGAGCAATGGGAGTGATCGTCACTCCCCCCGGGAAAAGTGGGCTTATATAGGCATTTGACATAGTCAATGGTCCAGAAGTAAATATAATAGATGTAATTAATACATTATTTGACATAATTTTTTAGATTCTGAGTGTAGCGAGTTGTAGTTTTACAAAGATGTTTATTTTTTTTTTCTGTGACAAAACTTTCTACTGAAAATCTTGCCCTGGTATATATGTGTGACACCATTTCTGAAAGGAAATATTGTCTCGGTGATACTTTATGAGGTAATTTTTTAATTTTCCAAGCGATTTTCATAGTATTTAGGTAAATCTAACGGATAATCATTCAAATTCCCTCTATATCTTACCTCCCCAACTTTTTCCAACTTCTCATCTACAACAGTGGTACACTCATAGTGCGAAGTATGACTGTCTCTTTTTCTTATCAATGATTAACATTAAATTTAATTATTTTGCCCACTCCTCCCATAGATAAGGTCTGGAGACGCCCCTGTGCTTCGGTGTTGTTGATCTTCTTACTAAACATCTCTATATCAATTATTTGTTAATCAGGAAGCCAACAAATAATTTAGATGTTATTGACTTTTGAAGATTCAACGACAAGTGCCATTTCCAAGAGTATTTCAACTTTGTTTAATTATAATATACATGTTTCAGTACGTTTCAGTTCAGTGAAGGAATCGACTTGAGCCAGAGCCTAAAATAATGTTTCTCCTGAAATTCATAATGTGTCCCCTGAATAACAAATGTGTGTTCCAAGTTTTATAACGTGTGTTTAGTTTTAAATGTAGAAATAACAAATAATTTGGAATTTCAACACAAATGAATCTTTGAATCTTGTTTATCTCAATATGAATTGATAACAACTTCCTTATCATCAATATTATATAAATAAACCATAAACTTTAACCACGGTCGACGATAAAAAATATTATAAAACCAAGATGTACTAGCATTAATTGTGAATATAACGAATATACCTTGTATCTATAGATATTCTATGTATTATAGATTTATTATCTTAAATTTGTAACAACAGTTTATTATTGTTATTACTGTTCTGACAGTGTGTTCATATAACTATTAGAAAAATATTTTGAACTTTTACTTACATTTATTTTGTATACTTTTAGTCCAAACGTTATATAATAATATAAATGTGTAAGGTAAACGTTATATAGGAGAGATAATTTTGGGCGTTACAATCACCACAGGTTTATGTTTTTGCTATAGAAACCTGCCAAAAGTCACAATTGAATCAAGATGTGTGTCCCCTGAAATCAGATGTATTTTAGTCCCTGAATTGAGCTAATTGGTTAATGTCACCCGCGTATGTAAACTTTCTGAAGAAATGTTACTAATATTAGTTGTATACAGGCTGTTTTACGAAGATATGCCCCTTGAATATCTCCGGAAATAATAAAAATGATCAAATTCTGTTTTTTTTTTTTTTTTTGTATAATACAGAGAAGAGGACTACAAATAATAATATTTGAATTCATTTTTTTTTTTATTAACTTTATTTTATTATTTTCGGAAAATTTTAATGTATCACACATTTATATCCGATGAATAGTTTCTAAGTAACAGCTATATCTAGGGAATAACCTAACCGCGTTACGCGATTACATCGGTTTTCACACGGATTAAATTTAAATTGACTGTTACTTAGAAACTATTCATCGGTTATAAATGTTTGATACATGAACATTTTTAGAAAAATTATCTTTGCAGAATGGCTATCTTAAAATTTTCCGAAAATCATAATTACAAAATTGTATCTCCTTGATTTTGTTTGGGGGTCTTTAGGTGTGCGTAAAATTAAAAAAAATGCACTTCTCATGCATAAAAATGATAAAATTCATATTGAAATTCAAGAGAGTGACGGGTTTTTTGTAAATATTTAGATTTTATGATAATCGTTGGAACATTTGGTTATTATTTTTTGTACACGAAGATTGGTTTTTTTTTATTAGTATAATATTATTTAATGTAAAATACGTTTGCGTTTGTCAGACCATCGTAAATATGTGGTAGGTATATGGTATTGTAGACGAGTGCAATATAATATCAGAACAGTAGGCCAAAATCTGACATATTACGCAGATCACTTGGATAAATTATTGTTTCAGAGTACTTACTACATTTATGGCATAATTGACTTTTTTTTTTATATTGAATTTGTACAGTATACAGTGTACACGTTAGGTATTAGGTTCGTTTAAAGCATATAGTTACCTACCATTTGTTTATTTGTATAATATAGGTGCTAAAAATAATTATATTCTTATGTATTTCTATAATAATACAATTTTTTTTTTTAAACAGAGTGTTTCGGAAATTAATGAGGATACTAGTATAAGCATTCTCACTCGGGTGGCCTAATGATGATTTTTTTGAAATTTTTTTCCTATCTTCAAAACCTGAGTTGTTTTAAGTTATTAATGGAATATAATCTGCAATCTAAAAATTAATACTCTTTTGATATTCACTGCAATATTCCCATACAAATCAATGCGTCGTGTAGTTTTAGCGTTTGTCGCGCGTTTTTCACGTTTGAGTCGCCAGGAATAAAGATGTGATGTGATGCGTCAATTTGTATGAGAACTCTACAAGGTAAACGGTGGTGAAATTTATTTGTTGTCATTTAACATACCTGATTGATTATTACAGTTTTTACATTGTAAACTGATACAAATTATGAAATAATAACAAAATTAGTGTTAACTTATTTTTAAATGATAAAATTGATTGCCATGAATTTAAGTTGTGTTAATGTTAATGATGGTGAATTATATCTATAATGGCAATTTTTGTAACTCTGTAATGCCATGAAAGAATCTAACCATTTGTGAATTTATACGGAAATACATTTTTTTATTAATTATTTGATAAAAAATTAATATCTACGTTAATTCAATCATCATAATATAAATAAAAGGTAAATTATGTAATAATATCATAAGTACGTTCTAAAAAATCATAATTTCGGATATAGAAATATTTTCTGCGTTCGATTAATTTTACTTATTAATTACACTAAGAAACGGTTTAGTCAATCTGTAGTCAAAAAATTTAACATTTCGACACAGGGGCACCATGTAGAGGGGGAGACTTCGGGGGCTACAGCCCCCCAAGAGATTTACAAACCCGGTTATAAGGAATTTATGGCAAGAATCGGATGAAACTGTATATTAGTGTACATATCTAAAATAATGAGTCTTCCGTGAATCTATGACATTTTAAAAACCTGGCATGTATGTTTCGACGTATAATTTGCATTATTATGTTCACTATGGGTACCTACTACTTAATGAGTTATAACTTATTAACTACTAAGTAATTATGGCAATTAAAATAAAAACTACCGTAATTTCGTAGTACCACATTTTTGTGTTGTTTACATTTTTTTTTTTTTTCAATAAAGGAAACAATTTAATCATATACGTAAACCGAAGAATTATAATTTAGTTTTGAACTAACAAAGTTGAATACCTACCTATTAACACACATCACAGTGCTACTTCACTAATTGTTGCAATTTTTATATTTATATAACGGTATTTTTGTCTAATAAATTCAGTAGTTCAGTTTTGAAATTTAGTTACTGATCATTAATAGTAGTTTTGTTTCGTTCTCAATTTGACTAAAGATAACATTTAAATATTTGAAATTAATCTTATTAAATATTTTTCTGTTTCGTTACGAAAAATCATGAGAATCAGTTTACGTTCTACTGTAGTTGTTTTGTTGATATTTACGACAATTCTGACTATTGTCGAGTGTATTCGACCATTTGGACCTAAAAAAGGTATAGTTTTTATTGTTCCGTATTTTTTTTTTTATGAAATTCGAAATAGGTGAGTATCGTTTGTTTGTTATAGTAATAGATTAATCATTAATATTAATAGTTACCTATTTATATTTTCCGGCAACCCAGAAAAAATGTAGTAGGTATAATTAATTAATTTTTGTTTTTAAGATGGCACGCCACAAAATCCTTCAAACCGTACAAGCATAAAAGATAAAATAAAATCAAGTAATTATTGTAATTTAACTAAGAATTAGATTTGTAAATAGTTATTCTTAAATAAAAATATATTTGATTATTGATTGTCCAATACACTTGATGAATCACTAAATTAAGATTATATTTACATTGCCTTGGACGAAATTCTATTTTTTTATTATTATTTTTTTTTTTTTTGCAGATGGACTTGTAAAGTTTATAACCAAACGTAAATATAACCTAAAATATTAACAAAATAATATACTTTTTTTTAAATAAAATGTTTAATTCTAGATGTTGGAGGATCTTCAGGAAAACTCACAGAAGGTAAAATTTTTTTTTTATAGACAATAAGTTTATATAATAATAAACTTAATATTTTAAATAACGCATAATAAATATATTATGAATACGAAAATAATATTTAAAACAATTAGTGGTTTATCCAATACAGTTGATATATACAAGATCCTTAGTAGATATAATGGTATGTCCACTTTTTAATCAATACAATTAAACAAATGGTCTTCTATACATACTTTTGATAAACTCCGAGTAAATTTTAAACTAAACCAAAAACTTGAGTTCTAAAGGCTTGGGTACTTTCATTACCATAATTTAATATATTCTCCAAAAAAAGTTTGACACACCCACAAACATTTAATCTCTTAAACGTTAGACTATTTTTCTTCAAATTAATATATTAATTAGAATATTATCAACTGTCATTATAAAAATTCATAATAAAGCGTCAGTTTGTCTATTTTTGTAAAGCAAAGATATTTATTTTTTGTAATTTTATATTGTCTAAACATGTAATGGTCCAAAATTAATTTTCATTTATAGACAATGTTGATAAATTAGTGAAACTAGTATTGAATGATGCTGATTTGATAAAATTGGCAGCCTATAAGAAACTTGTCTTTTTGTACAAGGTAAATACTTATTTTAATTTTAATAAATATACCTGTTACCTGTTTTTTTTTTAAAAAATATTACTAAGATGTGTTGTTCTTATTCGATGTGTTTTCATTTTTATTGATTTGTCGAATTTAAAGTGATCTTAAAATTTGCATTAAAAAAATTTGTTTTTTTTAACCATTAAGAATGCCAAGTCAGATGAGGATAGAAAACCGTTAATCTACGGAATTATAAAGTCAGCTACGGAATTAATATATTATTATTTTGCGGAAAATAAAGGCTCCAAAGCTAAAACAATCTTTAAAGAAGGTAAATTTTAGGTTTATACATTTTAACTTGGGTTTAGTTTTTACGATGGTTCATTAGAATGTCCTTCAATTTTGTTATACATATAATTTACGGTAAGTATAATTTTGCTTCTTTTAGGAAATTATAATATTTAATATTATGTTAAGTGGTGTATCAGGTCGACCATATAATACGTCATAAGTAATTAAATAATTACATTTATTAATACAAACGTTTTTTAATAGAAATTATTAATTTAAATTCGATTGTTTTTTATTTGAACAATTAATTTTGTGCAATTGTTTTTTTTTTTTTTTTTTAAATCGATTTTTAGGACAATCGTATGCAAATAAATGTATTCAAATAACTAATGAAAAGGGCCCATGTTTAAAATGGAAAGCTCTATTAGATGCATCTTTATTTTTTAATCTTATGAAGGAAAAGGATACTTCTTTGAAAAAAGAGTTCACACGAGTAGCAAATAGTTACAAAAGTGCTGTTGAGCACTTACCAAACGATAAAATGCTTGTCAATATGTCCAAAAGAATAGGATGTGAGGTAAGGAAAACATAAACAAATATATAATAATATTTCAAATTTGAATGGTTTAACTAATAAAATCAAATTATATAATAAATGCGAGTATCATAAAAAATCATGTTTATAACAAAACTGTTAGTAAAATTAAGTAATTAAATTAAATTAGTATTAACGTGAAAAATCACTTGAAACAATTATTTTTACTTAAAAAGTCATAAATAATAATTACAGAAACTATAATTAGAAATTTGTCTTGGAATATCGCTACTGGTTTTACTGGTAATTTTCTGAAAACCGAACTAAGAAATTGATTATGAGAAATGTGACATCCATTTAAGAACTTAATTTCGTCACAAATTTTATTCAAAGATTAATTAATAATTATAATTATAATTTCGGTACTCTAGGAAACACGTACCACGAACAATTTATGGCAGTGTAAATTATTCGTAGTACTAATAAATATTATAGGTACCAACGGATTAAAAATTATGAAAGAAAAAAACAAATGTTTTTGTAAAATAATATATATTAAAGGGATTTGAAGCAGTGATTTTTTGTTTTTGTCTTACACACGTGCAACATAGAAATTTAGACGTATTCTATTTCCACCGTACCGATTGGTCTAGTAAAGCGATCAGAATTCTGAAAACAGATTTGAATTTGTCGTCAAGTCTACTTGAAATCGACTTTTCTATTTTTTTTTTTATTTATCTCCCTAAATCTTAAAAAGAACCATACTAAAAAAAAAATAGAATATTTTAATTTTTGGAGAAATTAAAATCAAAATCCAAAAAAGTGGGAAGTAGTCTTGACGTAAAATTCAAATCTGTTTTTACAATCATTATCACTTCACTAGACCAATCAATAGGTTGGAAATAGAACACGTTACATTCCTATATGTTGCACGTCTGTAAGACAAAAATAGAAAATTACTGCTTCCAATCTTCTTAGTTCTGTCACCAAGTTTTCAATAATGATTGATGATTAAATTTTGATATTTATTTTTAGTTTAAAATAATGGAAAAAACCAGACCGAAATTTATCGATAAGATAAAGAGTGTAAACACGTTAAACTCAGTTACTCTTTTTGGAGGACCAGGATTCGATTGCCTCAGCACGTTATTACAACTTAAAGGCAGCATCAATGATGAAGAATCAGGAATATATCCCTTAGATTATTTTCATCTAATAGGTAGGGTGTACGAAAATCAAGGTGAATGGCAAAAAGCTATGGAAAAGCTTTTAGAAGGACGTTATTATGCACCTATGTTAAACCAAAGGGTAATAACAACAATTTGTAACAATTGGATTTAATTTTTTAATAACTATTGTATTATATGACTATGTATAGTGCACCGTATTAGGTCGGAAAATAAATTCCCGAAAAGTATTTCTCAGAAATACAAAAAAAAAAAAAAAAAACTAAAAACTGTATTTGTCCGGAATGTAATCGCTGGAACGTATATTTCTTGACTTCACCGTCGACCGTTACTGTCGGCATCGATATAACATCATGATACATAACATAATTATTCATATTTGTATAATTATATATTTAAATTTCGGAGAAATACTTTCCAAGATTATACGAGCTGTATAATTTTATAATATATATTTTTTCGGAATTATAACTTTCCGATCCGAGTACGGCTTTTAGTTCTTAGATTCCGAAAAAATTTCGGACATATTATATAGTCCCTCCCCTTGAATGCCGATTTGAGCCTTTTGAATTTATTATGCGTCTGGTCACACTGTGGTGGTCCCGCCGCAGAATAAAAACCCATATTTATTTATGGACGCGTCACACTACCCCGATTATACCGTGTTACGACGCTGGTCGCCGTTCTGAATTGCAACACGTCGCGGTTTATCTGTTTCCACCGCATCCAATATTTCGAATCTCTTGTCACTTATGATAAATACGTATAGATTTCAATGGATCGTACTACAGAAGAAGTAATTTTATAATTTTTTAAAAACTGCTTTAATTAAAAATAAAAGTTTATTCGATACGATTACAAATGTTTATTGTGAGTGTGAAAAAACACGAATGCTTATGGAAAATAAGTGGCAAAGATCGTGCTGATAAGCGTATGAAATTGAGGGCATGGAATGATATCGGATTTGATTTAATTGATGAGATGATATCTGATTTAGCTCTCCGAAAAAAAGGAAGGAAAAAAATAATTTAGATCTTTAAAATACTCTAGTCGAGTTTATGAAAAATCCCCCGAAGAATTCGATACCGATAAAGTCTTTCTATTATATTTTTTACCAGATCTTAAAAAAAATGAATGATAATCAAAAATTAGATAAAAAAATAGAATTTATAAATTCAGTAAAACGGAGTAAACGAATCTATAATAATAGCTTCTCAATCCAATATCTATCTATCAGTATCTATCTAAGTATTCTCGACTAACAAAACTAACTAACAAAATTCGAATAATCATAAAATTCATCATCGTACAATGCATTTTTTTCACATTTTCAAACAAGCTTCCCACCTTATTCATATCCATCTACTTTTCCAGCTATTCTTAATAATCCTTTAACTTCAAATATTAAGGAGGACGGTGTTTTATTTTAATAACTTAAAATAATTATTATTTTATTATTTTTTTAATGGTTTGTTTGAAATTAGTAATATCTTATTTGTAAATATATTGTTGTTCTCATAATTACACTGAATATTATATTTTGAATTTAATTAAACTAAGTTTCTAAAAAAAATGAATTCAAGATTTATCACGATTTGATAAAAAAAATGTATTTTATTACTTATTACTAATTTTTAAAAACAAATTTTACCCGGTTGTCAGAATAAATCTTTTCTCAGTATAAACCGAACTTCGGAATTTCGTTACTAGTTTGGTAATGTAAGGTCATATTTTAATCATAAGCTCATTAAATGAAGAAATAGACATACGGTAATATGTAAACAATTCATCAGAATTTAATCTAATTTTTCCATAAAAATTAAAAAACCTTCTAGTTTCCTTTTGTGTCTGATGAAATGGATGGATCCAATACCGCTTTTCTTTTTTCGGATCGTTTAAGTAGCCAAAATACTTAACAACTTGTGTTAAATTTAACAATACAACCTTCATAAAATATATTATTATATTATATATATAATGAACTCAATCAATGTTTTGTGAATAATAAACTATATAATATTATAATAAAAATCTTAATTAAGTATACAAATTATTATAACATAGAAAACACAGCTGATGTTAGTTGTATCTAATTCATAAATGAACAGAAACTTCCACGGTTTTACCGTGCTAGTGTAGTTAGTGTATACCGCACGGCTAAATCAACACGGTAACAACTACCATAGTGTTTTATGTTATTGTTTTTTTTTTCAGGCTCGTTTCGTTAATAAAAAAATGCAAGATGATTACGAAAAAATTTATCTCAGTAAATTTGCAGACAAATAATTATATTGGGAAGTGTAGAATATTATTATCAGCTAATAAAAATGTGTTATTTATTTTATACTGCATTACTATACGATATTACGAATATTGTTATTATTATTATCATTAATAAATATAGCTAAATCAGAATTTATTATTCGATTATTATAGTCACTTAACATTAAATCTTAATAAAAGTATGCCACATTGATTAATGATTTGTTTTTATTATCTTACGTATTATTATTCGAAACTGTTAAACTTTTATTAAAATGTAATAAATTGTGTACATTAAAAAATATTGATACATAATTTATAAACAAAAAATAGATAAATAATAAAAATAAACAAGTTGTTAACTATACACTATACGATTTCTTGAATTTTTACTTAACATACAATAATAATAAAGAAATAACTACAAAATAAAATTTAAAAATTTAGACTAATTCTAAAAATAACCAGTTATATATAATTTTTTTAACATTTCCTTGATGTGTGTGAATATTTTTTTTTGTCTCATAAGACATTAAATTAAAATATGTTAAATATATAAATATATTATATATTAAAATAGTCAATAAATGATTGACCAAAGGTTTTTTTTGAATACTTAACAGAAATATTGTTTTCTCTTTTGTTTTCATAAAAAGGGTTATTGTTTTTTTTTTTTTATTAGATGTTTAAAAATAAACATAATTAAAATATTTTTATAAAGTGATCGAATTGGTAATACGCCAAAATCTAAGTAATTTTGTCTACTCGATCCTTCCATAATACTTTTATTTAAACAAATTCATACTATATTATTTTGATTAACTTGCAACTGTCTTAAAACCCCATCACCCAGACCACCACATACTAATAGACCAAATTGATACAGAGCAAAATATATCATACATATAGTTTTTTTTGGTATCAAGTTTTTGAGTTTATTAAATTTACATGTTATTGCACGTAGTTTCCCTATAATATTATGTGAATGAAGATGCCATCTTAAGTTATTATCAAAAATAATCCCTAATTACCTTATTCTGGAGACTTCTTTAATACGTTTGCAATTGTGCACGTTACATGTTTTACTATTAGTGCAGGTATGTATAGTTATTGTATTAATATTTGGGAAAATTTTTATGTATGGAAAAGGCCATGAACATAGTTTTATCATCATTTAATATTAGATTTTTGTCACTAAGACATTTATGAACTTCGTTCATACCAATCGTGGCTTTAGAATGAACCCCTTCTCACGATTTGTCCGTGAAAAGTAGACACGTATCATCAGCGTATGAGACTACCCGACCATCCAAATTTAAATCACATACCGAGTTAATGTATAAAATGAACAAAATAGGACCCAGAACATTGGCTTGAGGAACACCATATTTGATAAAGTTATCTTGGCTTATAATATTATTTATTTTGACTCTTTGTTTTCTATCTATTAGATAACTACGAAATCAATTTAGACTACGGTCATTATTCCAAAACTAGGTAGTATTTGTAGTAGTATTTTATGATTAACTGTATCAAAGGCTTTAGCTAGATCCAAAAAAATAGCTATTACTTTGCTTCCATTATCTAGTTCATTATATATAAACTGTGTCGTACTATAAATGGCGTCATCAGTACCTAAGCCAGGTCTAAAGTCAAATTAATTTTTGGATAACAGTTGATTTTCCTCCAAAAAAATAATTAACCTAGATTTAATTATTTTTTCCAAAATTTTGGAAAAACTCGTAAGCAAGGATATTGGCCTATAATTGTTCATGTTTTTACAATCCCCATCTTTTAAAAGAGGCTTAACCACCGCAATCTAAAAAATTCAGGAAAAATACTTTGTTGTATACTTAAGTTATAAATTTAAGCAAGTAGATTAACTATCAAACCAATAATATGTTTTAATATTTTAATTATTACTCTGTCGAAGCCAGCCGCAGTGTCATCTTTAAAGTTATCGACAATTTTTAGAATATCGGAGTTCTCAGTTTTTTTGATAAATAAATTGTCGAATAAGAAATTATTATTAACATTAGAGAATTCTTTGTTTAACACATTACCAGTGTTCTCATCTAATTGTTTTCATATGTTAATAAAAAATTCATTAAACATATCTGATACTACTTTAGGCTCCATATTAGCATTATATACCTTGTAATTACTTATTATAGTTTCAAATTTATTCTTGCATTTAGTTTTAGATCCCATTACTTCATTCATACGTTGCCACGTTAGTTTTGGGTTATAAGAGACACTTTTAAATTTTTTTTCATAGACATTTTTTTTTTTTTAAATCTTAAAATGCTGGTGTAATTATTCTTATATTATTTATAATAGTTAGTTATATGTAGTGCCAATTTTAATTTATTTGGATTTTGTTTACATTTTAATAAAAGAGCTTGCTTGTGACGTGTGGAACGTAATAAGCCAGCTGATACCCACTCTTTTAAACGCTTGTTTTTGGAAGTTAATACTTTATAAGAAGTAGATTTCTCAATTGCATTATATATAATTTTTTGAAATGCATCACAATAGTCATTAGCACTGATTTCGTTGTATATTTTAGACCATTTTTCTTCACACAAAATCCTATTAATTTTGTCATGATCAATTACTGGAAAAATATTTTCTTTAGTTTTGTAAACATTATTAATAGGTATAGAACAATAGGTTGAGAAATGGTCAGTGATATCAGTCTGCAGCGCACCAGCATTTACTGTACTAATTAGGTGGTCATTACTTTAAATAAAAATATGGTCAGTACAAGAGTGATTACGAACTATGGGCAATCTAGTGTTAATGTTAATAAAAAAAGCAAAACCAGTTTCTGATAATAAATCCAGATATTCATTATTATTTGAATTATTGCCTAATATGTTAATATTCATATCCCCGATGACTATTGTATAACCTTTGTATTTATATTCATCTAGAATTTTTCTTAATATACTTACAAAGTTGCTTATGTCAGTCGAGGGTAATCTATAAACACATAGAATATTAATTGGTTTACAGAGATTCATTAAGGAAAGTTTCACAAAATTAGTTTCAACAAAATCATATTCATAAAATTCAACATAAAAAAAATCTTTAACAAAAATAAAAATTCAATCATTTTGATTCCTATTTATGAACGAATAAAATAAATTATAACCATCAATATTGTAATTACAATGAATAGATGCATCATGCCAGGTTTCCGTTAACACAATCATATCTATTATTTTACTATCTATCTAATTTTCTAAGAATAAAATCAATTAATCAAAATTTGAGTTGAAACTTCTAATGTTACAACATGAAATATTTACATAATTGTTATTTAGATTATTTTGCATATTAAAAAATTCTGAGAAAGATTTAAAATAATTAGTCTTATAGCTAAGATAACCTCTTATACTAAGATTGTTTTCCATATGAATTAAGAATTATAATACATTTAAAAGTATCTAATAAAAAAACGGTTGTAAGTTAAGTAAGTTTAAATATGTAAGCTCATTGTCAATTATAAAGGCAATGGTGCTTTCATTTTTTTTATGAACGACTTAGAATCCCTAAACCAAACATATTTATAGCCCACTTCACGAGCCAAAACTTTAGCTTTAAAGAATAGATTTCTATTAAATTGAGTTAAACTGTTATTCATATAAATCTTGTCATCACTCCAATTATTATAAAAGATTTTCATGTTAGTTTTCGTTTCCTTACACTGGCCATCATAGATTTCTTGTTCTAATAAGTCTATACTTCTGCCATTATTTTCAATTTTCGAAAAAATACGAAAAGCTTTTAGTATATTTGCTTTCACTCCTACAGACTCGGGGATTGACACCACTGCTTCTACGCAGTCTTCATTATTTACCTCCGGAACACCTACAATTTCAACGAAATTTTCTATTGATTTTTATTCTAATACATTCAAACGTTTATCTAGAGTTGTAACTTCATATTTTAATTTATTATTTTGCTCTTTTAATACTTTATTTTCTTCCTCGATGTCTTTAATAACTATTACCATTTCTTACAATTCTTTTTCAAAGCTATCAAATTTATCGCTCATAAAATTGACTGATTCTATTAAGCTTTTAATATCCTCATTATTAGTAAAATCGATATTTTGAGTATGTATCATTCAGAGGAGTAGGGCAAAATAATAAATTGTCTATCTGTAGCTATCACCCATCTAAATGCGATGAACATGTATACACTGAAGTTTTACATATATATATAATTAGAATAAAAATGTTAATAACTTAGTTAATATTACTGATTTGGTTTCATTTAAGCCATTGAGGCAGTTGATCAAAATAATTAATTTTTAATACAGCGAGTTCAAAAATACATAAACTACAAAATTGTCCGATTAAAAGCAAACGAATTTTGTCAACAATAAATAAAGGTTCTTTTCTAAATGCATAAATTTAATAGACAATTTTAAACTTATTTTAACTATTGTATTCAAGTCCATAATTCAATTCAACCATATATGCATTAGTAATTATTTTTTAAAAAAAATGAACAATTGTTATTTATTTTGTAGTTATATACAATTTTATAAAAGCTTTGGTTCATTAATTGTATTGATACATGATTAATCGAATTAACTTTGAAAAATGTTTAAATGAACTTCGCTCAAAATCGTTTCTCATAAATTAAAACTTTTTTCGAGAAATCCTGGCTACGCTACTTTAGTATACCTACATTAAAAACGGATCTATTCAACGTTTAAACATTTTACGCATTCACATATAAAATTGCCATCATTGTTATAAGCCACTTATAAGTACTTAGGTAATTATTCAATTTTATTTTTCAACGGCAGTAACTGATAGTAGTTTACAATTTTTTATTGTTTGAATTTTATTTTAATAGGTATACGAAAACCTATAATTATTGTTTTTAAATTAACGAAATTGCATAAAAACAGATGTCACAGTGCTGTTGGACTTCTTACTATTATATAACTGGTTACATTTTTACATTTACACCGGTATTATTCAAATAGTTTTTCGCTTGGTTTGGATAATAATTATGATAATAATAGTTTGGATAGTAATTAATGACTCAGAGTGTTTTTAATTTATTCTAAATTTTTCCTAAAATAAAACCTAATATATTTTAGTATACTATGTGTAACAAAAAAAAATATTCGCGAGGGGATTTGGGGAGGTTTATAAGTAAAACAAAATGAAACATTTTGAATAATAATTAGCTTACGGTGCGTTTTTTTTTTTAAAATTGCGGGGGGTGGGTAGGTTTTGAACTCCTAACGCTCTTCATTTCTATGTATGCACCGACGGGCCTGACGTGTATACCTACTGCCAAAGTTTTATTGGAAATGCGGCGGAAATGATATAAAAATTATAAAATATATTATAATGGTCGCATACATTTAAGGTATTTAAAGCAAATGGAATAATACCGCGTTTTCGTTTACAATACGGGTACACCTACGATCGTATATCCAAAATTATATCCGTCAATACGTTACCTACCGGGCACTATGCAGCAGCTATATACCCATTATTATATTATACATTTCGGTATTTCGGCGACCACCTTGAACGGACCAGGCGCAGGTAGAATGTGTATGATAATAATCGTAGTGCGATGCGGACAAGATGGGAAATCTCGGCGTCGTCTTCGACAACAACACGCGTATTATTATTATATTATAAAGCCTAAGGACTCTAATCAACAACTACTGGTATTACACTGCGGTGTGTGTGTGTCTCCGGGTTTGTAGATACCTATTTTATGCGGTGTGGTCGTTCTCTACCCTTCCCGGTCAGTGAGTCACAATGGAAATAATAATATCCTGTGTACTGTCGGGTCGTGTCGGATAAAGGTCAAACAAATATCGTTTAGGTTTTCGCTACCGCGGCACAGTCCATTGAAGTTTAGTATAATAATATAATAATATAATAATATATTATATAGGTATTAGGTACAACTGGTACCTACCTGTATAAACGAAACGTTTTATATTATCATCTCGACAAACGAAAATAATAATAATATACGTTATTGAATTCCATTGCTATTATGTACAACTTCTGGTTTTTTGGTTTTTTTTTTTTTTTTTATGACATCTCGATACGCTTCACGAATCGACTTGGTACCTCTACATATTATAATTCGGGCATTACGGAGAAAAGTCTGAATATATAAAAAAAAAAAAAAACCCAATTATTTTATTTCACTCGGTCATTTAATTTTAATTTTATCAATATAATATAAGTCGTTATAATGTTCTCGGTGATGTAGCATTTTACGTTTTTTTTTTTTTTCATTGGCATAAGCTAGCCACATTGTTTGTCACAAGTATAACGTAATATAATATTACACTTGAATAATTCCTATACGAGTAAAATGCAAAATCAATAATAATAATAATGAACATTGCAGTTTGTTTCAACAGTAACTTTTAACCGTTATGCGCAGTCATATAATATGGTGTAGCAATTTATCGTAATAATTATTGTCGACAAAAGCCGAGTGGCCAAACAACAAAAACATTTTCAAAAAAAAAAAAAAAAAACGTTTCCCCTATTCATAAAGGGATTTTTTTTTCTTTATCACGCACATTGTTTCTGAATAAAAAGGGCGGTCACATTGTTTCGAGGTATTAATGTCTAACAAATCCCTTTTTGAGTCGCGCATTGTTGGAAACATCGAGAAGCTATATAATATTATGGTAAACAAACTTCCCTCCATTTAAACCACCGTAATGGTTATTATTTTAAGTTAATTATTATTTTTTTTCTTTGCAGAATAAAATATTATCTGAAAGCCACGTGTACGTGTATTATTATGTAGTCGATATTTGTAACCATTGTGAATAATATTTACGAAATCAATCGACCCGTCATACAAGTATCTCTATGTAGGTATATTAGCTGATTATATTTTTAACCTTTTTATTCTTCCAATATTATGAATAATATCGAAGAGAATATTGATCAGAGTTTTATGCGTTTGGCATTTTAATTCGTTTTCAACGCAATAATCAAGCCGCCATGTACTTTCTGCCCTTGAGTTTTCCGCATTCTTTTTCGTACTATTTTCGCTCATTATAGTAATCTATATCAACTGAAATGATGTAAAGTGGACTGGTGCTCAACATTTAAGATTACATTAATTTTATAAAATTGCCAATTCATTACAGCTTTGATTCTGATTTAAGATTTAATTTCTAAACAAATGATAGATAGGTACGTTATAAAATTATATTTCACGTCATTTTATAGGTACCTATGGATCCATCATAATATAGTACGTAATATAAACTATAAATTGATATAGGCTTTAGATAATCAATAACCATATATTGTTATCGATCAAATGTTCACTGTTTTTAGTGTTTTAGCTTTTATTACGTTACGTTCAAATTTTATAAAATAATGTTGTCCGTATTATTATTTTCCGAAACATCTAAATGGAAAAATATATAAGGAACCGGTGTAACGTATGACGTGTATTCCAAACGCAGCAAATTTAGAGGCGAAAAATACAAAAATAATTTTTAAAAGCATGTTAGGGAAGAAATTACAACAGCCATTAATTCAATATTCAGGGATGAAATGACAGATTTGTTTGATAAAGGGCTTGATTTTTTGACTTAAAGCATTAATTAGATTAGTTAGTTGACAATTATACAAAAATGTATAATATAATGTACTCGTAATACAATATTTTAATAAATTAAATATGGTAGCAGGAAAAAAAAACCAAGGGAAAAAACTACGAAAATAAAAACCTAATTTTTTTTTTTTTTGAAATTTTAGGCATGAGTTTGCGATCACATTGTAGTATTCGTTCCTTAAACCATATCTTTGAATTCTGTTATCAATCAGACAGTCACTTTTATTTTCCACAGATATAATTAATAAACTAGCTTGCTTACTGCTGTATGATTACTATTGTATTGTAACTTGGATTCCTATAGAAATTAGTACAACCGTCATTTGCCGTCATTATTGTCATTTTCTGAGAATTAGAAACCTATCAATTTTATCAATTACAAAAAAAATTGATCGTTTTATATTGTTTTTTTTTTTTTTTTTTTAAAAATCAAATTTTGACAAAACTCATAAATATTACGGCCTTTCAAAATACGTATCACCGAACTTCGCTCCGAATCGTTTCACCACTGCTTACAGATATAATTAAATACTTGCATGTGTCTTACCTAACAAAAATTTGTGATTTTTCTGAAAAAATTGGACATAACCCTTTATTCGGGTTTGTGAGAAAAATACAGTAATAGTTCAAATTTGTATGCAAAATCCGTTAAAATAACGAAAATTTTGTTTTTATTTTGTTGATTTTTGTTTTGTTGCGGTTTGTTTTTTGAAATCGTGTAATTTTTCAATCGCCGCGGCGTAGAGAAAAAAAGGTTCTTTCGGCTGTGACTGACGTTTATAGTATAATTTCTGGATCGTTTAAATGGATTATCGAACATACTCTTACGTACAATAGGTAGTACTAAATGAATTGGTTTATCAAATCAACAGTATAACATAACAAACAATATTCATAACACGGCCGAAGGGGAGGATGGGCGACTAAAACCCTTTAGCTCTCCCTGGAGGATTCGCGCCTGCCCGCCACACTAATAATAGCCAGTACGCCCCTGCCTCGTGCCTTTCTCCGTTAAATTTAATAATAACGTATAGGTACCTACACTCGGTTTTTAAGAACCGCAGGTATGCGAAATGAAAATAAATTAAATGCGTTGTAATAATACTATACCTAATATTATAATATTTAATAGTCGTGTGTCTGCTCTAGAAAAAATACTCGAAAACAGCGTCCGGGAAAAGTACGGGCGATGCCCGCGGACAGATGGTGTTTATATTTTTACCGTCGGCAGCCGCGGGTTCGCCTTCGAGTGTATATAATAATAATAATATAATGTACAATATGAATTCTATTCTAGATGACGGCAAACGATATTTACACAGATAACACCGGGCGTGTCATAATTGACGTTAAACTGCAGCGGCTATATTATTA